ACGTAGCCGAAATCGGTGCTAAGCCAAACCAGGCCAACAACATTCATCAAAGTATAATCCTTAACGAGCTATACGAGAAAGCTATTGAAATTACACGGGAAGTTTATTTCTATTATTAAGCTTATAAATTTCTCTCTCTTTCTATGCTAGGGTATTGTCAGACGACGCTAACCCACAAACAGGGCGTCGATTGTCCTTCATTGACAGGCAATTCGACTCCTAGAGGGAGGAGTCCAGGGGTCGTGAAAAATTTAGGTGAGGGCAGCAACAATAATGAACTTGGCCCAGGAATAAGTAAATTATAAGATTAATTTAGATAATAATGAAGAATTTGTATTCTAATTTTATTCTCCTATCCTTTCGGTACGAATTTATGGGCACATTGTGGGGGCCACCTGTGTCGTGTATCATATTTTCTTTTCCGGCCGAGTGGAAGGGCACGAAGCATGACGGTGAAACGTATAGGTACTCTCCGGAGTACAGTGAGGTCAAATTAGTAAAGCTCAATTGCAGAGCCTGCTCAATCAATTGATCACACACTTTCTTGGTTCAAACCTTCAGCAAGACGTCACAGTACCGGGCAGACGAGGGCATGTGAACAATGAAGATGACAGTTGGTTCTATTGACACTGCATCTATGTATCTTTCTAGAGATCAAACAAGTGCAACTCTTAGCAACACTCTATTCGTTGTCTCTAACATCAATGACAGTCGACTTGAACTTCCTGGCAGGAATCCTGCGGTTGAACAGGATATCTGTCTCACGATACGTGCGATCCTTGAGCTCAGGAAGGAAGAAGAAGGCAGAGACGAAGCACACAACGGCTGTACCTCCCCAGACGTATCCACACTTGCCAGCGAGATCCCATCCAGTAGGGTTGAGGAGTTGTGAAGCCAGATAGATCATGGGGATCTCGGCAACATAGTAAGCCGCACGACCGACACCAGTGCTCAGAGCACGAAGACGGACTGAAGATGTCTCGGCAATGACGGTGTATGTGGTGGGACCCAGGGCTCCGGCATAGACGAAGGAGATGAGAATACCGAGAACGGCCTGGGCGTAATTGGTCGCGTTGTTCTGCGGGATGGAGGCGCAGATGCCGAGGAGGAACAGCAAGGTAATGTTGACGGCTGTGCCCCAGAGATAGATGGTGCGACGTCCCCACCAACCGCTGACGGGCAAGGAGATGATGTTGGCGATGAACTGAAGGCACGCGTTGATCAGGTTGAGCTGGAAGGCACGGTCAGAGTCGACTCCGGCTTCTATATAATGCATTAGTTGTCTGTTTTACCTGGGGGTGTTTGAAGAAAGTAACTTACGCTCAAAGAAGAAGGTAGCCTGGTTGGCAATCAAGTTACCAGCAAAGTTCTGCGACGCGTACATCAAACAGGTAATGATGGTTCGTCGCAAATCAGTGCCCTTGAGAAGATCGAGAAGAGTGGGAGATCCACCGGTCTGCGCCTCAATCTCCACAGTACGCTCCATCATGGCAAGGGACTTTTGAGCCTGTTCCTTGGAGTCGGTGCCGAGGCGTTCGATGGATCGGAGGGCTTCTTGCTTGCGGCCGCGACGGATGAGCCACCAGGGGGATTCGGGGGCGAGGAAGACGAGGATTAGGAGGGGGGTCTAGATGAGTTAGCATCATGGGTATGTTGTGGTGTGTGGGGGAAACTCACGGGAAAGACCCATTGCAGGGCCAGAGGGACTCGCCAAGCCCACTGATCGTTGCGCTTGTTGTAGGCGTAGGTGGCACCAGCGACGATGATTGAGCCGATGGACCAACTCATCTGCAGAGTTGCTGTGCAGGCACCTCGGAGGGCAAGAGGGACAATCTCGGAGGCGTAGGCGGGTGCGTTGGCGATGAAGAAACCCCATGGCACACCTTCCAGTGCTTGTCCGACCACGAGCAGGGTGAGGGAGTTGGCCTTGACAAATCAGATTAGATGGAGCCTTTGGCTAGGGAGCAGAAATATACTCACAAAGAAAGAAACAAAAATCGTGGCGTTCATAAGCATCAAGCCCAAGATGGTCGTCCAGCGATAACCCAGGACGTTGGTGATGGGACCAGCCATAAAGACACCGATAAATGCACCGCATTGACCGGCTTGGAACAAGGCACTCTGCCACTTTGTCGGGATGGTATAGCCGGATCCTTCAACGTAGACGCCGTAATGTTTCTGGAAAGCCGGAAGGGCGACAAAGTTGCCGTTCAAGAACATGTCGAATGACTCCATGACCTGTTACAGGGTTAGCTACCACTCATCTTGGACCATGAACCGATCTTGAATCGAGAAAGGATCAGCACGATTGCAATTGGGAAGACTGACAATCGTAAAACACATAATAAATGCCCAGAAACAAGCCCAAGGATGCTTCTTGGTAGCCTCCCAAACACCAAGCTCATGCTCACGATTCTCGCCATCAAAGGCATCGTTCATGAGATCCGAGTTCTTGAGAACTTCCGAGTGGTCGACATCAGCCTTGCCCTCAAGGGCCAGGTCATCTTGTTTCTCAAGAACAGTATGCGACATTGTAAAGACTTGCCAATGTTGCCAAGAGGCTTGGATCGCCAAGACCAAGAAACAAATCGGCCAGCCAAGATAATTATACCTCTAGATACCTTCTCCACATGTTTGGGGGAGTGGACTCTTGCATAAACGGCCGTCGACTCATTCAAGTGGTCAACGCTTTCTTTCCCCAACATAATCAGAGCAATGATAGGTGCGCGTCTGCCAACTCGGCAACACGGCAACTCGTGAGTTTGCCTAACTCTTCATTTGGATTGGGCTCCCTCGAAAGTCTAAGCTTCTCCGCGATTCAATCCACGGACAGCTCTCCGAGACGGGGCTGTTTACACTTGGGGAATGGACTAGTCTGGGGATGGCTTACACTCGAGACAGCGTGACAGGCATGACGGGCCGAATGCGGAGAGACGCTATCCTCGTCTTGTGAATGGTGCTCAACTCTTGAACCCGTTCTCCTTGGAAGAAGCCTGGAGAAACCCCAGACACACAACCGAGGTCCTGACGTGTTTACCCACTGGAAACGTAACGTTACATGCGATTGCGGAGGCATTAAGGGGGAAATGGGGCAATGCCCCATGGGGTCCGTGAGGGATGAGGGGATAAGCAAGACAAATGAGGGGATTAGCTCGTGCGGGGTTTGTTGGTCATGATTATTCTCTCCCGGATTGGTTCGTCCCATGCCAAGGAAACCTCTGTCCTTGAAACGCGTGATTCGGACAAAGCCCGACCGTCTCCAACCGTTCTTGGCGTCACTCTTTCTTTCGTCATCTAACGGTTGTGAACAGGCAGGCTGGGATGTTGGAGTTGGGGTCATTCAGGCAATCAAAGCTCATGTCGGTTGGGGTAACTCGTACTGGGGGGAAGTGATTATCCTGGATCAACAAATACCCGGAGCCTTTAACCAGTGGCCAGACTGACGTACGATATGTGTTAGAGGGTGTCATGAAAAGAAGCTTGGACTCGTTATTGAGGAAACTTCTCTTCCGGCACAATTGGACGTTCTAGATGTGAGCGTTAAAATTCCCGCCAATAACGTTTTGGCGATTGTGAAAACACACTACTGTATCTCCAGAAGTCTAAGTATGAGCAACTGATGCTAGGAAAGAGTGACTTGCAAGGATTATATTCGTTCTCCAAGTCTTCCATGTCTTCCTGGGGTCGCTTGTCTTGAGCCCCTTCTCAATGTCAGTGATGCTACCCTAGAGTATCAGAACACCACCCGAGAGCTAATGTACTATTCGTCCAGCACTTCGATTCCTCGACGTTTCTCATCGAAGTCGTTACCAGAGCTGACTGTTTAAATCACTACATCTCATTCAATGTCTACTATAATCTAGGAGACCTCCTTTCTGATCCAGGATCATGCTGTCAGAGGTGCCAGCTAGCTTTCCTGCCACAACTTGACACCCGCAAGAAAAGAATATGAGATTGGGCCAGACAGCCTCAACACCATATGTTATGAGTTATTAACGTGAGCTGATTGTACACTTATTGAATGGATGATGTACGTTGACACTGATCAGAGACCACGCGACTGGACAGCGGAAGAGTTCTTCTGATGCGGGGAACGGGTAACGGGAAGTTCCCGAGCGCGAACAAACACAACGGACAGCTCTCCGAGGTGGGGAACCATGAGGAGCGGGCGCAATGGAGAATGGGGCCCCGCATGACTCGCCATGACATACTCACGCAGGCTTGCTCTCCACTTGTTCTTGGTCTGGACCATGGCCTCATGGTCAATCAAGGAAGAAGACGTCTTATGGACGACCGAGGTTCCGAGAAAGCGCACCTGATGATGTGTATTTAAGCGACAAGGACTTCTGGCTGCCTGCATTTGCCCCAGGTTCAGAGCCATGATCCTGGGCCATGCCTGTACTTGGGAGTTGGTGGTGTCTAAGCTGCAGTGACAGACTTGCCACGGCACAAAGCCATGATAAGAAGATAAGATGGACGTGGAATTAAGAAAGAAATGTGTTTAAAGGGTGGATCTGGGGGCTAATTTTCCGAGCCGCTCCGGCTTCCTCGGCCGGTCTCGAGATAGCGGCACTCAACGATAACCGTGCTGACGTTTCACCTTTGTGCCGTGCCATGTCTCTACTTTTTTGACAAAGAAGAGGGACTTGTAGATTGAAAAATGATTTATTAATTAGGCTAGAGAATCATACAAGTTGTAACGCCATACCCATCCCTCCTTTAGCCACCCTTCCCGCCAACCAAGTCTATTTAAGTACCCTTGTTTCAGAGCTTGCTTCGCTAAGATCATGATCCTCGGGATTGGTGTAGACAATCTCAGTCTCCACCTGCTTGCGAATGCCACCCCATTGAGCATCACTCTTGTATGTGTCTCCCCCAACTGAATCATCATTGAGGCGGACATGACCCGTTCGGTTGGCCGTGATCAGCGTGGCCATTCTCACATTGGTCACTTCGTCATGAGGCCTGTGTGGATATCGGCCATCCGCTGCCCTTGTGCCGTCGCGATCTCTTGCGCCCTTGACAATGTGACCCAGAAGGGAGGCAACGTTCATCTCAATGTAGAGTTTGAGAAGATAAGTGAGTTGATGGAACTGCACATAACTGCGTAAATGTGAGCCTCGTGATTTCAGGACGTGAGCAAGGTTTCTTACACAACAGGACTCGGGAGGAACGTGGCTCCCATCAAGACACAGTCCAGTGTCACCGACACAAAAACCATGGCGACGTTGAAGTGAAAGAGTTGCCAATACTTTGTCAAACCACCAGCGATCAGTCTCGAGCGAACAAGATAGATAAAGTAAAGGTTGAGTCCAAGATCGACAATCAAGAAAATGGCCTTTTCGGTTCGATCCCAGATGATGTTGATTTCTTCGTACAGGTGAGAGATTTGTAGACGTGCCGGGACCCAAATGCAGAAGCCACTCAAGTTGATCAGGCTGACGATGATGGCGACTCCCCATTTGATCTTGTTGACGCCTGTCTTGTTGGGAAGCAGGAGGGCTATTCGGTTGATGATAATCTGTAAAATGAACTGGATCTGCATGCTCCAGAAGACGACTGCGAGTAGACATGTTAGGGACCGGCTTATCGGAAGTGAGGTCACGGTCGAATTGCTTACTGATGAAGAAAAAGACCCAGAAACTGAGTAAAGCAAAGGGTCAGCGTAATGTCTAAGGAACGAGTGGAGTGGAAGACAAACCTTGGTGGCACAATACCCTTAAGCCAGATATAAGTGACGAGACCCATACAATTACATCCAATCCATTCTAGCCAACACATAATGATATAAGCACTGAACAGTCTCCGCCTCCTGTACGCTCCAAGAGACTGTTTGAAGGCGAGTGAGGCTGTGAAGATGGCCGAACCCAAGCTGAATCCAAAGATGACACTGGCGATGTTCATCTCAGTCTCCCCCGGCACCTCATTCTTGTACCACGGGGGAATAAGAAAACCGGTCATATTTTCGATTCAAGCCCGGATGAGGATTGTCAAAGTGTAAAGTCCGAATGTGATCTTTGATGCTGTGCCCGAACGATTCCCAACGGAATGTACAAGATGAAATAAAAAGAACGAAAGAAATACAATGGCTAATCGCTTGCTGAGTCCATCAAGAAAAATGTGAAGCAAACCTTGAAGGATCAGGCTCGAATATAGGTCACAGCCGTGTTAGGGATGCCCCCTGATCAGCAAACTCTCTGGCCTTGTTTAGTGAACCTGATGCAAATGAATAGCGTAGTACTACTCTACTAGCAAATTGCGGGGAGCGAGCCGTTCCTACACCTTGGCCGCTATCTTACTGGTGTGCAGACCATTCCCAGCTGCCTGGCTGCAACGGTGATTTGCCTCTAGACCTTGAACATGTCTAGCACTGGGAGTCGTTCATGTAGAAAGTGGGCTGACATTCTGGGATCCCCCCGCCTTCCGCGGCGCATTCTAGACCTTGGTGGGGAAGATGACGATCGTCCGGCCTTTGCTAGTCAGGACATGGGGGGAATATTTGGAACTTGTGCCAGATGCTGGCACTGGGGATAGCTTCCGTTTCGACTCGTACACGGGGTCTAAACGCTAGTGGTCTGGGGGAATCTTTGTGTTGGCCTTGGAGGCATCACGCATTTCTTGCGATTGGACATTCGGCAGATGAAAACCCTGGGATCGACGCGTTTGGGTTCGGCGGAGTGTTGAGCCTGAGTCGGAGAGTCATGACTCAGTATGTGTAGATGGGTAGTGTCAATCTGTGTGGCTTCAGTCTTTGAGCCATCTGAGACGGTGATTAGGTAACGTCTTGGCTATGAGAGAAATGAACTTGGCTTACCGTAGCCTAACATGAGAATGATATTATGCTAAGGGCCAACGGTCTTGAAGACGGAACGGGCGGAGCACTTGTGGACTTGGCAGCTCCAGAGGGTCCAGAAGAAAGCGTTCACGATCAGTAGACCGTACGTAATGGCCTTGTTCTGTCTTGAGGCGTATGTTGGCTTAACAAGTGCCGGTATTAGTGCATGAATGGCGATCTTTAGAACCAACACATCACCCATCCTTCAGTCATCAGCCAGGGGAAAAAGAGACCAAACTGATGGTCTCTGCAGTAGTCCGCCTTGTTCTTTGGTGCCGATCGCAAGGGTAATACCGGGGCAAATGGCCTCTTTGATCTGGTCGGTTCAATAGCCCCCGAGACCGTGCGGAGGCGTTAAACTTTAGCGCGCCCTCATCATGTTGCACTTAAGAAGGGAACCGGAGTGCTTGGCAAAAGGGGTTGGTGCGAGGCATGCAGGGACAAATGTTAGGGGAGCATCGCGAGGTGATAGATACTGACAAAGGGTCGCATAGATGGTATGTGTCTTTTGAAGAGGCTTGAATAATCAACTCTAGCCTATACTTCAAGAAAGTACAAGCGTCGAGATCTTCAAACGGAATGCATCGAGTCCGTCAACTAAACAAGGGGAACTTGACGATACGGCAGCCGGCATGTGGGGCACGACTCTTTAGCTCCGGGGCCGGAAGCGTCCCCCGAGTGATCGATCGTCGCTCGTCAGGGGCACTCGCTTGCGGGGGAGACGCCCTAGTGTTGCAAATTGGGACATCCGCGCAAACCTACGCCTTGCGGTCCCTGCCGTACCCGAAATTAGCTACTCTGTGTTATTTTCACGAAAAAAGTTGGTTAACGGCCAATTTTGCGATGAGGCTGTTAAGGATGCCGAGATTCGGGTTGTTGCGGCAGATTCTTGGTGTCGGGAAGGGCAGCAGGTGTTCCTACAGGCCAAGCTCCCGATCGCGTCGAGATAACTGAGCCGCCGCGGCTTCATCCGCACACTCGAGATGATTCTGGCCCATTGCCGACGTGGCTGGCAGACGGTTCTGTGCCTTGCATCAATGGAAGGATGGCTTGTGTCATGTGTCATTGGTTCTCATGTCAGTATCCCATTGCTACAGTGCCCATTGCGACCGTGATTACAACTGTCTTGAAACGGGGTGTGGGTTAGCCAATACCACAACGAGAACGATGTATCATCGCTTAAAATAAAGTTTTACGAGCATAAAAGCCTACCATATGTCCAAGTCAGGGGAAATAGCAATCATGGAAGCAGGAGAACAGACAATGTGTCGTTTGACTATAGCCAAAAGTAGGGGTCCCCCAAGCCATGCAGATGCCAAATTGAGCTTTATTGCTACCACATGATATCCATTCGCTTCAACAGGTTCACACGGAGTGGACATGTATGACGCAGTGACATGCTCGCCGCGGAACAATCACATTCATCACATCCCTTACTCGCCTTGTTCTCGCGAACGGCGTCCAACCCAAAGATGACACGTCGGTAAATGTCCCATGATATTGCTGACTGAGAGACGACAAATTATCCGCCATTACAGCTCATATTCAGACACGGAACCTTGCAAGGCTCAGCAATGTCAGAGCCTTTCATTGATAGACACCAGATATAGCTTTCGCAGCACTGGTATCAACGGGTTTAGGGCCTCCATACCCGCCTAAAACAGCTAGCTTTTCCACCACGGGAGGAGATCCGAGCAACGGCACTTAACCAAGCGGGCGGCGAAGTGAGTGGAGGGCGGCAGGTGGAGATTTCTAGAAGCCGGCGTGATATTGCCGGTTAGAGACGGATTTGACTGCTCATATCCAAGCTCCATAAATAAGGCTGAATTGAAGGGATAATTCTGAAAGGACGGAGAATTATGTGGATCCAGAAGGTGGCTAATCTGTAAGGCCACTGCACCTTTCCAACTTCTCTTTATGCTAGTGATTCCAAAGAGAGGCTTTGGGTGCCCTCCTGGCGTTCAGCTGGCCGAACAACCAACGCGGAACCCCTGATCAAGGCTGAATATTGGCGTGGAACACTGTCGACTTGTTCTCATTTGTAAGTTGGTTACAGTGAACCGCGTATCAGGCCTGTCAAGGTGACAGGGGGCTTTCTGCAGCCTTGGCAAGTCCAATTTCCACCGAGTGACGGCGTTGCACGCGTACTTGATGCAGGTGAACTACAGCGGTATTTACCGTATATGTTTGACACCAAGCTCAAAATCTTTGTGCTGCTATTAACTACCTAAGCTAATACAATAGCACTCTTCTTACGTGGATACATTAACTAGGGATTCAAGAAGACTTTAGACTATTGACACTAAAAACCTAGACGGTGCTTACAATGGTAAAGGCTAAAACGCGTCGATTTCTGCCTCATTTGCAATATGTGACTCGTAGCTACATAGTGTTACACAATAACAATTTTGCATCCTCATTCAAAGGCGCCACTACATTCGAGTAAAAGTCTTGACAAAAGGAGTCATGCCCGAAACTGTCGAGCCGTCCAATGACATTGTCGAGACACCACTTCGCAGCAGCAGTAGAGTTGTTTGATCCGTAGACTGGTAGTCTACATATCAAATTACTAGCATGCTCGTATATCGACAAAACATTGTTGATATCGGGACTTCGGATCATCTCCGGCGTGCTTTTAGTATCATGTAACGCCAGGTTGATTAACAGAACACCTAGCGAGAGAAGAACCGTATTCACTCTTGCAAGACATTGCGAAGATGGGTTCTTATCTGGCTTTCGGAGACTTTTGACGATGAACGGACGATAGATGCTGGTCTGAGCTTCGTGGAAGAACATTATATCGTCAATGGTGATGATGTCTGTGACTCTAATTGCAGAGCGCTTATGACGAGTGCAAGTGATAACTCGAGCCTCTGTGCGAAGTCGAGCGGCGGAAGATTGGCCTGCTCACCCACGAGGGCGGCTCGGAGTGCGGTGCAGTGAACGCTAGCCGGAAGCGCAGGATACGTCGCTGGGTATATGCCAAACTTTGTCTCGTGGTCCCAGAGGGTATCGGCGACATATCCACAACAATCTAGCGACAGACTCGATTCTGATATATGAATGACCGAACATAGATCTGATAGTAGACTTTTCTGCTTCTCATGACATTGGTTGGTCGATTTGGTAGAGGTATTTGTCTGGATCGGTTGGAGAAGGAGATGTTGTTGTCAATGGACTAGACTCCTTGATACCAACCCAACTAAAAACGCCAGAGAACCGTACAGACTTCTTTTTCTTGCTTGATTGTGTATCCTTGGGTAATGAACACGGAGAAGCACGATTGAGAGGTGTTGGTAGATGTGTTGATGGAGGAGCTGTTGACGATGAGGCAGATGAAGATATCAAATTCCAATACTAGTACCTCTGGGGAGACGGTAAATCTCAACAGGTCGAACTTGATCAAGTCCTCCGAGATATTGTGGATGGCGTGGATTGTCTCCTGCGATTCTCCATTGCCATCAGAAACCCGGCTTCACACGACCGGAATAAAGCAGAGACTCTGGAAACAAGCCTATCATTCTACGAGGGAGTCGATATACGCCATGTCCAAGAAAAGTTCCTCAAGACTAGTGAGGCTCTAGCTAAACGCCTAGGGCGTGCACTCACGCGGCGACGCCAGTACTTCCACTATCGGGAGAAGCATCATCAGCAGCTCTCCGAAGGGCTTGACCAAGGGCTAGGCCTACGGCATATCCAAGAGACAGAAAAGACGACGATAGCCTCATCTATTCCTGACCATCTCAAGGCAGAGAATGTTCCTAGTGACTTCAAAGGTATATCTGAAATTGATGATATGTGGTTAGAGGTGTCTTGCACTTCGTATGCATCATCGACCACTGACGTGGGAAAGCTTCGGGTATCGCCTCTACCAATTGAGCATGAATATGGTCCATTTCTATGCCCGTTTTGCCACATCATCATCTCGGCCAAGATAAGACCAGAGTGGAAGTATGCGGATCTAGGCACTTGATCTAATATGTTTGTTATTAACAAGGAGTAGAAAACATGTGTTTGGCGATTTGCGACCATACCTCTGTCTTTCCGATCTGTGCCCGGCACCAGACCAGCAGTATGAATCTCATGTTGGTCGCCACCTGGAAGATTTGGCTTTGTTTGCATTGCCAAAAACAGTCGAAGCGGACGATGATGACTCGAATGATTTGAAATCACAAGGAAGCCATGAATGGAGTACCGAGTTGGCGATGAGTGACGCTATCAATCGAATGCAAAAAGAGGATGATGATGATCTCTCCTCACAAATCATTGAAGCAGGCGGTGATCTTGAAGCTAAACAGCTGGGAACCGCAACACCTGAGCTGAAGGTCATGGACAAGCTCACTGAGCGAAAAAGACGCTCAGAAATAAAGGAATTATTCGATCAGCTCCTGGACCTCGTCATCATGAAGCCGAACGAGAAAGCATCTAAATGGGAGATTTTGACAAAAGGTATGTTCGCCAAGAGTGTACATGTCCTTAGCCAACCTTAGATAGCAATTTCAGAGCATCATCAAAAGATAGACGACAATAAGCGTCTACAAGGACAATGTAATAATGTGATGGCAGAAAATGAGATGCTCCGTCGAGAGATTTACGGAATGAGAGCAGCGAAAGGCTAGACTAAGGAACCGCTTATAGCTTGCCTCCTTAATCTAGGTATCCTAAGCATGCCGGGATAACTTTATCGGTCATGAATGCTTCACCTTCTTAGTTGGCTTGCTAGATAAATCCGGCAAGGGGGAATCTCAATGAAGGTGTTGAGGAAAGCACTGGCATATCGGTATAGTCGCTGAGCTAGAAGTATAATAGACCCAGGAATGTGCCTAATGCGCGTGAAACATAGATAGGAGATGTAGAAGGGATAAGAAGAAGTTTAAACAGATATGATATGCAGGTCATAGCCACTCCGCTAATTAATCCTTAATTTCGTATTTTGGCTTGGCTACTTGGGCCGGTGTGAACGCTCCCGTCGGCCTTTATCTCAACACTCCGCACTCCGCAGATCTCGCCCCACGATCTGCAAATTAAAAGCCACACAATTCTTACGTGTTTCGGCCTAACACTGCCACTATTTGCTGACAGACTCGTATCCCGGGACAATTCATAAATGAGGAGATGTTCCGAGACAGTGAGGACCCCCAGCTTCTCCCTGTACTCTAGACCACCAGGGTCTCATCTTCTTAGTTTTTCGTCCCCACTCTCAACTGGGTTGAATCGAGCTTTGAGTCTCGATATGGATGTTCCTTTGTCCAATCCTGGTGCTAATGCGACAAGGGCGTCAATCCAGTCAGCCAATGCAGTCCGTTGGGCCCCGAACAAAAGAAGCAGGGTTTGTGATCGATGCATTAGGTGAGCCCGGGTTGTTGAGTCGTGAGTGTCTCACGCATCAACTAACGCACCAGAGGCAAAAGATCAAATGTACGCATTGGTCCATCTGGGCACCTAGCAAGGTAGCAATCTGACCGTTAATGTGACCTTTTAGGTGATCTGAATCAACCTCGCTGCTCAGCTTGCGAGGCATGTGGCCATGCTTGCTCCTATTCGCGAACGCGCAAGAAACCAGGACCCATTAGGGGCTCAAGCCGACGACCTGGCCGCCCAGCACCGACGGCATCTCCCACTGATTCTTCTTCAGACCTTCAGGACACAACTGCCATAGACGAAAGTTTCGACGTAACATGGGATATAGCATCTACGCCAGAGACCACGGGAGAGCCAAATCCTTCGGTCCAATCACTGAACACATTGTCCGAAGCGACCAAGATCCTGAATGCATTCTCTTCGCAGCTTTCTGAAGAAGCACGTCATGGACTGTAAGCAACTAGGCCGCTTGCACTATTGGATCAACTCTGACATTAAAACCAGGGCCCACACCTTTGCGTCTACAGTGAACGCATCGTTTCCCTTGTTCCCCTTAAACACTTTCCCCGCCCAGCTAAGAGGAGGAGAAATATCAGAGCTATTGACATCAATTGTGTACGCCATCTCTGCTAAGCTCACCGGAACATCCCTACACATGGACCTCGACGCTGCGTTAAGCTCGCTAGTTGAGTCCTCGACTGCACAGACCCCGAGAATCTCCGAGCCCAATGCCCTCGACGAGTGGCGAACCGCCTGTCTACTGGCTTGGTATGGGTTCTATCAGTACCAAGGCCAAAAGATCGATGACTGTATCTCAAACCTGATTCGCAAAGCATACCACATTGGTCTCCACCAGATCGACAATCTGTCTAACTTGTCCACCTTTGGCTGGGATCTTCTGAGCGAAAGGGCTGCCGAAGAATGGCGTCACGTATGGTGGAGTATTTACCTGCTGGACACTCATCTGAGTTATTCAACAGCAACTCCTACCCAGATACAGCCTGACAGTATCGGCACAGCGCTGTTGCGAGGAGACTTGACCAAAACAACAGCCAGCGTGCGAAATGGCGCCAAGACACTCATCCCCACCGACCAGGCCGATCTGTGGAAGGTGATCCAAGAAATTGTCGCTGTCAGTGGTAGAGACATTTTCGGCCTTCATATCGCGGTCAACGCATTGTTGAAAGAAGCCATAGCAGTCCATGGCCGTGGCAGACAACATCCTCGCTATCCAACCCAGGAGAGAATCTCAGAGCTGGAGGATTGTCTCTGCGGCATTCGATTATCACTGCCTTTCAACTACCTGCGGATGGCGCGTGATGTGGCCGGCGGCGAATCAGTGGCCGGCTACCATTGCCGTCTGTTGACTATCCTCAAGCTCCAATCAACTCAGCTGGTTCTCAGCCTTCCTGGCCGTCAACTGGATGAAGCCCGGTTTCAAGCTCTCTGGAAGAAAAATCTCGAGACCTGCAACCGCCTATTCGAGATAATATGTCACCAGGATATAGACTGTGCCTTCACCAGTGACCCGGAGCTTTGCATCGTTGTGATGGGCATGCTTGCGCTTATGCACTTGCACAACATATCTAGCGGCATCTCAAACTCGCCACCGTCGACCCGCCGGCAGGAGGTTCTTCGCGTGATTTTACAGAAACATGCAAAGCAATGGAAGCTGGCTCAAATACTGCTAGGTAAGCCATTCGCCTACAGGGTTCATGGGCGCGTTCCTTGCTGACAGTCACGGGGAAAGATAGCTACGATGGTCTGGTCAAGAGAATATCGGCGCCCTTGGGTCTTGATGATCTATTTCATGTCCTCGACCAATTTCAGGGTCCTCTACATCTAAAATGGGCGAACTTTGTCAGATCAGACCATGATGAGGAATCGGGGAGATGATGGAGAAGGGATAACTGAATAGATTTGGCTCAAGTTTCAGAACACTCTAGGACGTGCATTCATTAAGTAAAAGATGAGTAAGCGAAAAGAAATACCAGTTAGACCATGTTCGGATCCAGACTTGATAGGATAGTGTCCATAGAGATATCAATGGACGGAATGAGTTGACGTTATGTGAGACATTTGTGCCTTGCGCGAGGACTGCCAGAGCATGCCTACCCTACTATTAGAGAACTATCTGAACCTCTATAAAACTCATATAAAAATAAGTTAATCCCTTATCTTAATTTGGTGAGCTTGACCAGAGACTAATCATAATTGGTCTATCTCCCAGCTCAGTATACAATTGCAGTCCCCGCGCAAGCAAGGAGGTGGCCTGCCCGTGTGACCAGGCTCTAGTATTTGGCTTCATGTCAGCCAGTTCCCACGGCGTGCTCATCTTAGGGGGCTTGAATCATACCGGATCATGGCGTAACCATGGTCGACTGAGGCTGAAGGAGGGGCTTCGCAGCGAAGGTACGGCATGTCTGCCTTATGAAAATAAGGTTAGGTACCCCTGTAAATATTTCTTACACGCACGGTATTGATAAGACCTTTTCACCGAATACAATGAGTCTACGGAACATTTCCAGAATAGGAAATCATCCAGTCGGCATCGGTCTTCGGTCGTCGGCCCATACCCCGAGACCGGACCCACTGCCGCCACCTCATTGGACCTCGGCCGTTTAAGCATCCAAACAAGCTTGATTGCCATGTCCGGTCGTTTATGTCCGAACTCCAAATGCCCGAGTTTCTGGATGCCAAGGGCGGCTTGCGAGGCCCCTGTCAGACATGATTTGAGGCTCCAATGCCGAGTGAGTCTCTTGAGTAGGGCAATTGATGTCTGCGCCTCGTGGTCCGCGCGGAAACGCGTCACTTTTGACTTTTTCAAGTCTTGTTGTGTTGGAGATTACATGATCCAAGTATAGAAAAAGTGATTTACTGTCCTTGATGCTCCTCACAGTTGGAGGTCCTCATTGAATAGATAAGGAAGCGTTGTCTGCACTTCTTTCTGGGGTCCAACACAAACAATCCCATTTCCTTCACCAGCAATCTCCATCTTCAACTACCCTCCTTTCCCGCCATGTCGCGTCTTGTCCCGACCCTCGCCGTCTTCCTCGTCCCTGTGGTACTTGGGGCAGCCACAATTGGTCTGACCTACGCACCGTGTTACGCTACTGTATGCCCCGAAGACTACCTCGACAAAGAAACAAGGTATCACTTGGCCATATTTTACGGCATGCTTCTGATCCTGAGTTTTGCACTTTACTTGCGGTCATCGTTTCGCTCTCTCCTTGCTATGAGTAGCCATCGTTCAGCTGAGCTTCCGCTGCTCCGCAAATATGTTACTGTCGGGGGCGCTGCTACCACAGCATTCATCGCTGCTGCCGCACTGGCTACGGCTGCGCTTTGGTGGCCCGCTCTGTGGAAATATTGGGGCGACAGAACAGATCCTCTGGACTGGGACTCTGCCAAGATTCGTCTCACTGTCACTGGTGTAACAGGTCACTACGCAGACATCCTTTTGGGCCTGTTGATCATACCAGTCTCGAGGGATAACTTGGTGGGACGAGCCTTCAAATTACATCAGAGCACGTTGCTGTTTGCTCACAAAGTGGTTGGCTATCTTTTTTTGCTAGCAGTGCTAGCTCATGGAGTTGCCTACGCCGTACGTTCCCTCGGACTAGAACTAATGAATTCGTTGACGTGCTGACTTTGAGATTAGATGTATGCGCTCGATACCTCCGGCGATGGCGACGAGAGAAAGACCGAGGCCTTCGGTACAGGCAACCCAACCATGACCCTTAAGGAAAGCGAAGAACGGGGCGAGTGGTACTCCTCTACCACGTACAATGGAGCTGCTGTCCTTGTCGTCATCATCTTTATTACGCTTACCGCCTCTGCCTGGATCCGACGACGCAACTACAACTTCTTCTACTACACTCACGTTTTCTGCGCGATTCTGATCTTTATCGGCGCCAGCATCCACGCCAGCACAGACTTCTATCTGTTGCTACCTGGTCTGTCTCTGTGGCTTTTCGACTGGGTTTCTCGACTATTCCGTGGAGAAGGTGGCGGGTTGCATGAAAAGGTCAACGCGACGTTGGAGAATGCGGGCAGTGGCTGGTACAGGCTATCGCTTCCTGTTGTCACACGCAGCATGAAAAGCTACGATGAAATCCCAGAGTCTCACGCTGAAACTGGCCTTTCGTCTCTTGCTCCCCTCAAAACCTACTACATCAACATTCCTTCAGTCAGCAACCTTCAGAACCACGCCTTCACGGCGGCTGTCCCAACTTCTAGCAGTGCAGGACCTGTATTTCTCTTTCAAAGAGCAGGCAAGGAATCGAAGAAGAGTCAGAAGGAGTGGACATGGAAGGTTGGAGCGTTGGTTCCTCATCCAAACGACTTTGCCACGTTGGAAGTGCGCCTGGAGGGTCCATATGAGCCACGAGACACCAAGTTCCAGGAAGCTTCTCACATCATCTGTGTTGTGGGTGGAACTGGAGTCACCGGCGCTTACAGTCTCGTCACTTGGTGGTTGAGATTTCGAGCGCAGGATACCAATAGCAGATTCAGTCTTATCTGGGCTCTTCGGCACGGGGAACAAGCGAATATCAACGAATGGCGCCAACTCGAAGAAACAGCGGCATCGGTTCCGAATTTGACACTGATCACTCATATCAGTTCCGTGGATGGCAGGATGGATCCGGGCAAGCTGATCCGGCAGTCTCTTACCCTCGATCACATCTCGAGTGCATTTGCTGCAGATGGGGAACAAACCAAAGACGCCAGTGCCTGGATTTATAGCTCAGGTCCGGATGGTTTGATCCGAGCAACGGAAGCGGCTTGTGTGAAGATAAGACATGAGATCAGGGAAATGAGAGGCAAATCTCACGTCAAAGAGATTGGCTGGTACATGGCGAAGTGGGAGGTTTAGACAGTATTGTAATGCTGTTGGGATGAGTTTCCACTTGGCAATTTCACTTTGTATCGACAGGTTTTTAGATAAGGTTTAATCTACAATATTTATTCTGCAAACTCCTTTAATTACCTAGTTACGCCCAGGCTTTCCAGACTAAAGATCATTCTACCCCTATTGACGGAGCTTAATCAACCAACGCGGATAACCCCGCAGTAGGGGTTGTTGGTGTTATCCCCCCCTTTTTTCGCTAGCACGTTTGACTATCTATTGGCCTGGTAATGCTATATGGTGGGCTTTTGTATCAAGGAGTAAGCATGCTTGTGTACTTGATTTGTTTCCTAATGATCAACTCTTTCTACTTGTTCAATGACGTACTTGTCAGACACATAATCAAGAAACACACAGTGAGACAGATAGCAACATCAAAACCCAATGCTGCAAAACACCATGATCAGCTCTTATGTCAAACGTGTTCATGCTACGGGGACCTGACGAGACTAGGCAAAGCATACGGATTAGAATTACGGCAAGTTGGTATTGATGCATCATAATAGGTACCTAAGCACTAGATGAGTCTCTCCTCGAGGTAGTTGAAGCCTCTTTGCTCTCCACTATGATACTGGTTTGCTTCCTGATACCGGGCGACATGATGAGAATGTTCTCGGTACTGTCATCCAGATGGGCTTCAGTCGAGACGTGGGCTTCGTGATCAACCCCACTACCAAGCGGCCTCATGCCAGACTTTTTGCTCTTCCAACTCTGCAAAGCATACTGCGAGTTCAAATTGTATGAAGCCGAAGAAGTGGCCGCTCTCGACTTTTCGGCAAAGTACTTGACAAGGGGAGAGAGTGTCGGTATAGAGGCGATGATGATGCCCGTATTCGTTTCGATGATTGACCATAGGATGGCTTTCGAGGAGTCGAGGTAGTTCTTCAAGTTCTGGATGGTTTGTATTCGGATGACTTGGACGATGGTGACAAATATGCCGAGACCGAAGAGGCCAAGAAGGACAATCTTTTTTCGAAGCTGGATTTGAGACTTCAGGAGGGCAGGGAACGGTAGGACTAAGCTGTAAAGGAGTTAGCTGGGGTTAAAGAGGGAGGAGGAGTATTGCATAGAGATAATTACACCATGACATCGAATAGAATCGTCAACGCGGAAAAGCTGAGATAGAATGGCACGGCGTCTGCACAGTGGCCACCTGTGATGCTCGGATCCCATTGCTTGGCAATCTGTCGACAGCAGTCAGCGAATGATGTACTATAGAGAATGTCATCTTCATACCGGAGTGCAGAGAAAGAGAAAGACACAGATAAAGGCAATGTGCGCCATGCTGATGATGACAGCGACGATAATGGTCGCAATGCGGTAGTTGCCAGGGAAGACACGCATGTACGATAGAAGCAGACTCATTTTAAAGCCATAGATACCGATAACATAACTGATTAGGACAGTTAGGATATATATCTCCAGGACGCTCCGGAAATACCTACAATGGTGCTCCTATGTATTGCACCTAGTTCCCGTTAGTCGTCCAGAAACACCAGCGAGAGGGATCGTCGCTTACCAGGCCAAAGGTGTAGACATTCTCATCAGGCATGTCATCCAGGCTCTTGAGACCCAGCCCCCATGTTGTTTCTTTGCTTCTATCAGTATCGAGAAACGTTCGATGGATGAGGACGACGTACGGATAACGGTAGCCGTTGTGTATCCACAGATGCCAAGCTAAACACCAAAAGTCAGCCAAGATAACAAACAGTGGAGAGAGAAACCAACCCAGGCAATGACAATCACCCAGTCATCTAACAGCGAACCAACGTCAGCAATCCAATACACCAGTTTGTTGGTCGAGCCCTGCTTACCGTGTCCAAACGACTTGATCAAGAACCCTCTCACATAGAGCCTCAGACAAACGATGCACAGCGAGAGAGCCGTAAACCCTGTCGTTATACCCGTGATCTTCGGTCCATCAGTTGTCGTCCCCTCTGCTGTGTTGCGGACCCAAGCCATTGTACCACCACGTTGGGATCTGCAAGGAAGAGATTGTGGAGATGGGAATGAAAGAGTCCAAACCAACAGAGGCAGAGGGGGAGAAGCTTCTATTTGGTTGCCAAGTTCAGTTCGTCACCCAGAAAAATGTGGCAAAATCCTAGGTTTCATCCCTGATGGCACTTTTGGGTACTCCGTACCACATCGTGTTTCCATGACATCCACTGCAGAAGAAATTGGCATCCCACGCCCAAGTCCGTGGCTTGAAGATTAACAAGGAGCCCTGCGGAGTCAAAGTGCCGGGGATATCAACCCATTGCCGGCAACCCAGGGCGCGTCTCGATTCCGCTGTGGCACGTAGTATCACCGCACTTAGCATCACTCCCAGTGCCATGGATACAAGGGATGCAGATCAAATCCACAAATGAAATAATGCCTCAAAAATGACAGATTTTTTTTAAGGACTTTGCTTTGTTTGCAGAGTTGTGGCTGCATTTGGTGCTGTAAGCCGCGTCTGGGGGCCCTGAGTGTTCCCCTGTTATTTATGCAGCTAGTGGTCTGTAGAGCCAACAGACGGTTGCAGCACTTCGAGTTGAGAGATTTAATCGAGATGCTTGATCTCCCAGGTCCATGGACCGGGCGATGGCCTCTTTCGGGCAGGTGCATGAGTGATTCCAGGGGAGCAGTTCGTACGCGAAAACCTAATGCTCTATGGAGCTTTGTTCAAGTGATCTTCATCCTCACTATCAGGCCAAAGGGATGATCTGATTAGCGACCTGTCAAACCCAAGTCCATCCTCCAAATACGCGGCTACTAGAGCAATTGAGGGCTAGACTTGGTCTCTGCTCTAAAGATCACCGTCCCGCCCGGCAAGGACGGATGGCTTCCTCAGCTCCTCTATCCTGCAGGTTACATTGCTCAGGGGGGTTGGACCGCTGATCCCAGCACCAGCCTCTGGCGAGCTCCCCGGAATACAGGGCATGGGTCAGGGTCCCACGAACCAACAGATTGAATGGTCCGATTCTCCGTAATTATACTGCCGAGGTGATCCAAGCACCGGACGTCAGCAGTAGATTGCCATGGCTTGAACCAATTGTTATAGACACCTTCCGCCCACTCGAAACTCAAACCGCCATCCTCCTCCATTGGGAGTCCAACCTCACACATCCTCTTACACAATGCTGCCCCGTATTGTCTCTTCCCTGCTCCTCTTGGCCAGCGGCTGCAGCGCTACGGCGTCTTCCTACAAGCCCAGCTGCAAGTGCTTCCCCGGAGACTCGTGCTGGCCGTCTCAGAGGGAATGGGCCCGCCTCAACAGCACCGTTGGAGGGCGGCTCATTGCAACGGTTCCACTGGGAACTCCTTGCCACGACCCGCGCTACAACGCTGAAGAGTGTGCACACCTGCAGGATGAATGGCTCTATTCGTCGATCCAGTAAGTTCTCTTTCCCCCTGCATATGTCCCGTATCCATGTCCCCGGGTTAGGCTCAGCCACTGATACTACGCAGTATCGAGTCTTCATCCTCGGTGATGGCTCCCATCTTTGCCAATCAGAGCTGTGATCCATTCCAGCCCAGATCTAGGCCTTGCACCCTGGGCAACTATGTCAGATATGCAGTCGACGCCAGGTCTCCCAAGGATGTCGCTGCCGCTTTGAAGTTTGCTCAGGACAAGAATGTGCGCTTTGTGATTCGCAACACTGGCCACGACTATCTCGGCCGTTCCACCGGCGCTGGTGCTTTGGCTGTCTGGACTCACAACCTCAAGGGCACCAAGGTCTTGAACTGGAAGGACAAGCATTACACTGGCAAGGCCCTCAAAGTCGGGGCTGGCATTCAGGGCTATGAGGCGCTTGCTGCTGCCAACGCTGCCGGCCTGGTCGTTGTCACTGGAGAGTGCCCTTCTGTTGGACTCGCTGGAGGTTATGTTCAAGGAGGCGGCCATTCGGCATTGAGCACCATTTTTGGTCTTGCAGCTGACAACACCCTCGAGTTCGAAGTTGTGACCGCTCAGGGTAAGCTGATCAAGGCCTCGAGGAAAGAAAACAGCGACTTGTACTGGGCTTTGAGCGGCGGTGGTGGCGGCAACTATGGCGTTGTCGTGTCCCTGACCGTTCAAGCTCACCCCGAGGCAAAGGTCAGCGGCGCCAAGTTCCTCGTCACTGCTCCTGAGGACAAGCCGGATCAGATCTACGACATCATTGACGCTTTCCATGCGGCTTTGCCTGATATCGTCGACTCTGGTGTCATGATCATCTACTTCTTTTCCGACTCTTTCCTGCAGGTGCCTGCCATGACCGCCTACAAGAAGTCGGAGGCTGAGGCCAGGAAGATTCTTAAGCCGCTCGCCAAGTCTTTGGCTGCTCTGGGCGTTACGTTTGAGCCTACCTTCACCGAGTTCTCCAGCTACTACGAGCATTACGACCACTACTGGGGTCCCCTCCCTGCTGGCAACATTCAGGTCGGCACACAGCTGTTTGGGGGACGTCTGTTGCCCCGTTCCAAGCTCCCTGATTTCTCGCCTACTGCACGCCAGCTCGCTGAGATGGGTGTCATCTTCATCGGCGTCGGACTCAACGTCTCGAAGTTTGGAGCCAAGAACGCCAATGCAGTGCTACCTCAGTGGCGAGACTCGATTGTCCAGGTCTCCTTGACGCTCCCCTGGGACTTCAACGCTCCGTGGGAAGACATGCTTGAGACACAGCACAAGATCACTTATGAGGTCCAGCCCGTGATTGAGGCTGCTACACCGGGCGCGGGAGCGTACATGAACGAAGCCGATTTCCAGCAGCTGAATTGGCAGGAGAACTTCTTCGGTGCTAACTATAACAAGCTGCTGAAGATCAAGAACAAGTACGATCCCAAGGGTCTGCTGTATGCCACAGCAGCCGTTGGTAGTGAGACGTGGGAGGTGGCTGATAACGGTCGGATGTGTAAGGCGAGACGCTGACTCGCCGGCTGGGTAGACGAACTTTGAAGATGGACACTATGGATGATCAATACGTAATTAGCAACTGAATGCCATGCCTATCTTCGAGAGACCCATCACATCATCCCTTACCCACTTCGATTGCATGCCTTGATCTTGGTCCACCCTCAATGACACCAACGCACGGAATACGGGAAGCCCGGGGTGCGATGGAGTCTCCCTGACGCTCCATAGACGCAGGGGCTCGCATCCATGTCTAACCATGGACAGAAGGACTCAAGCGACCGGAACAGGGGCAGAAGTGCATGCCCCAGCAAAGGGGAAACAAGAGAGGAAACAATGGCAATCAACATTCACCATCGTACCTATTTCCCCGCCTTGCCGCCTGACGCGCGGTCTTATCAAGCTAGTTTAGACTCTACGGGCGGAACTTGTCAAAAGCCTTCCGCTCATCCCGCAACGGCGCGCGCCGGTTACATCGTCAACGCCTCGCCGCGCGAGACAGGACCGCAAGCGGATCGACGGATAGTTACCGCGTGTGGAGAGGACATGGCAGGGATACAGTTAAACTTTCCAGTCCCTGCCTTGTAATCCCCACTGACAAGGTGCTTCCCTCAGGGGACCCTGCAATGGCATCGTATCAGCACAGAATGGGGGAGTTCGTCCGCTTTAATTCATCTTGTCTCTCGGTACAATCCGTCTGCAAGAACGGCGATACGGGGTCTATATCTCGGCCCGATGCCCTTGGTCTCCAACTCCGCGGCGTTAAAAGACCGGACGATATCCTCGATTAGTTGCCGCGTTGATGAAACAGTCGGCTCGAGGGGGAGGCGGGTCAAGGCAGCCTTACCCCAAGATTAGCGGCCGACGAGATTCTTTGAAGACGCAATTCTCGTTCGAGTATTTTGCTTTTTCTTACAGCGAGCTTACAAAGCCAAGACGCCAACGTCATAAGCGTGAAGACTACTGCATAGATAGAGGCACTATTGCATGGGGTCATTTCAAGGCGACAAAGAGGTTGTTATAGTGTGGTTGAAGACAAACCAGACCTTGCAGGGCAAGGTAGGTGCCTTGAGTACATGAGCCATAACGTTAAGGTGTGGTGCCGTTGTGGCGGGGAGTAGCGTGGTGTAAGCAAAACCCTAGAGAACCAAGCCACCGTCCAGGTCCCAATATCACGTAAGACTTGTACCGAGAGACAACTACTTGGTTCTAGGATAATCCTTGAGGCAGAAGAAATAAAGTGCGGGGTGCGAAGCATTGAGGAATCGTGTTGGATTCGAGGCCCCTTCTGGGTGGCATTTGAGTACAGGGTAGGTAGATTGAGAGTTGCCCGTCAAGCAATGTGCTGTCGTCTCGGCTCACGAAGCACATAATACTCACGGCAGCATCCTTCAGATATTACAAGTTCACCCTGGGACAAAGGAGGAATACCTATTGTCTTGCTTCTAATTACTTGTAGCACAAGGATGAGGTAATAAAAAAAGAGTCAAGGGGAAGGTGGTTTCGCTATGGTAGACGGGTTCTGCAGGTATCTTGACAGAGTTTGGCGGATAATAGCCTCACTACAGAGGAACAAATTTCCACTATCGTATCATGTCGTAGTGCGAAGCTTTGGGCAGCCCCTTTAAGCTTTGCATGTCGATAGCGGATGCGTAAAGTTTATGTCCGCACTTTTTAGCTTTCCGACCTTAAATTAACCGCCTTCTCCTGCACGCAGATAGTAGAGCGAGTTGGATTCTGCATACTCTTTGGTCGGATCCCAATTTCTAAACCAACGGCCCCCGGAGTTTGACGAGACCGTAACATAAACATTAACTTGTTCCCAGGCGTAAAACTTGGCCTGAGTCACCACCAGAAGCATGGCTCCTTCACCAAGCAGCACAGGTCTGTGCGGCGATTGGACAGCTCAACCGAGCATTTGCACGCTTTCACCAGCTAGTATAGTTGTGGCTTGAAGCCTCTCACCTTGGACGGATACTGTGCAGACCTGAAGTGGCTGGTCGTTTCGTCAGATTCGCATTGTCCAGAAATGATGGGTGAATGGCAGGGATGCTGTTCCAGCCTCAGTCAGGTGTAACGTTGTGCTACATTGGGTACCCTGACAAAACTTGGTACGCCCGACTCAATAATTAGAAGGAGTAACTGCCACGTGGGGTTGGGTGACGACGCACTCGTAAGTATCTTAGTTCACGGGTGAGTCGATTGGCCATCGTTGACAGTCGACACGTCGAGGCATGGCACAGCGGCTTGTAACACTAGCTAGGACATTCTCCTTTACCATTCATGCCGCTGATGGGCTGGACTCATATCCTGTACGAGACGGTGAAGTCAAATTACTGTGCCCATACGACTTGAAATGGATTTAGCCTGTTAGCTCAGCTCTATTTGTACATCAGGCCTTGTGCGACCTTATCTGCTAGCTTCCGGCTCAATCCCGCCTGTCTTTCTCGCCGTTGCACGAGACAGGCGCAGGATTGGATACCTTCTGAGTTAAAGTAACACAAAGCTATCTAGATTAGAGACGGGTAATCACTTCTGTTGCCGACTGAGTCATTGCATACGTAACATCGGCAGCGAGCATGGGTAACCGACTGGAGGATATAACCTCTTTGAACATTGTGCTCTCGGATACTGTGCTTGCCTAATGCCTCTTGTGTTCAATAGCCTTGGGTAATCGCCCTGCTAGTATTACATCGGGCCCAAGTCCGCAAGTATATATGCCTCCATAACCTCCCCTCCACCATCCGCCATTCTCAGCCCGTAACCGAAATCCGGCATCATCGTAAAAGCTCACCCATCCTTGTTTTAATAACTTGACACGGAAAACCATAGCCAACATGCCCAAGGCCAAGGCCGGAGATCCTCAGGACCTAAACACCGTCAGGGTTGATACGAGTGTCGAGAGTCCCAACGGTAAGCACATTTCTCTATAAAGATGGTGATCTCCCACTCACATAAAATAGAGCTACGCAAAGCTATGGATTGGAACATTCTTTGCCATCGACTATTCAACGAAACAGACAACAATGAGGAGCCTGTCAAGCTGATTGTCCCGGATGGACACGACATTGCGGGCTACCATATCCGCCTTGGTATCCAGTGGACCATGGACGTCTCAAGCAAAGAACCCGCCGAAAAAGAGTGGAAGGAGGGTCTCTTCATCGAGCGAGACGTGCAGCTTGTGGATGAGGGGAAAGTCCTGGAGTACTGGAAGCAGCTCGGAGGAAGAGACGCCGCGTCCGGAATTCCGGAGGACTTTTGCCATGTACTTCGCATCCTTGAGAAGGGGAAGAAACCAAAGAAGGGCAAGGTCAAGTACAAGATTCAATTTGTGGGATACTCTGCCGAGAAGCGCCAAGTCCGCTCGTGGACTCGGGCACAGCTCAAGTATAACTACCCCGAGCTTCTGCAGGAGTGGGAAGAAGGAGAGAAAGCCAAATAAGGGAGAGCATAAGCTTACTCAAGATTTGTGCTTTGTGGGAGGGGTATGATCAAGATACATTGCATAATAGTCAAAACCGAACGCGCGCTCAGGAGCACACAGAAAGCCCGACTTTTTATGTTGTGCGTTTATTAAGACTGCTCATATACTCAACGTGATAAAATAAGCTGAGTGAGCTATCGCGAAAACATTAATTGCCACGATTCTAGCTGCATATGACATGATTTCTGGGTGATCGCCGTCTGGGCTTATTCGTGATCAATTCTATGCCACTGCTCAGGATTCAGGACTCTTGAATCGCCACTCAACTGCTGAGTCAGATATCTTGAATGGACTCGATTGAGTCGGAATGAGCACTCAACCGTCTCAAGATGGTTGAAGCTGCCCAAATTCAGGCTCCTGGAACTCCCGGGCTCTTCAGGAAATCCAGGAATGCCAGCTAGAACAGCTCTTTCCCATTTCAAACACACTCTAGAGTCATTAGCCTCTTTAAACAAGAGCATCTCATGCGTCCTAACAACGTCGTTACTATCCCAAAAGCCTTCGCGACGATTCAGTCTTCGCAGCAAGCCGAGGGCTTCTGTCTATATCTTCTTGGTTGACGGGTCATTCGCACGTCTGGCGATGTACGAAAGGCAGCGAATAAGTTCACCGTTGAGCGAAAAGGTTAGAAAGGTTACCGTAAGGAACGGTTGCGCTACGCTCTTCGCATCCAGCAGTGGAGCGAAGAGCGCTAGATCAGAAATGGCCTCTCCGGATAAATCAAAAGACTCGAGATTAATGTTCAACTTTCGAAATTGCCACTCCATGTGTAAATGGCGTGATTGTGTATCGTATCGGTTGGAGACCCCGGGTTGCTGAGATTGTTTCGTTGTTTCGAAACGTGAGCTGCAATTGCGGAAGCCCTCCTCAATCGCGAGACGAGGTGATGGGTGGAGACCCTCTTGTATCTGATCCGATTGAGTTTCTCTGAGTACCTGATCAACCCAAGTGGCATCTGTTTCATGGACTGATAGCTTTTGTAGCTCGTACGATGCTTCATCCACCTTGGAAGGGTTGAGATGTTTCATTTTGGAAAGAACCAGCTTCGTACCAAGGCAAAACATCAGAAGAAAATCCTTCTCCGTAAAGGAGATGACGGTGCTCCTAAACGGAAACAACATTTCGTCAAGCTACCCCGTTACCACTGACTGTTCCGGGGTTGACGGCAGAAGAGGCGGGCCTAACAGCTGGTTGCCCGCACGCAGATGTCCTTCATAACAGGTGGACAGAATTCAGCATGTCGGGATGCAGTGCATGTCGTAGATCGAGCTTGCTGATATCAAGGGCAAGCAGGCCAATGTGGTGGTGGCGCCGAGGACCTCACTCTTGCTCATCATGCTGTTAGAGCTCTACCCGGAGCCCTGCAGAACTTTGCGCATGGGCGTTAGTGTCCCACCACACGTTTCCTCCGTGGGATGCCGACCGATCCAACCTTTTTCAATAGCGGGAGATTAATTGCGACGTGCAACGGCCACTAATTAGTTACCTACCTACGTTGCGATCATCTACAAACACCCAGAATCACACAATCAGGGCCAGAACCCCTTGCTCTTGGTCTCAATTCTCGTCCAGCAACTGAACGAGGCGAGCGAGGAAGCGGTCTCGGGTCCGGAATGGGCATTTTTGCGAAGACAATGACGCTAGTGGCTGGTGTGGAAGTAACTGAGGCCGGCTGATAGCCGGTACATCAGCGGCTGAGTAGTTTATCCGCAGACAGAAGTACTGTCTATCTGTCTCACTAATCTCCTCTCATGCTGGTCTTTGCCCTACCTACGGAGGCATAAGACATATAAAAGGAGTTCGACGCCAGTTGTGGTTGTCGGTTGAGACTAAGACTTGTCACAAACGTTGCATTTTTGGCTCCGAATTTCCTTAACCTAATACCTAATCACTGACGTTTTCTACTCTCTGCATTTTGCCCTATAAACCAACATCCGATATTACCATTCAAACACACTCCTCCTAATCAAAGATGCCCTCTAACCGCCCCAGCCGTTCACCGACACTCCCCGCATGGTATCATCGCGTCCTCGACAAAGACACGGTTAAGCCTGAAGACTTTGACCAAGATCTCAGAGCAACACACAGATGTTTCAAGTGACGAGGAGAATCGTACTGGTACTCGCGAAGGGCCCGAATATGATTACTACTACGAGCTCAAAGCGAAACGAAGCAAGCGCAAGGAGGATCACGCAGTTGAGAAGATGAAAGAGAAGGCTAGTCGACTTGAAGTTCGAAAGTCAAACCAAGTCAAGCAGATCTTTGACAGGATTCAGAAGGAGGAAGCCGAACATCCCAAGAAGCCCTACGAGAAAGAGGACATGTTTGTCCGAGGCAAGCGGTTCGGCCTCTACTCGGCCGAATTCGTCAAATATGGCTACACTGGAGACTCCACGGACAGGATGCCAAGAACTGTCGAATTCTACCATTACCCCGACGTGATATACGGCCCCATGCCCAAATCGTTCCGTAAACCGTGGTACGACGACGGGGAACTCGAAGGCCATGTCGACATTGACAGCGAGGAGCATCATTTCCAAGGCTTGATATCCACCCGACGCGGAGGTCTCAAAAAGTTGACCGTTAAGACTACAAAGGGAGAAAAGCTGGTTTTCCAGTTTCTTGACAGTGACCATCTCATTTTGAGGACGAGTCGCGACCTGGCCTTTGCGGACCCTCGGCCGGGGGAAGATGCTGCCCCCGAAACTTTTGTCTTTTATGGGATTGCAGAAGGCGAGTCGACGGGAACGCCAGATATGTGGAATGATGAAGAAGAAGATTCAGATGATGGGTATGGATGGTATTAACTAGCGAGCACATATGGGCAGAATGCATGTGCTTCATGCTACCGTGGCTATCCATGAGAGTTGACAATCTCGGTCAGTCTGGTTTCCATGGCGTCGCATACCAACAAGAAACCTGAATTCCTCGCCTCACTTCCTGCGGAATTCCCAAAACAAGACGAACAGTGGAGTCTGTCGAGAGGAGACATCTCTTCATTTGGCGATTGTGAAACCGGTTCCTTCTATTTATCGCTTTTTCTGATACGGCAACTCTCACACCGAGAGAATCACAATCAATTTACTCGTTGAGGCGCTTTTATGGACCCTTAATCTTGAGAGACTGAGCGAACGATCATTTGAGAGGAATAAAAAGATTTGATTTGTTCATTAAATGATATTTCATTTCTTGCTTAGAGACCCCCATTCTAACTTGCTCAGTACCCACGAAAAATTCGGAGGGCGACCAAAAGAGCCGCAACTCCGTCTTAGTTGTCCACAATGTGGATAGCACTGTGCTTCCCGGGACTATTGGAATTAGAGTCTTATGAGAAGTGCACCAAGCCAACGGGTGTTCCAGATGCTACTCTAGCACGGCCACTAGCGTGAAAATCCACACCGGCCAGCCATGAGGGTACAGCCGTTGGAATGGCCAGGCCTAGAACACGATGCCATTCATGTCATTAGCAAATTTATCGATTTTTATCGTTGCCCTAGCAATTCCCCTTTTCTAAAATCTCAGAATCATAGAATTTAAACTTATTTACTTACTTCTGCATATTTCTGTCCCAAAGGATAATCTTCAATTACCATCAGAGCGGGCAACCTCAACGAGCTACAATGGCCTCCCCCTGGCCCTACACCCGCCGCAAGTCACCACCTCCACGCAGCCGCTCCCCGTCACTCCCATCATGGTACCATCGCATTCTCGAGTACCCAGACTACACTGTTTCCTACGAAGACTTTGACGAGGACATGTCGGAGCTTGGGGAATCCGAATCCGAACCCGTTCACAGCGACACTTGTGAATGTGGCTGCATACCATATGAGTCAGGATCCTCGTGTGGAGAATCTGATCTAGAGGGATCCGAGCTTGATGACGAAGATGAATCTGACTTTGATCATGAGTCTATTGGATCTCGTGTTGGTTGCTCTGATTGGGAGTCATCTGACGACGAGCGAGACTCGAGACTCGACTCGACTCGGTCCCGCTCCCGCTCTGGGCGCGAATATGACTACTACTATGAGCTCAAAAAACTACGAGAAGAACGCAGGAAGCAAATGAAACAAGAGGCCAAAGATGGAGAACCAACAATGAAGGAGGAAACCCGGCGGACGGAACTACGGATACAGAAGCAAGTCAACAAGGCCTATTACCGGGTCAGGCATCGACGTGGCCGTCGTGAGAATCTCGTCCTCCGACGAAAAGTCTTTTCGCTCGGCTCCCCCGACCACTGTCAATATGCATACCTTGGACATACTGTCCAATTCATGTCCAAGTATGTCGAATTTGACGATTACCCCGCTGAAGGATCGTCGAGCCGGCCCCCACCAGGTCAAAGGCCAGAGCTCAGAGGTCACGTCTTCATGCACTCGACAGACGCTTGTTTCTTTAGCGGGCCGGCTCCTCCTGCACGACCGGGTCTCAAGGAGTTTGTCGTCCGGTGTCATGGTGGGGAGCATAAGTTGACTTTCCAGTTCATCGACAAACATCACCTGATCATGAAGGTGCCCCGAGAGGTGGTGTTTGGGTGTCATCCTCGGAAGATGCCGCCTAATACTCCCAAGATTTTAACCTTTTACGGCGTTGAAGAGAAATGAGAAGGGGGAGAACCTGGTTGGCGTGGTTGAAAGACTTGAACACTCTGGATAAAGGGCTAGTAATTAATAGGGAAAAGTTTTTGGAATTCATGTAAAAGATGCACCACTTTGGCTCCAGTTACTTGTTGGAACCTTGGCATTCATCTAACGACGTGAATCACTGCAGGAGAGTCTGGGTTGGGAAACGAGTCGGTATTTGTAGTTATCCGTCGATCTTCGGGCTCGGTTAACCCATCGAGGGCCGGGCTGCAACAATAATAAAGAACAGATCTTGAAGTAGTTATCCGTCGTGTATTGATAACTGTATCTTTTGCTAATGGTCTATTGAGAACTCCTCATTGCTAATAATGATATTGATGATTATCCCCGTGACCCTCAAGGGCACATGAGCAGCCTCAAGCAGGCTGTCAATCAGCCGACCCAGAGTCTAGAATTACCCTAACATGACTGTCTTTGTGGTCATAGGAAGGTAATCAGTAAACCTCTTGGCTGATGTGTAATACTCCAAAGATGGCTCAGACTCCGACGGGCCATCATTTTTCATGATGAAAGGCTTTATGTTGAGATATCCTAATCTCTCCGAGACATCGCGCACCTTCCTTACGACTAGCCCATGCTGTGCCCTCGGTGAAAACAGAAGGCAGTCGAATGTTTCCTCACACAGCTCTTGGTGCAGCTCATCATTGCCGTCCACGGCAATTGTCGGGATCAATGGCCAATACCCTGTGGGGTGACTTCCAGGTGACGAGTCTGGGTCAGTCATTGGAAGGACTACATAGTAAACAACCTTACCAAAGGTTGTGCCCAGTAGATCTTGGAGGCTCTGAAAGTCGTTATTAGGCAGGTACTTGAAGGTGACCTGGACCACCCAAGTTTCGATGCGGAGTATTGGCGAATAGGGAACAGTGCCTGAAACGTTTCCTGCGTCGATTTCGGCAACGACTGACTCTGAGATCCGCTTCCATGTCCCATCATTCTTCTGAAGAAAGACCTTGACACCCATTGTCAACCCTCTTACTTCAATCATCCAGGCATCGAACTCGCGTAGCGGTCCAAGCCATCCAGTCCAGGACCAGCTAGGGAAGCCAGGCCTACGATGCGAAGGGCCCCGTAAGCGCCACAGAAGGGTATCTGTAAAGACAGCATCAAAGTAGCCTGGGAATTCCGCCTCGTCTGGCCTCCATGGGATGGCGCCACGCCACAAGGGACTCCAGCACGAACTTATTAACCATTTGTTCCGATCTATAGGGATCCCCCAGAAGTGGCGAATAGGCGAAGGCATGGAAGAAAAAGCTCTAAAGATCCCGCGCATAGCGTTGAGTGCGTCGCTCTGGTGTGTCAACTGCCGTTCTGCGACCTTGGTGATATGTTCATCCAGATTCCTTGGCTGAAGCCGAATGCGCCGTGAAATAAAGATCTTTTGCGATTGCCAACAATTTCGCTTAGATGGTGAAGATCGTAGGTTAGGCCCTCTTGAGTACAGATGGTGTTGCATTCGAAAAAGATCTCGGTCTCAGTAAAGAAGAGGCGGCGCCTGGAGAAGAACCCTTCTTGATATGTCCAGGCCCTAGACCACCACTTAGAGCCGATGATTCGATTCTCTAAGGTGATCTGGGCAGCTACCCACGTGCGACCGTTGATCTTTGAGGCTGGTTGCTTGTCTCGCAGTATCGAGCTAACTCCTGGGAGACCGAACGAGGCATCCTCCCCACAGGCTGCAATGAGTGTGACAGTAGCAAGTTGGTAGACGATATCCATTATTCCAATCTGCTCGCCCAACTCAGTTTGATCCTTCTGATTGATACAGTATTGATCGACCCATAGATACTGAATGTTGAGACGGATCGTGACCTGGATGGCGTCGCTGATGGTCTTGGGCACATGAGGCGGTAGAAAGCCAGCCCTCGAGGCTGTGCTCTGCTCATCGCACTGCTGGCCCCAAACGTAACTCAGGGCGGCAAACTCACAGTCCTCGGGGAGTTTAATGATTGCGCCAGTCTCGCACTCGATCACTTTCAAGCATGAGAGCTGACGTGGATATCCTCGCAAGATTCCGCAAAAATCCTTATGGTGCGCTTTGCAATAGCTCAACCAACCTCTGATTGACGAAAAGTCGATCCTACCCGGTTCTAGGCGGCGTAGACTGAAGGTTGGGTCCTGGCCATCGAGAAGGCAGCCCAGAGTTGCACATCTTTGGAACCACATCCCGCCGGAATTAGTGGGCACAGCCATGTCTAGACTGAGCACCCGGCTTTCGGACATGGGGCAAGGCACAGAGCTACCGTACCACGACTTGAGACCACGACTTGAGAGCATCGTAGAAGTAATCAGAAAAGGCCCATTGCGACTCCAAAGGTTTGAGCTCGAACTCGAGTTCGTGGTCTGGGTTGGCGGGAAATAGCTTGTTGCTTGCCACAGTGGCAATGAAGAACTGACAGAGTGGACACGGGGATGAAATCTCGATTCTCAGTGAGACACTGCTATTCCGACTGCCTGGTTTCCCCTCATGCATGAGAGCGTAAAGGTCGATGGAAGCGCATTGTGGGCAGAGGTCGGCGGCCACGTCGGGCAGTTCCTCGTCTCCTTTGACGAGAGGAGCAGGCACTGTGAAAGAGTAACAAGATTGACTCGATACCGTGGTGGGAGAAGTGTAGGTTTGGAGATGAGGACCAAGGTCGAAAATTGAAGAGTTGAAAGAGGCTGCCTACTGCTACAATCATTCAGTCACGAAAATGCCGCACAGATTCCGATGAGGAGGCTGACCTTACAGGTGGCAAGGGTTGCATGTGTTCAAAGTGGTTTCCTTCCCCATCGGCTTGCGGAATTTTTACTTGATCTTTCCAGAAGCATGGTAAGGAGATCTTCTCAAGGCAGTGATTTACACACAAGCCCATAAGATGTATGCAGTTATTGAGTGTCTCTATGATGTTTATCGTCCTTACACCCTGTACACTCACAGCAACCAATAAGTGGTACTCCGAGTTTATGGTGGATATGTGGAAGTCTGATACCTCATAAAATTGAATTCTCAAAATTATGACATTGCTTCCCTCGTTCAAGCTATACTACCTTGTCTATTCAAACTTCACCCTTCACGTTAAGCCTTCTGATATTGCCTCGATCTTGTCATGACATGCTGGCCTTGCGTCATTATAATCAGGTTAAATCATAGCAACCTGGATATCAACTGACTCGACTCATCACACTGTGATTAAGCGACGACAGATTAACCTCTGATTCACTGTATTAAACCATCAAGTGACGGCATTACACTCCTAAGTTTTAGCCTCACCATATGGGCTCTAGTAATTTTTTTATCAAGTTATATACTACAAAGAAAAATTTTAATTTCTTTTCTCTAAAAGTAAACCACTTTCTTTAGGAATTAATAACCAAGATGGATGAACTATAGACTTTGATTCACCGTTGAATTTGGCGACCATTCATCGACTAAGGAGCCATCGTGGTTATAAAACGCAGCGTCTGCCACCTAAATGTACACTCATGTGTCCATCTATTTCAATTGCGCTTCTCCAACTCCGACGTGCGGCTCAAACCTTGTCAACTATTGATTATATTTCCCTGAACTCTCGACGGTGTTGTACTATATCCTCCAGCTTTGGTATAACCCACTTCAAAGCCATGACACCTGCACAAGGTAGGAACCCTTTACTTTACCTCATCATCTCCCATCAATGAGCGTGCGCTTTCTATTTCCTTGTCTTCCTGTCATTTAGCACTGCAAGACTCATCTTTCAATGTTTGCTGTTTATAGCTGTTGTTGCAAAATAATTGTTTTGTCAAAGTTATGATGCCTTACGGTAATAGCTTTGCGATAGTTATATGTTGGCCATTATGTCCTTTGGTATTATCCTATGTTACGTCTAAGAGACAATACTCATGCCAACGCTCACATCAATCTCTTTCTTTTATATTCTGGCTCAACTCCAATGGGAACCTAGCTTACCAAATGTAGATTCCAAGACCAACGAAAAACTGCCTGAGAATGTGATAGATGTTTCCATCACTTCCTTCGCCGTTGATGGCGAACAAGTCACGCTTATAGTTAGATATACTGATATCAAAGACGGGGTTTCTGTATCTTACTATGTGTCTAAGAGAGCCATGGAAAGGTATTACCCTGGAGAGCTCCAGAGACTCTGGGATACGCATGGGGGCGAGAGAATGCAATAAAACACGCCAAGTACTCGCAGTAATATCCGACTTGGAAAAGAAAGCCAGTTTAGGTACCATGACTTCTACTACATAATTAATTCATACTCCTTTGTCTTCATTTTCTCCTACAATAAAACATACAGTTACTGATTCACGGTGCTACCAAAACCCAGTACGTAATCTTAATATTAGTTCAGTATCATAAGCGTCTGTGTCCGTGAAACTTCCTAGTTTCATGACGGTTGGTCACCGTTTATCCCCTGCCCAAGCATGCCAGCACATGTAAAGTGCAGTCAAAATCCCTTGCCCAAGAGATAAATCAGACATTATTGACTTTTGTGACATACATTCAGGAGTGGACGCGAGTCAAGGTAATAACAAGCACAACCGTAATGATAAGCCGGTATTAGACAATACCACAATAAACTAGAGTAAATTGATCAGGTGCTACAATAAGAGAATTGTTTCCTTAGAGTACTGAGTCGGTAGCTCATAGTCAGATACGCCGCGAGGAAGACCTGTCCAGGTCCAATTCCCCACCCGGTAGTGGTGACACGGTTGATCCGAAGGCTGGTACAAGACAATGCCCCAAAAACGAAAGTGGAATTCATGCCCCCGATCAAGAATGAGCAAGTAGCGAAAACGGCCAAGGGCGTTTTCCACGGCCATTGTCTGTCTTGCAGCTTGATCACATCCTCTTTGAGTTAAATGCGGATTCACGGGCCCATGAAGATAGGAAATCACCGCCTTACCGTTGAGATGTTCATCCCAGTACAGGGAACCCCCCAAGTCCGGATCAAGGACAATCGATAAATCAAACTGACCTGCTTCGTCAGGCCCACACTGCATTTTAAGCTCAAACAAATAGCCGTGTATCTCGATACTGTGACTCGCTGCCGACTCTGTAGGTGATCTATCAACATTGGTATTCGACCAGACTCGTCTCATGGAGGCGAAGCATTGCTTTTGGAGCAGATCGTCGTCCACTTCTAGGATGAAGTCTCCCTTCAGTGAGGCCCAGCTCCAAGAAGGTGCCATGTAGGTGGCCAACCGTTTTGTCGGCGACTTAGTTGTCCAGCATAGCGCCGCTGGCAGATGGGCACGCCATAGCCCGGCGAGATAGTCATCGGCGACGGAAAACCCGTAAGATTGACCAAAAGACTGCGCAACTCCATAGAATGCTATCAGCCGATCCGACTCCTTGGTGAGTTTGCTTCTCGCATACTCCCTGACGCGTCGGTACCATGCAGTACAGAGGCTGTTGGAGTAGACTGGCATAGTGTTATCCTCCTTCATTTCCTTGGCCTGTTTCCACCATGACCCGCGGGAACACATCGGGGCACCGTTCGGGCGGATTTCGCATGCCAGCTGTTTCCGACAGTGCCACCATAGCTGACGGCTACCGAGAATCAGGGATCGTTTAGAAAGATACCATTCCTGGTATACCCAGGCCCGAGAACGTAAAGTGCAGAATGTGATGTCTTCGTGAAACTGATGGTCATAGATGAGCTGAAATGTTGTGCCCCTGAAAGCAACCCTTTCAGGAACAAGCAGGCTGGGCTTTCTCCTGATGAAGCTCCTCCCAGAGCTGTCAGACGCGGTGGCTGAACATAGGTTGAAGATTGCGTGCTCATAAACGAGTTTCATGTCTTTTGCTTCTCGCGCCCAGTCCTCAGCGGAATCCTGAATGATGCATAATGAGTCTATCCATATATAGTGAAATCCTATCTCACAACATAGGCGGATAGCTTCTTGGTAGGTGTTTGGAAGCTGCACTAGCGGCAGGCCGGCCTGAAGCTTGTTGATATTACTATCGAGGAGCTTGATTGTCTGGACCTTTCCCCAGCAGTGAGAAAATGCCACGTAGGGCGCTGAAGCTTCTTTGTTGGATATTATAAGCCTCACGTGGCCGACATCAACTATATGGATTAACCGGCTTGGACGGTAGGTCGGATGAAGAATGAGGCATTCTTTGTGCTCTCTGTTGCATGTTGCGACCCATGTGGTTGCTAGCTTAGTGAAGGCTGGGTCATTGACTGATATAGCTGGCGCATAATACGGAATTGTATCGATTTGGCCTAAAGTGAGGAGTAAGGCGATGATGATCGTCGTAAGAATCCTGAGCTCACAATACCTGTGTCTCTCCACAGCTGAAATCCCCAACAGTATGCCGGACCATCAAGCTCCTCCGTCTGAACCAGTAGCCCGTCTAGAATGCTTCCATCATCTTGGATCCGAAGATTGAGGTGGTATTGAAGTCTCCTCGCGAGGCAATGAGACCGATACAAGTGCCATGAATTGCTGTTCTGGATAGTCCCGCAGACGTAACATCCAAGCTGGGCCGCGCTTTCGACATGGTGGCCGCTTTGGTGATGAGGTCGCCAGCCGTGTTTCAGCTCCCCTGTAAGAGCCGAATCACACACAGAGCATAGGGTTGACGGTTTTAAGACCACGAGCTGACCGTCTGAAGACATGGATTCAAGGGCGAGTGTATCTGTCGTTCATGGATATTCAGAATTGAAAGGTTGAAAGAGAAGGGAACAATATCTGACCCATACCGAGATTTTTCGAAGCAACAGGAAGAAAAGGTGACCCTAGGACGAGGCGGGGTATGGAATCGACACGTATCATCAGTCGATGCTAGACATGTTTGCTATTCTAACTAGAATTTCTATGGTTGGAGCTATTCAGTGCGACTTTATCGTCACACGCTGCACCACCAGTTACACAACTGACTATCTAGACTTGAATCACTCAGGTGGAGCTCTCTAATAATTGTAACATGAAGGGACATTGTGAGGACAGGATCCTCATGCCATTGATAGGCGAGACTGGATCTATGTGTGTTTTGCAGTCTCGTAGCTAATGGTTTCTTTTGCGGACGTCACAGAGCTCACACCGATATTGTAGATGGAGTGTAAACAGTCAAATAACATTATTACTAGCTTAGAAAAGCATCTGTTATGAACCTGGTGGTGAATTAAGAAAATGGATAAAAGAACTCGACCATCGTCTCTACTTGAAGCCCAAAACGCCTGTGCAATACCCTAAAGTCAGTTGAATTCCATCAGTTTGCGCAAATCATGATGACGATCCTTTTCGAGATCCTGGCGGGCTGAAGAATTCGGGGGTAGGCAGAGGCGGATTCACTTCTTGACCCAAGTACTCGGGATTGGCGGCTGCGGCGTCAACGATTGTCTTGACTCTGTCGTATAGCTCTGGCGCTTCGGCGCGATCTCCAGGTTTAATCTGAAGAAGACGATCGTTAATAAGAGTCACCAAATCTCCGAGGGCAGTCCCGTGTTTACACAGAGGATGCTCTCGCAGATGTCGAACGGCCTCGGTAACTGCTGGATGAATTCCTGTAGATTGGTCCAGTTCTCGTGCAAAGAAGTTGCCTGGCGAAACTGGATCGTTATGATCTTTCCTCTTCTTGTGGAATCCGTTGACAGCTGCAAAGTTGTACACAAGCCAGACGGTGAATTCGAGAAACATGCAGCCCGCAGACCACATGTCATACCGGCGAGGCCTGGGTCTGTTATTCCGTTCGTCGTCGTCTGCCTCGGGAGCTTCGTAAGAGACTGTCGATTCCGTCGTCATTGTTGCTGAGTTTCTCAAGTCAGTCGCCTCTTTGTGGGCCTTGGAAACACCCATATCTGCGAGAACCAGTGTTGTTGGATTGGCTGCTTGGTGTTCTTCAAAAACCAGGATATTCTGTGGCTTGATGTCACCGTGGCGTATGTTGCGGTTGTGAAGTGCACGAATACCGTCGACAAGACCTAGAATCTGCTCGAGGGCCCATCGAATGAGGCCTGCTGTTCTGGGCTTGGAGTCATGTTCTCCCCAGAAGTCTCTTAGTGTGCCACCGTTCGCCCAAGGAAATAGAAGGTAATATGTAGAGCCTCTTTCGCAGGAAGCCAACAGAGGGATCAAGTGTTTGTTCTGCAGTTTTTGGATGATGTCTAGGTTTTCCTTCTCTCTGGTAAAGTCCTCTTCCTTGTGGAACTCCTTGATAGCGATGTAGGCGTCCGCATTTGACTGGGGATAGGTCAGTGGATTTCCTCTTCACCGTCGCTCTAGACATACCGGAAAGAGGCGTTGATGCGCCGGGTGTAGCTTAGCCTTGTGGACTACACCCATGCCACCCTTGGCAAGTTCCGTTTCACACTCTGTCAATGGCAAAGCGCACTCCGGTTCGAGCACAAAATGTAAGCCGGGTTTGTCGAGAATTGGCGCCTGGACTACCCATTGCTTCTTGAGAAAGTTGTCGACCTTGTCCCCTTCTCCCCATGACATGGACGAGGGAAATCTCTTGTTACCACTCACAGAAGCGAGTACATTGTACTCACTGTCGTCGCTGTCCTCACCGTTCCGACAAAGTGGTAGGTCCTCGTCAGTGATCCCTTCGTAGATGAGCTGCTCCATGGCAGCAGACTCCTCCATGAGAACGAGAACACAAAAGACTCTCTTTGCTTCTGCGGCAACCTTGTGAGAAATACAAGAAGAGAAAAAACGGTTTCTCTTTGGCAATCCTGCTTGAATGTGCGCAAGCGTAATCTTGTCTAATTCGTCAACCGGGATGAATTTTGCGAGCCGACCCTCGACCGGACACGTGCGCAGCCGCTGCTTGAGTTGCTTATATAGAGTCTCCATCGTAAATGAATGATCTTGGTTCAGTCGATTTAATTGACCGAAAGGGTCTAAGAGTACATCTGACTGTGCAGCTAGGCGAAGACAAGAGGGGATCATGTAAGGGCAAAGTTCGTGCTGACGTGTCGGGCCTGGAATGGCTCCCACCATATCAGGACTTGAAAGTGAAAGGCTCCGCGAACGTGCGGCTCTGTGTTATGGTAGCCTTACAAGGCAACCAGAGGTGGCTGTCCGGTGTCATCTTGGGGGTGTCATCTGAAAGACCGGGCAGTCTGAACCGGGTTGAAAATCCCAATAGCCTATGTGACATGCATGCCGCGTTGCAACAGTGCTGTTACCGATGGTGTGAGTAAAAGCCAATGAGACTTTTCGGATAACAACCCCTCATCTGTGGTTGTCATGTCCGGCGAACCCGGATGTGGCTGTGGAAGGCCTCAAAATGCCTTGTTCGCGAAAATCCGGATTGAAGATAGGTTAGCGCTGCTAGGTAGAGGCCAATTGATGTGAGATGGAAAAGTATCGAATTCGGTGAGGTCTCTAACCAGGTTAACACTTAGCCAGGCAGCCATTGCGGGTTATCTTTGACAATATGAGTGTGTCATATGCTGGTCAAGCTCTCAGCCTGATCGATAGCCGAGGCAATCATCTCAGCCCGGTGTGGGGGGATAGACGCAGTCATCATGAAGTTTCTGGCTTGGCATAGACTGTGCCTCCACCACACTTCTTGGTGGTGTGTAAGACACCTCGCGGGAGGGAGTAACCGCACCCCTCTCACGTAAGACGTATGTATCGACATCGGGCAGCCATTGGCTGGTTTTGTAAGCATCAGAGCAAAGACAACGAGGCAACCAGGCGATGAGAGATAATGGGCCTTGCCAATGCTTCAAGACTTTGAATCCACGTATCTTGCGACTGGGTACCGCTCCATGAGATGCCTCGTATCAGACTGTCGCAATGCAAGTCCCCACCCCCAAGTTTCCAGCCTTACAGATATGACCCAGTTTGCTACTGGGACAAGCAGATGTCATCAGATCACCACTTTACCTGCATATGCATCAACAGCAGCCAATGTCTGAGAGCGCCCACAAGCGGCTGAGAACTTCCCCGCTTGTTCAGACCAGCAGAACAGAACATGACACCACTTAAAGGTTGGATGCCTAATCGACTAGGCACCCTTCGCGCAAGTCTCCCGCCAGCATGGCCTTCTTGAAGCCTTTCTTCCGATTCAGCCCCGAAGTCCTCTGGGATTTGCTCAAGCGCGTGTATCTCTTCATCCAACCGCTTTCCATGATGGCCATGTCTTGGTTCCTTCGCAATGATCTCCTGGAGGCTGACAGAACCACACGAATGAAATTCATTACAGAGCTCGAGCAAGCGTGCAGTCAGAGCGCACTCGCCCCCGGAAACCCTTTCCTGCCTGAGGGCAAGATTCCCAGCCTGGTCACGACCGAGAAAGTGAAAAAGTTGATGCCTCGTGCCAGTGCTGACTTGGTTGAGTTTGTCCGTATGCATGCAAAAAAGGTGTTCTTAACCACTTTGCTTAGCAGACACGACACGGTGCATGCCGCCATGAGCAGCTTTTACGAGCATGGGGTCATGGATAACGCGTTGCCCATGAAAGCCCTCGCGAGTGCACGCCATATTTGCGTGTTCCCACCAGATGGGGAGTGTCACCACAAGACGCAATGGCCCTGTTTCCAGTCATGGGAATGCTGCGAGGTCTCGGGTTTCAACAAAAGCCAATGGGTGTTTTGTGCTCCAGTATTCACGGAGAATGACTCGCTGCTGAGATTCGAGGAAAGCTACGTGCTGCCCTTCACGTCGGTGGACGACATTGGCACAGGAGGTCATTTCAGTATAGTCTCGAGAGCCAAAATCCATCCTGACCATTACCGAGCTCATGGATCCTCAAACAAGGCAAGTCATGAGAAAAACAATCCAGACAGATCTAACGGCTAATTAACCGCAAATTAGGATGCAAGTGGACAAGTCTACGTTGCTTTGAAGCACATGAAAGACCTCAGAGAACCAGGGTACAATGTCGAAACTTCATGGGTTAGCGAAGCCAGAGCCCTCGATCAAATCAACCGACTCAACCACAAACACTTGATCCGCCGCACGGGATCTTTCAGAACGGACAAGAATTACTATATTATGTCGGAGTGGGCTGATGGCGGTAATCTTCGAGATGTTTGGGCGAGGCAAAACATTGACCATACCATGTTGAACGGCACTCGCATCATGCAGGTCTTGGAACAACTGCATGGTCTAGCCGATGCACTTTCGAAACTCCACAACACAGTCAACACCAAGCAGCTCAATGGAGGCACCCCGGGCCCTCTCCCCAGAGCCGAGACCATTCTAGCACCTTCCTCTCGTGGCGCGCCCAAGGTAAAACTTCAAGTTGATACCGACAACAGCGACAACACTGGCGAAGAGCACTGGAGGCACGGAGACTTGAAGCCTGACAACATCCTCCACTTCAAGGACCCAACCTCTCCATGGCTGGGAACTCTCAAGATTGCAGACCTGGGTTTGGCAAAGCAGCATGCGTTTGCCACGTCCCGGCGAGAGGACCCAACTGCGCAGAGGTACTCAACATCCCATTATGAAGCCCCAGAGGTTGTCACCAGGCGATACGAGCCACGATCTCGACTCTATGACATTTGGTCCATGGGTTGTATCATTTTTGAGTTCGCCATCTGGTTGCTCTACGGCTATCCTGGGTTACAAACATTCTACCGAGAGAAGCCGCCGACAAGCAGGGATACACTCTACTTCACGGCAAACTCAAGAGAGGATCACGCCCAAGTGAGCGACATTGTTACTAAGTGGATGCAATACATGCTTCAGTTTGACCCGGAGTGCAACAGCCAGTCTCCCAGTGCCATTGGCGACCTCATCAAACTGGTAAAGAACCACCTCCTTGTGGTTACCCTCCCGGGACAGATAGGCCAGGGAAGAACTCGCCAGAGCGCAGACTTCTTGGAGAGAAGCCTGAGGGACATCATGAACAAAGCAGTGACTAATCGTGGAGGAACCTATCTCTTTACTCGGTCGAGCCGAACAGCAGCACAAGCACTTAAAGAGATGAGTTCTCTTTCGACGGGCTCTGGGGGACAAGCTGTGGCCTTTAAGAGCCCAAATCTGGTAAGATTCTCTTAACCTGTGTCGCAACTACGGGGACTGAGCAGCGCCTAGGATGTACGTGCAGCAAAAAGGTGAAGAGATTTGAGTCACTATGATGGCTGACTATGGGCTTGACTCGGCTTTGAAGACTGTGAGTAAGACCGGGATGACTAACAGGATTAATGAACTAACACAAGTTTAGTATGTGAGTCCCTGGAGATAAGTCCATGATAGCAAACTTGACTAATCAATGGCCTATCTATCTGTCCAGAGTGTAAGCCCTTCCAAGGCCCTTGTTTTTAGACTGACCAACGTATCTAACTGTTCTGTGTAGGTGGTGAGTTTCTTCGCCAGATTGCCATGCTGGCTTTCGGAGCTTACTAACTTGAATAGAAAGTGTGTCATTCCTTTTGCCTATTCACCCTGAATTGGGACTGACAATTGCTAGTTTGATAACATTTGGGAATTTCAAGATGGCAACTCGTTTGCAACTAGTTTCCTTCGCAAACAAGACGATCACCTGTCGAGACCTTTCCCTCCTCAACCGGTGTCAATTTGCAAGCCCTGTGCGCGCCTTAGTCTCTTGACTGACGTTGTTCTGATGAATGACACATATGCCAACATCGAGAAGCTATCTGAAAAGTGTCAGCTCCACCGACTGATTTTTGATGCCTCGAATGGATACCATGGAGCCGACCTGATCGAGGTTCGCCGTGTTGGTGGTGCTCTGAAACTTAACGGAGAGCTAATATCAGGTCTCTCAATCTACAGAGGCCTAGGTACGCCGTTGCTTGTTCTTAGTTGACCAAAAATTTCGATCCTGATTATTTGACAGCCAAAAACACAATGTTGCATCCAGCAACTCGCTCCCCGGGCAATATCCACATCGGTTTGCCCCAACTCCCCGAAGTAAACAGCTCACCATTCTACGATTTGTTTTTGCATTGGATCCAGGACTGTGATGAAAACCACCTGGAGTGCCGCCCGTTGAACCGCGACCCAGAGTGTCTGCCCACTCGACTGCTGGATGTCGGCTCCAGCGGAAGCCTGGGTAACGAGTCGTCGGTTCATCTACTTGTGACCAGAAGAGATCTGGATACGAGTCACGACCTACGCTACATTGCACTCTCTCATCCATGGGGAGATACCAGGCAAAATGACCACTTCTGCACAACCCCTGAAAATGTTAAACAACGGCTAATGAGCGGCATTCCGTTTGATAAACTTCCCCTTACTTTCAAGAACGCAGTGCAGGCTACTCGCTCGCTCAATGTTCAGTACCTGTGGATCGACTCACTTTGCATCGTTCAAGGCGATGGTGGCGATTTTGACACCGAGGCCAAGAACATGGAGACCATCTTCAGCTCGGCCTACTGCGTGATAGCCGCCAGCCGGGCTTCAGGGACATCGAGCGGGTTTCTGGGAGACAGGAAACCTCGAGAATTCATCAGATTTGACGAGGCGACAGGTAGTCCACACTACATCTGTAAAGCCATCGATGACTTTCAGCATGATGTGATCGAGGGGAATCTCAATAAACGGGGATGGGTCCTTCAAGAGCGTGCCCTCGCTCGACGAACAATCTACTTTACTGAGAACCAGACGTACTGGGAGTGCGGGAAAGGGATTCGGTGCGAGACTCTGGCTCGCATGACAAAGTAGGTGTCCTTCCTGAGTTATATATATAACCTCAACTAACATTGAGGCTCTAGCACGAAAGTCGCATTTCTAGGTGACCCAAACTTCCCAAATTTGGCCATCGAGTCTACCAAAGGAACGAAGATTCGCTTTTACGAGGAACTCTACGAGGCATACTCAAGACTTGACTTCACCAAGGCATACGACAGGCCCATCGCTATTGCCGGCCTGGAACAGCGTCTCGTCAATGCTTTTCAAACCCATGGAGGCTATGGCGTCTTTCAGGGGGAATTCTTCGGGAGAAGTCTGTTGTGGATTCGCGACGCCAGTTCCACGGACAAGCTCAAGAAGATTGACTTCCCTTCGAGCCAGAAATATGCCGTCCCGACATGGTCGTGGATGGCGTATCAAGGGGCTATAACCTTCCTGGAGGTTCCTTTCGATGGGGTTGACTGGGAACAAGGGAAGGACGCGATCCGGTCACCGTGGACATGGAGTGATTCATCATCAACCTCAGCCACATGGCACACGGGAAATTCGAACGAAAGGATCGACTTGATGGCCAACGCAAGAGATTTGGTAGATTTCGCCACTGCTGAGAAAGAAATCGTCTACGACCAAGGACGGATGGCTTTCACTAACGGGAGAGTCAAATGTGTGGTCGTTGGAAAGGAAAAGGTGCGGTATGGAAAGGCGGGTGTGGAACTTCCGCGGCAATGCTATGTCCTTATAGTAGCTCCAAGGGAAATATCTGGGTCTAAGTACAAGAGAGTAGGAGCTGCTTGTTTGCCTGAAACATGTGTCGCTGGGGACAGCACACCAGGAGAGAGTGTGCAAATATTCTAGCTTAGTTTTCTTCATTGCTAGAAGGCAACAACCTTGCTAATTACCCTTTGAATGCGTCACCAATTTCGCAACAATTGTCAAATACCTGCTGGGCACGATTTTAAGCTCGAACGATTACACCCCCTTAATCATTCACAGATCAAATCCAAGAATCAGAAATGTTAACGGCTGGTCAAGGTCACAAGGGGGGGATAATTTATCATCACCTTCATCACTTAAATCTTGTCTTTTACGTCATGGGCCCCTTTACATCGTGTGGGATAAGGATCGGCATCGTTTAAGTGTTACTTATTGCCTGTGGGCGCCCGCTCGGTTTCGTGCCGCGACGTGTGACTATACTCGGAAAGTTCGTATAAGGGAACCCGAATCCGTGGAAATGCATCCGGATCCGAAAATGTTCCGCTCCATCTCTACCATGTATGCCTATATAAACCGCCTGACTCAACCAAAAGTCTAGTCTTAATATCTAACTATCTACTTCATTATAACATATTTGCTGCTTCATGGCCATGTTTGTCAAGTTTGCTGCCTTTGCGGCCATGAGTGGCCTAGCCCTCGCTGCCCCGGAAAAGACGACCATCAGACACCTCCAGCTAAAGCCAGAATATTACAATGGCACCATCAGTGTCGAGCACCTGTCGGTTCCAGAAAATCTCGATGGCTTCAAGATGTCGACGCCAGCTGCCCGCAAGTCGGCCGACTTTTGGTACTTTGACGTCTTTTCCAAGGCGACCAACCAGACACTCAACATCGTCTTCTTCAACTCTGGTGAATTCAAACAGTACCCTCATCCCTTGTCGGTGCAAGTCTCTGGAGTATTTCCCAACGGCACCGACTTTTACTATGAGGCGCTGGCCGACGAGGGGGTCTCCATCACCAACAGCCCGCAAGGCATCCAAGGCGAGTGGGGTGGCATTGGCAGCTTCAAGGGCTCATCTCTAGAGAAACCCAACGTCGAGTACTCCATCAAACTTGACTCTCCAGATATGGGCATCTCTGGGAAGATCAAGTTCAAATCCGTAAGTCACACCACTGCTCCTCGAGCTCGACTTATTGGAAACCGCCTCTAATACGAGTGAAACTGTAGATGACGCCCGCTCACTACCCTTGCGATCTCTATGGTGCCATTGGCGTGACGCAGAATCTATTGCCCGGGCTATACTGGGCCAATGCTGTCCCCGACGCTGAAACAGTTGTTGACCTGAAAGTCAAGGACACAGCGATACAATTTAAGGATGGCGTTGGCTACCATGATAAGAACTGGGGCAACCAGTCCATCATCGATGGACCTAAGTACTGGGACTGGGGCCACGGCCGATTCGGCCCTTACTCGGTGGTCTGGTACAATCTCCTCGACTACGAAGGAAAGGAGACGCGCCGGTCTTTCGTCGTCAAGGATCGCAAAGTTCTCATGGTCAGCTGCGACCCTAAGAGCATGGAAGTTCGCCAAAAGGGTGGTAAGGCAGCCTGGCCCCCCACGACAGGCCTGCTAGAGACCGACGGGTTGAGCATTCATTACACACTGCCTGATGGCCAAGAGCTAAACGTAGACGTGACGACCGAGATCATTGTTCGCGACGAGTCGGGTGCGTACCAACGAGCCAATGGTATCATCAAGGGCGGCATCAAGGGGAAAGAGACTTTCAAGGGTAAGGCTCACTACGAAGAGTTTATCTTTGGCATTGTCAACGACTACACTCCAAACCCTTAGGTTTGTTCAAGGAGTAGCATCTGTTGAAATTATTTCTTCCCTATAGCCATAGTGGTGTTACGTTCTTATCGCAGTCTTTCTTGAAGGCATGCCCTTTGTAGTGTTGAGTTGTTCTGTTTTGGCAAAGATATCTATCATCCGTAAATCCTTCCTATGCTTTGGCAGTGTATTTGGATCTTCGCTTTGTAGTCATCGAAACAAACTGGATAAGTCTGGCCGGTATTTCCCTGCTGAGTTATTGTAATCTTACACCAAGTCCATACCAGTCAATGACCATAGTATCTTCCCCTCGCCTGTAAATTTGAGCCATGGATAGTTCCCTTCAACTGAAACACGGTCTTCTGGCTGAGTTCCGGTCTTTAGCTATAACAGAGAACACATTATCAACACATCATAGCATCATATTCCAATCCCTCATGGAATTATGGAGGCTACCGAAGAGTGCCAATGTGAGAAGTGATATTCAGCCAAACACGCCAGTCTATTATTCTATGTGCAAAAAAGTAACTACCAACCAAGTCCAAAATTCCTCTTCCAATCTTCAGCCACCATGGATTCTATGTAATTCATGTTACCCTTGGGTTTCAATTAGTTCCTCCTCCCCAAACGACAGCTAACTCATCACTTCGAAGGACGGCCATCCATCGAGTTGCCACCATACGCGAGACTAACAGCTTCCGTCTGGCCAAGTGGCTGAAACTGCTGAATCTGAGAGGGATACCACACATAGAAGATAGCCATCGTCATAGCCATGAGCACCGCATCAAACACATATAGCGTCCACTCATTCTTGAGAGGATAAGCATCATGCCCCATGACGTATTCTATGATACGAAAGACGCAACGAATTAGAATGAGGGCCGAGGTGGCATACAGCATCATCATCATCTTTTGCCAGTCAAAACTCCCTTCTGTTCTGGTGCCGGGCCAGTTCATGCTGTTGCGTCTGTATCGGAGATGGAAGATGACCGATGCACCAACAAAGAGCCCAAAGAAGATGATTTGGATGAACAATCCACCAACAACGATATTTTCGCCCAGCTTCGGATCATCGCCGGCGGCCATCATCCCAGCCCCAGTGCTCTGGATCAAGAATGAAAAGACGTCTCCAACTACGAAAGTAGTCGTAAGCCATTTCACTTTAATGATGGAGCACATCTCGCCCTTAGATCCGAGGCCGCGGATAATTCGACCGAGCGTCATGTAGATGGAGGCGGCAAAGAGAGACGGTGGGATGAGCAGAAAGACGGATTGGATGATGTAGGGCATGAGTTGATCGGTTCCGTTGTGGGCGGCGATTCGGCCGATGAAGCCAACGACTTCCACTGGTCGTTTCGAATTAGTCTCATCATGATGTCGGATGTCTAAGGGGTTGGGAACGTACTATAACCGCCAATGGTAAAGGCAATGCAGAACCAGAGGCGGCAGCGAATCATCTTCCACGTATGTGCTGCCGATAATACGAGAAATAGGATAGTGAAGATAACGGCAGCCGGCATTGATGGAACATAGCTCCATAGGTAGAAGTCGCCTTTGTAAGGGAGAAGATCTCCTCTCGGCGCGAGGGCGTGTAGGCTCGACATTATCGTAGAGAACTGGTAATCGAGGCCGGGTTTCAGGATTGATGTCGACTTTTCGCAACAAGCAGATAATTCGATGCAGAGAGAAAGAGAGAGAGAGAACGAGAGCAAGAAGTGACCAATCAAGGACAGGGTTTACCAGGAAATGGATTGCAAGTATCAAGAAGTCGATAGAAGGAAAAGAGACGAGAGAAAGGAAAGATGCTGATTGACGAGACGACACATAGTGGCCTTCAAGAGCGTCCCGAAATTTAAATGCCGTCGATGTACAATTTTTGACAACATGAACCGCAGGCCCAATAATAGCATCTGAGTATTCAGCAGATGGACACGGCCAGACTTGCCGCAATCGTCACTAACACGCGGATCCCCTGAGAGCGGTGGGAGCGTGCTAGTCTGTGGAGAGCGGTGACCAGAACATCACTGCATTTGAAACAGACCAGTCACAGTACCTGTGACGGTAATTCCGAGACACCGCCGCTCTTCGTCATGCCTGCTGTTGACATCTTACGCGGATGATCCGAGTTTCAGGAGACTGTCCCTCGTCGTGCTCAATTAATGTGCCCACTGTGTCCTGTGAGGGTCTAGCACGGCTGAGGACATGGAAGGATCCGAATCTTTGGTGACTACATGGGATTTACCAGGCAGTCACGGGGCCCCAATCGTGTAAAGACCTGTCCATTCCTCGAGGCCTAAAGCGAGGATTTGTTAGGCTTCTAATTCCAGAAACAGATATGTATCATGCTCCATGTAATAGACAAGCGTCGTAATTACCACGAGCAAATAACGGAGAACAAGACAAAAGCAAAATTAAAGTAGACAAACCGGAGATAACAAAAATACTCAATGTGATCTTGGCATCAATTGTATGCTTTACGTGGTTATGGATTTGAACAGTTACTTGATCGACACGAAATTTAGGAACATCGACAAGCTCTAGGGTACTCAAGCGCGTTTGGCAAACACAATGGAATGATGTCGTGCTTCGAGTTGACGAGCACGGTCTTATGTCGACCACACGTTAATATTATGGGAGTAACTATGCTGGCTTAAATGTCCGAGCCCTCTGTAGTTCTTTTGTTCGTCTCCTGACGTGAGCTCGAGTGTGGTCTTGTTGGACGACTGAACGGAACCTCTTCAGTGTTTGACTTGGCCAAGCTCTTGGACTGCACCCCAAGATATTTGCTTCCTTATTCATCGTATCTACTCTAAGCATTTCCGTAAAGATCATGCAGCCTGCCCGTGACTAGAAAAAAGTGAATTGAAGTCGGTGATCTAATTTAAACACCGTCGAGGCTGGGTCCGCGTATATTTTCCGCAAAGCGAAAGCTCCTCGCAAATTTTCTGAATTAGGTCTAGTGCTCGTATTCAGCGCCAGACTCGGAATAGTGGTCATGACTCGGGGACAGGGGGCGTGTTAAGTTCGCTGCTCCACTGCCTGGACGTCGCCTCGTTATCCCTCCTCGGATTCCCTCCAAAGTCTGCTCCTCTTCTTTCCTCGCATTGCCTCTCTTAACACCATTGGCTTTTTTGTTTACTCGTATTCGAGCTTGTTATCTCATTGCATCATGGAAACTAACCGCGTTCGAAAGCCACGCCAAGGCCATCGCAAGTCTCGAAATGGCTGTGCAGTATGCAAGAAACGCCACATCAAATGCGATGAGCGCCGCCCTGTATGCGGAAACTGCGAAATATCCGAGAGAGAGTGCTACTATGTTGCCCCAAGGCGGGCAAAGGTCGGCTCTAACCCGTACGAAATGGAGCTCACCACTTCGGCATGGCTTCAGACTGCGGCGACGTCGAGGGACTCGGAGTCTCCAGCGTCGCCGGATCTACACGACATCGAATCTGACGAGCTCTTTACCTTTGAACATTTGAAGCTTCTCTACAATATTCAGGAGCACATGATGGATTGGATGATGGTGACTGATTCTTTGAAGCCCCTAGCCAATGGCTACGTCACAGCTGCTTTAGAAACACCATACCTCATGAACCAACTCCTTGCCCTGTCTGCAATGCATCTCAGCACCGCCAATCCCGAGTCGTCAGCCCATTACACGCAAACAGCCAGCAATCTACGGCATCGAGCGCTACGAGGCTTCAACAAGGCGCTCAACGATACCTCGCAAGGAAACGCGACGTCGCAATTCTTCTTTGCTTCGCTCCTGGCACTGCACTACTTTGCCGAAACAATAACGGCTGCTCCCAATCAAGACTTCTCCACGACCCTCCAGCATGTGTTGGAATACTTTCGTCTCCATCGTGGAGCTCGAGTTCTTAGCGATAGGGCACGTTCAACGTTCGTGAGCTCATCAGTCATGGGATGGCTTGTGGCCGCAGTGAAGGAAAGCAAAGAAGGATCACACAGGCCATCCGAATCCTGCTCTCTTTTGGAAACAATGCTCCAGGCGTCAGACCTGAATGAAGAATCGCTTCAAGCTTGCCAAGGAGCGAGGGAAGCTCTTGACTTAGTGTATGGATGGCTCCAAGGCCCCAACGGTTGGGGGGTGCACGCTCTCCTAGGCTGGTCGAATCTGATCCCGCTGCGGTTTCTCAGTCTGTTGGAGAAGCAGACCCCCGAGGCTCTTGTTATTCTTGCGCATTATGCCGTTTTGATGCATCGTTTTCGAGCGTTCTGGTGCTTGGGAGATGTGGGAAAACGGCTGGTAAATGGGATCTCTGGTCTTCTCGCCACGTACTGGGTGGACTGGCTTCCCACGATTGATGACGAATGAAACCTCTGTAGGTTTCTAAAATTCGCGTAATTATTATATATAGAGGATGTAATGTGTATGCCTTGATGGCAAGAGAAAATGCCTTTGTATCTCAAACCTCGTCGAAGCCAACAAATGCATTCTTGCCACCACTGAGCGGAAGACTAATCAACCCAGCTTTCCTCCTAAACATGTCCAGCCATTGAGGATTGTCAGCCCAAGTTTGATCCCATGCATTGTCAGGTCCGTACATCATCTCGCTCATCTTTCTTTGTAGCTGGCGATCCGAAGGCACGCGTCCGTGTGAGATCTCGTCGGAAACATGTTTCAACAGGAGGCGTTCTATCTGTCGGTACGAATGCGCCGATGTCTCGTCTCTGTTTGGCGGTGTAGAGTCAGCCATCCCGGGACTGACCTCATCGCTACTCAGAGGTCCAACGACGTTGGGCTCTGACAAATCCATGCGATGGTCTGCTCTCGAGGCCGAGAAAGGCTCCATCGTGTGTCGCTGTGTGCCAATAAGAAATACGGGCATGTCATTCTCAACGAGATCGTCGATCTTTTGCTCGAAGCCCCTGTTACCCTTCCACTCGCGCATATCCGAGCCACCACGGAAATGCACTGCTAGGTGTTTCTGCCTCTCAGTCCAAGTATCCATACGAGCGTCGCAAAATCCGCAACGCGACTTAACATCGTCGATGGACGAGAGCCAGTTTTTCATCGAGTCATTGAAATTGCATCCCCGGTGGAAGAGACGGAGGTGTTGTCGTAGATGATCTTTGCGATGAAACTGGCGGGCTTCTTCTGGTTGCGCCACGCAGGCGGAATAGTTGTGGATTTGGTGATGCTCGGGTAAAGGGTCGGGTTGGCGGCAAAAGATGCAGTATATACGTCCATCTGGATCCTGGAGGACTGGGCCAAATTTGGAACATCTCAACGACGTTAGATTGCTGAGGATGATGAGCAAGCATTCTAGAAGACTCACTGCCACTGCTCAAGGCTCAAATGCATAGTCGTTTCGTGTCTTTGCCAGTCATGCTTCGTCTTGAAGGTATCTGTACAGAACGTACATTGGTACCTTCTGGGCTCCGGTTCTCCTTCTCTAGCCTTTCTTGACCTTGCAGGTTGCCTTCTTCTACGCCTTCTCCGTGAGGCAGAGGGCGATGAAGTAAAGGAATCCCAAGACCCTACTGAAGAGTCGGAGCGGGTTCCGGCTTCTGCACTGAAGGGTGGCAACTCAGGTCGATATGGTAAATTGTGGGAGATTATGGGGTCGGAGGACAATGATAGAGCTGTTGAATCCGGAGCATCAGACTGGAATACCCTAGATAGGTGGCTATGAGCGGTTGATGAGAAACGAGATGAGGGCTCCTACCTTTGCCATGGGTCGGTTGCTAGTTGTAGAGGGTCAGGGTGTAAGTTGAATATGTCTTCAACGGCGCCAATGGATGCGCTGCTATGAGACCGAGTGTTGACAACGCCGGGAAGAGCTGTGTCCCCAACGTTGTCTGCATCATCCTGTGCCTCATCGAGACCACCCACAGCCCCGAGGTACCCCACATCATGCTCAGGAAGCCATGACATCCAGTCTTCGCCGGTAGGTATCTGATCGGCCTGAGCCCGGATTGTTTCGGACGGAGATTTCTGGGAGTCCATTTCTTGCTGTGACAAGGTCAAGGAGATCATGCAGGTCCATTGAGCGGCATCATTGATCCAGCGTTATCGGAGTCATCGGCTCTTAGCACAGGGCGTAAAACTTTACGCCCTTGACAAGCCCCGCTTTTGTATGCAGCTCTCAAGAACGTTATCAAAGCGGCTTGGTTGGAGCCAAGACATAATTGAGAAAGGCGGAGAAAGGGTGGACTTGACAAGATTCTGTGACATATCAAGCTCAAGTCTTTTGTCAATCCTTTTGTCTGTGTTTGCGTTGTCGAGAAATCTACACTGCCGTCATGTCTCTTGGTTCCTCCCAACTCAACGGTGCATCGGCGCCAAAACAACGGCTCGATGCATCCAAACTCAAGTTCACACAGTCCACAGTCCTTCATCCAGTTCCTGAGCCTGGATCTCCAGAACTGTGGGCACAGAATGTGCACACCGACCACATGATGACATGCCGCTGGACTGCCGAGAAAGGCTGGGACGTGCCAGAGCTCAAACCATTTGCCGACTTTAGCATCTCTCCCCTCGCTTCTTGCATTCATTATGCGACTCAATGTTTCGAGGGCATGAAGGTATATCGAGGGTTCGACAACCGTGTCAGACTCTTCCGACCGGATCGAAACGCGAAGCGCTTGGTCATGAGCGCAAAAAGAGTGTCCCTTCCCGAGTTTGATGATGCGGAGCTTGTGGAATTGATCAAGGCACTGGTTCGCACGGATGCAAAGAGTACGCATTGTCTTTGCTAAAGGATACGTCAAGAAAACGAGTACTGACATTTTGGCAGGGTGGCTTGCGGAACCCGGAAGCTTTCGCTACGTCCGGCCTGCATTGATAGGAACCGGGCGTCAGTTGGGCGTTCAGATCCCTAGAGAAGCAGTTCTATTCGTTGTCATGGTTTGCTGGCCCGACTTTTCCACCGATAGTCCACCTGGTGTCACGCCTAGATCTGATCTGCGTCTACTCACATCAAGGAATGATACCATCCGAGCCTGGCCTGGTGGCTTCGGCTACGCCAAAGTCGGTGCCAACTACGGCCCCAGTTTCGCCTCTCATTGCGAGGCACAAGAATCAGGCTATGACCAAATTTTGTGGCTCTTTGGAGATGATGGCCAAGTTACGGAAGCAGGCGCCAGTAACTTTTTTGCTGTGGTCAAGGATGAACGCACCTCGAAACTGCAGCTTCTCACTGCGCCTTTGGATGACAAACTCATCCTTGACGGTGTTACTAGACGATCTGTTCTGGAACTGGTTGAAAGCAGACTGACGGACGAATTGATGGTGAAGGAGGCAAAGTTCACCATGTCAGATCTCGAAAAGGCCTGGAAAGAGGGTCGTCTTCTTGAGGCGTTCGTATCGGGCACAGCTGTGAGTAGGGAAGTGTTAACCCTGAGAAGCGTTTTCTGACACGTTCTTTCAGTTCTTTATCAAGGATGTGTCGACCATCCGCGTGGGTAATCGTAATCTCGACTTGACACAGAATAATGATGGTACTGGCAAATTTGGGCCACGAATCAAAGGTTGGTTGAAGGATATCATGTTTGGGGTTGAAGAGAACAAATGGGGCGTGGTTGTTTAACGAGGGGCATGTGGGTGTATTATGACACAGATATAGTCATTTACCAACCTACCTCAAGAATAAAGTAGGTGGGACGTCTATTCAGTATTGACTGCCATTGGCTCCAAAGGAACGTAAGAAACTAAATAACTAGAGCGAGTAAACTGCATAGGATGGGTCAAGATATTCTTTGATTTAGAAGAAAAGATAGGTATGGAACAGAGGGACTGAGCTGAAATGTTATCACCGTGAAGCCGTTACGTGAAGGGTGTGTGAAAACCCTGCAGCAATGTAGTAGTAAACTGGGCGGAAAGGGTCGAATAAACTTCCGGTGATGGAACCCGAGTCGGGACTAATGGGCATATAATAAGCGTCCACGTCGCCTCTGCTGACAATACTTGGCCATCACCGCGCCTACCACGGCAGAACCCAGGTGAGTATAGAATCATGGCATCCGGCAACGAACCGATCTCCCTAGGTTAGTGCTACTGACAAAAAACCTCTGCAAACATTACTAACTTATGTCTAGGCGTTTTGGGGCGGTATTACTCTGCACGACACACTTTAGGCCAGTACCGCTCGGCTTCCGTGGTAGCATCCTACACGATCTTGGGAGAACATGACCTGGGTTCATCTTCTCCCGCGAAAACTCGTCTCCACTTTGCCCTAGAACGTTGCATTCAAGCAGCTATTCGACAACACCCTAGCTTATCTTATGGCGTTTCTAATGAGATAAATGCTGGCATCCCTCTGTTCAGGCGGTTAGATTTCATCGACAGAAGGGACGTCCTTGAGGTTGTTGATAGTCGACATATCTCAATGAAGTTCGGAACGAATCAAACCACGCCGGATGTCGTGCTCTCTCAGATCCTCGGCGAGAGACATGCCGACCTTTGGTTGAACAACAAACCGGCCTGGAAGGTCATCGCCATTGAGCACATTCACAGCCCCCACGGCCAGGACCCAGAGAACGAAAGACTTGCAAGGCTCGATATTGCCTTTTTGGCACACCACGCCATCGCTGATGGCTTAAGTGGGATAGCCTTTCACAAATCCCTGATGGAAGCCTTTCAGAATATGCCGGAACTATCCTGTCCACCTACTTGGCCTATGGTCATTGCACCAAAGGATGCTCCAACTGGGGTTGAAGAGCGGGTAGACTGCCTCTCATGTACCTGTACCATCTGCAGCAGCCCCAGCACTTGCAAAGGGCCGGTCTGGGCAGGGAAGCCGATATCTCCTGAGCCATTGGGCGACTTCAAATCGATGATCCGGGTTCTTTCCATACCAGCAGAGAAGCTTTCCAGTGCGCTCAAGAGGTGCAAGACTTCCAACATCACTCTCACTGGCCTTTTGCACGCGATGATCTGCACTTCTTTTTGTCGTGGTGTGAAAGGTGTCCCGGGTATTCGAGCCGTGACACCATTTTCAGTGCGAAAGCTGACGGGTGCGTCGGAGAGAGAGATTTTGAATCACATCTCTTTCTTATCAACTTATGTATCTGGAGCGGACCTCGGCAAGGTCGAGAACAGCAAGCGTGGATCGACAATAGAGGAGCAACACAGTATCCAACTAGCACAATTTTTCAGCAGCGACATTGCAACCAAGGTCAAGCAATTTCCTCACGGAAGCATGTTCACTCATCTGAGCGGCATCAAAGATTTTCTCTCGCTCTGCCAAAGTCAAGCAGGTATAAAATGACTCTACACATACGAACTATCGAACCTTGGCTCAGCAAGCAGCGTCCCAACTCAACCTAGCGACCACCTCAAGTTGGACAAGCTGATTTTCACGCAGTGTGGAATGGTTTGCGGCCCGGCTATCGGCTTCAACTGTGTAAGCATTCGCGGTGGTTCCTTTACTATCAGCATTACCTGGGAGCGTGGTGTGGTTGAGGAATCACTGATTGAGCAGGTGGCACGGGATCTTGAACTCCAGCTTAACTATGAGGGTCATATAGATTCATAACGGTAGATAACATCAGCCATCCTAGATCATTATGGTTCCAATGGCAAAGCATCGGCGAGGCCTTGTGAAAGTGTTGTCTGGCTTGCGCGTCGTCAACGGCATCGACGCCCAGATCCCATTGTTGGCTCCCTTTAGGGTCCCCGAAGCCGAAATATGGCCGTATGAAACCGAGGGCCAAGACAACTCGAGCCGAACCGATTACGGGGTCCGATTGTGCTGGGCCTCCCTAGACACCGAGGAAACATACAGGTGGAGTGGGAAAAAGGTTGGGCGTATTTCGAGGCGCATGAATTGGCGTAAATATTAAGCTTGATAAGGCGCGGTGAAAGGCGCAAATTTGGGCGTGTTTTAAGGCGCGTTCGGAGAGTGAGGGGCACGATAAAGCAGGGAAACGCAGGGCGCAATAAGCATGGCAATCCGAAGAAGTTCGATTTGTCAGATCGTCAAGCCAACATGGGAACCAAGATTGAACCAGAGCCCCTCAAAGAATGGATCGTGCTTATTCCCGATATCGAAGGCTCATTGGAGACAAGGATGAAGGTACGAGAGTAAGTCCCGTTTCCTCGTTTATCTACGCCGGAGAGGTAATAGATTTGCAGAACACACATCAAAGAGATGATTAAACATATCGACTCTGGGCTATATCAGATGGGAGGAGGTACACTGAAAGGGGATCAAGTTGGTGGAAGCGCAATTATTGCTCGTGCGAAGACTGAAGCCGACGTCATGGAAGTCCTCAAGGCCGATATTTACACAAGGAGCGGTGTTTGGGACCTCGATAAAACGCAAATGATTCCCGTGAGTACTAAATTCTCTCCTAAATGCCAGTGATATTTCTGACAAAGACCATAGTTCAAGTGTGTTTATAGGCGTACATGCGTGGATGAGAAGATTATGGGGGATCTCTGGAAGTATTGATATCACGTGGGGCTCGTAATGCTATTATAAATCATTGCTATTATAAATTCAACTCCATGCCCAGTTTCTCCTCTTTCAACTCTCACATCTGGGAATTACATCAACCACCATGAAGTCCACTGCCATAATTCAGCAGGGCAAGTCCCTTGTTTTAGGAGAAGCAGAACTGCCGCCTTTGAAAGAACATCAGGTCTACGTCAAGGTCGAATATGCCGCATTCAACCCCACCGATCGTATGCCCTCACACAGCCGTGATCCTTGTCTAGAACTGACTGTCAAGGACTTGCACTCGATGTCGACGCGTTTGGGGATGGGGCTGTTCTGGGCTGCGACTTTGCCGGCACCGTAGTCGAAGCTCACCCGAGCGTGACCAAGATCCAGAATGGTGATCAGATTGCCGGCTACATTTGGGGTGGTACGTTTCCATCCTTGAGCTCCTTAATCGCAAAAGCTAATGGTTTTCACCCGTATCAGGCGAGATCAAGGGACTGGGCGCCTATTCGTGAGTCTCCGTCAGCCATATCTTCTGACACCGCTAATTGTCGAGCCATAGAGCTTACACCATCGCAGACGAGCGTCTGTCCTTCAAAATCCCAGACAATATCAGCGCTCCTCAAGCTTCTTCAGTCCCCTTGGCAGCCAACACGTCATGGCTTTCTCTGTTCTCGGAGGACTGCCTTGCAATCAATCGGGACAGCTCGGCCAAGAAGACGCCTCTGCTGGTTTGGGGAGGAAGTTGTAAGTCCGAACACTGATGCCATGAAGAGATTCGCTAATAGCCATGAAAGCTGCTGTGGGTATCTTTGCTATCCAGATCGCCAAACTTCATGGAATTGAAGTCGTCACAACATGCAGCCCCCAGAAGTTTGAACTGGCCAAGAGTGCTGGAGCAACCCACGTTTTCGATTACAACGACCCCGAAGTTGCCTCAAAGATCAAGGCCGCAGTGCCGGATCTCCAGCACGTCTTCGACACCATCGGAAACACTACCTCGTCTGCAACTGCCGCTCAAGCCATTGGCAAGCCCGGAGGTGTGCTTTGCACGGTCCGGCCGGGCAAGGTGAACACAGAAAATGTTCCCTCCACCGTCAAAGTCACGGATGTTTTTGTCTTCACGGCATTCCCAACAGAACACAACTATCGTGGAAAAGCCCATTGGCCCGTAAGAACTCCCTGAGCTACGTATTGATCAGATCTAACACATTGGTAGGTCAAAATGGGAGACCATAAACTTAGTTCCGAATTCCATGGCCAGTTGGAAAGCTTACTTGGCAATGGCTCCTTGAAGCCAATTCCGATCCGTATCCTTGGAAAACTCAGTCCTTCTACTGTTGAGGAAGCGATGAACGCAAATCGCGAAGGTCGCATTTCACGTGAGAAGCTAGTATTTGAAGGCCTGTCGGAGCAAGAGTAGAAACAGCCAAAGAGTCGAAGGTTGGCGAGACTACCCTGCATAGACCTGACTAGTGCAAGGCCGTCAAACTTTTCATTGAATTGTGATCTCACGGCTTCCCATTCTCGACATTTCCACACGTTGTCGTCAATATTTATGGGATGTGTAGGGTATCTAGGAGTGATTAGAATGTAGTTCTATCTCATCGTATACCTCCGCCCCTAGAAAAGAAAAACAGACTTGAATTACATTCTCTCAGATTTGCTTAGCTTTGGAGATAACAACTGTTACTCTCTGCACGTGGATGGCACCCTAGACAACGCATGCTTGTGCCGTTCAACCCTGGCCACGCGGCATTCAAGGCGTGCAGTAGCTGCTGTGGAACCTACCTAGACTGTTGAGGTGTGACAGTTGGCTTGGAATGAATCGATATATTAACAGCTATCTTCCAGGTCTTATGCAACTATTTTACTGATCATTTTACTGTCGTGCCGACTATTTATCAAGAACAACATGCGGCCAATGGGGTCTCGGCTTGTACCAAGTCCACGATACCGGGACCTAGCTACGGTACATTCCAAGGGCCGTTTGCGCTCTAGATGCTGCCCCATCATTCCAGGAACCTAAGGGGCAGGCGATTCACGTTTCTGACACGATAATATCGATGTCTCATGGTGGGAAACCATTTGATTAGTGCGGGCGATATTGAATTGTGGCTTCGCGGAGGAAACCGACCGGACCATTTAGGTTTGGGAAGTCCTTGGAGACTGGGCTGGCGTAGAGATTGGCTACGGAATGTTGACGGATCAAGGGATTACTGCCACTAACTGAAGCACTATCTTCGTGGAGCCTGGCATGATAAAAGTCGCTTGTCTAGATCTCGATGATATCTGTGTGATGCTTCTACTCAGACTCAGCTGCTATAACAAGGGTCTGTTCCGTTAATCAGCTCAGTCGCCCTTGATCCAGGTGTCATCTCCAAATCCTGACCCCCCTAGGACTATCTATGGCCAATAATTGGCGCCACACAGCCGCCAATCTGGAGATGGCCGACAATAGAGTTTCGACGTGAAAGGGGTGGCTTGCGCCTCTTCCGGACCAGACAGAGATGGACTGGAATTTCATTGACGCTCTCTGCTGTCACGTTGCCCCCCGGAAATGTCTCCCCATCTTTCTTCCCAGCAACGAGTTTTGAGATGAATATTCTCCGATAATCACCATTGAGTGATCTATAAGCTAAGTGACAGCTGGAGGGACGAGATGGTGTCAAGTCAGACCGTAATAGTGAGTACCTCAGGCTATGAACCCCTCCAGTCACCTCGCGGATGATCGTGAGCATAGATCAGGCTGACCATGTCCCCACAGAGCATTGAGTGGACCTTTATGGTCCTTGCCTACGTGTTTGTCGCTTGTCGCCTCTATGTCCGGCTCTTTATGCGAGGACTCAGGCTCTATTCGGCTGATTACTGGCTGATCGTGGGTCTGATGTGTTGTCAAGGATTGCTAATATGCGACACCTTGACATACAGCATGAATGCTACGAATGACTTTACGATAACAAGTGTGTCCCTCGACAAGGTACGTTCAGTCGGGAGGAGCTCAGCGAAAAGCTGAGCTGACTGGTTTTACAGATCAGATTTGCAACCAACTACTTCTTCGACACTGGCATATACTTCCCCAAGTTCAGCATCATCGCCTTCTACTACAGCCTGACCCCCCCGAAGCACCCTGAGATGAGAATAGCGCTCCAGATCTTGACCTTCATCACTGGGGCATTCGCTCTTATCACGTTCTTCGGAAACACCTTCTGGTGTGGGCCAGACCCATCCGTCAACTGGTGAATAACAACACAGTCCCCATTCCTCGTACGGGAAATATCTAGACTAACCAGCGACGCATAGGAGGAGGACTAGTGACGAAAGTTGCACCGTGTTCTCATCTATGGACCTCATGCGGCTGAACTGGTCTCTCAATTTCATCACCGAAGTGCTAAGTTAGTTTCACCCTTGGGAGGCTAGGGCCCTTGTACAAACTAGGTTAACTAATACTATCTTAGATGTCGCATTCCCATTTCCGTTGATCTTTGATCTTAGTCTCCGATCTCGTCGTGAAAAAGTCGCCCTCGGCGTCATCTTTGCCCTGGGAACAATTACCATCGGCGTTAGCGTCGGACGGTTTGTCACCATGCTCCATGTGAGCAATGACATCTCTATCTGTAAGTCTTCGAAGTAGAACACCACGCTCATCATCTCACTAACGACATTAGACATCTGGGCCACTGCCGAAATCTGCATCTCGGTCATTGTCGTCGCCCTTTCCGCTCTTCGGCCTCTATTGCAAAAGCTATCCGGCATGGTCTCCACGGACCCGGGCAGCAATCTCCCTTCAGGATACAACATCTCCTCGATGAGCCAGCCAAGCAAACCATCTACCCGGACAAGGGACCTAGAGGCGTTTTGGGAAACTGGGCCCGGGGCTCATTATAGTAGTGTTACGGCCATGGCATCTGGGGAGCATTTGACAGGGAGCGAGGTGGAACTGAATGGTATTGGGGGTATTTTGAGGACGCAGCAGGTATCGATGTCGAGCGAGACGATTTCAAGTTTTATGACAAGGTAGATAGTTTTTAGACTTCAACAGATAATCACATTTCATCTCCACTATCTTCCTTGTTCCCAAGATTGTCGTCCCACGGCGACGAGGTATTCTTTCAGCAAGACGACCTAATGCTCTGACTCATGCCGAGACTTTGAGCTTCTCGAATAAACTGCGGACCGAGCAGCAAGAATTGGATCCTCTGACGCCTCAATGCCATCCACACCCGGGATAGGGCTAAAAGCAATCGTCTTTTCACAGGTATCAGCTTCATTCGCCTCCATCACCCTGGCAATCTTCAGAGTTCCCAGGTCGATCAATGGACGATCTTCGGGCCAGATCTTGGTGCAATCATCGGTAACATCACCCTGCTCGGCAACCTGGGCAACCAGTGTGAAAACCATTGGGCCTTCAGACAAGATCTGTGGCAATTCCTCAAAGAGAAAGTTCGGTGATTTGGTCTTGAGCTCATCCTGTGTGAGGCTCTGCTGACCTGCCAAAGGCACCCAGCGATACCGAATGAAGGCCGTCTTTCCTTCAGAATTGATCATCTTGAAGGCATTGATCGAGTAGAATGTGTTGTGGGCAAAGCTCTTTGGTATCGGCCGGTGCTCTTGGGCAAAAGCTGCAGCAGCTGGGTGCGAGCTCGCATACTCAGTCACAGTACCATCCCTAAGACTCCGAAAAAAGGCCAGCACCTCCTCCCCATCTGAACCTGGGAAGAGCTTGGAAGCATGGCATATGATGTCGGTACCGAGTCGCGAGGCTGGGTCGAGAACAAAGCGGACGGCGAGGCCGTGTGGGGTTGCTCTTTCATCGGTACTTAGCAGGTCGGGGATGCCGGTGAACAGAGAGAGGCGGGCAATGACGAAAGTTGGATGACTAAAATGAGGTGCCGTTGATAGTTCTTTGGCCGCTTCGGTTGGGGTGAAGGATCCGGTTACGAACACGCCTTTGGCATGCGCTGGGGGCAGTGTCACTAGATAGGAAAAGCAGATGGGAGATACAAGACTTACAGGAGCGCACCGTGGCGAATTTGCCGAAAATATCCTGGAGGGTACCGATCAAATTCTGAGCAAGATTGCTAAGAGCCATTGTCAAAGATGTGGAGTTGTGGCAGAACAGCTTGAGGAAGAATCAAGGTGATCACGATTTCCATGGACTTGGAGTCTCACTCTTTGGGCTACTTATACATCCCTTCAATCTCACCTCATCCTGAATCTTGGGCACAACTTTGGACATAAGCATGCTTCTGGCACTCGCTGTTTGGCCGTGATTAATCAACATGCCGACGCCACGCTTATCCCGTGGCAGCACCTGCTGATTACATGAGATGAGGAGAAAAGAGACATCTCCTCGGGTTGACAAATACCACCGATCTGATAGGAGTAAGCTGACCCCGGTCTCCGGAAGACAGAGATGCCGGTGCACCCGTTTTAGCCGCGGTGACGGCCCCACTTCAGAGACGATCCTCCGGCCCCACTCCGCCGTCATGGTAGATGGCATTCTTGCCGAACACGATATCAAGGAGTTCAGCGCTGAGGTTTAAGATAGCACTCGTTAGCAATATTCGGGAAATCATTTTTTGTTCTTCTGGCTACCATGACGGCCCGTTCTGTGATGCTTAATGCATCTCGATTTGCCTGTACTCAAATGACATCAATTGTCAGTCGCTCCAACTTTCACATCTCGACACGCTCCATGATGGCGCAAACCGAGCCAAAGGCCCAAGACTGGTCCGCATCTCAGTACTTAAAGTTCGCCAAACAGCGTACTCGACCCTCCCGCGATCTCCTTGCCCAAGTGCCCCTCGAGTCTCCTAGTTTTATCCTCGACGTGGGCTGCGGACCAGGCAACTCGACCCAAGTCCTGGTAGACCGTTACCCCGGCGCCGTGATCGAAGGAATCGACTCTTCTCCCGGCATGATTACCGAAGCGCGAAAAGCCCTACCTCAGATCAAGTTTTCGGTCGCCGATCTGAAAACGCATACACCGCAGAAGCCGCTGGATTTGGTATTTTCCAATGCCGTCTTCCAGTGGCTCAAGGCCGACGAACGAGTTCCTACGATGAAGAGAATGATGCAATGGCTTCGCCCAGGAGGAGTGTTGGCGATCCAGGTTCCAGACAACTACCTCGAACCATCGCACATTGCAATGCGTGCTGTTGCGAATGAAGGCCGCTGGGCCAGCATCTTGGGACCGCTCCGTCCAGCCCTTGACCAGTTTGCCACACCTCAACAGTTTTATGATGAACTTAGTCCACTCTCTTCATCCGTTGATATCTGGCATACTCTTTATCAGCACCCCTTGGACGATCATCAGAGTCTTGTGGAGTGGGTGAAAGGCACGGGTCTGCGGCCATTTCTCAATCCCCTTAGCCCAGAAGACAAAGAGGCCTTTGCAGAGAGTTATCTTGCCAGGTTGAAAGACATTTATCCGGTTTCTGTTGATGGAAAGGTTCTTCTGAGATATCCACGACTTTTTATGATTGCTGTGAGAGAGTAAGGAACCTCAAGAAGTGACGAAAGTAAAGATTTGTCGCTGTAAACATTGCTAGGTGGAAATTCTAATGATGCTTTTTGCCTCCATGCCCTCACTCCCAATCCTCAGTGCGCGCGTGGTCATTCTCGTTGAACGCGTCAAAGTCATTACCAAAGACGGCCTGCATATCAATGTCACCATCAAGCATGACATCCCACGACGAGACATCTAGAGGAACGTTCCAAAACGTAAGTTGGCCATCTAATGGCACAATATTCGGGTGCAAATAGGGATTTGCCACCGGGATCTCGTCCCGGGCAGCAGATGGAACTGGTAGCTTGGGCACGCCGCTAAGCCGTTTTACCTCGTCTGACAGACGGCCAAAAGCCAGGAGGTGAGGAGTTACTGCCAACCATTTTCTTGACAAATTCTGCAACATCGTCTTGCAATCATCCATGCCTTGAATGATAGTAGCCGGTTCGGGGTTCGGCTTAGTTGATTCGTCCTGACCAGATTGTGATAGAAAAAGAGGGATGTAGATCCCGCAATACAGTAGAGTGAATCCCGAGCGGAGTATGTCCTGCACATGTGTCCTAGGATACCATTGTTAATTCGGACTTTCGCGTATGGTTGCTGTAAATGCAAAAGGACTTACCAGATTGGGAGATCTACTTTTCTCTCAAGCAAAGTCTGGTATTCATAAACAATATGCACTGCCGCATCGAGACAGTATCCGAGATGCTTGATATCAGGAATGGATTGCGTCCTTGTTTGCCTGGAAGGAAAAGCAAGAGGAGTGTAAATGAATAGTCGCTCCCGGTATAAGTTGATGTTCAAGTATTCAACAGTGTCAAAGAGGCAGCTTGACGTTGCATCAGTGCTTTTAACTTCATGCAAACTTCGCCATTCCTCCAGTTCTTGAGCAAGCCCGGTCGCCAAAGCTTCCTTAGTGGCTATATCTTGGTTCACGGCACTTCTATTCGGGGTGTATAGTGTCGATCGGACTTTGGCGGATATCTTTCTCAACGCTGCTTGTCGAATTAATACGGAGACCTCGCTGCGGACGCCGGATCTGGATGTGGGTAAATGTCTGATCTCGTCGAGGCAGATTTCTTCCGGCATCTGCATGTACTACAGTTCAGTAAGGGAGTACCATTGGATAAGGGAGCCACAAGGATACGTCTACGCACCTGAACCGTAATCTCGGAATCGGATATCATAATAGGCCGCCCCAGATTACATGCCGAGAACCTCTCTTGCACGTAACAACACCAGAACAATCGCCTCTGAATCTGCTCTGTGACAGGGTCTAATGGTTTCACTGGCTTCTTGTGGTAGCCAAGTTGAATGCAGATGCGCATTGCCTGGCGTGCCAACTTCCACTTACTTCCAACTGCATCGATATCAGCCGACACTACATGACCAGAGGAGGCACACGGAACGGGGATTTTCCATACTGCTAATGTCATTCAAATGACTAAACACCAATAAAAGCATCGTGTTTTGAATCTGAGCGTCACATGGGGGTTCTGACAGAATATCGGCGTATTGGATCGCGGACGAATAATAGGCGAATGGGGAGGCTGACGACTGAGTCTGTCGGACAAGAGATGTTGCCACAGCAAGTATCATGAAGAGCTGGAACATGTCGTTGCGCCGCTGAATCCGCGATGTACCGACTGCCCGATTATCGTAGAGCCGTTCAATCTGATGGTAAACCTCTTTTCGTCTCATAAACGGAGAAACCTTGTGGAATCCCAGATCGAAGCTGACACTTCATGGTTGGTATCAAGATATGGAGGGCGAAAGGAGAAGGCGCACTATAGGTCTGCAAGTCTACAAGTAACAGACAGAGGCGGCAGGTCCATCTTCTCTGCTGGAGCCGACTCTGGGGGTGGTTCTTGGCGGGTGTCGACATAAAATCTGGAATTGCTTGGGAAATGGGTTGCCAGTGCTAGAGCAACTAGATTCCCAAGGCTGTGTTTGACCCATTAGAATCGTGCCTGTTTGAGAAGCGAGAAGCTGACCTGAAGAGACTCCCATCACTAGTATCCGGATTGTACTTGACGGAACTGTCAGAAAGGTCGTCAGGAAACCTGCTATTTCTGTCGAGAACCACCAAGCTTGGATGCTCGATAGGAGCTTCTTGATGGCTCTGTTCCCGAAGGCGCCGGCGAAGAGAGGCGATTTTCTCTTGAAGGTCCCCCAGGTATCTATATCTAGGATCAATTCGCATTCGCAGCTCTTCAAAATCGCTCGCACCTTCGTTCATAATGCCGCCCGGACTTCGGATCCACCGCGACACAGACCGTTGCAGCCTTTTCGCAATTCGCACAAGTTAAGAGATTCGCATCACACTGGTACTCAAATATAAACATGTTGGCTATCTGTTTTCCAGACTATGGATTGACGTACTTTGAGCTTCTTAGACCTGCAATGCAGACAGGCGCTGGTGGTCTTGGTCGGCTGTGCCAAGGACATCGTGTGGATTTTGCAGATGGGAGCGATAAGATGTTACTAACGCAATGGCCGGCGTAGACTAAGTTCTTCAGAAAAGAGCTTAGCACGTGATGGGAGTTGGTGTTGCCACGGCCGCGGAGAAAGCAGTGTCAGAGACAAGACAATATGGGGACCACACGTAGCGAAACTGGGTTTTAACTAACGTTAGTCTAGAGAGTCACGGCCTTCTTTTTCTGTAGCGGGGCCATCTTGACGACTCTACGATGCCAGGGTTGCCAATACTTACGGGTTACGAGCATGGTGATGATCCAATCCATCCAAGAGATCCATGCAAGTTCATCTCGTAGATTAATAAGCCCGAGTATCCCATTCGATCTTAGTTATCTGCTGAGGCAATTGAAGCAAGTGCCTGACGGCCCAGCGCCCTCATATGCCTGCCGAGAAGTGCCATAATTTATGCCGCTTTATCTCCGAATGGCGGATCTCACTCCGAGCGCCCTCACGGAGCCATGTCCGCCCGCCCTCAACAAGCGGCAGAACCATCACAGACGATCGAAAAAAAGCCGGAATAGCGGCTACGTCCAACACTCAAGAAGTTTTTCATAAATGACGATTTTGATTCAATAAATGATTACATACACCCACAAGGAAAGAACCAACACTCTCCTCAATCTTCTTTATCCCGCTTGCAGCATGGCCACCACCGCTATTCGCTCCCGCTTCTGGCGCGGAGGTGTCTGCAATGCCCTCATTTTTTGCCCCGCAGACCTCCCCGCAGATCGGACAACTTGGCAGAAGCTATTCGCCAATGCAATGGGATCTCCGGATCCTTACGGCAGACAACTCAACGGCATGGGTGGTGGAGTCTCATCCTTGTCCAAGATCTGCATCGTGTCTCCGTCTACTCGAGAAGACGCCGATGTGGACTTTGAGTTTGTGCAGGTTGTCATTGAAGACGGGGCCCTGGATCTGGCTAGCAACTGTGGCAACATGACCGCTGCCATTGGTCCTTTTGCATTGGATGAAAAGCTATTCTCGCCTTCAGCCACGCAGCTCTCCAAGCAACCCGGCCATACTACGGTCAGAATCTTCAACACAAACACCAAAAAGGTCATTGCGTCTACCTTTCCAATCCATGGCCAGCCGCCCCGATTTCAACCCCACGGGGCTTACAAGATGGATGGTGTGCCGGGCACCGGCTCCAAAATCTCCCTGTCCTTTCTATCTCCTGGGGGCACGCAGACTGGAGCAGTGTTCCCCACTGGAAACGGCATAACTTCAATGGCCACCACTGGCAAGGATGGAGGCCATGTGCAGGCTTCATTAGTTGACGTCGCGAACCCCGTCGTCTACGTCGACGGCGCGTCCTTTGGAATCTCCGCCGATGTCACCCCTGCCGAACTGGATCAGAAGACGGGCACCATGATATCTCTAGAAAGCATCCGTCGGGAGGCTGCATCCCTGATGGGCATGAACCCCGATGTTGCCAGTGTCCCCAAACTTGTTATCCTGTTTCCTCCCCAGGGCACAGACGCCAACATCACATGTATGGCGTTGTCCATGGGCCAAGCTCACAAGGCCATTCCTTTGACGTTGGCTCTAAATCTCGCTGTGGCGTGTCGGTTCGAGGGTAACTTGGCGTCTAAGCTTGTCAAGGAGGTGGGAGGAGATGGGAAGATTACGATCCAGCATCCCAGTGGTACCATCACAGTAGGGACGGAAATTAAGGGAGACAAGGTGGAGAGTGCTACCATCTATAGCACAGCGAGACTTTTGATGAGTGGAGAGGTCAATGTTGATTAATGGCAGGCAGAATCTCCAAATAAATACCTAGTTAAATATGGGGAGTCTCAAATCTGCGTAGTGGACTTGATTGATGTGGCACCGAGGAGGCGCGCACGCTCTACGACGACGATCCAGAGGCCTGTCTCAACTTTCTGTGACAAGAAAAAAACGATGAGAGCCCAGTATGCGCCGATTCAGACGAAACTCTGGAGCTTGAGCCCACCCAGGAGCCTGTCCCTCTAATCGAGCCTCAATCTGCTCCCGAGGCCACCGACTCCCCGTCCCATTCCCTATTAAATCTAAGGCTGAGAGCCCCATAGCCCGATTCCAAGGCCTGTAGTGACAATCTGGGAGCAAGCTAGTGTTAGGTGAGTGGCCAGCATTGCCTTTTCGACTAGTGTAGGAGCGATAAGGCGTCCCGGCTAGGGAGGCGGCAGCTGTATCTGTCGATGTTGACTTGGATGTCATGATGTGGTCTCGTGTTTATCCAGTTCACGATGATATCAAACGCCAATCATTCATTCACTTGATGTGACTATAAACTACTTATTCTAGGCAACAGTCTCTTGCATAAGATCATCCGGCCATTTTGGTGCATCTGCCCCATTACCCCTAGTGCCCACGTTGTACCCAAGCTTCACCATACCATGCCAGTCCGCCACGCCCTTGACACATTGAAACTTCTTATCGCCAAATATACTAGGAGAAACTCGTTCCTCAAAGAACTCTGGCTTGAACAGTCTTTCGCTGGCTACACCTGACCGCAGTCGACCAAGAACTTGAGGGACGGAAACACCATTGTTGTGCCAGTGTTGGTAGACCGTGTTGTCGTGCTCAGCCCAGACTTTGGCAAAGACATCAGTTGGGTATGTGCCCACGGAGCGGATGAGCCATGCGCTGTAGTAGTTGAGGGCGAGATCGATACAGTACGATCCTCCGCTCTCGGCACGTCGCAGAATTGCGAGGAGAACAGCACAGGATCCGGCTATGCCTGTGCAGTAGTCGCTATGAGGAAATAGCGGCGTGACGGGATCGCCATGGCCCATGGCCTCTCCGAAGGAGTGACTTAGTCCAGTGTTCTGCTTTAACATTAGAACTTGAAGGCGGACTTCAATGGGATGCCAACTCACCGCGTCTGCAATCTGCTGCCATCCACTCCTATCCTTCCACGGGCCGTACCACCCGTAGCAATTCTCCCGGACATAGATGACACCCTCGTCCCTGCCCTTGCACATGTCGATGATATCGTCTTGACCGAATCCATACTTATCAAGCACGCCAGGCCGATAGCCCTGAACAACAACATCAGCTTCCAAGATGAGTCTTCGGAGCTGCTCACAGTCTTTCTGAACCCGAAGATCCAAGCTGCAATTCCATTTACCCCAGTTGAGGTCAGCTTGGAGGGAGACGACATCTGGCAAGTGAGGAGCGGTGCAACGCATTACACTCGCGCCTAGTTCTGCCAAACTGCGTGTGATGCTTGGACCAGCGATGATTCGCGTGAGATCAACTACCTTCAGGCCAGCCAAAGGTCTCGAGGGGTCGGCTTGAACATTTGGAGATGCGAACCAGCATGGAACTTGGTTGGTATTCGGTCGATCGTGTATCTCCCACAGGCCCACGTGCTCGTTTGCACGGCCATGCTTGGACTGCAGATACTCGCCTGTCGTATAACAAATGGTCCCAGCTTGGCGTGTTTCATCCGTGATAGCTTGTAGTTTCTCGCTATCAAGCTTGCTAAAGGCGTTTTGGAAGATCTGTACGCCATCTTCGTAGGTGCCGACATCTAACTCGGCTGGAAGCCCAACATTTTGAAGCGTGGGAGTGGGGTTGAGTGAGCCATGCGCCTGGAAGAACCGACCATCGGCACACTTGTATATATTCGTTGCGAGGTTTCGATGCGTAGAGGAGTTCATGCGGTGCTTATCGCAGCTCGGAAAATACTGAAACAGCTTCGGGTTTGCTTGGCGCAAGTTGCTGGCCTGGATGTTCTCTCCCTTAGGATCGATTGTCCATAGGAGTGTCGAGAACAGAAACAAGCTGGCATGATCGGTGTTGATGGTGATCTGATGTGACTCAAGGCCATGTCGTCGTTGAAGGATGACATCTACCAGACCTGCTTCCAATGCTTTGAGAGAAGAAACAGCTTCAGTGAAGCGCCAGTTGACAGGTAGTGAAGGGTCGTCGGAGCCTGTGAAGTTGATGGCCGCAGCTCCATTTCGAACCTCAAGCGGGAGGTCCTTGGAAATGAGGGGGTTTTCGAGAATGGCATGTTTGTAAACACCGGCCGTAGATCTTGGGACAGAATACGCCGTAGAGGCGGTAACGTGAGGCTCTTGATCAATAGATCCCATTCTGAAGAGGCCTCTGAAAAAGAGTTGCGAGAGTCAATGAAGGGGAAATGGTTGAAGAGAGTGCAAATGCAAAGACTGCCTTATCAATAATGCCTAATCCTAACTACCGTGTAAATATCCATGCTATATGGACCTCTGTCGGTTGTCGAGGTCGCCGAGATCGTCGATCTCCGAGCGCCCCTTCGGTTCGGGTTGAGGTCCGCTTTGTGGAGAAGGCGGACGCTCTACTCGGCCCCATCTCTCAGGCGGCAGAAGCGGCACGGAGATGAAACCATTGGGCGCTCTTGGCTCCGATTGGTCCGATCCATAGTTACTCGACTGCAATCTCAAGCGCGCCCAGAGCCTGCACACACAGCTCGTAAAGATTTGTCCGTTCCAGAAATTGTATGTTGGGGCTGGGAGTCCGCTCCGGCGACCCCATGTATTCATGGATGGTCCGCAACAAGGATGCATGCTCCGAAAGCCCCTGGAATGTGAGGGATACCTCTTCAACAACTTGGCACGCATCAAGGAACCACTCTTTCAGCTGCGGGATGGCGGCCGCCTTCTGCAGGGTGGGGAGAGTTGCCCACTGGAGGATGTTGACAAGACTTGCCTCAAATACGCTGCATCCGACGATCCAGGGCTTTCTAGTCTTTGCCCAGGAGCGTGGGAACCCCCGTATCTGAAAAGGCGGGAGCGAGATCTCGGAAGGCACGCTTCGCAGCTCCATCAGAGACGACTGGACAGCCAATTGATACGCAAAGAACATGGGCAAGGCTAGCACGGGGTCATCGGCTGTCGTCTCACTCTGTACAAGAGAGTCATAGTCTGTGACGTGCTGTCGAAGATGGCTAGGTGCCGAGTTTTCTGAGAGGCAAAGTGCCCAACAGTAGAGCGCAGAAATGGATGGGAGGCTCGAGCTCTCGTTGCTTGGCTGTTCTGCTGTCAGATGTTGACTATATTCACATCGAGAACGTAGATAAGCAGTTACCTTGTAAGAGATATCCGAAGCTCGTATGCTTGGTGGTAGACCCAACGAGCGGCTGATGGAGCTGCCAGAAATTAACAACTACACACCCTTGTTGGGATATCACCTACAAGTCCAGGAGGTATGCTGATTCGAACAGATGATCACCGCTACACATACTGCTCCTGTATTCTTGTAGATAAGGTTGTCCTTGGTGAAGCCCAAGCACAATACAAGACTGAATGGCCAAGTCGATAAGCTGCCAAGAACTTCCAGTACTTGGATCCAGAAGAGAGTACAGGGTGAGAAGAAGGAGTATCAAGATAGTGTCCCTAGAGTCATTGTATGAGTACTCTTGTGAAGTGGCTATCAAGAAATACTCCGTTGACACATGGACATGCGAAAAGATAGATCCCGGCATCATTGCTGCGCCAATGGCGAGAATGAGATATAGCTGAGACAGATGCTCTGGGTATATCCAGGAATTCGTAGACATTAGTCGCAGGGTTTTCCATACTTGGTCTTCATTGACAATGGAAAAGGTTGCATTCACGCGAGAGAAGAAGCTGTTGATGTAGGTAGCAATTATCTCTCTCTCGGCCTCATCCACAGTCGTCCCACTTGAACGAATACGGAGTTTGGCGGCTGAGACAACCAATCCCCGGTTGCTACTGTTCCTGGGGAGTCCACGAGGGCTGCTATTATCGAGCTCCAAAGCACGCCGGGTCATCTCCCGAAGACCGTATAACTCACCTCGATACAACGTTGCAGTCTCAGGTTCCTTGAGGATTGTCAAATCGATCATATCAGGACTTTGTGTCTGGTGTTCTTTTGATACGAACGACTGCTGATGGGTGGGCGCTTCGGAACTTCGGTTTTGATCATCACCCTCGGAGAGCTTAGATTCGAGGAGGGCGACTTCTTCTTCAAGCTCTTCGAGCAGACTACATGGGCGCTCTTAGTGGTCGATGTTTGCGATGTGTCGAGATATATACGGACCTTCGTTCAATGCGAGTAGGCCGCGCGACTGGCATGATACATTCTAATCCACGACGAGTGCACAGCCCGCAACGAGGGGCTCTGCGATCACACTGAGATTCCCAAGAATCAGCACTGCTTACAGCTACAGGTTCTGATACGCTTACTCGTCTCTTCCTTTGACGACAGTTCTGGCAGGCGAGGTTCGTTCGATTGGCATCAGCCGTGTCACCTCTCTCACTCATTTTTTGGGTAATTCTGGGATCGTATTGCAGGAGGTCAAGTGGTGACACAAATTTTTGATGAGGGAAGAAGCGGGTAAACCGGAAAGATAGGAAAGATACTCTGAACTAAAGGTATTCTGCTAAGTTACACCGCCCAACTTGACGTCCCTACACAGCAACAAGTCTTTTGTCTTATCGAGATTGCCACCAGTTCAGACGAGTGAGACAAGATCTGAGCATGGTAGCTATCACACCAGAGATACTGTATCTTCATCGTTAATCCTCAACAAACCTACATCCCTGCAAACCACCACTCTTAGGCCACCTTCACAACGGAACTCCGACACCGGGTTGGAACTAAGATAAGGTTCAAGTAGCGAGTCACGGGTATGATGTGGTTGCAAGGCCTAGGCCATGCGGACTCCCGTCCGAAGCTAACACGAGGCTCATCTGGGAATCCACCTGGAGCAGCCTCCGCCTCTATTCCCCAGACTTCCCCGCGATAAGGGGCAAATCTGGGGCAACCAGAGGGCTAAGTCAGTCTACACGGGCACGGCTATCTCTTGGCTCGAGCGGCGTGGCTCCGAATATTGAGTTGCGAGATACCACTATCATTAGATTCCTATGTTGGCCATAGTGCAGTAGTTGGCGATAGATAAGAAAGCATCGTCAGGCGGCTTGGGAAGTTCTCCATCAGCCTCCAGGTCTTTCCAAACAACTTAGAGCCGATATCTTCTTAAATTGTTAACTCGACATCATGTCCCCCATCAAGGAACCCCAGAATGAGATCTCAGACAATTGGTCTGAGAAACCAGGCGACATCATGCTCGAAGATCAGAAGACACCGCGCCACAGCCACCTAAGTGCCGAAGACCAGGCCTGGTTGGACAGCTTTCCTGATGATCGAAAGAAAGCGGTTGTACGAAAGGTTGGTGACTTGCACGAGCTTTGCATCTTATCACGCTGACCCACGTAGATCGATTTCAGACTTGTGCCTCTCTTGGCGATTCTCTACTTGTTCTCTTTCATTGATCGTGCCAACATCGGTAAGTCCAGCGTCACCAAACCTAGATGAGGTGGTATTTCTTACTCTCTACTGCAGGAAACGCCAAGATCGAAGGTCTGGAGGAAGACCTCAAAATCACTCCATCGCAATACAACATCGCCTTGAGTGTCTTTTTCGTTCCCTACGTCGTCCTTGGTAAGTCATCACCCAGCGACTGAAGGTGGGCAAGCATTCTAATGCAGTATCAAGAGGTTCCTAGCAACTATCTCTTGACAAAGTTCAAACGACCCTCTGTCTACATCGGAGGCATCATTGTTGCTTGGGGTATTGTCATGACACTTATGGGCATTGTTCAAAACTTTAGTGGACTGATTGCCTCTCGATACATGTACGCACTCTTCATCAGACATACTTGGCTATTACTAACAGTTACAGGCTTGGTGTCGCCGAAGCAGGGTTCTTTCCAGGAGCTGTCTACATCATCTCTCAGTGGTATATGCCAAATGAGATCCAGACGCGTATTGCCATCTTTTACTCAGCAAGTGCGCTCGCAGGTGCCCTATCCGGTCTGCTCGCTTTCGGTATCGCCCGAATGGATGGCGTCGGAAACCTCGAGGGCTGGCGGTGGATCTTCCTTCTTGAGGGCATCGCCACCGTTATGGCAGGAATCGCCTGCTTCTTCTGTCTTATTGACAACGCCGAGAGCTCCGCATGGCTTGATGACGACGAGAAGCGATTCCTATCCCTGCGAAGAATTGCCGTCATGGGCGACCAGAGTGCCAAGCATGCCGAAACCATCAGCAAGAGGGCCAAGTGGTCAGTCCTGAAATCGGTTCTGTGTGACTGGCAGGTCTATTTCCAGTCCATCATCTACATCTCTGCCACAATGCCCAACTACGGCCTCAAGTTCACCATGCCCCAGATCATCAAGAACATGGGATACACTTCCGCCAACGCACAGCTACTCACCATTCCGCCTTATTGTGTCGGTGCGATCAGTGCCTTTTTGTCAGCTATTTTCGCAGATAGGCTGAAGTGGAGGATGCCCTTTATCGTCGGAGCCCAAACAATCGTGCTCATCGCATTTTCTATTCTCTTTGCAAAGGCCGCAGACATCAAGGACAACATAGGCTTATGCTACTTTGGCGTCGTCCTCGCTTGCGTCGGTCTATATCCCATCACCCCCGGCGCCAATGCCTGGACTGTCAATAACCTGGCTGGACGGACCAAAGCTGCGATGGGCATCGCATACATGATTGCCATCGGTAACTCGGGCGGCATTCCTGGCTCCTATATCTACATACAAAGCGAGGCGCCGAAGTACCCAACTGGATTTGGTGTTTCTCTTGCCGCGGCGGGAGCAGGCATTCTTTCTGCGGTTACGCTGGAAGTTACCTATCGTAGTATCAACAAGAGGAGATCGAAGATGTCGGTTGAAGAGGTTTACGGCAAGTACTCGGCGGAGGAGCTCGAGGCCATGGGTGATCGGTCTCCGCTGTTCAGGTACACTCTCTGATTGGTTGGGGATCTCGACTGGTTCATTATGCAAGGGGGCTGCTCCGAGAGCTTTATGGGCATATCACGCAAGTTTTTGCATGACTACTCAGGCACATTAAATAATCGTCAATACATGGCGCAGAACCAGCATGAGTACCTGTGCGTCACTGGCTCTTTAACTGCGTGCTTAAATACCTATAAATTAGACCAAGTTCTTCCTTGCCTTCCGGCGAGCGCGTACTTTATGCGGACTCAACAGCTACTCTTATACAGCAAGACCCTTTTCTCAAATGCCTATGGAATTGTATCATGTTTTCATCTCAAGTGCTTCGGTTAATGCTGTATCGCCTATAGGTTGTGTCCCAGCCTTGCCCTGGGTTCACAAACGCCCACAAGGCTCTGTGTAACATCCCTCCCATCAGCCAATTGACACTCCCAATTCTCACCTTTTCTTATTGGCCTTACGCTTCCCATTACCCCGCACCGCCAAGACACAAAACACGTAGACATTTAGACAGCTGCCTGGCCCTGAACTCTCCCTTGACATCCAAGTTTCCCAACCCATCGGCACTATTGCCTAACAAGGAAGACGTTCATCAACACACCACAACGTTATACACTGTATCACCGTCTCCTACATATCTTCAACTTGTATTGTAGAGTCTCACCATGGAACTCTGCACTTCCATTGCCAGTCATCTGACTCTTACCAGCAAGGCTACCATGTCTGGCATCATCCCCGCTCTTCCGCCAGAAGTACTCGTTCAGATAATTCGCGATGCTTATAGCTCCGAAGATGCAAAGTCCACTATTTTTTCTTGCTTACTGGTGAGCCGGGCGTGGTGGGACATGGCGCTTCCAGTTCTCTACAATGACTTGATCCTGGCGGGGAGTGATCAGATGGAACGCTTTCTAACATCCCACAACGACTCGGCCGTTCGCTCCATCACTCGCTCTCTAACCCTCTACCTCCGGGAAGATGGTGGACCTAGCCAGGAATTGCAAGAGCGGGTTGACACCACAGTCTATCGACTGGCCCAGGAAGCCATCCCGAACATGGCAGCACTTCAGTCCTTTTCTCTGACAACAGATCGTCGAGACTTCAAATTGGGCATCCACAGGGCGACCATTTCAGATGTTCTCATTGCTCTCCCCGAAAGCTGCGTCAATTTGGAGTTGGATACAGAAGGAAAAGACGAAGATTCATTTTGGCTTGCCTCTACAAGCAGAAGCCGCCTAGACGGCGTTACTCATGTGTGTGATGACATACGCGATATGCTCCCTCGAATGCACAATGTCCGCATCGACCTCAAGTCTATGTGCAGCGACATGGTTGGATGGAGAACCAGAGGCCGGCCCTTCCACCCTATCAGTCTTCCAAACATCCGACATCTCCTCATCGAAACGACGGGTATAGGTGCTAGGCCATCGTGTCCATCATCCGCTCCAAGAGATCACTCTTCTTGGCGCCAGATCAGCCTAGCGTTGAAGCATGTGGCAGGATTACCAGAAACAGCTCCGGGCGAGCTCGCCGTCTTGGGAGCGGCTTGGCACATTCCTTATGGTAAAACATTTTACCAAACATTGCTGCGTTGCCAGGTGAAAGGCGGCGATGACAAGCTTACAACTTTTGCGTTCCCTGCAACGGAGGTTTCAACGCCAAACAGCAGGTACAGCCCCCCCCTCCTTGTGCGCACCGATGAGGGAGGTTTCGTGTTGGATAGAATCAATTCGTATTACGACCTGGCCGGAGGACGTCCATGGAGGTTGGCAGCCAACGGCGCGAGGCTACCTGTCTCTCTTTTTTCTGATACCATTTGGGCCTCGGATGAAAAGCTTGGCATTCTTACCGAGCAGGGGTGGAGGGAAAGATACCCAGGTAAGGAATGCGCTCTATGGATAGATGAGAGGCGAAAAGGAATGCGATTGATGGAGTTCGAAAAGCGCGAGGAGGATATCAAACAGAGAATGGTGGTGGAGAGGACGCCAGAAGGCTTACCCTGGAGGCCTGATGTTGATTCGGAAGAGGAAGAGGAAGATGCTCGTGATGACACTCTATATGGTTATCTTATGTAGTTTTTTGATCTAACTATGTTCATGAGGTGCTCGTTGCTAACTTGGCCGTGTGTGCAACGCCATGTGCCAAAAGACAGAGGTTCTCCATCGACCTTGGCCATCCTCAGAACATAACATTATAATTCTTTAACACAACTCCCAGCTCTGGTCTCCTTCCGTAAATACAACATCTTTATCTTCCTCAGTACTCTTTTCCCACTCTTTGAAACAGTTCATGTTAAGATATTGTCGTTCGCCAAGCTCAGCGGCTCCGGAGTTTTCACCCACCCTAAACAACCGTCCGCCCAGCCGCGGGAAGACGCGTTACCCTAGCTCCCGTCGGGACGGATCTTCCCCGAATTAGGCCAACAACTCCATCACGGATCGAGATCCAATTGGCTCACCTGCAGTTAGTCAGATGAGCGGTGGAACACCACATCGAATGATGGACTCTCTAGCGAGGTGGGGGCGACACAATTGATAAAACCGAGGCATCCCGACAATCTCCCTCTTCCCTGTCAACTCCACGCCGCGTCATTTTCTTGCGATCCAACATGGCGGAGACAAAGGACGAGCGTTCGCCGACTCCCCCTGGGGCCGCCCTGCAGGCCGAGACCCAACCCGAAGAGGTTGGTTGCTCCTGTCCACACAGGTTCTCGTAATGTGCTGACATGCATCTCAGGGCGACTCTCTGTATGACAGCGCGTTAGTCTTGTCTACCCGTCAGTCTATTCTTCTCTAATATGATCCTTAAGAGAGGAAGCTTCTAGCTACCTGTCGTCTCTCAAGTCTAGCATCTACAATTACAGGTGAGGCTGAGCCCGATTTTATCCTGATGGCCCTGATCTGACCAAGAGTAGATTTGACGTCAGTGTAATAATGCAGAGATCTGACCCCTTTTCTCACATTTTGTAGAATGGACGCCGCTACCACGCGTTTCGCGAAGGCACCTACCTGGTGGTAAGACCAACTGTACAATGATCTTGCCCTTTTTGCTAATAGCATGGCCGGCAGCCAAATGATGACGAAGAGCAAAATCGGATGGATTTAGTCCACCATATTTACAGCCTCGTTCTCGACGGAAAGCTTCATCTCGCTCCAATTGGCAAAAGCCCTCAGCGAGTCCTCGATCTGGGTACTGGCACTGGTATCTGGGCCATAGATTTCGCAGAGTAAGTATCATCTGTGTATCTTTGTTATGGCAATGTTGACAACATGCTTTAAGTGAGTATTCATCCGCAGAAGTCATCGGAACAGATCTTAGTCCTATTCAGCCCGACTGGTAAGAGAGTCTGTCACCCGCAAGATTACTTGGAATAACCGAAATAGGACCCCGCCCAACTGTTTCTTCGAAGTTGATGACTTTGAGGATGACTGGGTCTATAAGAAGCCCTTTGATTACATTCACGGCCGTGAACTGGAAGGATGCATCGGTGACGACGAAAAGCTTTTCAAAAAGGCTTTTGATAACCTGTCGTCTGGCGGATACTTTGAGCTCCAGGCCCAGCGTGGATGCTTCTTGTCTGATGATGGAACCCACGAGAAGGCCGCCAACGCCCAGCGCTGGGCCGCCGGCATCCTCGAGGGCAGCGGCAAGTTTGGAAAGCCCATTGATTGCGCTCATCAGTGGAAGGACGAGTTGATCAAAGTCGGTTTCGTGGACGTCCAAGAGGAGATCCGCAAGGTATATCCCCTACCTCACTCTCTGACTCAATACGCTAATCGTAGGTGTAGATTCCGATCGGTCCCTGGCCCAAAGACCCAAAGCTCAAGGAAATCGGCAAGTATCAGTCTGTGCAGACGCGGCAGGCTATTGATTCGTACACGCCCAAGCTATTCGGCGCTGTACTGGGTTGGAGCAACGAGGAGATCGAGGTGATTATGGCGCAAGCCAAGAAGGAACTTCAGGATCGTTCTGTTCATTTGTATCTTCCTGTTCACATCATGTGGGGTAGGAAACCCTGAGACAAACACTCGAGGAGCAGTTTTCTGTGCACCTAGTTGAGGTAGTTCAAAGTAATCACCTTGACTCTCCGTTCTGAGGATTTGGTCGTTATACAGTAACTATATGCACTACTACAGCATGAGCCCATATCCCAACTGCTCCAAAACATCTCTCCAGTAGATCAAGCTACGATCAGCCTGGTACTGCCGCCACACAGACTTGACAAACTGCAGCGTACCACCACTTGCATGGTTCGGCAGCAACTCGAGCCTCGTCGAGACGAGCCGTCTCGCCCGCGAAATCTCCACCTGCAAGATACAAACCTCAGTTGAGATCCAGCGCTCCAGGTGTCGTAGACCAGCGGCTGCAGAGAGGTAGAGCATAGCATGAATAGTCCGCGATCCTGAGTCTAGGGGAATCTGCTCGAGGGTCTGGAGAAGGCCTAGGACAAGGCCCAGCAGAAACTCGGCTCGAGAAGTGGTGTCGGCTGAGAGATGATTAAACGCCAGATGCAGCTGAAGCAGGGCAGCTTGACGATATGCCTCTGCAGTCTGCACGAGGTGCGAGATGGGCGTCTTGTCGTCTCGCGTCTCGACAAAATATCCATTCACCTCATCCATAAGCACCAACGTCTCAAAATCCATGGCCAGCAACTCTGCCTGGAACTCATGTGCTAGAGACATGTCGCAGAGCGCGTCAGCCGTCGAATTACGATTGCCTCGGACCTTGGTGCTGCATAGAGCCAACACCTGACCAAAGAGATCAATCACCTCGTTTGATATGCCACACCAAGAGTTAGGTCGAGTCCCCAAAAGATTGAGGCCCGGGTTGTACGGCAAAGGCTGAGGGTATGGCGAACCTAAGCCATTATCGAACAACTGCATCTCTCGTCGAGCACTGTCCTCGTATTTCCGCCTCTTCCTATCAACCCTGCGGGGAATAGATCCACCGCCAATGGCCCCAAGTACCATCTCCCAGTAGGTTAGGGCCTGACAGAAGTATGCATGGAGGAGCACATCTGCTCCTGAAATCTGCATTCCCCAAACCGTAAGCAACTCATGAGCCAGGTCCGACCAGGAGTGCTCTCCAGTATCTGGTGTCCCAGATAACGAGGTGCCAAGTTTAAAGACAGCAAACACAAGGTCAACAGTGACAATGGTAGTTTGCACGCTCCGTATCCGGGCCATTTCCTGATCGACGGCGGCTACTGCCTGTGCTCTCAAGTCCTTGCTGAGATGAGGCATGCTGTACGCTGCGGACATGGCTTGCAGGGTATAGAATACTGCTTTCGAGGTAGACCACGTATTGCAAGCTAGTCGCCGGTTGTAGTTTGTCTCGGAGTCGAACGTGGAGCGTGTGGGACAGATGTAGCGGAACCAGTGCTCGACCAGGGCGGTTGGCATATGGGTTAGTGTTTTGGTGAGTGCTGAGCTCGAGATGTGATGCAGAGACTCTGATCCTTCAAAGGACATGATAGGGTTCCATTCGGGGGCATCTCTTGACTGCCTGGTTGCTCTGTAGCAATGGTCTGTAGTAGAGCATAGGGGTGGGATCGCACTAGCAGTGGGCTGACTGTCAATAGCAAAGCGATCGAATAGGTTCCCCGGTACGTCGAGACTTTCCAAAGCCTCTATCTCCTGTGTCCCTATGCTGCGTTCACAACTGTCGCTCACTGCCGTGCTTTGAGGAGGCTGATCAGAGCAAGCCACTTTCGGCCGACTTCGCTCATGTTTGTCCGACCAGCGCAACTGCTGCTGAAAACCAGGACATACATGGCCGAGTCTGATGCAGTTCTTGCAAGCCGGACGGTTCTCATCGCATCTTATCTACTCAAGTCAAACGCACCGTCCAGGGGAAAACACCAAAACAACTGACCCTTCTGGACTTGCACTTTGCGCAGCCCTGTCGTGATTTCGGTGCACTTTTTCGGGTGCGCTTTACTGGCCTGCTGTCATCTTCTGCAAGCGTATCCATTGTTTCCGTTGGAATAGCGAATTTCGGCGAGTTGAGATGAGATTGGTGATGGTAAAAGGGGAAAATGATAAAAACCCCGCAGCTTCAATGACGAAATTGATAACTACCAGCGGCGGTGCCAGCCTAACTGGATACCGGAAGAGGTCGGCCCGAAAGCCCCGAGCAAGCCAACAACACGCATGCTCAAGACTCGGGACCTCATTATGTGGATGAAACCAATAACTATATATGTATACAAAGACTGTTCTACTGCTATGATCTTCTGGCTCAGTTAACCTATCAAGGCCCAGGCTTCAACTGTAACAAAGAACACACTGGTTCTACTGCTACGAATCTTAAACTACTGCCCCTGCCGCCCAAATTTGTTCTGCAAGACGCGCAGCTTGCTCAAATAAGGATCCTTATCAACATACGTTCCCCTTAGCCACCTTGGCTTCCCAACATCAGCCATGTCAAATGCCCGTCGCGAGTGCAGCGTCCGTGTGTTGTCGAACAAGACACAGTCGCCAGGGTTCATCTTGCGCTCAAACAGGTACTCTGGTCGCTGCAGCAGCGCATTGAACTTTACCGCCGCGTCGTGCCAGCGTTCGACTTTGTCGTTCAGCGCCGAGACACCTTGGGCTTCGTGGTTGGAGAATGGGGCTAGGAATGGAGGTCCCCAGTTGATCTTGTCCATGCAGTCGACGAGTGCGGCTTCTGACTCGTCACCTATGTCTTTAAGGTAATCCTGAACGCGGGTGTAGATCTGGTCACCGATCCGCATGGGCCGTAGGTCAATGACAGGCTTAGTCGTGCGATACACATTCGCGTTGGGATGATTATAGTGATAGTTGACAGGGACCGTAGCCAGAGTGTCAAAGGCTTCCATGTCTGTCTCGAAGAGGTCCACGGCCGCTTTATAGGCATCCGCAAAAACGCTGGCTCCCCCGGAAGAGGCAGACTGGACGCAGTGGAGGAGTTGGATGTGCGGCGGCTGCTGGAAGTAGAGCAGGTCTGTGTGGAAGCCGAGACCATGCGACGTGTATGCGGCGTTGATGGCCTTGGGAACTGTACGCACTGCCATGTGTTAGCTAGTGAACTTCAATATCCTGGGTTGCAGACTCACCGTCCCATGTATACCCATAGAAGGTATCCTTGATCGGACCGATGCGCGTGGCAATCGTGGCCAAGGACTCTTCCACGCCAGGGACATTGGTGACAAAGGCGAGCCCGTCAATACGCAACTGATTGATCAGCTTATAAAGTGTTGCATCATCCTTCATGTACGTTTCGTAGTCGTAATCAGGCAGGTCAAGACTCTTACGAGGCTCTCGACCCCACAGAACTTGCGACGGGAGACACGACGTGGGTGAGGACGCAGGCTGGCTGAAACTCCTCAAAGTCGCCATGTCCAGATTTGTAGTATGTTCAGGTGTACAGCCATGTGCATCGTTCTCCCAGCTGATGCTCACAGAGTCGGAAGCAGTATCAACTTCGACCGCTCGCGCTTTCACGTTGGCAGGGATGTCTGCGACGGAGAAGAGTCTCTGGTTGGTTGATTCGTGCACGCATGATGGGCAGGGACATGAGTCTCGCAGAAGTACGGCAGAGAAGTTGACAGTTTTTCCATCGATCGGAATGGGCACGGTTGACAGTTGATCGCCTCTATTGATGGCCGAGGAGGAGAATGGTCGAGAGAGGGCGATGTCTCCTCCCAATCGCCAGTCGAGCGCAGACTCATAAATGTTAGCATCAACCGGGAACAGTATCAATGAGTCAGACGTTACATACCCTCCACATCAGGGTCTGGCCACTCCTGGTTTTCGATGTCAGAGTCCCGGGAGGTAGGCATCGTGTAGTTGAAAGGAGCCGCTTGGGGAGTAAGCTGACCACCCCAGGCTGTATCGATTTCACAAAAACAAACTTCCTCACAGCCTGCATCCTGAGGGTCTTTTGGTTAAGATAGTATAGATCTTGATGACATTATGAGCAGCGACAGAGGCTTTTTGTACATGAAATTCATGGCACTAGCCCCAATTCTTTTTGCGGCACTTGTCGTCACAGCAAAGGTGACCACAGCTGGATCCAACAATTTCGGTACAATGAATACGAGGGTCCGCGGTATTGAACATTGTTCATCTTCAGAATCCCCTCCATGTGTTACTCTGACTGGGCGAGCTATACCGCTTTGAGTCAAAGAACACGACGGCTGCAGCGTGGATTGCCGACGACACTCTCATTGGTTTCTCGAGAAGGGTTCTCGGGCGGGTCGATCGGCAATTTCGTACTTTCTTGCTCGAAATGGGAAGGCTTCTCTTGGCATCCGGCATGTGCAACTTACACCAGGTTGAACTCTCATAAATGTCACCATATAAATGGCATCGCCATCCGATCTAGCTCTCCTCGCATAAACCATAAGGCCCAACTAGCCGCGTCTTCCAAATCATCATGGTACCATCCGCACAGTCCAGCAAGGCCCAAGAGGTCAAGAAAACACCTCTACAGCTCATCTCCCAAGGCGTCTGTCTCCCCGGCATCCCCAAACCACCCAGCTTTGCTGCAGAGCGGCAATGGATGTTGGAGAAGATGGCGCTGGCCTTTCGAGTTTTTGCACGCTTGGGGTATACAGATGGTATGGCCGGTCACATCTCCATCAGGGACCCGGAGAATCCACATACATTCTGGACGGTATGTTGTTGTCTGGTCAGCGTGGGCTCGCCTCAAGATTGACTTGCTTTAGAATCCACTGGCGGTACATTTTGCGTTACTCAAGGCAAGCGACATGATTCTCGTCAACTATGAGGGTGTTCCTATTGGCGGTACATTACCCCCTACCCGTTGCTAGTCCAGTACAGCTAGCTTATGTTTCGATACTAACTTGCTGTCCCCAGGAAACATGAGCCGACCCGCCAACTCAGCAGGCTTCTTCATTCACAGTGCCGTTCACAAAGCTCGATCAGACGTCGTGGCCGCATGCCACACACATAGTCCGCACGGCATGGCGTGGAGTGCCTTTGGACGGCCCCTGGAAATGCTAACCCAAGATGCCGCCTATCTGTATGGGGATGCTCAGGCAGTATATAAGGTTTGAATTTGACCGCTACTCCATTGATTACGATCACGCTGACAGGAGAGCATAGGACTTTGGAGGCGTTGTCCTCACACAGGAGGAAGGCGACCGCATAGGTGCCGCCCTTGGCACGTCCTTCATGATTTAATCCATACCCCAATCCATGCTGACAAACTATCAGGTCCGAAAGGGAAGGGGATGATTTTGCAAAACCACGGCCTCCTTACAGTTGGATCCACTGTCGACGAGGCATGCTTCCTGATGACTCTGATGGAGCGTGCATGTCAGACCCAACTACTCGCAGAAGCCGCAGCGGCGAATGGGCTACCCAAGGTCTACATCCCCGAAGAGAGTGCCAAGTACACGTTTGAGAACTCTAGTGATCCCGAGACGCTGTATTGGGAGGGACAGCCGGACTTGCAGTATGAGGAATACATGGCGAAAGGAGAGCATCGGGGCTAGATACACTGATAGTATACTCCGTAATTTTACTTGATCAGTAGTACTTGATAAATCCAAGTTGGCCGAAGTAACCGCCTCTGTCTCTCGGGTACGCTTTTATCTTTTCTTTAACTCCAGCTGCACCCGGGGTGGGGAATTCGCGTCATGGCTTCACAAGGAAGCCGCCCCAGGCGCGAAAAGAGCCTCGCCTGATTTTAAGTCCGAATCCGTGCCAACTTTTTCACACCCGGAGCGGATACGAATAGCCGGACTTCGGAGCTTCTCGCTGATACTCAGGTGTTGGTTACTCGGGTGTTGGTTGTTCAGTCGCTGAGCCATTTGATCGGACATAAGACACTCCAGTTCTTATCTCCATCACAATACGGTGTATATGTATTCCAATGTCCTTTCACCGTTTCTTACAGCTCCTGGCATCCTCTTGCACAAATCTCACCAATACGGGCATCATGGCGTCTAACCAGGACAGCGATAATCGTGAAGATACCCTGCAAGGCTCCGTAGACGAAAGGGAGGGAAAGTTGACTCCCCTCACCCTTTCTGCCTCTCAATCTCCGCCTCCAGATGGCGGGTTCGCAGCATGGTGTGTGGTGTTGGGGGCTTGGTGCACCTCATTCTGCAGTTTCGGGTGGATGAACAGTAAGTTTGAGCCCTGGCGTCTTGCTACCATTCTCGTCCTTAACTACCTCCTTGGACCCATTTTACTAACTCTTGTCACAGGTATTGGCATCTTTCAGGATTATTACGAGAGAGAACTCCTCAAGGGATACTTTTCAAGCACAGTAGCCTGGATCCCATCTCTCGAAGTCTTCTTCATGTCAGCTGCAGTGAGTTGACCACATGGCCATCTTGAACTATGCTGACGAGCAATCAGGGCCCAGTAGTTGGTCACATCTATGACAGGCATGGTCCAAGAACCCTGATTGTTGTTGGCGCCTTTATGCACGTCTTTGGTTTGATGATGGCTTCCATCTCCAAGGAGTACTACCAGCTGTTGCTTGCTCAGGGAGTGTGCAGCGCGATTGGCGCAGCCGCCATCTTTCAGCCAGGTGAGTGACTTCCATGCTCAACAATTCTAGTATCATACTGACTGCAAATCAGCCTTGAGCTCTGTCTCAGGCTGGTTTGACAAACGGAGAGGTACTGCCTTTGGCGTGTTAATGACCGGCTCAAGCACAGGCGGCGTCATTTTCCCCATTGTCATCACTCACCTAATCCCAAAAGTTGGCTACGGATGGGCCATGCGCATCGCAGCATTCATCATCCTATTCTTGCTCGTCATTGCATCCCTCACCGTCAAGCGCAGGGTGAAGCCTACTCTTACCAAGCTCACTGCTGAGGATCTTCACCGGCCTTTTCATGAATTAGTCTTCTTGGTTGTCCTTGCCGGGTTTGCTCTTCTGAGTTTCGGACTCTACGTGCCCATCAACTTTTTGGTTCCGTCCGCCATCGCTGATAACATGTCAGTTTCTCTGTCACAATATCTTGTCTCCATATTCAATGCTGCGAGGTAGGTGATTCTCGTTTTTCTTTCATGGATATTCACTAAATATCCTTCAGTCTCTTTGGGCGACTCACGGCCGGGTTTCTGAGTGACAAGGTTGGACGATACAATATGTTCTTCATAGTCTGTAACATCAGCGGTATCCTGGTCTTGGCGCTCTGGATCCCAGGAACCAGAAATGTGGCAAATATCTTGTTTGCTGCATTCTTCGGTTTCTTCTCCGGGGCGTACGTCTCGTTGTCGCCGGCACTCGTTGCCCAGATTTCCCCGCCCAAGGAGTTCGGATACCGCAGCGGCCTCTTGTTCTGTTCCTCGGCGATTCCAGGCTTGGTTACAAGTCCTATTGCTGGAGCGATTCTGTCTCATAGCCATGGGAGCTACACCAACATGAAGATCTACGCAGGAGTCTTTTGCTTGGCTGGGACTTGGCTGGTGGGAGTTGCCCGTCTTATGAAGACAGGGCCCAAGCTGTTGGCCAAGTTCTAACGGAGCAATACAAACGTCACGAAAAGTGATTACTGATTATAGTATTGCCCCAGCTTTCGAGGGCTAGGAAGGACGTGGCGACGCATTTAAGGAGGAGTGAGGAAATTGTATAAATAATTGGTGGGGGACCTCCTGTACAGAGTAATTATATTTTGTTCGTTTGGACCTTTTATGCTCTCACTACATCGACTTGAGACATCTCTCAACTTCAGATAGCTTCCTTGATGAGAGTGGAGGTGCCGTCCGCCTCTGAGTTTGGAAATTATCACCGAAATCGTATATCCACACGCAGTGTCAGGCAACCCGAGGATCACATCTTACTCTGCCAAAAGACCGATATCACAGGGTTTTGGCGCGGCTCGAGCGGCTGACCTTGGCCCTTTGGGCAAGCATGTGCCCGTATAGGATGTAAAAAGCTGCTGAGAGTTAGTATTGAAACGGCTTGGCTTCACACTTTGTTCTCATACCAGGGACATAAATCGCTAATCCAAACCAGAGCAGATACTGGTACGAAGAGTTTCGAGCTTTGGATGGCTCAATGACTTTGTAGACAAGACGTGCCTCGGATAGAATGCCGATCGGGTAAAGAAAAATGAACAAATTGTACCTTCGCAACGGTCAGTATTTCTTAGCTACGGCAACGTTGCGTTTCATACCTTGCCCAGAGTAGGATCGATGGGACGGATGAAGTCCCCGTCTGAAACGCAAAATACAAATATCTCACTGAATCGGCCAAATTCCAAGCCATGAGCATATAACTATACGCCGACTCTCCCGCCGCAACATCTGGGTAATTTCTAGTAATAGCCCAAACAATCGTGTTGCGACCAGCCACCTGCAGAGCCGTTGTAGCCGGTGGAGCCCGGACGAGGCCAGTCAGAGCGTGAAGAACCTCCAACGCAGTCAGAGTCTCACTCCATCGCGCTGTGTCGCTCAGCTTGCCCCAAACGGCGACGTTGCCGCTCGTGCTCCACAGGTAGGCGGTGCTAAGCAGGATGCAGATTCGAAGGAGCGCTGATAGGAGATTATAGATGCAAAGGTACGCACTCGATACCCTGCGGGGCTGCGTTTGCGATGTTGGTCGGGCCATGGTTTGCGAATGCGAAGATGATGGGTTCAAAAAAAAAAACTCAAGCCACATTCAACCACGTTGCTAATTTCTCACCTCGGTTCAAATTTGTTCGTTGGCTGAGCGTGGAGAAAACCCCGGCCTCGCAACAGAATTTCCTAATTAGGATGTTTCCCCGGTTGAAATGCCGGGGCTTGTCACTCAGATCAAACATGGGGGCTTGCCGTTGATCGACATTTAGACTCTCCTCGCAAATAGATGTCGATATCTAGTCCTATGGATCTCACGCTATTTCAGCCCTGTGGTGTTTTTGTTTGGATGTAGTAATGGGGAAGGGCTGCTTTCCTGTCGGTATTTATTCTTCAAGATGGGGAATTCCCTCGTCACATTTCTTTCCTCCCAGTGTATCTTTCCTCTCTTCAGTCTGCCGCCATACTATCAAACACACATCTAGGCGGAAGAAACAGCGGTAGTAATTGCGCTCCTCTTCGCAATGACAAAATTTGGCTCTTCCTCCTACAAGTCGCCGCTCGGCAAGATTGGCCCAGACTATGTCGAGCTGGAATCGATCGCCTCACGGTCAAACTCCATCGATGAAGCAGCTCACCCGAATCCGAAGTACACTGGCAAAATAAACCCACTAGACGAACAACTGCGAATATGGAGAGCCATCAGGAGGTTCCCAAAGGTGGCAGCCTACTGTCTCGTCATGAACATCGCCGTCGTCGGTCTCGGCTATACACTCGTCATCAACGCCGCCATTCTCGGCAACAACGCATTCATGCAGGACTTTGGCACAAAATACAAGGGAAAGTGGATTATTCCTCAGCCATACACATCTCTCTGGACTGCCTTTGTTCCCATCGGTGGAGTCATTGGTGCTCTTCTTGGAGGATGGCTGCAGGGCCGTCTTGGACGAAAGTTCACCTTCATGACTGGCAGCCTCTTTTACGCAGTCGGGGCGTCAGTTGTGTTCAGCTCTTCATTACCCGAGGCTCGAGATATGAAGAGAATCATCTTGACTGTCGGAGTCGGCGTTCAGAGCCTTGCTGTCGCTCTGCTTCAGACAGTAACAAACACATACCTCTCAGAAGTCACGCCTATTTCGCTACGAGGACCTGCAATGGCCATGATTCCAACCTTTACGTTGCTTGGCCAACTTCTCGGATCAATGGTGGTGTTTCTAGTGGGAGACATCAAGGGAAGCAGGGCGTATCAAATTCCCTTTGGTTCCCAGTGGATCTTCGCCGCCATCGCCTTTCTCCTCTCCCTCATCATTCCCGAAAGTCCAATTCATCATCTACGAAAGGGAAAGCACGACAAGGCTATACGAGCCGCGAGACGACTGTACGCTCCCAAGGTCCCCGAACATACCGCACTTAAGGTGTTCCACGTCATCCTCGCAGAAGAAGCCGCCCTTGGCAAGGCTACTTACATCGCGTGTTTCCGAGGAGTCAACCGTCGTCGAACTCTAATTGTGCTCCTTGCCAGTGCCATACCGGCCATGTTTGGTCTGGATCTCCTATCAAACACACCATATTTTCTGAATACTATTGGCATTGAAGAGCCTACCAACATGCTTTTCCTGATCGGAGGAATCGTTGCCGGAATGCTGGCTAATGCTGCTGGTATCTTTGTTCTGTCACGCCGAGGCATGCGTATCATGACACTCGTGACCATGAGTCTGGCCGCTATCTTCTGGGCTGTGATGGGTGTGTCTGGCTTTTGGGGCGGAGACATCCCGGCGTATGTTGCTGCCGGTGTCTTGATGTCCGTCATCATCGTGTGCGGCCTCGGTGCCTGGCCAGCCAGTTACGCTTACATTGGACAAACCAGTTCAATGCAAGTTCGAGCTTTGACTCAGGGTCTGGTTGGAGTAGCGTCTCAGGGCTTATCTGCCATCATGAACGCGATACTTCCGATTTTATACAACCCAGACTCGGGCAACATGGGCGGCAAGCTTGGGTTTGTGTACACGGGACTTTGCCTGATTGCTGTGGCCCTAGCATGGCTATTCTTGCCCGAGCTGAAGGGGCGAAGTGTGGTTGAGGTTGATAGGATGTTTGAGATGAGGCTGTCGACGAGGAACTTTGCGAAATTCAAGCTTGACACCTACGAGCCACGAAGGAGAGAAGCTGTTTGAGTATATATAGCCTTGGACTGTTAGTTCATATCGGGGTTTGCGCTATTTCTTTAAGCATCGGATGGAATAGTTATATTGGCAGGAACGACACTTTTATGTCGAATTTTCTTGAAAAAGGTTTAACTAGCATATAGAGGTTATATGGGGAGTTATGCGATATAAGATTTTAAAATGACATCATGTTATCAGCTACAGTCTTGTCTATTGCTCCCTGTGTACTGTACTGATAAATAAAGACCATCGGCAGGATGTTTCTAACCGCACAAATCCACCCAACTTCAACTTTCCCATCTAAGTCTGAAGGAACTGGCGCTTCGAAAAAGAATGATTGATTCCTTCTTCCACATCTTCATCTCTTTTGCGCTTCCTCAAAGGGGTAAAGAGGCTCTCATCAAACGGCACAGTCTCGTCCGAGGCATCAGAGTCACTCGACTCGTCATCGTCCTCATCCTCATCTTGGTCTTCATGTGTGAGAGGTTCATCCTGTGAGGGCCTCAGGGCAGCCAAAGTCTCATCTAGTAACCGATCATATCGCCAACACACTTCGTACTTGTTCCCGACCAAAATGTGCATAAACCATAGAGCAAGGTTTATAGTCCATGTTTCGTGGCTTTCCAAGTCCCCCTGGCGATGATTCGCCCAAGGAATGGAGATGTACTCCATGAGTCCGTCTCGAATCAGTTGTCTCTTCAGTACCGACGTCTCTTGGGGCCCATCAACTACAAAACTTAGCGTTTATCCTCGGGTTAAGGGAGAGCTACAGGACACCTACCGGACTTTATGCTCCGGGGTCTGACACGGAAGATGAAAGCCTCATGGCAAGTAAGAATGCAACCGTAGCGACACATGTTCTGTATGCAATAGGTGTACGCTTGCTTGATAGGCCAAGCCAAGTCGTGACTCAACCGTCCTCGCTCCCACTCTCCAGACTCATTGATAAGGGGTACTTGAGCCATCCACTTGCTCTTCCACTTCTCGGCTGGCTTATACTCTTTCGGAAACCTTTCAAGCCGGTAGGTAGCAGGGTCGGGGTCGCCGTCAGTAGGGCTAGTATTCCGCAATGCCGTGCCCGAGTCTGGCCGTAGCCCCTGAAGTGATTGCATTTGTGGCGTTCTTGCCCCGATCGAACATTTTCTGGGAGGCTGTTGGCGCTGTTTTTCAGGCCTTGGGGGAGGCTCTGAAAGCTCATCTTCTGATGGGGGATCCCCTTTGGACCATATAGCCGAGTGGAATTCTTGGCGGATTGGACGGAGAGCCGCGGTGACGATCTTCTTATTCCACACGGCGTACAATTCTCTGGTGTCGTCTTCATTTCGCTCAATACAATTCGTTTCATAGTCGATGTCGGGATAAGCAGCGAAGTGTCTACCCTCCCGGCGAGCTTCTTCCAGCAGGCGGCCTCCGAACGACGCCCTGAAGACGTTGAAGTCGTGAAACTCGTCCCATTTCTTAATCTGTTTCGGGGCGTGCCACTTTTGATTGCGCGAATTCGTCTTTCGTTTCGGTGGGCGATGCGAGACGGTCGGGTTCGGGTAGGTGAGAAGCTCGAGTATCGAGGTGGCTGGGTTCGTGCCAGTCATGGCTAAATGTGAAACACAAAGAGGTAAAACGAAACACTACGCTCTAGTACGCAGAAGAGGTTGGAATGCAACCCGAGGTGATACGAGACAGAGCCTGGGCCAGGGGCTGGTCAAGGGATGAATCTGGCCAATTTAAAGACGCCGGACGCGCCGTAAGACGGACATCACACCCTCTTCCCATTATCTATGAACTCAAAAAGCGAGTCGCATGTACGTTGGTGATATCCTTGCAGCAAAGCACCTCTCGTTGGCTGCATGTCAACCTCGTGACCCCCACAGACGACATCCCGCCAGGCCGATTGGAGCTAACGGGCCGTCCCTTGCTCCCGTCATGCACGACAGCGCCATGTCATCAGCTCGAGGGTTGTAACATGCGTTATAAAGTTCCCAAGGGGGGACATGTCTCGCTGCCAACATGTTGCCACTGCCAAATACCCCTCAGCTTTTGCACATGTCCTGACGTTGCCATGCCCAAGCGTCGACAGCCCCCAAAGCCACTCCCGAAGGAGCTGCCGTTGTGTGATGGTCCGAAACTTGGATTGTTCCAACACCATGGGTCCCGCATTCAATGGCTCGAGAGGCTCAACAAAGATGACGAGGATGAGGATGAGGATTCGCCAACAGAGGGCTACGTATTCCGCGCAAAGATCCGCAACCGAGAATACGCAATCAAAGTTGTAAGAAGCAAGCGGTCGCCGGGTATCGCGCGCTGATGAGTGTTTTGCTGAAGTTCAAATTTCACGATCCTATGAACGATGACTACTTCTGGGAGCCCTTAGTGGGTGAAGACATCAGTTTACAGACGGTTTCCTACTACACAGACCCGTTCTACGCTGAATGCAGAGCATATGGTCGAATTCAAGAAGCCATCAAGAAGGGCTACTTGAAATCCGACATTGTTGTCCCTTGCCATGGATTCTTCTTCCTACAAGAAAGGGACGAAAAAGTCCTTCGAGGCCGCAACATCGATCTTGAGGCAGACCAAGTAGACCCAGAATATCAGCGTTCAAGTCCCGGAGGATACAGACCGAGGGCCATCGTCAAAGATCTCGCATCCGCAGATCCAGGTGTCAACCAAGACAATCTATACCAGATTCTTAGAGACATCGTAAGACTAAATAGCCAGCGGGTTTTCAACATGGATATCCGGCTCGACAACTACAGGGACGGCAAGCTTGTGGATTTCGGGTCGTCGTGGACCGAGCCGCATATTCTCCTGGATGCGTTAGACGAGGAGGCGGCCGATGAGTCTAGATTGGCGGATCGGACCAAGTTCAGCCAGATGGTGGAGGATGAAAAGATACCCAATCCCAAGAAGATTATTATAGACGTTCATCGAATGAGGCTAAGGCCTCGACGGGTACGAGTTTAGCTTGGCGTTAATACATAATTTTTTTCATTCTTGCATTGCAGGCAGCATCACCACTGCCCAGGGATATTTCTGTTTATATGACCAACGCCTCGATCCGAGGATGTTTCATCTCCACCATTGGATTCAGCAGAGCATGAAGAACACTGATGCATTTCGTTGACCCAGGTCAGACGTTTGGCAATACTAGTCAGGGCCGGTCACGCTTGATGAAAGTCCCGATATATTCGCCCTAGAAGCTGCTACAGAAAGGCCTCATTAAATATATCCATGGTCCTCATAGTTTCAATACCACGGTGATGGCGTTGATCTTTCTCTCCTTCTTTCATGATAACTCTGAATACACTTGTTGATGGTGCCCCTCCTAAAATGCCATCTGTATCAATCATAGTTGCAAAAAACACAACCTCACTAGCTGCATCCCCCCCAGACCAGCCGCTCTATTACTACGGCAAGAACAACAAACTCAAGGTATTTTTTCCTTATTGTGAATCTCACTGTGGCCCAGGTTCTCACATCAACTTTCTTCAGTTGTGGTATCACTCGAGGTATAAAGTGACTGCTTACCCTGTACTCAAACACCACTGCCTGGGTGCCTACCATCTGCCATTCCAGCCCGTTGGCCAATACAACAGCGGGTTTCCCATTGTGATTTCATTTGACTCTTTGGAACCATCTGCGATTCACCTCCTTTTTAGGCTGTTGTTGTGTTTTTGGGATCTCGATCTAGACGTACACTGACGTCATCAATAAACGCGTCGTTAGCGCCCGCGAAGCCAAAGGTCCCGTCATGTGAGGTCGAAAACGTGCGCGTCCTGTTTTCGTAAGATCTATGACGTCAACGTGGCTGCGAGACAACAACAGTCGCTGCCTGGACTGCACGACATAAAACCATCCGCATTCTCTCCTCTACATCATCGTCAAGGCTCTTTCTCATACCCGAAAACGAAAAAGAACCAGCATCACCATGATTTCCGCTACCATCATCTCCTTCCTCCAGCTCTGGCTCGCATCGCTTGCCTTTGCTGCCCCTCTCGCCGAAGGAGGGGTCGAGGCGACCAAGGCCAACCCGTGGCAGTACGGCACCGGCGGTGGAATCATCGGCTTCATCGTCCTCGTTCTTGACATTCTTGTCTGGAGTACGCAGTCCTGCTTTTTCTACTGCTCGTGTACCATACTAACAGATGTCGCTCTACAGTCGAAGTCCTCCAGTCGAACCGTCCCCCCATGCACAAGCTTCTTTGGTGCCTCGTCGTCTTCATCTTCCCCATCGTCGGCATGATCATCTACTGGTTGTTCTCGAACCGCAAGGAGCACCAGCGAGGTGCTGGATACCAGCCTGTTGGCTAAATGCTGTACCTTTGGTCACCTTCGTTTGCCTGGCAAGGATACGAGTTATGAGCTTAGCATGGCACGAGGGAAAGCGATCAGGGTCAGATCGATAACGAGAGATGAGATGATTTTCGAGGACTGGTTGATTATTCGGCGTTGGGATCGAGTAGCAGGCGGAATACGGAACACCAAGACTGGCACCCTTCTTTCAGGACAGTGAAATTAACCTATTAAAACATCGTGTTTACCACTACTATGGAAAAGCAAGGTGCTTCATGAGTTGCGTGATTATTGTCCCTTTTGCGTCTTCTTGTTCTTCGACGGCTTCCCGATACCTGGGCTTTCTACCTCTGTTTGGACTTGGCACTGCTTAGGACTCTCAACACTTCACCCAGCCGGACAGGAGCCGCTGCTCAAAGCCATCGTACAACCTACCTTCGACGTCACTGGATACATTCACTGACGCTTGACTGGGGTGCCAGCCAGTACCTTGAGTGCTACAAAGGAGAAATACTCCAGCTCAACTTGGAAGACCTCGACAGGATCGGTACAGTGGGAGCTCCAATTGGCGAATTAATTAGCATTTCTCCTACGGACAACCGAGTTGATCCTCTTGAGGACTGCAAAAATTGTCTTTAGCTCCGCTAGGGTATAATAAACATCCAGATGCCCGGTTGACGTGAGATCCAAGTTGAGTAGTTTACCAAAAGTCAATGTCTGGCGTCTCCTGAACACAATCGTAAGAGAGCAGGCTTACTCACGCAGAGTAACGATTCGAGAGGTAGAGAGAAACTAAACCTCCATTGAATGGAATTTGTTTCCACGTCTCTTCGCCAAGTCCCATTACAATATTGACAGCCATTACAATATTGACAGCTTCTTAATTGTTCTTCCCCGCAACAATGGCACATGAATGGCTATGGAGCCACGAGAAACCTGAACTTCAACAATCAACTCTTCAGCTTGCTCCTCGGCTAAGCGAAACATCCTTGACTAGCTATTTCTTCTGTTTCGAATGTTTGCCCACCTGTAAGAGCTTATTAGTGCCTTGCTGTTGAATAATATTGACAGAAATAGGCTACCAATTGTCGCCGTTATGAGTGGGCAGGGGCACTTGGATCGGATATATAAGCCGACCTAACGCTATGTAGTTTCTCCCACAACACAACCTGGATCCCTAGCGTAGGAGAATTCCCACAAGTTCAGCTAGGACCTTGTCAGTTTTCGAACAAGGTTGATGCTGATTGCACAGCTCAGTTTGGCGAAACTTCATTTTAAATGCCCCCTTAATGACGTAATCTCACTATAGCGTTCATGCGATCCATGCCCCTTCGGCCTCTTTTTTCGGACTTATTTCCATGGCCAATCCACAACGACAGCAACAAGCGAATATTAAGAACGACTTGCAATTGAAGTTCAACGAGGCACAGCATCGAAAGCACAGCACAATCATCAATCAACTATGTCATCAATTGAGGAGCAGGCTCGACAGCGGCTGATACAGCAAGCTCAGCAGCGACAATTGCAGGCCATGGCCGCCAGACAACAGCAACAAGGCCAGCAGATGGGACAGCAAATGGCCATGGGCTCATCCAACACTCCAACAGGTTTATCCATGGCCACACCTCACGACGATATCCCCATCACAAGTCCCAGTGACTTGGACCTCTTCAATGGTCGGACCACTTCACATCCCGACTTCGTCTCGTTTCAGGGTGCCTGCCGGGATGGACCCTTATCTGCCGTCGAGTCGATCGTCACCTCCGAGCCTCGCTCACCCGCTTTTCTTCACCAAGGATTGGTTATCGCCCTTGGCGCCGGAAATATCGACGCTGCTCGTTGCCTTCTCGGATATGGCGCTCCCATCACTCGCCAAACACCACCGCACGTTTTGTCGGCCCCCAAAGACCGGCAGATTGCTCTATTTGAAGTTCTCGCAGGGCATGGCTGGACCCCCAACACCCCGGGTTTCTACGGCGCGACACTGCTTCCGAGAGTTGTCACTGATGACAGCCTCGTTGAGTGGTTCCTCACACATGGCGCAGACCCAAATCTAGGCGCTCAACGTGATTACCGCGATCGCTTTGGTGAGCCCGAGACGGATTCCTCCGCCGCACTCGAAATAGCCGCATCGCGAGGCAGTGTTGAATCCACCCGCAAGCTCCTCGACGCTGGTGCACGCATGGAGAATGGTTCGCCACTATATTTCGCAGCAGGTGTCTGCCCACCAAACACAAACCCACACGCATCCCCAGTCAGACCCAGCAAGGATTTTGACGAAGCCAGGATCCCCATCATGGCACTCCTCATCGAGAAAGGCGCAGACGTGAACGGCAAGCTCCAGTCCCGCCACATGACAGCTCAATACCCCATCGTCAACGCCGTCCTAGCCGGAGCTGTGGAGAGGGTAAGGTGGCTGTTGAACCAGGGGGCGGATCCTAACCTGCGAGGCGCTTATGGCAGCGCGGTCGAGTATGCACGAAAGGCGGGGAGCGACGAGATGAAGTTGGTTCTTGGGATTGACTCGGTGGAGACGTAGGGCCAGCCTTGTTAGGTATACCCATGTAGTCTTTGGCGAGGTAGCCATTCATGTGGCTGTTATGGAGAGTCGTAAGAGTTGAGGATTGAGCTTACGGCTGTGGCCATGTATACATACAACTCAATCTCCAAATTTAGTACAGATCTACGAAGAATTATAATAGATGTGCCTAGCTATGGTCACAAACTAGAATTAAGGCTATCAGGACAACGCAAAAGATTCTACGGAGTCTTGCTCAACACTCTCTTTGAGTTATAGGGCTGACGATTACAATTTCACCTCATCGTGGGGCCGCTGTTTAACTGCCAGCCCCCCTGTCAATCAACATGACACGGCCCCCAAGGACCAAGCTAATTAAACCTTACGCGTTCTTTCCACTTGCAATGAAACAAAGAAATCCATCCTTTGGCATTGATGGGAGATTCCGTCCGTCGGCCCCGAACAGCAGCATGCATGGTTTCATTCCCTTGAAACACAGAAGGATTCTAGCCCCGTTGGACTAAAATCTGACCCCGTTCGACGGCTAACCCGGCGCCTATTTTGATGGACGTCTTGATGGGTATAGAAGCTTGGCTGTCCGTTGGTTGTTCAGCGCGCTTCTTTTCTTGGGTGACGTGACGACCAACAGGCTACACTCTCTTTCACTATAGACTGCCTTTCAGTCTAGCCAGTCGCTTCACTTGTCATTCATTATAGCCGTTCGCTTCGAGGTCGGTCAAAATGCCGTCTCAAGGCTGGTCATTGTCGGCCGGTCGCGCGTTGCTCTTGTTGGCATCGCTGCCTCTTTACACGGCTCAGGATGTTCCCGATCCTGCCCTGCCCGTAGCCGACCCTGCTGCTGCGTGAGTAACCTCGCCATATGCCCAGCTACGTCTCGAGTCTAGGTCACTAACAAACTTAGCACCACCACCAGCATTGCATTCCCCGAGGTCTTTCCCGACGTCGAGGTTCCTGCTGGGCCATCCACTACGGAGACTCTACCAGCAGAACCTTCTACCACAGATATTGCCATCGTAGTGGAGCAAACTACCTCAACCGAAGTTCCTGTCGCTGAGACCACCACCTCGAGCTTCATCCCTGAGGGCCCCGAGACTGTCGAGACACTCAGCACTACTGCTAGCCAGACGACAACGGAAGTACCTGTCCAAGACACTACCACATCCACAGAGGTGCCCATCCAGGATACAACTACTTCAACTGAGGTTCCGGTTCAGGACGCAACCACAAGCACTGAGCTCCCCGTTGTTCCTACAACAACCTCAAGCTGGATTCCTGACGCTTCTGAGACTGTTGAGCCAATCAACACCCCTGGAGCTTCGACAACCTCGACTGAGCTCCCTGTCCAGGACACTACTACTAGCACTGTGCTTCCTGTTGATACCACCACCAGTACTGAGCTACCTGCTGGCACTACAACTTCGACCGAACTGCCTGTCGATACCACGACTTCAACCGAAGTTCCTGCCGGTACTACCACTAGCACTGAAGTTCCCGTCGACACAACCTCCACTGAGGTGCCTGTCGATGCGACAACCTCAACTGAGTTACCTGTGGATACCACCACGACTACTAACATCCCAGTTGACACTACCACAACGGAGCAACTCCCTGAGACCACCACTACCACCAACCCTGTCGTGGACCCCACCACGACGACCGAGCAAGTTATCGATGCTACCACCACCACTGAGCAGCCAGCTGAGGAGACTTCCACTGCTGCTGGCCAGCCTGCTGACACTACCACCGAGCAACCTCCTCAGCCTACTACCGAGGATAACGAGCCCACCATCACCCAACCTCCGGTCCTCACAACAGCTACAGGTGCTGCTGCCACCTCGGCTGTCTCTTCCGTCTCAACTGAGATCCTGGGTCTCCTCCCTATCATCGACTCTTGGAAGGATGACCCAGAGAACCTCAAGGACGAGACCAAGGACAAGGTTGACGACGTTCACGACGACATTATCGCCGTGATTGTAAGCCTGGGTGGTGACCCTAACCAGGATTGTGCCGGAAAGAGGAAGCGAGGTCTGCTTGGACCTATCGGCGATATCATCAACAGCCTTGTTTGTATCGCCAAAGATCTCACTGATATCTCCGGTAACATTGTGGTTGGCAATGTGCCCGCTGTCACTGGAGCCACTAGTGGTGTTCAGTCCCAGACTGAGGATCTTACCGATGAGGAAAAGGACGAAGACAAGACCGACGAAAAGAGTGAGCAAGAGTCCACCGAACAAGAAGAGTCCACCACCGAAGAGCCAACCTCGACTACTACCTCTCCCTGCACAGACGACACTGCCGAGCACGTCACCATCATCTGCAAGCCAACCACCATCACCGAAGATGGTAATGTTCAGACTACAGAGACTTGCTTCGAGTCCATTACCGTTGAAGTTACCGGTTGCTCCGTGACTGAGGCTACTACTGTCATCTCGACTACTGGCACAGCCGCTGCCATCACCCCCTGTGCTTCTGGCTCTTGCGGTGGTGGCGATGCTTGCCCGATGGATCCTGCTCCCCTGAGCGGCGCTGACATGGCCCTTGTCTCGACCAAGGTTGACTGTGCCGCTGTGTCCACCATCACCACCTCCGAGATCCCGACTGGTGCTGGAGCTTTCGGCAGCAACCCCATCACTTCGCCCACGCCCCGTGCCGAGAGTGGATCCGCTAAGAGGGACTTGGACCGTCGTGTGTTCATGCACAACACCACTCCTAACCCCTTCTACATTGCTTCCCTGAACCCGCTCTGGGTAAGCCAGATCGGAGACGCTTCTGGTCATTGGTTCGACTATCCCGCAATTGGTCAAGGTTTTGCCGGTGTCAACGGTATCTACGGTTGTACTGCCGTCATCATCGTTTCCGACAAGGGTGTCTATCTGTCCCACATCTGGGAAAACCCCGTCTTCATTGACGCGGACTGGAACTGGACAGACGATGAGTCTTTCAACAGGAACGCTTTTGAAGCTCTTCGCGACGGAACTGACAACGCTCGAAGTGTAACTTCTCTTGTCGGTGATGACGCCAGCCCCGGTGTGCTGCACGCCAGCAACAACCCCATGGTCTTTGTCCTAACCCCCTTCACCGACGTCTTGAACGATCCCACGGGCATTACCACTTTGTTCCGCTACCAGGCACGCGCCCAGCGACTCGCTGACAGTCTCGTTGGTGTCATCCCCGGCTCTAGCGGTCACCTCCTAGGTTACACCCGCACCAACGGAATTGACTCCACCGAGCCTATCGGCACCTGGGGTCGCGCAATCCTCGAGGTCGACATGTTCCAGGATATGATCATCACCCCTGAGGATACTCCAGGCGGTAGCTGGGCCTTTTCCATGGGTCGATGGAGACTCTGGGTTGAGGACGGACTCGTGACTTGGCGTGACTTTATCGTTGGCGGCAGTGGTATTCAGCTGAGTGGATTTGCTACCACTAGCGATGCTCCTGCCCCCGAGGCAACTCAGGCCCCTGAGGGAACCCAAGCTCCTGAGCCTGAAACCCCTGAGCAAACTCAAGCTGCCGAGGCTGTGGCTCAGCGTCTGCGCAAGAGAGAGGATTCACCTGTTGAGGAGTGCTTGGTTGTGACTCGTGCCAGCACTACCAGCGAGGCTACTTCCAGCGCCACTGAGACTTCCCAGACTGAGTCTACCGAATCTACTGAGACGACCCAGTCTACCGAGTCCACTCAATCCACAGAAACCACTCAGAGCTCCACTGAGACTGTCGAGACCACTCAAAGCTCAACTGAAACCTTTGAAACGGAGTCTACCCAGTCCACTGAGACTACCGAGTCTACCGCCGTCTCTACTTCTGAGACCTCCGAGACTACTACCGAGTCTACTCGACCCCCCACAACTCTCAGGACCTCTGTCATCACCACCACTTCCGCTCCTGACACCACTTCTGCCAAGCCAACCACCACCAAACCCCCTTTCACCGGCCCTGTTATCTGCGTCAACCATGGCGGTCCTCGTGTTGCTACTCCTTACTGCCAGTGCTCCACCACCACCGAGGGTCAGGTTTTCTACGCCACTGCTCCTCTAATCTCGTACCACTGCACCGACTACACCACTTTCCCCTCCTCCGTTTCTCCTACGCCAACCAAGGAAGAGACCCCATCAGCAACCGCGACTAACCCCAACGCCGACGTCCCAGAGGTTGAATGCTCCACCCCCGACGACTGCGACGACTGGGAAGGAAACTGCCACTTTGCCAACGACAACAACCACGTCGTCTGCCTCGCCACAGACTGGCATGACGTAAACGGCATCCCAACCTCCGGAAAAGCCATCTGCGAATGCCTCATCCGCGAGAAGCCCGCCGACCCACCAAAGGGCACCAACCCCAATGCCGATGTGCCGGAGGTGGAGTGTTCTACGCCTGATGACTGCGGTGACTGGAAGGGAGACTGTGCGTTTGGACCTTCGAGCAACCATGTTGTTTGTCTTGCTACGGATTGGCACAAGGTGAATGGTGTGCCTACTTCTGGCAAGGCTATTTGCGAGTGTATGGTTACTGAGGCGTAGATGAGGTTGAAGTAATGTGTCTGCTTGGCAGATGTTCAGTTCATGTTAATAATCTTCAAGTAATACAATGGCAACAAGTCCACTTGAGCATGTGTAATCACACCATTTTGTACCCTTTGAGATAAGAACGTGAGCCCTGACAAGCCTGTGTATTATGACCGTTGTCCACCAGATGTCACTATCACTAATCCAGTCCTCCACTCTGTATTATTGTATTATTGTTCCATCCCAGAGGCCGTGCCCTACATTAAAACATCAACTCAACCATGGAACTCATCCACTCCCAGTAACCTCTCATCCGCTCTGAACCATTACCCAGGCCCTCAATCTTCCCTTGTACTGTAGCATCATCTTCAGCCTCTCGCATCTATAATCCCCAGTCATCCCGTACATTCCCACCACTTCTCAATTCAATCCAATGGCATCCGCATCAGCCTTGGACATACCGATGCTCCCGGCACCACTGTCCTTTCAGACCTGCTTCTCGGGGTACTCGGAAGGCCCCAGCCCTCGCTTCTCCAAGCACGTCATCACTCTCTCCAGGTCCCGAGCCGTCAGGGCAGCAAGATGTCCCATGCAACGCCAACGATCATGTTCGGTGTGAGCCAAGTCGAGGCCAGTCTCCATATCACCCAGCCTGACCTCATCCTCCTCAATACGCTGCTTGACTTCCTCACTCTCGGCCTCGACTTTACGTCGAGCATCCTGAACATGCGTCTCAGCTTTCGCAAGTTCCTTCTCCATGTCACCAAGTCTTCGCTCGTGGCCCTTGGTAACCAGTGCCCGTGTTTCAAGATCCAAAGTCTCCAGCAGATCCTTGTTTGTGAGGTAATACTCGACCGTCCGACGTAGCTTTTGGAGATTGGTTAGAACGTCATCACGGGTGTTTTTGTGAATCAAGAGTTCGCCCCGGGATGGTGTCCAAACAAACTTTCCTGTCTCCAGCGACATCTTTCGTGTTTGGAGCTCATCTCGCAATGTGTCGACTTTTTTCTTCAGAGTCATGTATTCAAGGCTGGACTCGGTCTGTCTTCTCTTGACCACAACGTGAAGCGTCTCCCAGTCTTTCTCTTTCGTCATGGTCGAAGCAGAATCATCGGCAGTTGGGGGGGAAAGGTCGGGGTCAGCGATCGGCTGTGTCCATTAGTATTGAGGTTTGGGGGCGTGTATGGGGGGAATACTGACCTTGTTGGCATACAAGCGCCGTCTTTTCGCCGGCTCGCCCGACGTCGCGATGGCTGGGCTCGGGGATGTATCTTCAGAGCGAGCGTGCTTCTTTGGCGAGACGGATGATGACGGAGCAGGGTGATCGTGAGTGGTGGTTTTCTGGAGCGGGCTGGAGTAAGCTTGTCTAGCAAGCTTTTGGTGAATAGACACGCGGTCCGGGCTGTTGAGAACAGGGAAAGGCGACGCAGTGGCTTTGGAACTCGTGCGGGTTTGGTTGTTGTTGACCTCGTCGGATTCATGCTTCGTATCACCATCGCGCTCGTCTTGTCTTTCCTCGGTGGTAGAGTTAATCACGTCTTTTTTGTCCTCTCCTTCGCCTTTCTGGTCGTCTTCGTCCTCCAGAGCAACTCGGCCACTCCCGCGAGAGGCGAGCTGGTTCTCTACGGCGGCCGACTCATTCTTGCTTCTCGCGACTCCGAAATAGTCCATTGCATCAGTAATGTCACCCGGCTTCAATTGTGCGTGGTGGCTTCTTCCTCCCTTAGCTCGGCGACGGATGTAGTTCTGCAAGTCCTCCAAGGTTGGCTTGTTCTCAAGGCTGGCCGACCCAGACGCGCCGCGCGCGACATGCCGAATCACTCGAGCCAGATTGTGTACCATGTGAGCTGTCCATCTGCTCGGCGGAAAATCGCCAACCCATTCCCTTGGCCATTGTTTGGTCTCCCTGTATATGCTGCGGGACTGGGCGTCAGCAAGGGCTCGACGAGCAGCGTCATCGGAGTCGAGGGCCTGGCAAATCTCCTCACTGGTCAGGCTTTGCTGCATCTTCGTCGGAGTAGGCGTTTCGTCCGCCATTATTGGTGTCGATGATGTTGATTGCAAAGAGGTTCGTGGGTCATGCGAGTTCCCCCCCCCCCCCCCCATGCATGCGAGCAATCGACAAGTCTTCGTGCAGCGATACCGGAAGAGGAATGAAATTCTTTCTCAACCAAATGTTTACGAGAATATTCTCGGTCGGCAATTGAAAATTCCAACGAGAAGAGCTCAACATGTGTGCGTTGTTTCCTTGTGCTTGCTGGTGTTCGAGCACTGGCAGGTCATGTGCTCGTGTTGTCTGTCAGTGACTCAATAAAGCCCAACCAAGCACGGCACTCTCTCCCATCCAGTTGGGTGCTCAGAGCCGGTACGGAATAGTGATAAAGGCGAGGATAGTAAAAATTGCATATGGGGATCCCGTCAATGAGAGCAAGTCCATCATGCGAAGAGTGGATTTCGCGTGAACCACCACGCGATCAACTCTGGTAGGGGATTTTAAACATCACCTAGAATTCATTTCCATTATTATCATCAGAACTACTTAAACATCTTCCCGTTGCAATAAAGAAGCAATAGGGAGGAATTGCAATTTTAACACTGGTAGTAGAGATTCCGATGGTTGGAGGTGCCCAGTCGCTCTCAGCTTATCAATCAGTTATCAACTTTGCCGTTAATCAGTGGTTCCGGCTAAGCCAAGGTTAAAGCTGCAATACGACGTCTTATTGGTCAGCTAGACTACCCCCTGTCTAAGTGGGTAACGCACGTTCACCCGGGTCAGGGCTGAAGACGGGAGGAACTGAGTGTAATCTTTACGCTGACACAACATGAAACATGGACACCAAGATCAGCTATCACTCTCTTGATGACCCAGATCGCTCTTTCAGGCTGATCAAACTCCAGCCGTCAAAGGACAGTGAAACTGCTGCCTCAGACAACCTTATTTGCGACATTGAGGAGCATGTTCGTGGCGACTGTCCACCCTATACCGCTCTGTCATACGTTTGGGCTACACCAGAGAGCAAACATAAATGTGTAATAGCGAATGGAAACAAGGTCCAAATCAGCCAAACCGTCGAAAACGCGCTCCGTCGACTGCGTTTCCGCCAAAAACCCCGATGGCTATGGGTGGATCAGCTGTGCATCAATCAGGTTGATGAGAATGAGAAGAGCCACCAAGTTCACCAGATGCACAGCATTTACAGTGATGCAGACCAAGTCATTTCCTGGCTTGGAACTGGAGACGAAAAAAGTGATCTCATCTGTCGTCTGATGCGAGACACGGGTCGGGCTCTCCGCCAAAGAGACATGGATGCTTTGAAGAAGCTGTACGGAGAAGAAGGCTCCGTGGACCTAGTTGCTGCCAAAGAAGCATTTCATGCCTTCTGTGAGCGGAGATATTGGACACGGCTCTGGGTCATACAAGAGTTCGCCGTCGGTCGACGCGTCGCTGTAGCATGCGGTGATTGGATTGTCAAATCGGAGCTCATCACCGCCACCCTGTGGGCTGTCGACACTTTTCGGCGTCACTCCCGCAAGAAACCCATCGAGGGACTCAACATTATCCGGCGAAACTACCATTTTGTGTTTGAAAGCCCGCTTAGCAGCTATGTCTATAATCTCTTTACGAGGAGAGTGTTATACCGGCCACCATCAAGAGATACGGAGTCTTCGTACGCGGATCCCTTGCTCAAAGTCATCGCCACATCTCTCACACTAGAGGTGGATTATAACTCGGTTTACTCATCGGATCCGAGGGACCGAGTTTTCGCATTACTGAACTTGGCTGCTGACAAGGATCATTTCGACACATTTCCTGATTACTCCATGTCAGTTCAAGAAATGTACAAGGAGACTGCACGCAAGATGCTGCTACAGGGTGACATCGACGTACTGCTGTACTGCCAAACCCCAAAGAAGATCGAGTCTCTCCCGAGTTGGGTGCCAGATTGGGCGATGGAAGTACGACATCCTTGTGCCCAGCCACCGTGGTCAACCTGTTTTGAAGCATCGGGTGGCCAAACTTCGACGCCGACATTTCCTTCTGAGGATCTTGTGGCGTTGGAGGGGATATACATTGACACGATCAAAGAGATAGGAGAGCCTTGGGATCCAAATTGGCTGAAAAAAGTTGATAAGGCCGCGGTGACTTCATATGTCGAAAGCATTAGAGGTTTCTGTGACCGCTCACCAAAAATCCAGGTGGGCCGCGAAGGCGCTGAAGCATCCAGAATCGCCATCCTCGATGGAACTTTGTGGTTTGACTCAGTGCCGTATCCGGAATGGGGAACCGAATGCGAAGCAGTTCTCGATGAGCTCCTACAATCACTCGCAAACGGCGATGAGTCGACAATCGCCGACCCGTGGTATTCGACAACCCTACTTCGTCTACACACGCGACGAACTTTTTTGACATCGACTGGTTATGTTGGTGTTGGTCCACTTGATACCAGGGTTGGGGATGAAGTCTGTGTGTTTATTGGAGGAAATGCTGCGTATCTCGTGCGGCCTGAAAAAAATGAGCTTTATTCACTGGTTGGGGAGGCTTATGTGCATGGAGTTATGTATGGAGAGTTGTTGAAGGGTGGTTTTGAGCAGAGAAAGCTATACACGTTGAGATAAGTTGGTTTAATTGTCATTCTTTGCTTCATACCTCCTGGTCATACGTCATCATAACAAAACAAACGTTTGCGGAGAAATTCAAGTTAACATGACTCAATTAATTCCGATGTTCATGAAAGGAATTATTTTATGTTTTACATTAATTGCAATCGACATTAATTAGCAAACTGCCGTGCGACGCTATCCCCACTTGATAGCCTATTCCGGTCAGTCTTACCCCATGCGGACAACCGAGCCCATTCCGGTCAAGTCTCGCCGCGGTCGTGAGTTTCAGACGCGCGAATCAACACTCCACACTGGCCCTTTTAATTTCCTCCATGATGTCTCCACAACTCCTTTTAGAGCTCCTGATGAAGCTCTGCCATCCAATCCATTCATTTCACTCTCTCTTTTTTCTCTTTCTTTGTTAACCAACGGTTTCAATACCGGATGGCACACGGCCCCATCCTCATCCACATCCACATCCACATCCATCATCATGGCTCAGTTTGAACGTCCGACTTCGAGCTCGTCGCTCTTTGAGCTGGTCGAAGGTCTCGACGAGGCTCAGATTAACTCGTTATTGTTCGAATTTAACAACACGGTCCCTAGCAACATTCCTGTTTCTCATGGCGTCGAGCTCTTTGAACATCCCGACTCAAAGAAGCCCATCTCTGCCGCTCGCGCGTCTTCCATTCGTCGTTCCTTCAAGCTCTCTCGAATGCTTTCGAGGTCAAAGAGCAAGCGAATTTCTTCAGCACCAGCTCCATCACCGTCTCGTCCGAGAACTGCCATGCCCACCGGTCCGAAGCATTACAGGAGGATAAGTCGACCTGTATTGCCCACACTTGCCAGCGGCCCCGACCTGAACGCTCTCTTGTCTGCATACCTCGCGCCTACTGCTCCTCCATCTAAGCCGAAAACCTCGTCTCCTTCGTCCATGTCGTCTTTGCGATCGATCTCTACCAGTTCCACGATGAGCTTTGAAGCCGAGGATGCCGATATGGATATACTAGCACCGCTCGTGTTTGGCCGACCCCAACAACAACGAGGTCAAATAGGGGACATTTTTGAAGTGTTGGAGTTTTAATCATGGATATCAATGGGAACGTAATGGGCGTATTGACCTAATGTTCCGACCACGCCATGTACGCGGTCTGCCTCCACACTGCCGGCAGTGTTTTTTGAGGAGTCGCTCCGAGATTGACAAAGACGATTTACCGACTTGACTTGAGCATATTCCGGTGTTCTAGGCGGACCTCTTGTTACTTTGTATTCTTCTACCTTATCGCCAGAAATACTGGCCATACTGAATCATGAAAACGTATTCTTTTGTTACATGGGAGTTTTGGCAAGAAACGCGGTCAGGGGCTGTGTTAAGCGAACGGCACAGTATGTGGCCTGACGTTCTTTTCCAACTGCTTGGCGTGATGTATACGAACTGTTTGAAGAAGACTAAGCATCGTACAAATGACTAGAGAAATGGTGTTTGCATAGCCTTCATACAAAATACCGTGGATTTTTGTTGCGTCATTGCGTCAGAAAAGTATCCATTGTTGTGACATGTAGGGTCACTTGAGTGCAAATATAGGGTAGTTACGTGTAAAATCGGTTCTGTTTTCTGGAGTCTAACTATCTCTTTTGAGAACCAACTAGATAAAGTGTTGGACCAAGACCGCAGGAAGTCAACCCAAGTAGAGGGCTGAGGTAGGGCGAGATCCTCCACTATTTCTTATTCTTCGTTTTGTCCTTCCTTTTGTCCTTGCTCTTCTTCTTGCTCTTCTCCTCAGTCTTCTTCTCTTCCTTACTCTTCCTCTTCTCTTCAACCTTCTTCTCCTTCGCCTTTTTTCTTCTGTCAGCCTCTTGTTCCTTCTTCTTTTGCCTGCATGGCGTGCAAGACGAATGTCCCGGATCGGCTTGTCTCTCGCGGCAATAGCAGCAAAGCCCTGCATCCTTGGCTCTCTTGTATGCTTCGTTGGTGAGGAGTCGTTTGTTTTGGACTTTCCAGGACCCCTGGCTTTCATTACCTACGCAGTTCAAGCAAAGCGGCCCAATGCGACCATCCAAGTAATCGCCACATTTGTTGCAATAATAGATGCGTGATGGGCCAACTTGTTGCTCATCGTTTAGTTGCAGCGCAGCCCTCAATAGGTTAACTGAGCCCGAATATCGTTGCTCATTGTCTACTGCGTAGTCATCTGTGTCAATCAGATCAGGGTCGGATTGAGTCAAGTCAGGGTCAGTCTCGGTGAGATCAGGGTCGGTTTCAGTCAGATCATGATCGATTTCCCTTTCCTTTCCCTTGGCAGATTTTTGAGGCATGGCGACTCGTTGGGCGACTCGATAAGCGCTTTCGTTCTGTTATTGTTGGTCTTGAGACAGGTGCTGAGTAGATGAGTGGGAGAGTATGCTGTTGGGAACTCATATATAGCACATACATGCACGTTTCGATACATCTGATCACTGGCGTTGTTATTTGGGGTGTCACTGCTATCAATTGAAGTGATTGACAAAGTTCACGCAAGTGCGTGCCCTTCGTATAAGGGACATCTATGTAGGTAGTGAATAGGATATGAGGTGGGATGTTCTCTGCATCACACTCGTAACTGATCCCACATACCTATGCTGAATAATGAAGGCGCTTTCATTTTGTACATGGTAGCCCCGTTGAAAATCGGCCACTAGATATCACGCTTGGCGTCGGATGCAGAGTCCAGCGACAAACGGTCTGATCGTGCTTTTCGGAGTGCTTGGCGTAATTTGATAAATCATCGGATCGTTTCGGAGGGAAAGGGGGAGTCAGAAAACCTGTAAGGACCTCTACTGTAAAAACGAAGTGATCAAGTATTTCCTTCCCTATCGAAGAGTTCATTAGGTCTTTGCTTTTCTAAGTGGTGGTCAGGCAAGTCGTCTATCAGACATGGCTAGCGGAGTATGACAATCCAGCTAGTTAAAATAAACCCATACCCCTAATCCTCTTCATCCCTCTTCTTGGCCTTGAATTTAGCATGATTTCTGTAGTTCCTTTCTCTGCATTCGGTACAAGACGCCATTCCGTCATCTGGCTTCCTCTTGCGACAATAACAGCACAGTCCTTCTTCCTTGGCTTGGCGGTATTTATCTTTGTCTTTGGAATGAGCTTTGACGTCCTTCTCTCTACACGCACGGCAGCGTGCCTTTCCATCCTCGGTTGGTTCCTTGCAGTTAATGCATCTTCCTTCTGCTCTTAACTGCCTTCTTTCCTCCTTTAGCCAACAAGACTGGCAAACTGACTTCTTGCCTATGTTCGCTCTGTTATTCCATCAAGGGCCGGGCTTCAACTATAACAAAGAACGATATAGTGACTTACTGCGCGCGGGCCTGGGTTTGCCACAGCTGCTGCATATTGCTGATGTGCTTGATTGGCCAGCTTGTTGCTCGCCTGAGTCATCTCCTACTGCGTCGCCGGCGGGTTCGCTTAGATCATCGGGAGGGTCGGACAGTTCAGAGTCAGAATCGGACAAATCAGGATCAGCTACTCCCTTTCCCTTGTCAGAGCTGGAGGCCTTCGCTGGCCCCTGGCTCATCAGAATCAACGCATTAGCTACGTCTTTCTCTTCTTTGGATACACCATGGAATGGATCGGTTGGTAAAGGGGTTGGATTGTTTGAGTTGCTCATGTTGCTGTATTCAGCAGCTCAACATGGGTTTTCGGATGCGTTTGTTGGTCTGGAGATAGTTGTTGAGTACCCAGGTTGGTAGTGATTGCCTAGGCCGCGCTATCATCGACCCCTATATAGCATTGTAAGCAACTCCGATACTGTACGCTGTGTCACTGTGTGTTGGGTGAGCTTCTGGTCACTGTTCCTGCCAGGGGCCGGGCCACTGATGTGCATGCCCTCTTGGCGCCATCTAGAGAGTGAATAGCACAGCACATAGGGCGGGAAGAGAAGTACTCTGCATAGCACTTGTAACTAAGCCGGCATATGCTGAATGACGAAGACATGTTCCTTCTTTTCATGGAGCACCTTTGAGAATCAGTCACTGGAGAACACTCTAGGCATTTAATGCTTGAATCACCAGCGAAACACTCAGAATGTTTCTATGTGCGCTTGTGATGATATTTCATCTAGTCTATGGGGTAGAGACTGAAAACCATAGAATCCGGTTTTATGATTTGGTTAACAGTGTTTGAGTTATCTACCCGTTGGCTCCCAGCAAGCTACAAGTTTGGAGACTACCTCACTGCTCAAAGTATTTAGACAAAATGCTTTTATAGCCCAAGGAGAGACTTGGTGATACCAGAGGCCTAGCTAATACGTTGGCGGCGCCTTAACGTTTCTTCTTCCCGCGGTCTTCTTGTTCTTTCCTGCGTGCCTCTCTTTGCTTCTCCCTTGATTCATCCACCTTTGGCTTGCATGGCAGGCAAACCGTAAGGCCTTCCGCGGGTGGTCTTCTCTTGCAATACGTACATTTGCCCGTCCGTTGCTTGCCTAAGCAGCCACGACAACGTGCGTAACCCTTCAATGCGCGTTTCGGGCAGTCTCTGCATTTGCCTGCTTTTTTAGCTTTCTTGCCTCGTCGTTTGCTAGCACAGGATGGGCAGTACCTTCCTCGGTTTGTCTTGGACTTGCCACACTTGCAGCATGTTGTGTTGTCCCCATTGTAATTGTCTTCGGACGAGGAGGAATCTTCGTCACCGCCACCGCCGCCATCGCCTGGGTCTTGGTAGTCTTCGTCGCCATCTTTGCCGCCATTTCCATTATCAGATGGATCAGGGGCATCATTACCCATAGCGGAGCTGGAAGCACCGGCAGACCCCCCATACAACATCAGCAAGCCATGAACTGCGGTGGATTCACGCTCTTGCAGATCTGCCATAGTACGGATCGCTCGATGAGGGGTTTTTGGTAAACTTAGCTGCTTGGTAAGAGTTTATAGTTGTGCTGTTTGTGGTCCGGAGTCGAATGTTGGGTAATGTGGTGGTGATTGAACAGGTGAGGTATTGCAGGCCTACATATAGCAAGGCGAGCGTTCTGATACGCCTACGTTAAACGAACATCTGGTCACTGATGGTGGTGCCAGGGGGCGGGTTACTAATGTTAATTAAAGTGATCAACCAAGTCAAAGCAACGGTATGCCCTTGGAGGCCATCCATACTATGAATAGCACTTAGAGTGACAAAGTCCTCTCTACTACCGTTGCCACTTATCTTACGACGACAGTTGAATGCTGAATAATGAGCATTGTAGTAGATCTTTATTCGTTAACAGATGCTCATTCTGAATCAAAGAGGTTCAAGTCGCTCAGTGATATATCATCGTCAGAACCCACTGTGGTCGACGGCTTCACCGGACGGGCCCGGCGAGCCTCCTCCTTTGGGTAGCATGTCAGACACGAAGGGTCTGGGGTGATTTCATATGGCCCTCGACGACTCGGAGCTTCATTCGAGGTCCCTTGATATGCCAACACCCGCATTCGAGTTGAATCTTGGATTTCCAGTCTCCCATTTGCTGTTTGAAACAAAACATCGAAAAGGTCAAAGACAGTACAGGAATCATTGCCGGGTTCATTGTTGATATCGATGGCCCACAGTCCCATGTCTTCTCTCCGAACCTCGACCAAGATGTAACCGTCGGCGTGGAAGATTTGCCGGTTGGCATCTAGAGTTAATGCTGACCCTGGAGCATCTGTTTCTGGCTCTCCAGAGTGCATATCTGAAGTCAAGCCTGCACTCTCTGGTGATCGTCGTCGAAGCCGGTGGTCGATAAACCAAAGTGTCCTTGCAGTAGACTCGTGAAGAACGTCAACCATGTCGATTATATCCATAGAATGCATGCCCAAGTCTCCCCGGCAGTAGTGAACTGGCCGATTGGCGAGTGTATCCATCATCCTGGGATCAAAGTCGATGGCAATGTTGAATCCAAGGAAGCTGGTGCCATCTTCCCCACGATACTCGATAAGAGGAACAGGGTCCCCGGCGTAATGATGAAACCAGTCTATTGAGCCCAGATGCCGTGGGTCCAGGTATATTAGATCTTCGGTGCTGATTGTGATGTGTCTGCTTTCCCCTTCACGGGTCTTGTACGTCGCTGAGTGAAAGACATCATCTTGGCCAGCATATGCTCCCTTTTCTGCGAATCTCGCTGTGGGTTTCTGGTGTGGAATATCGGACCACCACTCGTTCTTCTTGAATCGCCGTACCATCGCAGCTCTGGACACAGCACAGGCCGTCCAAAGGCCACTATCCATCGCATAGATAGACTCATTGGGGTTGCCCTGTGGATCATCCCATGGGAGAGCAAGTGAAAAGCCAAACCATGGCCCGTCCTGACGCCCAAATCTGATGAAATCCCCAGAAATGGGGTATGGGGGGTTCGCCAGGTTGAAGTAGTGATCCACGATGATGAATCTTTGCACGTGTTGACGACCCGGAACAGGGCGGACTGCAGCGTCCCAGATGAGCTCTTGGATCTCATTGGGGAAGCTCAAAAAGAGAGGGAAACTTGTCGACATATCTTGCGAGTGAGGGAAGATACCCAGTTAACGTATACAGGAAGCTTGTTGTTAGAAGAAGAGTCATAAAGTGAGGTGAGATTGCGATCCCAGATTGCTGCTTGTGGGAACATCACGTGATGACGTACGCTTGAGAACGCAGACTGCTCAGTAGAATGGTAGATAGACGCAGCTGGACTTCGTAGGTGTTCTGGCTGACTGACATATAAACTATAAAGTACGTAGAGTACAACGAGAATGGGATCATCAAGAGGCAGGTGAGGGTCCGGATTTAGATCTTGGACTTGACTTGCTCCTCCAGAAGCAACCGCTCAACATCCCTGCTTGCAACCACACCTCTCTCAATAGCACCATCAACAAACCCTCTCCACCCATCAGCCCAATCAGCGCTAGCAAAGTGAACTCTTCCATCTGATGCTTGCAGCTCCTTGAGCCACTTGGACATGGCATTCGGGCCCCAACAGCTCCAAGTTCCTTTGGCAAGGCTATCATTCATCCAGTCGTGCGTCAGGTACGCCTTGACATCAGCATCGGGCTTCAGGTACTGCTTGAAAGTAGAGATGATGTGGTTCGAGGCGCGAGGATCTGTGAGATGTCCGTTATAGCCGAATCCAATGCAGTAGGTGCCATCTTTCTTGGCTGTTCCATTGTGGTCGGAGAAGGAGAAGCACCAGGGCGAGTTTCCATAGCCACTTGCCATTGCAAAGAAGCCTGGCTCGGTTTGGCTAAGCTTGAAGTGGATTTTCGCTCCTTGATTAATGTGACCAGCTCTGATGGCCTCTTGACGGAGTGGGGAGAGCGACGGCGTAAACGAAATGTCCGACAGGCAATTCCTTTGTGATGATCAGCCTTGATAACTTTTCGTATTTGTAGGAGATACTTACAATGGGATTGTCGAAATGACCTGGCTTGCCTGGATCTGCCTGCGATTCTTTGTAGTCAGGGTGACAGATGAGTTACTCTGCTCAACCTTTTCAAGGACAGTACTAAACAGCAAGTGTCCATGATACTCGGCGAGAATTGAACGAGCTAGAGAGCTCATTCCTCCTTTGCCGATTTTATATACACCGGCAAGCTCGAAAACGCCAGCCATGGTGTGTCCTCCAAGTGCATACCAGCGCAACGCTTCGGTAAAACCACATTCAGAGCAAGGAGCTGAGCCAAAGGAGCTGACCATGGCATCGAATAGGTCCTTCTCAATCTGAGGTAGATCAAGCTGGTCAAGACGGTCCTTGGCAGAGAGGTGGTCGTATTTGAGCCATGGAACGGGTTGTCGGAATGGTTCGTGAGGGTAGGGCATGAGGTCGCGACTAGAGAGGCCATCGATGGCGAAGAAGGCATCTGCGACTCGTTGAACAGCCGAGTTGACGTCCTCGCCGTCGAGGTTGTTGGGAGTTGAGAAAGCAGCTGTATATAACGTCGTTTTGGCATCGAGCGTTCCGGCGGAGGTCTTCAGGTTGGAGTGTAACCCGTAGCGGTGCAATTCGGCGTACACGTGAGGTTGGTTCCTGAAGAAGTCTCGTCAGCCTGTTGCCAGAAAACATATGGAAGGGAACCTACCAGTGGACCCAAGTTCCTCCCATTTCGAACTCTTCCTCTAAGGCTTTCGCAGTCCATGTTCTTCCACCAATACGGTCCCGACCTTCGAGAAGTAGCACCGTAAGGTTCGGGTTGCGAGAGAGGTTCCGAGCCGCAATGAGACCAGCAAAACCGGTTCCGATGACAACGACATCGTACTTGTCACGGATCAAGGAGTCTGGCGTGCCACTAACAACGGCGTCGGTGGTGAGGCCGGTTGTTTCGCTGGTAGGCGTCCAGAGATAGCCTTCGCGACTGGTAGGCATGGTATAGGCTGCAATGAAAGAAGGACTAGGAATTGATAGGGAAAATAGAAAATCAAGGGGATCTGATAGAGTGCAATTGGTTGCTATCCTGTCTTTAAGTTGTGAGGGTCGGCCTACGTGCTTGGCAAGTCCCCTGCAATGCGTGTGGGCTGCCCCCTTTCCTATTTGGGACAAAAAGTGCGAGGTCCAACACACGCAAGATAGACACACGACGACTTGTCAAGCCCGTACTATTAAACTCTTTTAGTAATAGCTTCCAATTGTGAGCAGGGATCCTGCTCTAACCTTAGTATACGAATCGACTCAAATAGATGATGGCGTACCCCTTGCTACGTTGACCAGCCTGCAAGTCATTCTACCAACACACTCCCCTCTCGCCACCATGCCTTTTGTTTACAAGCCACAAGCTGCGGCCATCAAGCCACCTCAAATGGATGAGTCTGGAAATGCCTTTGGAGGAGGCAAGTCGACTTTCCCTTATACTCTTGGGAGTTTCACTGATCTAATACGCCCTAGACGTTGTTTCCACAAGCGACTCTGGCTCAACAACCCCCATATCCGCTGGCTTTTTCCGCATTGAGAAGGGCAAGCCATGCGTCTTCACGTACGAGTTTGATGAGGCGAAGCATTTTATCGAAGGACAATGTGAAGTCCAGGATGAGACGGGCGCAACGGTAACGGCGAGGCCTGGTGACGTGATGCTCTTCACCAAGGGGTCCATCATTTCGTTTTCCACCGAGACGTACGCCCTGGCATTTTTCTGCGATCAGAGGGCAAAGTTGTGAGCTCTCGATGAGCACGGCAAGTGGTCGAATCTGGGATTAATAGTGATGGAGGGAATAGGAGGGCCGAAGCTTTGCCTTGTTAGAATCCCATTGCCTCACCCAAATATAGTCTCCAACTTCTTCTCAGACATAACATCCAGCCAATGTACTTTGCCATCAAGAATTCCCCCATTACTACTTGAGTGACTCATCTCCATATCCATCCGTGACCAGACTTCCTCTAGGATGAGAGCAGAGTGGTTCACCGGGCGCAAACCGATAGCAACACACATAAAGAGGATGCGTTGTCGGACAAAATCTCGCCACCGCATCACGGTTTGTTGAAATGGTGTCCCCTCGACGGTAGTGCTTTGGCATTGTCCGGGGGGCACACCTAGAGCACTGCCGGCAATCAACAAGGCCAGTAACTGAATCGAGATTGTGCCCGAGTCAGTGGGTATTGACTCTAGAATCCCCAGTATTCCAAACGCGAGGCCGAGTATCAGGTGCGTCTTGTCGTCGTATTCACCCGTGGAAATCTCAACAGCTTGCTCCACAACTGTCTGTGATTTGATCAACTCGGGAAACCCTCGGTATAGCTCAAGCAGAGTGGCTAAGCGGTAACAGCGAGCAATGGCTAGAAAGTGATCGGGTGGTGTACATGGGTCGCCCACATCCTCAATCAGGCCAACGAACGGGGTTCGTAACTTGATGATCTCTTGCTCTAGAGCTGAGGCATCTTCGAGAAGCTCTGCGTATAGGGCTCTTTGATGTGCCTCGCCCGATCTGAAAACGCGGAGATTCCGCAAGACTCTCTTATTCCTGAGTAGGATACCCGTCTTGGCCAGAAACACGAAGACTGGGGTCCCCACACCTGTCCAAGGACATGGATATATGAGTGACGGTAGGTTCGGCTGGCAGAAGACGTCCATGTATGACAAAGCGGCTGTGTCCTGGTCGAGGATGAACGAACTCATGGCTTCCCAGTATATCATTGAGGAGACGAGGAAGCACTGCTTCTGATCCATTGATGCGCGTTTCGCGGCGTCTTCTAAGGAGTTAGACGCCATCCATGCTTTGAATAGCTGACGGCAACCAAACAAGTGAGATAGACCAGTCGCGGAAGAGTTATGCCAGGCCTAGGGAGGACAATCAGCTTTGAATCGAGCAAAGTTAACTGGGGGTGGAGACAAACCGATGTCATTCCCAAGAGAATAACGCCAAGCAGGACGTCGTCTTGAACATGATCCGTCTTCTGGAATGCTAGTGCCCCTGATCTACCATCATCCCCTTTCAAAACCCGGGGCATGGCTGTGTCCAGTTGCGAAAGTTCAATAGAGAGATGGGATATCGCTTCCGTCTGAAACTCTAACGCAATGCTGCTTTTGGGTTCATCGCCTTGGTAGAGGTGCGCCGCAGACATGCTCAAGACACAATGGAAGAGGAGTGGCGAGTTAATGATCATCTTTGATACTTCTGATCGGAACGGGTTGTGTAGCGAGTCGAAGGCGGAGTTCATCTGGCAAACATTGGAGAAGTAATGATCGAGTAGTAGTGACGATTGCTCCATCGGTTTGTAGACTGTCAGAGACGTGTTGTCGTCCGTCAAATCAGAGGTGGAGACCTGCTCAGGTTCTGTCTCATTCGAATCTTCCACAAAACCATGCCAAGAACCCGAGACCGACAAAGAAGGGGAGGAGGCAGATTGTTCAGCAGAAAGGGGGGTATCACTAATACTGGGGACTTCATGATGCATGTCTGGTAATCTTGAAGAGGCAGGAGATGCTGCAGTCTTGGGAGACAAGGGAGACTCGACCGTGGGCACGGTCGTCAAGTCGGAATGTTCGGTTTGGCGAGACTGGGGACTTTGATGACTGGGGGTCGGCTCAATTGCATTTGAGAGCTTCCTGGCTTCCGAGTCGAACCATGATGAGGCATCGCCGTCAAGGTCTAGGGCCGTAGACGAGGGTGTGCCCTTCTCGTACTTGGTCGACCACTTGACAGGTCGCGCGTATCCAGGACATTCGACTCCAATATTTATGCATCGCCGGCAACTTGGCTGTTGCTCATCGCACTTTAACCTCTACGAATGTGTTGGTGAGTAAGGACAGGGGTTCAGTCGAGCGGCTCACTCACTCGCTTCTTGCAGACGGAACATCCACCTGGGGAGAGTGTTAGCGGCAACAGGCCAATACATCGGGACAGGAGAATGGTTACTTCTAGATTTCCGCTTTCTAGCAGAGCTTCGGCGTACTTTGTCGTCCATGGCATCTGAGGGAAAGGGGCAATCTCACAGAATTGCGCTGAGCCTGGGCGTCATATGGCATTCAGTATCACAGGCTTTATCTGTGGAGAGGCCGGAACCCCTGTTACCCCGCGTTTCTGGGTTAAGATAACTTGATACGGTCTAGCGTAGCTCATAATCTTGACGATATCATTGGTGGTGTTAAGCCGCTACGGAGCATCGGAGATCAACTTGACAAGGATACGAAGCAACCCCCAGCCTCAACTGATAACTCGGCATCTGCTTATCTTTCCGCCGGCTCCGAGACATTCGCCACTGCTACACCCTCGGTTTCATTCAACGGACCTGAGTACTTCTTGCTCGCCCTGAGCGGCCAGTACACGAGTCCAAACAGAAGCGTCGCGCCCAGCACCAAAGACGCGTAGTTCATGTTTTGTGCTGTGACGGGCTGGTAGGGAGGGAACAGCGAGAAGACGCTGGTAAAGATAAGATAAGCCACGGCAACAATGTTGATAAACATTCCCGCCCTTCCGAGACGGAATGGTCCCCACTTCAGTTGCTCTGGCGATGTGATGCGACGCCAGATGAGCAGCGCAATAGGCATGATGTATGAGATTTCGAGGCCAACGACTGCGAGGGATAGGATCGCGTTGAAGGCTGTTGTTGAGCCGATATTGATAAGTCCAAGCAGCATCAGGAGGACCGTGGTCACAATGATCGCCACCGTCGGGATGCCGCGCTTCTTTTCCACACTCGAAAGCGTCTCGGAAAATGGGAGTCCTGGTCAGTCTGTTAATTATCATCCTTGAAGCCGCATTCGCGAACATACCTTGATCTCTTGCAAATGCCCACATGACGCGGCCAGCTGATGCTAGCAACGGAATGGTGGCCAAGCTCGCCATGAGCACGACAGCACTCGACATGGCGGAAGCCGCCCCGGTGCTCCCTGTGATGTTGTAGAAAATCTCAATAATAGGGAATCCCGTCGTCGTGGCTAACGCAGACTGGATATCTCCCATACAAAAGAGAACGGCTATCAAGAACGCGAAACCAAGCACACTGTTGAGAGCAACACTGCCAATCATAGCATAGGGCACGCCTACTTCAGGGTTGCGCATTTCCTCACTGAGGTGCGTTGCTCCATCGTAGCCGACCAGAACGTAGCATGAACTGAGCATGCCGATACACCAAGCAGCACCATCGCTAGACCATCCCGAATTATTCTCAAACGACGTAAAGACCCAGGCGGCTGAGTTCTTTGTCGGTGAGACGACGCACATGGCGATGAGGATGACAAAGAATAGAACCACATGGAGAGTCAGAGACACCTTTTCGATCAGAGGGAGGATATTGCTGCAGAAGATGCAGATGCTTGTGGCGCCAATGAGAATTGCCCAGTACATCAAAGTGCCGTGCCATCGTTCGTACGTGTATGTTTCGGGGTAGTTTAGGACGAGGAGACCTTGGGCCATTGTGCCGGCGAGGAAAGGGGCGCTTCCGGTGACTGTGATCCAGCCAAAGGTCATGATATAGCCCGCGAACCAGCTGGTTATAGTCGATCCGGACTTCGAGGAAAGGTGTGAAACAAAATGATACTGTCCTCCGGCTGAGGGAATGCTAAACACGAGGAAACGTTAGCTGTGTCTAGCTTCGAGTCTGGTTAACTCACCTGGATGCCAACTCAGCTAGAGACATGGCAGAACAGAGTGACCCAATGGCAGCAACGATGGCACCATATATCAGGGACACTGGGCCTCCGCTGACGAGTCCAGCTGCCAAAGTGCTAAAGTTGTGTTAGTATCTGAGAAACGCTCGTCTCGTTGAGGTTCCCACCTGCACAGCGCTTCCCATGTAGCCATGAGAGACACGCAAAGAGCCAGCATGGACGTGGTCGAAAAGTTGCGCTATTGTTTGCCTTGTTAATTATACACTTGGTCGATGGAAACGGCAACGGACCTTGAGCTCGGGGGCATAGCCGACATCTGCCAGCCTTCCACTCTCAGTGTCGGCCACAGAGGGTCTTTTTTCGATGTCTGACTTTGTTGCCATGATGTTGAGTATGCTGATCAACGCTGAAGGTGATTGTTGAGACTCAGGCTCGATACCATCCCATGAAAGAGAGAAGGAAGCCCTCTTTCTTGAAGGCCATCGCACGACGAGGTATCACATCACAAGATCATGAATCAGGAGTGGCACTAGGGCGTCGAGATGATGGTTTGACTACGCTAGACCAGGAAAGGACGAAAGGTGCGAGATGTCTCCCATCCCATATCTCAGCTAGATACGAAACCACCGCGGTATCTCCTCCGGGGATAAGATATCTTGATGAGGCTCAAGCCTGGTAATCTGGAGTTTATCGGAAACAGACAACAGTTCATTCCGAAAGGGACAGAATTTCCACATGTAGACCTGATTCCCCGCATGATAACCATGAGCCAACATCCCGGCTGACCATCCCCGCGAACTGGACTGGATTATCGCCGATCTCTAGATCCGCTAAACCCAAAGAGGGCCAAAAGTGCGACTTTGACACAAAACTCAATTGGGGGTGGCTAATCAGTGAATGCGTATTGGAGATAACATCGATGCCCATTGTCTTCATCCAAGCTATTTAAAGTCACAGGCTCGATATCATATCAAGTCTATTGGCGCCTAGTCAGCCAACAACCTTGTCCTTTATCTCAAACCTTGTCGCAATGTTCCAGTTCCTATCGTCCAAGAGCGCACCGGCCGATGTGCCCCGTGCCCTGCCGGCATCATGGTACCGAGAACCTGCCATGTACGAGCTGGAAAGACGTGCCATCTACTCTAAGCGATGGCTTTTGGTTACGCATCGCAGTCGATTTTCTAAGTCGGGCGATTTTGTTCAGTACAATGAGGCAGGTTTCTCTTTCTTTCTCTGCCTCGACAGGGAGGGAAACTTGAACGGGTTTCACAACATCTGTCGCCATAGGGCGTACCCTGTCGTGACAAAGGACGAGGGCAACGTCAGTATTCTGTCTTGCAAGTATCACGGTATGTAAATGCCCCCAATGTTAGTATAATTGCCTAACGTATGAAGGATGGTCATATGGCTTGAGTGGAAAATTGGCCAAGGCTCCTCGCTTCGAAAAGATGGAGACATTTGACAAGGACGCAAACAGCCTGTTCAAGGTGCATGTGCACATTGACAAGAGAGGCTTTGTCTGGGTCAATCTCGATGGAGGAGACAAGCCGTCTGTTCCTTGGAAAAGCGACTTTGATGGAGCAGACACACAACCTCGACTTGGCATCTTCAACATGGATGATTACACCTTTGATCATGCGTGGGACATGGATGGAGACTATAACTGGAAGACACTAGTGGACAACTACAACGAGGTAAGCAGTTCAACGTTTTCTTTTATCAAGATGTTTCTAACTAGCACAGTGCTACCACTGTAGTGTTGCTCACCCTGGTATCGCTGCAACTTCCAATCTGACAACCTACAAAGTCGAGACCAAGGGTGGCCAGATCCAGCACTTTGTTGAGGACAAGAAGGGGAAAGAATCTGGCCTTGAACCGGCACCGACATTTTTCTTTCCAAACGCGTCTGTCACCATGACGTGAGTGTCTGAGCCAAAGAGAAGCTCTTCCAGCACAACTGACACATGTCTTAGCACGAAATACTTTTACCTCATGCGAGTAGTACCAACTTCAGCAACCACAACATCAATGCAGTATGAAGTTTACCGACACAAGGATGCCACCGACGAGGAATTCAAGGCGGTTGACGACTTCTTCAAGCAAGTCGAGTCAGAAGACAAGGGTCTCTGCAACGCGGCCCAGAAGAACCTAAACGCAGGCGTGTACGTCTCAGGAGACTTGAACTCTTTCAACGAAAAGGGTGTGTTGTACTTTCAGAAAATCCTCAAGGAGGCCGTTGTACAGCATCGAAATGAGGAGCAAAAGGCAGGTGGTGAGATGTGGCCTGCGAGGAGGACGGCGGTTAGGAATGGTATTCAGGAGGAGATTGAGTTTTGCCAAGGGCTTTGTGATTCTAAAGGCAAGGAGGTTGAGTGGTAGAGCATGGATCAACATATCTCCAATCGATCTTGTATACTATCATACGTCTAGAACTCAACTCAGCAAGTCAACAAGTGTACTTATCAGGATATATAGATTGTACAGCTGCTGCCAAAGCATGGTGTCCGTTGAATCTCAGGTCGCTGTAGCTACCAGTAAACCTTGATGTACCTGCGGCTTCTGATGCTACTTGATCTTAATGCTGAGCTGTGCTGTTTACCATTATGATCAAGGCACTCGTGAAGGTCTGTATAGCCCGTTAAGTCATATAAGGGGTACCAGTAGATATTAGGATACGAATTAGACAAATCAATTAATATCTAGACAAGTAGAAGCATCTAAATGCCTCTGAAGACCACAGCCAAAACAACCCATGTATTTACCAGAGAGTCTGAATGAGCGTGTTCTTACCCTTTGACCTCGGCAGCGGAGGAAGCATAGTGCTAACCCATCCAATAATAGCAGGCGCCTCAAGAGAGATCCTTGTACCAGTGGCAGTCGTCTCCATCTTGGTCTTTGCGCTCGACGAGTCCTGCTTGTGGCTGGCACCAAGACTGAAAGGGCCATAGCCGACCTTGAGGTTGGCGTCGAAAGAAGAAGACTCAATAGCCTCTTCAAGGTTGGTAGTATCTCCACGGAACTCTAGTTCGACGTTGGACGCGACGATAAAGGCTGTGGGGTACGAGGGGAAGTATGAGTACTTTTCCAGACCCTTGGTGTCTTTGTTGTTGATGTAGGTGTGAAGATCGTGAGGGCCAGGAGAAAGGGCTACGTCAGGTCCAACGTTGAGCTCGGAATCCGCAAACAGCTCGCCGTGTAGCCAGTTGCGGTTGATGGAAACCAGCAGGGCTTCGAAGGAGATGTCTACATCGCAGCTAGCAGCCGCCTGAGATGCTTTGCTGTTGATACGTCAGTAGCTGTTATGAAAGATGGTGAGTTCAACTTACGAGCTAGCTTGGGAATAGCTGAAGCCCCCTGATACAGAAAGCAGACCATATCCCCCACTTGCACTGACGGTACTCGAGGAGGACTGCGACTCCTTGCTCGTCTCTTGAGAAGATGCTGAGATGCTGACGTTGATCTGTGTAGACAAGGGTTAGCAATGACAAAGTAGGAGAGAAAAATCTGCCCTTACCTTTGTCCACTTTGATGGCTCTTTGGGCTGTCCAGGTGCTGTGCCGTTGCGATTGATAGCAAAGCCTTAAACTCATTAGCGTCGATCCTCGGCCAAAAAGTAACGATGACCTACGTGGATCGGCCCATCTCTCATCAGCCTCCATGTAGTTAGTCCTCACAAGTTCCTTTCCGTCCTCCTCAGACTTTGTGAGGTCCTGAATTGCCGGGATGGCAATGTTTGACTTGAAAAAGTCCTTGAGACCTTGCTCAAGAAGCTCCAGCTGTCCCTCGGCATCCTCGATCATTCTCTTGATCCAGTTGACCTTGTCGACCTTGCTCATCTTCTGCATCTCCATGACGTTCTTCTTGTTGTTTTTGAGGTTCGCCTGTCCTTGAGCTTGGAGAGCTGCTTGAAGGTTTCGCTGAGCTGTCTGAAGGTCCACCTTGCCAGGTGTCGTACCATTGGTGGTAGTGTCTGCGGGCGTGTCCGGGGTTGTGCCATCAGCAGGCTTGGGAGGCTCAACCTTTTTCTCAGCAGCTTGAGCCTCGTACAGCGCTTGGTATGCCGCCTTCAGTTTCTTTTCCTCCTCCGGTTCCTCACCCTTTGTCCCATTTTCGGCTTCGCCTGCGGAAGTAACCGCCTTCTTCTCTTCTTCGGTCAATTCCCCGAGAGACTGTCTTGCGTTAGGAAATAATAGTTTAGAAGTTTGGAGGCAACACTTACATCCTGGAGACCCCTGTATGAGGAAAGAAGTCGCTTGATTCTCTTGATCTCAGACTCATAGTCCTTGCGGCTCAGCTCCTTGTTCTTCTTGTCCCAGGCCTCGGCTTGCTTGGCACAAAGATCAGCCCTGTTATGTAATTAGCACAAGTCGATATAGCACAGTGATGGACAAACCAATTGGGAGGGCTGAGGTCGACCTCTTGCCACTCAGTGGTACCATCCGGGTCGATGACGACCAAGTTGCGCGAGGCTTCCTTGCTCGACTCGACACGCTTCATGGCCGATGAGACGTCAACGATGCCGAAGTAGTAGTCGACCTTGTACTTGCAGCCATTGACGATCCCTAAGACATCGTTAGCACTTGTATTATGTCCGAGGCAAGTGTTACTCACAGTCCATGTACTTGGCCTGGGCGTGGTTCTTGTACTGTACAGTCGTGTTAGTCTTGAACACGCTCAGAGATCAGGATACATTCATTACGGAAGTTGGCCTGGTTCCACTCGTCGTAATGCCCCTGCTGTCGCCCAACTGAGTTTGGGTACATCCTCTTGGCCTCGTCTTTGGCTCGTTAGTCATCTGGGACAATGTGTGGAAGGTCGGTCACGTACCCCGAGCCGCTTGCTTGGCATGGTCCCACTCCTTCATGGCATCAGACCAAGCCTGCTGCTTCTCAACATAGACGTCGACAACACTTTTGGATGAGTTTGGCACCGTGGATGTGAGATACTTCATGGCTGCCACATATCTCTCGGCGGCTTTGTTCTTGGTCTCAGTACCCTTGTCCAGGTCGTCGATTGGGGCATCCTCCGGAATAAGCATGTCCAGTGCCGCAGCGTAGCTTCTGGACACACTCTTGCCGGTGGGACCCATCTAAAGAGCAGAATCAGTCTCTGTATCATATTCATTGAATGACGGAAACTCACCATGATCTTGCTCAAGGGAATCATGCCGTCGACCAGGCGAGCTTCATTGACCTTAACAGTGTGAGGGGTCTCTGCGTGTTCATTTTCGTTCCACCAGTAGCCACCATTCTTGCTGGTACAAGTGAGCAATTGTCCCTCCCTCAGTTGGGATCAATACTCACCCACTATTAATGGTGGTTCCGGGAACCTGGACAGTCATCAACTGCTCAGGTGCAACGGGGAAAGACGCCTGAAGCGCTTCACGGATGGACTAGACAACGGGTAAGCCACAGGTTTGTGGGCCGAGGAAAAATACTGACCTTGGAGACGGCAGCAGCTTGCGCAGCCATCGATTCGGCCATCTTTTCCTTGTCGACTGCCATGTTGACGTGAGGAGCTGAGGAGTCTTGAGCCGTGGTGGGTGAACGAGATGATGAGTTTGAACGAGAGAGTCCACCAGATTCTGGAGGAGGTGTGCTGGGAGGTGTATCCATTTCAGATCTACTTATACTGGCATCCAAGGACGAGTGCCGGTGCTTTAATGCGGAATAGACACCAAGACGGAACAAAATGGCACTGACAAGCGCTTATTGTTTTCAGCTGCGCCCAGCCCTTGCATGGTCGTGGTCCAGAACTGGTCCTATTCCGTTCATCACATTCAATATCACGCAGAGTTAGTCACTCTGTAGCGACTAGTGACTGGGCAAGTGCCATGCGGGCCTCGGCCGGCCATTCCACGTATCTCGGTCGATGGGGGTGATAGTTTCCATAGGTGCAACGGAAAGGGCCAACTCGCATTCCAGATCCAGTCTCCAAATGACGCTCCAAGCCCTGGCCAGTGCCAAGGGCGAGAATCCAGCGGACCAAGGCCTCCATCGTCGCATGGTGATTGCACGACTTGGTGTTGAACCAGGAATGGCGGTCATCGTTAGCACAACGGCTGAGGGGAATAACGACAGGGCCGAGCCGTCCCGTCCCGTCTATAGCTTGGATACATCCTGCGCTAGCTGTGCATGGTGGCTGGCTGTGATGCGTCCATAGGTGAAGATCGTCGCTTTCCACATTCTAACCGAGCCTTTCAGGAGACCCCCTGCCAGTTACCGCACATAATCTCGTAAATAGAAAGCTTCAGGCCTATCTCGTGATAAACTAGTATCAAGCCCATCCATCAGGTCAGGCGGTTAAGAGGAACTTCCCCGCAGAATGTGGCTTGCTGAGGTCCAAGACATTGAAGCGTGCATCAATAGTTTGTGAATATCACCACTAGCGCCGGGCGTGGAGCAAGGGGTCACCAAGAGAAGAAAAATGGTGTCCAAACAAGATAGATCTACCTTAAATTGGCAAGATGACCGGTATGTCTCAGTTCAACGATAGATCCTAGGTTTCGATACGCGCAGAGTGGTTACCCGTGATACTGTACCGCGTTAAATGGGAAACCGGAAGTATCTCCACTCGGAGCGACGTGTCATCGAGTTTCTTGCCATGACGCCTGGCCTCTATCGAGTTGGCACCAAAGAGGCAATTTGTAGCCCAGGAATAGCCCATTGTCGTCGTATTGAAACCTGAAACTTAGAGAAAAACTATATGTGCGTAACCTAGTCAACAGTTTTGTTCGACAATCTTCACCTTGCTCGAATTGGTAGAATCAAGTTCTCCTCTTCCTCTTCCTCTTCGAAATCAGAGTAGTAACGATCACTACTCGATTCGTAGTCGGGATTCATAATCACACCCATCTCAGAAAGTTCCTGCTTCTGTTCTTCGCTCAACGGCTTACGTTTCTTCCATTCTTCGCGCATTTTCTCAAGCCAGTGGTTCTGCAAGAAGTCTTTAAGAGAGCCCTTCTGGCTGAGGAATTCGCACTCAAACTGCCCTGTTAGCTTCCCAAGTTCGTCGATAGAGGATTGATCCTCGTCAAGCATTTCATCCCACCCCTGTTCCTCCTTGAGCTGCTGAATACGTTGCTCAGGCACGCCGGAACAATGATGGCACCACCTCAAGTGCCTTAAACCAAGACTATTCATGGGAGGAGATGAATAATTGACTTTGCAACGTATGCCATGTCTAGCCCACTAGCGATGTGATGGAGAAGATCAGCGAGATATAGTGCTAAGTAGATTGCCTTGGGATATGAACTGAAGGGCCATCAATGGTATACAGGGTGGGCGAGGCTATCCAGTGCCGTAGCAAAAAATTGGTGCACGGGTCGTGATAGGTCACCATGAGAACAAGGACAAGGGAGACGAGACCGCACCTTGCTGTAACACTCGGCAAACCCCCAGTGGAATTCTGTTCCCTTCTGATCCTTGAAGTCTGTCAGCAAGAGCCCACCATGCAGAGATCTGAGCAAGGTTGTGAGCAGTAGATAGCTCCAAGGAGTTGATGGAGTGTTCAAGTTTGGCACCCTTCTCGATCAGCCAGTCTGCATATATCAGGTGTTCTTCATATTCTCTGAGAGAGTTCCCGTGATGCAATGCTGAATACAGAACTGGTGTGACCCCTATCGCATCGGGCACGTCGATGCTCCGAAATCTGAAGTCGAAGGCCATCCCGGCGTCTCTTGTGGAGGTGGGGTAGTGAAATATGTTTTGGCGCCTACTGTCTCGAGTTTCTTCTTCGAAGCTTAGGGGGTTCAGACGATCGCTGAGTTCCTCAATATTCCCCTTTTTGTACAGGGTTTGCAGTCTGTTCCAGAGTTCTGCAGCTGTCGTGTCAGGGAGTTCATTCTCTACCACCCTGAGCTCTTGAAGGTCCGACTTGGACAGATGTTTTATGGCTAGATTTCGCAGATCTTCTCGCCTCTCCCTCAGGTGCTTTAGCAAGAGAATCGCAGTTTCAGAAGAAGAGTATTCAAGAGCGATGTTGAAATAAAAGCCGACTACGACGCGGCAACCCGTGTCGAGAAGCATCTTGGCAGTGTCCCCCCGACTACAGCGGTCTGTGCCGTCGGCTGAGCAGCACACATCCCCGCTATGTACCAGAGCGTAATGCAAAGGCGTGGACCCGGACAAGTCAGCTTCGTTTGCCAGAGAATGTGTGATAGTTTCCCTTACCAGGAGATTCAAGCCGTCTTCCCAGTTGACGCAGAGATGCAAGATGTTGTGTCGAAAGAAGTCCTTTTCATCTAGGAACTTGGAGAAATGGGGGCTCTTGATAAGCTCCTGGAGCTTTGACATATCTCTTTTCGAAACAGCCAGAAAGGGTTCTCCGTATCCAGGATCTGTCATCCGATTTCAACTGTCAATTATCATCCTTTCGGTAAAAGGTCGGCTATGAATATAAACTACCTTCGATAATGTGAGGACAGACATAGAAGGCATCGCAGAACATCCGCAGGTGTCGCCATTTATCCAAGGCACGCTCATCCCAATAATTACGCGTTGGCTTTTGGTCGAATCCAGGGTCAAACTCTGGCTTGAGAGTCTTGAGAACATCGTAAACACAAGGCAGTAGACTTGGAAAGCCACTTTCGAAGAGATATTCGAGCATTGAACTAATTCGATTTATTGGGGGGATCAGGCACGCTGTGCCATCATAGAACATACCCGTTGTGGTTCTCGCCGACAAAAATGTCGACCTCCATCACCGTGTACAGAAAGGTGAGGACCGTCTCCAAGTTTTTCAGACGTTGGCTAGTTTCTTTCGAGCTTGTTGAGCAGCCAAGAAGGAAACCAAAATACTGTCGAGATTGTTAAGCTTGAGTCTGCGCTCCATTCACGAGGTGAACATACCATGATGCAAAGGTGGGCGGTGGTCCGGCCAAATTGGTCAACGTCAGAAGGCGAAACATCGGGCAAGGAGTATGCCTCTTGCAGCTTCGTCATGAACCCCTGAATGTGGCTTATAACGTAAACATAGTTTTGTCAAATAAAGATCTCGAATGCCTTGCTCGTTTCCCTCATATTGTATGTTTTCGGCGAGATTGTGATTGAGTAGCTCCTGTTCTCACATTGGCGTTCCACAGTCAGATTCAAGGCCAATGAGAGGATGTAGCGGAGGCCGGTGTAGGTGAAGGTGGTTCTCGTAGATCTCTGTAACGAATTTTCTCTGTAATAACAACATCCGCGTTTGTGCTTCCTCTTCCAATAAAGCTGGCGGAAGATGGTCAGCCCTCCCCAGAGTTTATAGCTTGGAAGTGACTGCTTGGAGCTTTTCCCCCTCGCTCCATTGCAGGAACAGGCCCCAGCAGCGTGTGCTTGCATGGTCCCAAGGTTGGCATTCGTCAAGCATTGGCGAGCATTTGTTTGTCTGGTTGCCTCAAAGGCCTGGTGTGGGTGAACAAGAGCCTCGAACAGCTGTAACTGGGCTTGTGCCTGGGTTTGTGCCTGTTCCTCTCGTTAGATCGGGGAACTTCCAATCCATCAAGTTATAGGTGGAGGATCAAGGTTCTTACAACACTATTCATCTTCTCCAACAATTTGACGCTAGTCCTTTGGATCAACTCGTGAGTGCTAACTGTCATCGCTCTGTTTTGCTTGACTTCAGTGGAGATTTCTACCAGCAGTGCTGCTGTGGCTTTAGCGGACGAGCCAGCAGCCTCGACGTCATTCTGGATTCTGCGAAGAAAATCCTTTGTGAGCGAGCCGTCGTCTTGGACAGCGTTTATGAGAGCTTCGATATCATTTCTGCTGCATGTATTTTCACGGCTACTAGGATTAGTTGACGCAGCTCAGTAGGCACGGGTCATCTTACAGGATTAATATTTGAACGACGGTCCCCAGGACTCCCGTAGCCCTGAAAAGTCGGTCTTGGACTTGGACCAGCTTGGTCTGGTTAAGGGGGTAAGTGACGGCCGATTTTGACTTCTCCCATGCGCCTTTGCCCCTACTCAGCTTGCTGATAGTTCTTTCGAGAGCTTGAAGCTCGCCTTCACATAAGCGAAGCGCCATAGTGACGAGGTCACTTGCTTGAGCATATTGATTGCTCAGTGTCGGCGCGCTTGGTCGAACGAGTTCGATGTATTTTCTGAGTAGACTTAGGAGTTCGCAAGCACGTTCAACGTCTTCGCCTCGGTCCTTCAGAGCGCTGAAATATGTATGGAGATCACCACATACGGTCACGCCAAGAGAGACGACACCGACGATGCCACTGGCGATGGAAAATGGGTCGCCCATGTCAAATGATCGGCCCCCAAAGAGAAAGATGAAGAGAGAAGGATGATGATACAGGATAACTACGAAGCCACACGCCTTTAAGAATCTAACAACTGTTTGACCGCTAAGCATACTCGCACATGTGTCCCAACCACCGAAACCCAACGAGAGCATCGGCAATCAGCCTCACGAGGAGTCGTGAGTCGCACAACTCACTGGCAACGGTTTCTCATGAGACTTACCCGTGCTACAAGGAAAACTCCATTCTCGGTGGGCAGGGCCTAACACGTTAATCATTGTCTTAAGTATCATAAACATATATAGTGCTCTGAACCTTCATACTATTGTATGACAAAGTCCCATACCTCCCGGGCAATGCTGCCATGATGCAAACCGTCCGCAGTGTATCAACCACCGTTTCACAATCTCTGCAACGTTCCCTCTCGCTTAACACTACTTCGTTAGGAAGCTACCGAAGTCAGACAAGGCTAAATTCCTCGATACTATGTAGTACGGCGGTCCAAGCGCATGAAGAAAGCCAGGGGTTACACGAAGCCCAGTGATAACACAGCCACATGGCCAGCTGCCTTGGTAGCATCTCCAAAGTTTCATTCTTCACCGGGCTATGCAATCTCAATAGTGTCACTGGCGCAGTGCGAGTTCTAGGTTCCCCATTGCCAGCCCGTAACCGGCTCATCTTAGAACGAGGGGGGCTCAGCTCTCGAAACGATTTACATGGGCATAGGCAGTGAGCTCCCCATCCACTTCCACAGCCAACTCAAACAACTCAGCCCACTCGGCATCAGTAAACGGCTCAGTCCCTTCTCCTTGGAACATATTCAACGTGGAGTCAAGAGCGTCAAAGTCCCAGTCCATGGTTTCCTCCAGCCTCTGGCCCCCGCTATCCGCGTGGCTCTGCTCCCTCGTAGCGTTCCGGGTGGTACTCGCAATGAGCTCAAGCACAGCCTCAGACATCTGCATGAATGCGTTTGCGTGACGCTGTACCGTTTTCCACTCAGCCGTAATCTTGCCCAACGTCTCGCCGCATAGTTTGAGCGCGTTGATAACCGTGTCCAACTCTGAGGGCGTTAGGCTGACTCCGTTGTTGCTTTGACGTCGATGCTCTGGGATGCGGACTGCACAGTAGAGAATTCCAAACCCAGATTTCAACACGTCTTGCACGTACGTCCAGTTGGGTTTTAAGAAACCGTCGTCGGACTGCTTTTGATATGCCAGCAGAATTTGGTAAGCCGAGAGGGTATATTGCCACAAGTGCTCGGTATGCGCAGTCGTGCTCTGTGCGTTGTCCGAGGGAAGAACTAGGTACGAGAGAAACTTCATCCGTTCGCGGTGAAAGTTGATGTCAAGATATTGTCTGGTTTCGTATGCGTTGGCGGGAGTATGCTTGACGACACTAGAGTTATACCAAGCCTCAAGCGCATCGGTCCAGGTCTTCGCAGTTTCTATCTGCTCTGCCAGAGAAGCTCGTTGTCTTGATAAACGGTTCAAAGCTATGCGGGCATTCGCACCAAGGCGCCGCAGGAGGGTGTGTCTCACCAAGTTTGTCACTTCGGTGTATCTACCAGGAATCTCTGGTTCGCCTGTATTGATCTTGTCATCGTCCTGGTTGATTGGAAGGTGGATGGTAATATCCTCTTCAGCCAGAGCTACCGGTCGACCTAAGTTCTGGCTACAATGTCGATCCGAGATGTATGCAGACCAGAATATTCTTCGGCGCAGCTGCTCTTGTAACTGGTCGTCCTCCACTGTCTCTCGACTATGGAATCCAAATTTCACACAGACTCTCATGGCCTGCCTGATAATCTCCCAAGTGCTCGCTATACCAACGTCGTGTAGAGTGGCAAAGACAAACACAAGGAGCAGGTTCTGTATCTGTGCAGTAGGTGGCACTTGGCCAAGATGAGCCTCCTTGCTCATAGCGGTCAGATAATGGTCCCTTGCGCGGTCTTCTTTCCATCTCCCAGGAGAGCGCATGGCTCCGATAGCGAATATCATATGGATCTGGAAGAGATCTTGAGTCTTTTCCTGTCCAGTATAGACCGGAGTGCCAGTATACAGTCGCTCAAGCTGCTGGAAGACATCTGATTGTCTCATGAACGGCATAGTGACGTGCAATGCATCGAAGTACAACTTAACAAGCTCGACGGCGTCACCAAGACTGGGTAGAGGTATCTCTGTGGCGCGCACCCTTTCTACGTTTTGTTGTTCGTGCTCCTGGGCTGCAGAGACACCCAGGCGGAGTACTGAGTTATCTGAGCCACGAGAGACGGCAGCGGCCACGAGCTGCCCAAGACTGTGTAAACGCTGTCAGTACTTAAGTGTTGGTAGATCTGCTGGTGGTACCTGAAAATGCTCCCAGAGCCGCTATAATTAGGAGAAACCTTGGGCAAAGAGTGGGAAGGGGTCGGAACAGAAGCGAGCTCGGCTCCAACTACACCCTCGGGTTCAGAAGGTCGACTTTCATGAATGGCTTGTCGTAGGCTTTCAGCTCTATCGCGAAGGCCATCCACGTAGCTGACAACAGAACATATAAGCGGCGCCTAGGATCAACCCCCAACCCTGCATACCTCCTTGCGTGCAGCTGCCCTGATCCAGGGTCCACGGCAATGCATTGTTCTCCAAGTCTTGTGCAGTTGTTGCATGATTGCGACAGTCTATCGCACTGCGTATGAAGAGTCAGATAGACGGTACAGCGATGGAGGGCGTTCCTTAAGGGTCTGGTACTTTCAATTTCTTGCTTTTACATGATACACATGCTCCCTGAGTAGCAGTCACTGTATTAGGTGCCGCAAGAGAGCCGGCTTCTGGTATTGACTCCATGGTTTCTTGAAGTTTGGGATTTGGTCGACGGTCCAATCACTGAGTGCGGGGGATCGTTCACGTCACCAATCATCACTGTTGGTCATGTAGCCGATTTCACCAGCATTTATTCGGCGTTTCCCGGGCCACTGGTCCAGTCGGACTTGCCCGGCGGCTTTTGATCCGACAATAGGAACTAGCCATTTACAGCAGCCATTGATCAGGTGTTCATCTACCTCAAGTGTCCAACATATCTCCATAGGTACCTACTAGTCGTTAAGATTCCCAATCGTGACACCCTTGACATTCTGATATTCGGCCAAACCATACTTGGAACCCTCAATACCAACACCGCTCTCCTTGATGCCACCGAACGGTGACTCGCACGCTGTCATGATGCCCGTATTAACGCCGACCATGCCACACTCAAGTTGACGAGCCACCCTCATGACGCGCCCAATATCCTTGGAGAAAAAGTACCCCGCCAAACCAAAGTCCGTGTCGTTGGCCAAAGCTATAACTTCCTCTTCAGTCTCAAACGAGAATATCGCCGCAAGGGGTCCGAAAGTCTCATCGGTTGCAACCTCCATCTCCCTAGTAACACCCGTGATGACAGTTGGCTCGAAGAAGAAGCCGTCTGTACCTGGTGGTTTGCCTCCCGCTCTGACAACCGCCCCCTTCGAAACTGCATCCTCAACCTGGTGTGCGACTTTGTTCACGGCTGCGGCGTTGACGAGAGGCCCCAGGGTCGTGCCTTGCTCAATGCCCTTGCCAAGAGCAAGGTTACTCACTCGCTCCACGAGTTTGGCTGTAAATGTTTCCATAACCGAGCTTTGCACGTATATCCGATTGGCACACTATGTTACGGTTAGCCATGTCAAGGACTTTGAGCTCGATTGACATACCACGCATGTTTGGCCGGCGCATCTGAACTTGGCAGTCAAAGTCCCTTGTACTGCACAATCCAAATTTGCGTCCTCAAACACGATCAAAGGCGCGTTTCCACCTAGCTCCATGCTCACTTTCTTCATAGTTCCCGCCGCCAGCTTTGTAAGCATCTTGCCTACTCCTGTAGACCCGGTAAAGCTCAGCTTCTTAACCTTGGGGTTCGTTGCCAACTCAAGAGATGCCTGTCGATCCTTCGTGGGGACCACGTGAATAATAGACTCTGGGATGCCAGCTTTGATGGCCAGTTTTGCCAGCGAGATGGCGCTAAACGGTGTCTCGCTTGGGGGCTTTATCACAACAGAGCATCCAGCGGCGAACGCAGGCGCGATCTTCCTGGTGATCATAGCAGCTGGAAAGTTCCACGGCGTTATAATACCGCAGACCCCTACAGGCTCCTTGAATGTGAGCACTGTTGTGTCGTGGAAAGACGAAGGAATCGTCTCGCCATAGGACCGCGTTGCTTCTTCAGCAAACCAGGAGACGTATGAAGCCGCCATCTTGACTTCCCCTTGCGCTTCAGCCAGGGTCTTGCCATTTTCCAGCGATAGAATGACAGCCACTGTGCGTAAATGGGCGGTGAGCAACAAGAGCTGATACAGTTGAAACAGTTCGTGGCACTCACAATCGTCGGCATTCTCAAGAATCTGCTCGTACCATGCCCTCAGGAGACTTCCCCTCTCCTTGGCTGTTGTCGACGACCAAAATTGTCGGTATCCTTTATCTGCCACGTCGATAGCATTGATGAAGTCTTGATGTCCGAAGTCAGAGCATTGTCTAAGTACTTTGCCAGATGACGGTTCGTAAACGGGGAAAGATTTGCCACCCGGCGGGGTTTTCCATGAACCTGCAACGAGGCCGCGGGTATCAAAGAGGTCTTGGTTTGTGATGGGGATAGGGATATGATGCCCGTCACCGTTCGCAGAAGTATTGTGACTCATGGTGATGTTTCGTTTGTTCGAAATGCCTCTAGGCGAAGGATGTTGTGTTGACCTGTGTGTTTTCGTTCTTCTTACTTGTCTTATTTCTATCACGCACAGGACTACCTTTCGGGGTTGACTAGATGCTCAGTTCAGCATCCTAGACCAAGTTCAATGAACGGGCACGTCCGGCTCCGGTACAAACGCACAGTGGATAGCCCCGACTCGGCTAGAGATAACCAAGCAAACGGCAAGCCGGAGCGGACAAGGCCGACCCATCAGCCACGGGCAAACCCGACATCTACAAGAGAAGCTATCTGCACCCCGCATGCCTCGGAAACCGTCTCTTCGGAGCGATGGTCGTGACTCGTGCGAGAGGATGATCAAGTCCCTACCTTTCATGCATTTCCGGGCTTTTCGATCATCTGTGCGTGGCGGATCATCCCAACCATGGGTTTTAATCCCAGTTTTCTCTTCAGATCAAGAGGACACCACGAACAAGAACAACGATCGCATCCTTCGACAACGACAGAATTTCCCAGTACCCCTATGGAGTAACTCTAGTAATATTCCTCTTTGCTTCGAGCAGTCCCTACAGATGTTCGGCAGTAGCCCAGAAATCATAGAATTTACAGGGTTTCCCAGCACTACAGTTATTGACTGGCCCTGGAGAGCAGAAATTTCTTCCAGTCAACGTAGGCGTTCCAGACCCTCGCCAATTGAAGTGAATTTGGCTGAGTATTTGGGGCTTAACGCATGCATACGTGACTGCTCCGGGCAACACAAGCCGCTCTACATACATCTTGATCATAGTTACTATAAATCTCGCAATAGATTATAACTTCGAGTGTTAATATCTAAGCTAAACAAGGTCCCGGGCTATCACCAATCAAGAGGCATGGCATAATACGAGTTTGACGCCCGTCATGCTCCTCCCTCATAGGGTGTACCTGTACAATGGCGATCGGTCACCCATGGCATCCAACTCCTCGGGCGTATACTTGGCAAAGACTTCCTCCTCTGTCATCTTAGCCCTCTGGGTATTGATGTACTTGTACAGAGCCTCAACCAAGAGGCAAGCCAAGACACCCGCTGCCACAAAGCCCAAGCTCGATCCGAAACCTGTTGGATACTTGGGCTTCTCGCTGTCGATGTAGATGAAACCACCGATGATGCCTCCAACGTTGCCAATGCATAGCATAAAAGCAATGCCCATTGCCCGCTTAGAAGGACCAGCCAGGTTGTTCAGGTTCCATGCGTTACCGCAGGGGTTGATAGGGTACAGGCCTAAACACGCTAGACAGATACTGAAGTAGCAGGCGGGGACGTTATTCGTGATATCACCAGCCATAGCAAAGAGGACCGAGTAAGCCACAATAACGATGAGCTGCGGGCCAACGATGAATGGCATACGCCAGCTGAAGCGGTCGGCGAACCAAGAAGAAACGAATGCGGATATAGCGCCGATGATGTAAGGGGGAATAGTCAGGAGTTGCGCGCGAGTCGCTTCAAAGCCCATGTTGCGGACAATTTGCGGCATGGTGAACTTGAGGGCGTTATTCGGCACGGTGTTGGACCAGTAGATGATTCCATGCATCCAAATTTGCCAATCGCAAAGAACACTGATCAACGCTTTGCGAGTATCAGAACCGGTGCCCTCGTTCTTGGCACGCGCCATGGCTCGACGAGATGGGTCTGCGCGCTGGCGGAGTTCTAGATAGCGAACCTCATCAGGCTCAAGCCATCCGCTCGACAGGGCTGGGGAGTCGATAAGCCAGAAGTAGGTGACTACGCCCAGTAAGACCGTGACGATTCCTTCGAGGAGGAAGATCCAGCGCCACCCCTCCAGACCACCGATACCATCCATCTGGGCGATACCGGCCGCGAGCATTCCGCTGAAAGCGCCGGCCAGAGCAGAAGCCGTATAGAAAACCGCGATACGGGTTTGCGTCTCGTTGGGGAGATACCATTTGGAGATGATGAGAATTGAACCGGGGAAGAAACCAGACTCTGTATGGGACTCCGTTGTTAGCCCCCCACTCCAGGCAAGACAAGGTCAAGAAGTAAAGACAGATATACCTGTTGCTCCGAGCAATAGACGGATAGCCAGAAGACCGCCAAAGTTCTGGGTAAGGCCAGAGAAGGTCATGACGAGACCCCAGGCAATGACGATGGCGGCAATGTAGATAGACGGGCGCTTCATTTTGTTGAGGTAGTGGTTACTCGGGATTTCTGGTTGCACTTCAGTTTAGAAAGGGTCATTCAAGAGCTTGACAGAGGATAGTAGACTTACCGAAGAGGATGTATGGGACATAGAAGATGCTTAGACAAATTCTGTACTGATCGTCTGTCATGCCGAGATCTTCAACTAGTCCTTCAATTTTTGCATTGCCTATTTCAATGCCCATTAGCATGCATCTCAAGAGATAATGAATAGAAGACACGTACCAATATTGGCACGATCGATATATGCAAAAAGGTACAAGAGGGTCAAGAACGGCACCAGCCGAACGTCGACCTTCCAAAGAACTTTTTTCTTCTTGCCATCGGGGAAATCTCGAACAAATGCCAGTTCCTCATGAGTCAGGCCGGAAGCTTCATCCAGATCGCCCTCTTCATGGGCATAGGATAGCTTGTTGCTGACCTGTCCAGGCAAGTCTTCGAGTTTCACGGCTTGATCGGGAGGCGACATGATGCTTGTACAAGAGAGAAAAAGGCTTGGGAAGAAGGACAAACGATGTCGAGGTCCGTCTGCCGTTGTTGACTGAAAGTTGATCTCAGGGACAGGACCACCCTATCAATCTATATGATCCACACGAAACGCCGGGGCCATAGAGATGTGTGGGGAATCTGGGGAATCCCCATGGGGTCGGAGGACATAATCCATCGTAGTCGGGGTTGTCCGAGTCTACGGAGGCTTGTGCTATCCCTCGGTTGGAGAAAGTCGGGGGAGGCCGGCGCCAAGGAATAGCAAGGCCCCCTCTTTAACTCAACTTGCTGTCAGTTCCACTCAGGGTCGCCTCCTTGTGTATTAAAACAGGTGGCCAATCGGGGTCTTGTTGTCCCATAAGTTTACCAAGCGCACAAACTCTCACTCAGCCTTTCTGTTGACTACAGGCCCGCGTCGCCCCCGGTTCATTCCTCAGTATGGCGGTCACATCTACCAATATACTCCTCTTTGGTGCCGGCAGCATCGGCGGTGTCTACCTGTATCAGCTGCTTCAAGCTGGCTGCTCGGTAACAACCGTCTGTCGATCCAATTACAGCACGGTCAAGGAACGAGGCTTCAAACTATCGTCTGTACGATATGGCAATGTCGCCTTCAGACCAACTACCGTCGTGCGGGACATCTCTGAATGCGAGAACATCTCGTTTAACTTTGTTCTGGTCTGCACAAAGTCCTTTCCAGGCAGCAAACCATCGTTGCCTGAACAACTCAGACCTGTTCTGGAAGGCAGGCCACAGACGACCATTGTTTTGGCACAGAACGGAATCATGATTGAAGAGGAGATCGCGGCAGCATTCCCTAAGAATCCCATCTTGAGCGGCGTCGTCTACTGTCCCGCGGTGCAGACAGGTCCTGGCACAATTGAGTATCCCGAGATGCTCAACCTCTTCGAACTAGGCACTTATCCCTCCAAGGCGCCCCAGTCACACAAGGATGCTGCAAGACGCTTTGCAGACCTCATGATCAAGGGCGGCGGTGGTGCCGAGGTCCACGAAAATATTCAGATCGCGCGCTGGTCCAAGCTACTCATGAACGCGGCATGGAATCCCATTGGGGCTCTCACCCTCACTACGGATGGGGACTTTTTGCGCACCTCGGAGCCGTACGCTCATGACTTGGCGTGGGGCATCATGATGGAGCTCGTCGAGCTGGCAAAAGCAACCGGCATCGAGGGCGTGACGGTTGAGGTGGCCGAGAAGAAGTTCTCCATCGCAAAGAAGAGGGCGGAGACGGGGACGGGGAGAGAGATGAGCATGCTCCAGGATGTCAGGCAGAACAGAGAGTTCGAAGTGGAAGCAATTCTGGGCAATGCCTTGAGACTTGGGAAGCAAAATGGTGTCCCCTTGCCTCGATTAGAGACACTGTATGCCCTAGCCAAGGCTAGATGCTGGGCGCTGGTCAAGGAGAGGGCAACCTGATAATTCTGATAGTTGAATCCACGTTTAAAAAGTCACCACCCTATCCTAATAGTGTAATAGTACCGAGGGCTCAGTTCTTAGTTTCTCATGTTCCATATGGAGAAGAACAAACCCCCGGGTCTATCATGTAGGTGCCAACGTCATTTCCTTCGAGGTAACCGGCCGTTGATTAGTAGAGTCACTTACGAAGCTGGCAGGCAAAGATCCGAGAACAAATAAGACAATTATTATCATGTGTGTATTCAACATGTTGCAGACTCTTGATATACTCTAGTACTGTTTTACAAGAGCCTAATGCCCATTCGTGCCACTGCCATTCCTTTCCACACTCCGGGCATCCCGACTTTCCTCCTGTTGTTCCCAGTCCTCTTGCCCTCCAATGTATCTAAACATTGCCCTCACATCTAAATCCTTGTACTCTTCCTCTCCACTCAGCAAGCTATACATTTCCAAGCCCTTGGTTCCCAAGACTCTCTCAGCTCCCGCCCGCTCTGCCATCTGCGTAGCGAGCGTAAAGTCCTTGAGCATCAGCGCCATGCGGAAACCACCAGTGTATCCGTGACTACTCGGGCTATTAGGATCGACGTTGGGCACGGGACAAAACTTGTCGGCGATAGTATTTTGCGCTGAACCCGCGTGCAGCACGTCGTATAGCTTCTTGGGGTTGAGGCCTGCGCGCATGCCGATATTGAATGTCTCGGAGCACGCAATCGTGAGGATGCCCGAGAGGTAGTTGTTGCAGAGCTTGGCCGTCAGTCCCAGTGACGGCCCACCACAGGGGATGACCTTTCCACCCATGTAGCGCAGGACGGGCTGAATCTTGGTGGCAAAGTTGGGATCGGTGGCATCATCGCATCCGACAAAGAAGGAGATGCTTCCCTTGACGGCCCCTATGACGCCTCCGCTGACTGGAGCGTCGTAGAAGGAGGCAGTGGGAAATTCCGTGCTCAGGTAGTCCTTAATACCGAGCGAGGTTGCAGTGTCGATTGTTGAGCAGTCGATCAAGAGCTTCCCGTTCAAAGAAACGGTGCTGAGCGCTTCGGGACCCGAAATGTAGACTGACTGGACGTGACGACCCTCTGGGAGCATAGTCACAATGACCTCAGCGCCCTCGGCAACTTGAGCTGGCGAAGAACATTTTGTGATTTGCTTAGGAAACTCGTTGTAGAGTTGATCCATAGCTGCCTCGTTGAGGTCCAAGACTCTGATGCGTTCGCCATGAGAAAGCTTGCTGGCGAGATTTTTGCACATGGGCAGGCCCATTAGCCCAAGGCCAATAAAACCGTACGTGGTAGGATTCTCTGCAGAAGGCATCGTAGCTAGCGGAAAGGGTCTGGAGTAGTGATGATGACTCGGGTCCAAACGTCTGGGTTGAACGAGGGTTGATTTGTATGCGAGGAAATCGTTTCCCATCTTTCTCCCTTTACCGAAACCACTCGAAAATATGCCGATGTGCGTCTCCAAGCTCGAAAAATCCCGCGCTCTTCTCCGGGCGATAATACCACGGTTTGATCTGCTTCCCCGGCATTGTCGGGCCTGTCCGAGCGGACCGCCCGAGGCGGCCCCACTTGACGCCGAGTATGGCCCTTTTTGCGGGCTTGTCCGAAAGAAACCGACGGCCGCATCAGTTTATAACCAGGGTTGATTACGACCCTTGTTAGCTGACAGTTCAAAAACATCAATCGATTCGATACCTCATCCCTCCTCGGTCAATACCAACAATCACTTACCACACCTTCCTCCACACACCACAATCCTCTCCATCATCCAAGATGCCTATGACAATCATTCGCTCCTCTCGGCCCGAAAACGGCCAAACTCTCAAAAAGGGCCCGACCTTTACCGGCGAGGTCTGGTACGACAGTGTCCTCAACAAACAAGAAGAAGGCATCACCATGGTTACAGCCACATTCACCCCCTGCGCCCGCACACACTGGCACCACCACGAGGACGGCCAGGTCCTAGAAGTCAAGGCCGGCTCAGGTTGGGTCTGTGACAAGGGTGGTGTCCCTCAGAAGTTGTCCGTGGGGGATGTTGTCTGGTGTCCCGCTGGGACTGTTCACTGGCACGGGGCTGATGAAGGGAGTATTCTGGTTCATTTGGCTATTAGCCGGGGCAAAACGACGTGGTATGAGGCTGTGACGGATGAAGAGTACAACGCCAGGTTGAGCAATAAGGGACAATAATGCAACTCACGGGTTTCGGACGAATAAATCCGACTTGGTGTATGACTCACAAGTTGTGAATTGTAGATCGTAGATGAATACAAAGACGGTGATTCGCGTCAACCAGACCAATTCGTTAACGCAATCCTCCGAAACTTGGGGTTTTTATGTAACTATCCCAGTGATTCAGCTATTCCCAGTGTTTTCGTGTTCTGAAATGCCTTAAGACGTCTTCAGAAGTCTCGCACTGGGGTGTTGTTAAGAGACCTATGCAAGAATGTTTGCATTTCCCATGCCGAAAGTGATGAATTCCTGCACAGACGATGACTAACACATGAATATATCAATAAACATGGAGTATAGGTCACTCTTGATAACATAACATGATAGGGTAGTCAGGTCCAAGTGTTGGACCGCCTTGAGATCCTTGCTGAGGCACCATGTCATGGCGTTTAACTACAACTGACACCGATCGATTGCAAAGCGCGAGATGTGATGGTAAATATTCCAGAATGTCTGGGTACACCGATTGACGCTTCATTGGAGCCCTAGAAATTAATTAACACTGAACTAGAAAGGTACAGTGGAGCGCTAGATACCGAAATACTTGCTGTGCCGACCTGACTAAGGTGACCGAGCAAGTCGCCCAGACACTCAAGAGATCTGAACGTGCGGGCAAGGAAACGGAGAACATCAACCGCCCTCGAAATGTACACCGAATCAGGGGTGTTTTGAGTGAACAATAGACCGCATCTGGAGATTTTGCCGAAAGATACGAGCCGTATCATGACGGACAGGAAGGTCGTGTACCCAGTCGTCCAGGGCAATGTGGATCCACGCTTGATCGCAGTCTCGATGACCGAGAGGTGATGTAAAGCAGTGTCATCAAATCTTTGTGCAGTTGCTTCTCCTTCACGGAGAATACAGCGAGATGCGTGCGCGATTCTCAGGTCTGCGGCAATCATGTTCTGTAGCAGATTCGGAGGGTGCAACGACGCCGGTGGCGGGGATCCTGCTCGGCTGAACCATGTTGCTTCCTGCAAGTTATTTGGAAGCCCACTCTCATCTCCTAAGAGGCCATAAGCCATACGCCAGAGTGGGATCGGTGATAATTCTTGACCGCTTTCTGATGGGGCTTCGGGTATCTGTTGATCAAACTCTTCGTTATGGATCAGCACCGGTAGTCCCAGCGTGCAGCTGATCCAGCGATCGAGAAGATATGCACTCCAAAACAGTTCAGTACCTGAGGTCTGTTCGGATGTTTTGTTGTGTAGACCGAGTTTTATGCATGATCGCACAACCAGCTCGACCAGATGCCAGGAACTTCCAAACCCTTCCTCGAGCAGTGAGAATAGCGTTAGAAGGATGAGAATTCGAACCGTGTTTGGTGTTTCATCGTGAAAGCTTTGCTCGTTGGAAGCTGCCTGCCACAGCTGGCATGCAGCGCTGGCATCCATCAAAGAATCTGTACTAGGGAATACTGCCCCAATGGCCAAGGCCAAGTATGCGAGACTTGTCTCGCAGGGACCGATGGACTGCCCGTTTTCAAGACTCTCCAAGCTTGATCTGATGTCTTCTGCATCGAGAATGGGGAATATCGGGTTCACATGCTCCAGGTATCGCTGGAGATACCAAGCGCGCAAGTCTTTAGGGAGGTCCTGTAGTGGACTCCGCCCATCCGTGGCTGATCTGAATAGCGCCAATGGCCTGCCGAGTTGCTTTTTCGAATGTGCATCAAGGGTGTCATTTCCGAGTATGAGCGCGCTGTTGAGCATGCGCGCCAGGTTGTAATTCTCGTAGTCGTACACTGTGGCGTTGTTGAGGTCGGCCAGGACACCCAGATTCGGCGTCTGTCCCTTCCTGCTCGTGTCTATGTCGAGTACAGGAATCGGCTCGGCAGCGTCCTGACGACTCTCACCTTGGGTCATCCCGGGACTCATGTGTACACGGTCTGGGTGTACATGTCCACCCGCGGCGACCTGTGCCTCCAGACGCGCAACTTCAGCTTCGAGCTCCGCAACAGTCCTGTAACCATCACGCATCAGCTTCGTTCTACTTTTCTGCCAAAGATTGATGGTAGAACAAGGCATACCTGACAGCAACGTGTGATCCGCTGATGAAAATCTCCCTGCTACATGCGGCATTGGCCCTCAAACAATGTGAGCATTTCGGAATACCGCGATTACACTTTCCAGCTGTTAGCGTTTGCATTGTCTATTAAAAGACAAATGGAATATCCCGATACCCTTTTCTTTTGCCGGCGACATCGTAAACAAGCATGGCTGGGACGCGCAATATCCATGTTGTTCATGTCAAGACAAGGTCATCTGAAACCCCGCAAAACCCTCGTCCGCGGTCAGTAAGTGGCTGAAATGAATTACATAAGCAGCTTGGCCTACTCAACGACGACATGGCTCAACTTCGTGTCGCATTTCTTAAGGGTGAGCTTCGGTGATATTGAGACCTTTCATCAATTATATTCAATGCATTACACTCTCAAGGCCTTCGAGTTAGTCATAGGAGAGTAGTTGGAATTTGGTGATCCTGTTCATGACATCTCCAAGTATAGGGTGGGTTTAAAGCAAATGACTTTACAACCATGAACGGAAGCGAGATAGCACAGGTGGCGAATGAGTGTATGAAAGTATATCAGAAGTTTCACACAGGCAATTATCAGTGATAGTGACTTTGTAAATAATGAAACTGTCAATGCATCCAACTGAACTACTCTTGTTTTGTGAATGTTTTCTCGTACCTTTTGAGCTCAACGTTGCTGTGGAGCTTGGAGATCCTAAAATAGTTAAGCGTGTAGTATCACGTGTTTAGGTGGGTTCTAATTGGATGGAAGCACTTTTGGCCCACATAGACCTCCACCTCGGCTCTCTTGTAGTCAAACCCGATTGGCTGACCAAATGATGTGTCAGCAGCACAACTTCAGCTTCTGCACAAAGGTTGTTGTCTTGCACATCCAAACATCGCACGGAACTTCGACTTGTTGTTCATGGTCCCAGCGCAACATGACGGGTTAATCGCCGCATTGTGGCGCCACGACTCGCGTCAGAGAAACTCACGACGGCGACTAACGCATGAGAGATTGAGCAACTCAGCCACTGCATCTTCGCACCGGTCAACCGCTCTAAGCACGCACACCTGGCAAAAAAATCACCGTCTTGGGCAAAAACATACAACAGCGGGGATTCGCTGGTCGTCACCGACCCAACTACTAATCCGCCCCTCACCGGCTTATCTATGGGAGAGCGGACGGGATCCCGAGTTCTCCGGTGGGTATGGTCGTATGTGCTAGTCTGCTGGCGTTCCAGGGGCTATGACGATGGGCCGCGGTGCTGGGTCCACAGCGTCCCATGTCCACCGGAGGATGTATCAGAGCCAGTCACCATGAATGTAATCATGGCGAGGACGAGGATTTGCGTCGATGGTTTAATAACCTTTCAGATTTTACCACAATTAAGCATCCCAAGACTAGGGAAACCAATCCCTCGGAATATGGCATATATCAACTGTCATCCCAGAAGCCCTGAACTTTGACGGCCGTAGCGAACTGAGATTCATGTAAGGAGCATGTTTTTGTATGTATCTGAAGAAATGACTAGGGGAAGTATATACATCGGAACTGAGCTACGACCTTTCATTGCGAGTGGACGTCGCTTGAACGGGCTGTTAAGACTGATCCTATTTCGCAATAATGTCTATTCCGCCAGCGAAACCTAACACTTATCCCCATTGTTGCAATTGCCAGAACAGCCATAGATGCCACCAACCTTTCCGGCATCACTTCCATAAACGTCCAGTCCCTGGAACCAACCATTGAGTGTCTCATGCAGATAATCCAAGTTCTGTGGAGCACCGTTCCTGCGGCCCTCAGCGGAGCAGGGGTAGTCAACGGTGATTCCTTTGCCTCCATTAAGACCAAACCCCTTGATGAACCATCCATTGTAGGAGCCAATAGCTCGGACGGCATTTCCTCCCGCATTGTCTAGCGCGGCTCGGAGAACGTGGGCTCCACAGTCGACGTTGTCCTGAATGGGATATTGGTAGCTTGACTTGCCGTTCTGGCAGTTGCGTGGTTCGCATTGCATCAAGCCAGGGGTAGGTCCTCCAGCATCCGCATTACACGAAGACTCCTGCATGGCGAGGAAGGCGAGAATGGCTGGGTCGATGTTGTATTTCTCTCCGGATGACTTGAAGTACTGGTCGTACTGGCGGCATGACCTTCCGACGCCGTTGTAGTAGTCCTCGAGAGAGATGTGCTTGAGGCCGTTGATGTCAAGGAAAGGAGGGTTCCATCCTTCGCCGTTAAGACCGGTGTTCAACCAAGCCTCACTACCGTTGGGGCCGCAGGCGTCCTGGCCGCCGTGGGTATCGTCGCAAGCCCCCTGGGCGTTGGGGTTGACATCGGCAACGACGGAGCCGACGATCACAGCCGAAAGAATGATGAGGTAGTGAGTGAGAGAAGGCATGATAAATCGATGAGACAGAAGAGAGTGATGTTCTGGTCCCAAGTGCATGAAGCTATGTGGCAACAGGTTCATTATATATAAATTGTAGTCGTCTTACCAATCCATCGAACGAGACAAGTTGACCCCTGCGGCTTGAGAAATCACATCGTCGGCCGAACCTGGTCCGCATTGGGGACTGAAACACGAAGGGCTCTGCGCAGCTGCCCATAGCGGAAGTTGTAGGGCTGCATGAAGAACAATAAATGATAGTGGGGGTGATCTGCTGCAGGGTTACATGAGGATCATGAAGGGCCGATCTGCTTACTGCCTTTTCGTAAATAGTTGCTGACCGTCGATCAGCGCATGTCGTACCGGGGACTCCGAGTGTGACTGTGGAACTGAATTTGAATCCGTTCCATCTTGTATATGCGACGTCTTTGGACTTTTGTAGTAGTTATATGACACTCACCTCCACGCGTATCCCTATCCAATGAATTGCATCTAAACTCCGTGACCTCGGCTGAACAGACGTACTTGAGGAAATATCAGTCCTTCCGCTAGTCCCTCAAGAGTGCCAGCATTATTGTAGTGGAGTGATAGCCTTTTGCGAGATTCGTCGTGGCAGCCATGGGATTAGCCTTTTTCACCCTGATTGCTCGCTACGACGAATATTGGCTGCAATTTCTGGGATAACCGATACTGTGTTTTTTCTGTGGGGGACTGTAATGGGCTTGTCCGTTGGTGAGCATCGAGTGCACAGGTGTTGTGAGTTGGGCATGTTTCGTTGGACCCTCGGCGTTTAGTGGACCACGCATGAAACAGTCCCCTTGCTGCAAAAGTCCAAATGATTGAAGATGACCACGTAGGAAAGTTGCCTTAGCACCATAATGTTAGGGTCATAGCCGATTTGCTTGGTATGCCCGATTCACTTCTAACTAGGCGGCTCTGTTTTTGCCAAGACATGGTAGTCCTAATAAAAGGGAATACAAGAAATCACCAGTCATCAAAAGCAAGGCGCAATATTAGAGATGTATTTCCCATGTGCATTTAAAAAAAACGCTCGCCTCACAGCTTGTGCTACTCTTTGATTCGCCTTTTTTGCGCCGCGGAGGCGGCGTACTACAAACTTCCGCTCAAAGATGGAACAATGTAGATCGCAATCATGCACGTCGTAGCCATCTATCAGCCACAACTCGCCCAAAGGAGCTGCGACTTGTGCTGGCTTGATTTTACTGTCTCCTCGAGCCCCCAGCGCCTGAAGCAGATCAGATTGTTGAAACGTTGAAGGGGAATACTTGTAAACTATACATACCTTACCACCAAGGTGGCGATAGTTGAGTGACTTTATCACTAAAAACTCGTTCACGGCGGCATCGACTCTCTCGAGCCTCTTGGGCGCCCCCTCCTCATTCCACGTCCTGTCCACCTTGACGTTTAGTGGTGTGGCTTCAGAAATGATCTGCTGCAAGATTTCCCCAAATCCCCTCTCATCAGTCGCTTCCATCTTCCCCGTCTCTTGTAGATCTGATCCATGCTTACAATGTAGAAGCGTGGTGATATACTCTGTGATCTTTCTCGAGTCTTCCTCGGATTCAATTTCGTAATGGTCCCGAACGCCCCAACTTTCGCTGCCGGCGCCGATGAGAATGGCTTGAGCTGAAGGTTCCTCTTTTTTGGAGAGAATACCAGGTTCGCAGAGACTCGGATGCACCAAGTTGTCGATGGCCATGACCAAGTAGGGTACATTGACCCTCATTACTACAAGCGCCTCGTCGTCGTCGTCCGAGCTACTGCTGCTTTGAATGCGCCACGTGATCGGTGTATATCCATCTGGAAGATCTGAAAAGCTCACCACGAGCTGGACATAGACGTTTTGAATTGAAGGTGCTTGTTTCCAAAGAAATGTGAGTGTTGCAACGGCTTCCTCCACCATAGGAATAGAAGGGTAGGTTTCAAGAATAGAGACCAAGTACCTGAGCAGGAGGCTTCTGCTGAGATTGAAATCAGTGGAGAACCGTATCTTTGCACAATCCGATAAACACGAACTCAGCAGTGACTGGATCAACCTTTCTCTCGGAACGAAAGGGACCTCCGTTGAAGTGTGGCCGATTCTTGTGCTACAGAATGTATACAGCATAGAAGCATAGTCCTGCGCTTCGAGCTGGCCGGTTTGCCGCATTTCCTGAACTCGCCTGAAAACGTAGTCGCAGAATCCATGATGGGCTGCCAATTCTAGAAATGAGATCTGGGGCTCCCTGTGCGTATCGAGCTTTGTCTTGAACCGTGTACTCTCCAAGGATCCTTTGCAGAATGCTCTTTCGATGTCTGGCAAGGTGTTTTGTGCCACATAAGTAGCCCCCCTAGAGCCTTCAGAATGATCGATTGAGTTGAAAAGATATTCAACCTCTCGGGATATCGAAAATTTGAAGTTCCAAAGTTGGCACTTCATGAGTGTTGCTTTCACAAGTTTTACTTCAAGATCCTCCCGAGAAACGTCGATCCGTTTCCACAACTTCTGGCCCTCCGCTTCGTCTAGGAGGAAATCGCGGGCTGTTCGATGGACATACTCTACCACCATGTCAGCGTAAAACGCCAGATCACAGTATGGTCCAGAGTATCCGTAATTCTTCAAGAATGTATGCTCCGAGTCCGAGTCCGAGTTCGAGCTCGAGTCGGCAGAAATGGTCACCATCAGCAGGCCAGCTGACCAGGCTTCGATGGAATTTCTTGTATCCCGACACAGCATTTCGAGTTCCTCCTTGGAAACTTGGTCATCCTGGTTCAAATATTTGTCCAGAAAGGCGGCGTTTGTTCCAGCCATAAGCTCAAAGACGGTCACCTTTCCGATGTGGTCGAGGTATGCCACGCCTTCTGCAAGAATCATGAAATTCATAAACAGAGAGAACCCCTTCTGGTATGGCTGTGGATCATCTTCGCACCGTTGCCACATACTGGAGTATAACTCGCTGAGAGACTTTGGCATTTGGTGCAGTCGTTCCTCTAGAAGCTGGAGTGAATCGCCCTTCTCAATTCCACGCTCGAGGGATCTCGCAACTAGTACAGCCCACAGGAAGACTCCGTCAGCTTCAGATGAAACTTCGTTCACAAGGCGATTGACCTCGAAAACGTCATTCCTATGGGACATTGCTCGATTAAGGATACCCTCAGCATACCTCCTGATGTCATCTCGTATGAAGGCATGCATGGGTAGTGTTGGATAATGCCCCAAGTACATTCTCATCGCTGGTTCTGGGCGACTTGACAGGCACAATTTTACCTGAGGGCTCTGGAGCTTTGTGATGATGTCAATCAAATCTCGGGGGCTCTCCTCTGGTGATAGTTCGTCGAGGCCGTCAATAAAGATGCAGAATGCTTTTCCAGGTTGGTAAGCCAGGCTGAGGAGAATGCGTCCAAGCTCGGTCGGGTCCCAGTCTGCGGCGCCTGACTTTCGTTTGATATCAGGGTTGGATTCCAGCAAAGCAAGAGACGAAGACATATCTCGAGATAGAACTTGGTAGACCAGAGAGCACAAAAAGCCCTTGATGTTGTTCTGCATCGGCGAGCCAGCCAGCCAAAAGTAATGCGATAAGACCTGGACATCTGGCTGCCACTGCTTCAGAGAATCCCTGGTTGGAGACTCATCAGAGGCGATGAACTTCATGAGAGTGCTCTTGCCCGAGCCTGGCTTCCCGGCTATCCAGTAGATTGGTTGGCCTTTGGACTCCAGCCAAGTGGTGAAGCAGGGCCAGGCCTGTGGATGTCTTTCAGGATAAGCTTGCTTGGGCTCGTGGTAACCGGCAAGATCATATTGTGGGGATGACCCAAATATCCAGCGACAGGTGTTGAAATATTCTTGCCTAATCATGTTCACTCTCTCAGTCCTTGCATCAAAGTGCAAGCTCTTCAGAAGATGATGCCAATCCTGTCGCTGTTCGTTCTCTCTCTTTTCTCGTTGGACTCTGGCACGTTCGTCTTGCAAGTCGCGAGTCGTGGCAGCTATCTGCTGCTCTATCACCCGTTGATTTCTCAAATACTCCGCATTGAATCGATCCTGAGCGTCTTCCAGGGCTTTGACCATCTGTTGGGAAAGGTCTTTTTGCCCTGAAGCGACCTGCTGAAGTGTTGTCGCCAAGAGTCCCTTGGACTCTGCAAGGATTTCGGTCTTCAACTTTGTGGGATCTACCAGGTCGAAGATCCTCGCAAGGAGCTGCGTATCCAGGCTGGATTTGAGGCTGTCGAGATCCTTTTCTAGCTCACTCAGCTGGTGCTTGTGGCGAATGGCCTTGATAGGGGCAGTGAAACCCCTCCTCCACCTGCTGGCTCCGCTGGCTGGAGTGAGGAGTTGTAGCTCGTGATTCAGCTTGTCTGCGGCAGCTTTGCACATGGTGGCCCTCTGTTGTAGTGCTAAAGCATCGGGCCCGAGATTGGATTGTCGTTGACTTAGGTTGTCGTTCAGGCTCTCGCAGATCTTGGCGGTCTGGCTGCTGTAGTCTTTTAGGCTGGGGTCAATCTCTCCAGTCTTGTAGACTTTCCGACACAGTGATATCACTTCTCCCCCAAAGGAGAGTAGCTGCATGATGTTGCACGCCAGGCCAAGAGCGGCCAAAGGCTCCATACCAGACATGATGACGGCTTGGAGCGTTGGGTTTCATTCGAAAGTTTGAAGCGCGGGTTCAAGAGAAGATGAAAAATCCGAATCGGGTAGCTGAAAGGGAACCCAACAGCAGCAGGCTGTAGGATGGTTGATCATGCGGGCATCGTGCATGGCAGCTAGCCAATGATAAGATGGTTGCGTGCAAGTAGCTGCTGAATGCTTGCTGTGCCACCAAACCCATCATGATTTGTTTTCCCATTTAGTCCTGCTGGATGCAAGGCTATATCTCTCCGTCCATCTACCTCTGCGAAACCACAACAGTCGGATCCTCTCAAGTCATCAATAAGTAATCCATCGCAAGAGTCAACTTCGAGTTGCGAGTCGCGCCCGGAGGGGCAAGAAACAAGTCGCCAGCCTGATTGCCAAGACTGACTGCCTGAACAGACTGCTGCAGCAATTGTCAAGCCACAGCATAAGCGCCAACCATACAGATGATATCCTCAAATGAGAATAAAGCTAACGTGGAGCCGAAATGCCAGTCAGATATGTTTATTGTCGTTGAAATCAGATACACCCCAAAAGCTACGAAACTATACCAGTTTCGCCTTGAAAATAGTCTTGAAAATCTGGCTTCGCAGACCGAGCAGGGCCAAAACGCGTCGTGAGGCTATCCAAGGACTTGTCAATAGGTAGAGTAACGAAATAAACAGCGTCTAGTTCTGGATCGGACTGGAAGAAGATATGTTGAAAAAAGGTCATAAAAGAGTGTGAGGTCGTTGGGTTAAAGCACAGTGAGCGGGAAAAGTGTCGTCTCTTGACAGCGGAGAGAACAAGTGCTTATAGGTATCACGAGTATTGGTTGCGCTAGGCAATAACGTGAGTACTTGCTTTAGGCAGTTAAGCAGAAGTAGTTTTATGTACACAAGTTATTAACTTATGTCTAGAGGGTCCCGGTACTTGGTCGCTCGGTCCTTCTCCTCGAGATATCCAGCCGTCACCCCCACGTGAAGCAAATTGATACCTTGGGCTGCTAGCGCTTGAAGTATACTTCGGTAACTTTTTTACACATTTTCCCTGTAGAAAATGACCCAACTCAAGCAGCAGTAGTAATCTGAGATGAGTACATATACACCCCGTTATATAAATACCGAGGTTTCTTTCTTTTGGGGTAATCACGTGCAAAACAGCAGTGATTCCCCAACGTCATGCGATAAGCGCCAAGCGTTGGTTCAGGGAAGATAACCATTCCATCAGCCCTAGCAACAACAACATCAACTATCAACAACCCTTAGACCTCTGCCGCCGCTTCATTTCCTCACCAGATGCCTCATTCTCATCATCATCATCATCCTTATCACCATGTCGAACACCTTGATAGGCTCCCCGACAAGACGCTGGTGCAGATCTTCAACTGCCTACCCGGACACGACCTCTGCAGCGTCTCGCGACTAAATAAGCGCTACCACACCCTCGCAGACGCTGTCTTGTACAAGACAGTTCAATTTTTAACCCCCGAGTTACATCTCATCTTCAGCGAGTCCCTTAACTACCGGCCTAGACGCGGCTCGGCGATCCAGGATATCAAGCTCGCTTATCCCGCATCCACTCTCCCTCAGCTCATTTCCGACAAATCCTTGCCATCCAACAGCATATCTCAGACCATTTCTCGCATGTCAAACTTGGAGACTTTGGATATCGCTGTGCCTGTCTCACTACTACACAGCGTGGGACACCTTTTTAACAGCCCTTTCGACTTGGCTTGTCTCAAGACGTGTACCCTCTTTTACCAGGATGAGGATGATCAATATTGGGATCTGCAAGAGAATATCCACGTCTTTGCTCATCCGACGCTCGAAACCTTGGTTATTAAGAGGGCGAAGCTGGACGATCGGGGCTTTGACGTCGTAGAGCGCCCACATGAGACTGCTCTAAGCAAGTTGCATCTCATCGAATGCGACATTAACGACGATGCACTATCCGATCTTCTCGCGTTTCCGAAGGCTCTCAAAGAGTTCGTCATGACACACCCAGAAGACCCCTCACCCGAACTTGAGGAAAGCTCTGATAGTATCAGAGATTATTTCATGGCCCTAAAGTCCGCGTGCCATTCGTTGGAAACAATCACGATCGATTCACCATTCCTGCGCAGCTCTAGGGCCCTTGCCCTACGCGATTTCACTGTCCTCAAAACTCTGCGGTTGAACTGGGACCATCAGCTATACGGCAAATCCTCAAAAAGACCGCGTCTGCATTCGGTGGGACTACCGCCGGAACTCGAGACTCTGGAGTTCTTCAACGACCTAGGCACTGACGACGAGGTCACGGATCTACTCGTGAATACGATAGAGAACGTGAACCTAATGGCCCGAAACCTGAAGGAACTAATTGTGAGGGTGGACGATCGCGACATTCCCAAGGAGGTTTTGGAAGCTTGCAAGTCGCAATCGCGGTTTCATCTCCATGTAATTGGAGGTGACGAGGATTCAGATTAGACCATTATACCTATATTGGATAGACTAGAATACCGTCATAGAATCAAGAATGCCAGTAGGATAAGTGTAGAAAACGCAGCATATTTAGCGTATGGAGGGGTCCATCTGTTTTCTTGATATAGCTTTTTAGATAGTGAAAGAATAATACGATTCTCTTTATTATTGAATGCTGGGATTAAAGAGCCCGGGTCTGAGACGCTTGGTCTACCCCGACAGCTGAATTACAGATTGTGCAATTGACGAGTCCACCGCAGTTCGCCGGATTCCTGGCACAGGCCCTAGACATGTTGCACTCGAGGCTAGCAGCTGCACGAGCTTGTCGATGTCGATGATGATCTGGGAGGCCACTTGAGAGTTCTGCTGAGGAGTATCAGTCCACGGTGCCCTTAATTCCTCGATGGACTGTAGGCCAGTCCCAAGAGGGGGGAGAAGCTCGGCCGAGCCAATCCATTCTTGGGTTGTTGGGACACCAAACACAGAATAATCTCCATCTTCATGATGATGCCCTTCTCCAGACGGGTCCTCGACCTCGGGTAGTTGCTGCTGTTGATAGTTTATCTCGGCAGAGTGCTGGACCGAAGGAGCTGAGCTCTGATTGTTGATCTCATGACTCAAGTCGGCACCACGCAGGAAAATACCCCTGTCCTCCAAGTACTCCTCAACATCCATAGCCTCGAGCCACTCTCCTTGAAGCGGCTCAAATGCAGTCGCGAGCCTCGTCCTCGTCCTTCCCCTTACAATCCTCTGCACTGACGGTGCCGGTAATCGAGGTATAATGTCCTGGCTTCCCTCAACAACACGGTACAAGAGTGGCAAATGGGGCATGGAATGGGGGAGGTAGCGGTAGTCATCCATGACGACAGGTAGTGCTAGGATATTGAGGGACTCGGACCTGAGAAGTTCCTCACCGAGGATGTCTAGAGGCAGCCTCAAGTCTAGGACTCGGCCCTTGGGTCCAGAGTTCCCTGCTAGGATGGTGAAGACACGCTCGAGACAAGCTCGAAACAGCTTTTCAGATAGTGTGCCCAATATGAGGTCAGCTGAACGAATGGTGAGGGCGACGGTCTTGGACAACATTTGGGTTTGTAAATCTCCAGCGCCCTCGTCTGTAAGCGAAATGTTCCCCGGTTGCTGCCGTTGAGTTTCGGAATCAAAGGCTTCCGAACTAAATAACAACCTGACTGACTTGTTTGTGTCACTGGCAATGGTTGCCATTTCAGAGGCCGCTTGATTCAAACTGGCAATAAGATCCGACGAGCCGCGTACCTCAGGTAGGCCTAGGGCATGCTGATGGAACACGGTAAAGGTTGCCAGCGCCCGATCCAGGGCTTGGCTGAGTTGTTGGTTGCGGGTTCTCTCCTGGTTGAATGCGCTTTCTTTCCGGGCTCGGTACGTTCTTTGCGCCAATCTCATGCGTGTTCGCCTAATCTAGAGTCTCTTGTTAGCTGCAGTTTAGTGGAGTGGGTGTTGGTGCGCGCACCTCGACTTGGTCGTTCACTCGGTCACGGCCTTCTACCCGAGGCCGACCCCGACGCGGCACTTGATCATTCGTCATTTTCGTTTTTTCTTTAGTCGTTTGTCCAACTGGTCGATGATGGAAAAGGGCAAGTGTCGACAAGCAGAAACGGCTTTGATACATCCTGGCTTGCTGATAAATCCATCCTCAACCCCTGGACAAGACAAATTGCGGGGCCGGCAGATCATGACTAGACCCTTTGCGGATGTCATTTGTCTCAATGAGATGTCGATTGGACAAATCGCGGATCATGGAACTCGAACATTTGAAGTAAAAACGCTCCATTGTGAATGATTTGAAGAGGGTCAACTTTATCAGCCTATTTGTCAAAAGCGTCATATGAGAAGGCTTGCGGAAGAGACGGAGCAACATGGTGGCTCCCTAGGGTCACTGGAGTATGATAAATAGGGACCCGGTGCCCTCTTCAAACGCCATTCCGTTCATCACTTCATCACACAAGCCTTCTCCATAAGTTACAGGTTTCTAGTCCTTTATACAGGCTATTCTGTGCAACATGGTCCCGAAGACTCAGAAGCAGTGGGTTATCCGCGGTACTGGCAGCTTTGAATCTCTGGAATTCCAGAAGGAAGCCCCAGTCCCTCTGATCGGGGACCAAGATGTCCTTGTTCAAAGTATTCCTATCCCCTTACCTGGATAAAGTTGCCTCGTTGGTGGCTGACATTTAGTCAAACAGTCCATGCCGTTTCGCTCAACTTTCGCGACCTAGTGCTGTGCATGGTAAGCTATACACTTATTATCCTCAATGATGACTGCTAACCCTCAACGCCAGGGACGCTATCCTTTTCCGCTAAAGGACGGCGTAGTGCCCGTGTCTGACGGTGCTGGTATCGTCGTGGCTGTCGGTTCTCGCGTGAGCCGCTTCGTCGTCGGGGACCGAGTTGCCACAATGCTCCACCAGCGTCACCTGGCTGGACCTCTGGATCTCAGAGGTCGAAGGAGCGCTATCGGAAGTGAAAATGATGGCTCGCTCAGAGAGTACGCATCATTCTCAGAGGATGGCCTCGTTGCGGTTCCAAACAACTTGACCTTGAACGAGGCTGCTACTCTACCGTGCGCCGCGTTAACTGCCTGGAGCGCTCTTTACGGACTTGAGGGTCGCGCTTTGAAGTCTGGTGAGATTGTGCTCACCGAAGGCACTGGCGGTGTAAGCACCTTTGCAGTCCAGGTATGCTGCTATTTACCATTAACGTCCCCCGGAGAGTCCAGAATTAATCGTATGAAAGTTTGCCAAAGCGGCTGGCGCTCAAGTCATCGCGACCACTTCGTCAGCTGAAAAGGCAGAGCAACTCAAGAAGTTGGGAGCGGACCATGTGATCAACTACAAGGAGAACCCAAACTGGGGCCAGCTTGCCAAGAGCTTGACCCCCAACAGCGAAGGAGTCTCTCTTGTCGTCGAGGTGGGAGGGCCATCCGCTGCTAGACAGGTACGCTTTCCACCTAAACCGCCCTTGAATACCCGGTCAACTTGGACTGACTCAATTCGGCAGGCTCTAGCTGCTTTGAAGTTGAACGGGCTGATCTCAATGGTGGGCTCTACCAGTTCCTTCACATCGCCCGGGAGCGACGATGCCAAAGAGCCGACATTCATCGAGACAGTGATCCATACGTGCACGGTACAAGGGATTAGTGTTGGATCGAGGGTTCAGTTTGAGGAGATGAATCGTGCCATCGAGGTGAATGATATTCATCCCGTCTTAGATGCGCGCATCTTTAAGCTGGAGGAAGCCCGCGAGGCCTATAAGTATGTTTGGGATCAAAAGCACTTTGGAAAGGTGGTTATCCAGGTGGCATCCTAGGACAGCATCCATGTAGAGGTGACCTATAGATGGAAGGGTTCCTAGATATACGATAGTTACATAAATGATTGTCGATTAGATGCACATCCTTTTATTGCTCGATCCTTCGTGGATACCACGGATCTTCATGTAATTCCATGGGAAGGGAAAACGAGGGCAATGCTATGCTCGTGATTCCAATGTTGTAAATGTCGGACTAACACCTTCTGATTTGTTCGTATTAACAATAAAGGCTGATCGGCACCTCACCAATCTCAATAGGCTCGAAGGTAGCGGTTAGGGGATTATGGAAAGAGTTACCAGCAGATGGCTTCTTAGGGATTACGCCGTGAGTTTCTACAGCGCCATATCTATATCAGTTGCCTAGTCTGATGGGAATATTCTCATAGCGGACAAGCATGCTTCGATTACGAAAGTTCAGGGGCTCCGGGGAAGGAGAGAAGGCATTCGGAAACGAAATGCAAAAGCTCAAAAAGCTTTCACATCGCCACCTTGTCAAGTATGTCAAATCAGTAGATCTTCTACTCTCGTATCATCTTAGGCACTAATTAGGACTCAGTTCATATACCGATCCCAAAGCTTTTGCTATCCTCCTGCTTATATGGAGCCTGGATGTATGCATGTAGCTGAAAATTGCATGATCAGATTGTGGTTCGCCAACAGATGGGTGCTCACCACCCAATGATTACCCCTGTCTTTCTCGGATGCTTTTACGAGATATTCCTTTCCCCGCACGACTGTAGATAAAACCTCGTCTGTCATTACCTCTCACCTTCAGTGTCTCGCTGCCATCAACTTGTGTCATTGTCCCGACGAGTTTAACAGCACCAAGCATCATGACCACAAAGAATGCGGGAATATCGAAGGGCGTTGTCACATAGGTGACGCAGCTGGATTCATTAGCAGCCAGATACAACATAACATTCATCCAGCAAAGCCAAACCAAACTTTTCTGCCACAGCGTTTCTGCCGGTGCGGGTATGTCGTTTTGCATCGCTTTGGATTCTCCATTCTCACAGATTTCTTCCAATAGACAACTCTAGTCAATTTCATCCTAATTTCAGTCAGTGGTGCAACCGACACGACACGCTGGGTTTCCTCGAGGTAGGCATACCGAGACCCGGCTGCGTAAGTCAGACTTTTAATCAGTAATATCCACAGAGACTATCGGGGAGTCCAAGAGAGGTGAGAGAGGGAACCTGTACGACACCTCCAAGTCCATCTTTTACTTTAATGTCGGTGCATTTTCTTTCCTGGCCAATTCCCAAGTCAGTACTGACGAATGAAGTGGAGGATACGGCAATGGGACTTTGCACCCCTTAAGCCTGGACCGCGATCTCTTTGAGGATATCATGAAAGCGTTCAAGTTGCCAAACAGGGTTAAGGAGGTCATTTGTTCTGTACATGGAGTGTTTTCTCGGTTCGTCGAGTACGACCGTGGAGCCCCCAGGTCTCTGTGTAAGCAACCCCCCCCCCCCCCCCCCCCCCCCTTGAACGAGCGAGCTTCAATGTTTACAATTAGACACGGGTTAGCTATTTTATTCTCTACGCCCAAGTCTCCCGTGAGAGAGATAGTCTGTGCCATCCGTATCGACCGTGAGCTGGCCTCGGTAACGTGCCTGCTTCTTGACGATCGACTTGATGACCTCCACCGCACCATCGGCGCCGTCAACAGCTCTATGGCCGGGCTCGCATGGAGGGACCCCGTGGCCTTTCTAGCTATTCTACTCAAAGAGAGTGGGAGCAGCTCGGAACTGCAGCGGAAGTGTCTGGACGATGACATTCTCGATGCTGAGATCAAGACAAGCTCCACCCAGTGGCGCACTAACACGAACAATACTCCGAACGACTTCTACGAGGCTACGAACAAGCTGAACTTGTGTCATAACAACTTGGTCAGTTTCGCATTGTTTCAAGTAACCAACCCTGGAGCTATCAACAATGGTATGGATCGGCAACTTGATTGCCTACCAAGAAACATCACAGACCAATCTTATTGCCATCCTGGCTCTAATCTTTGCTCCAGCTAGCCTGATAGCTGCAAGTAACTGCTGAAGGGAGAAGAAGAATGCATCAGTTGACGATATGTCGCCCAGGGCATCTTCAGCGCCGGTATCCTTACCACCAATGACCGCTCGTGGATCGCGTATGTCGCATCGACTGTGCCAATTACTGTTCTGACCGTTGTTGCTGGCGTCGGGTTTCTCAAGAAAAAAGAATTAGCGAAGCAATGGTTGAAGATGATAAAGGCAGTAGTTGCCCATAGTGCACCGGGTATTCGAGGCAGCTTTTGGCACTATATAAACCTCTCTTCTCATCATCATTACCACCAATCAACACCACTCATTCAGAGCTAGTGGTCCCTAGAAGGCACAACTCGAGGAAGGTGGTGGTTCCTGAAGCACCCACGAGCTGGAGCCAGGCTTGAGGCAATTCGAAACGTGGATGGCCCAAGCCGTTACAATGTGGAATGTAACAAACGGGTATGCGGACGGCAAAAGTAGAAATACTTCCTAAAAGGTTTTAGGTCAAGCTTCGTCCAATACGAACGGGTGTTGCGCCTGGCCTGTCCTCCTACCATTCTCCATAACACAGCGTCTACCGCCCCCAAACAGGACCAACACCTCCCCCCTGTCAGCTGCACGCAGGCGTGATTGTCTTGGCAAAGTCGAGCCAACCATCTTTCTGCTTCAAGTGCGGAGTAAGTCACGAGGCCTTCACAACGCCACTTTTCTGGCTTCTGTCCATCTCACCATTAACCTTGGTTGAGAGAACTACTTGCCCAGCTATGGCTCGCCCATCTTACGTTGAGTTACGAAGCCTCACATCCGATGCGGAGACACCAGGACAGGAAAATGATGCCAACAGCGAGTCTTACACAAAGCCGCACAGAACATTGAAGGAGCAATCACCTTCACGATTATGGACAATCGGGGTTCCTGGACTATTACTCACGATTCCTATTCTATATACAGGTACCTTGAATTCATTCCACACTTGCATTGTAAGCTAATATAGGTCCAGTGCTACTAGGCATCGTGGCATCCCTCCACAACCAGGAAGAGAGCTCGTTCGGTAACAACGTCCGAGAAGCCCTCCAAGTTGCTTCAACACTCTGGCCTATTTCGTTTGCGGCAGTTCTTGGGCCATTTCTCAAGACCCTGGCGCTCTACCGCGCCGAGAAAGGCTCAACTCTCGGGTCCCTGGAGTTTCTCTCAACCAGCCAGACCACTATCTCGGCATTCATAAACTTGGCCTTATTTGGAGGCACCCACCTCTGGACATTCGCTATTGCCGCCATCTGGTGTCTTAGTCCCCTTGGAGGACAAGCCGCTGTCCGGTCTATCGGCCTGTTCCCAAATTCAACCACAGTACAGATTCCTGCTATGCACTATCTCGGCAGCAACATTTCTGATATGAACCCTTTTTATCTGGGTGGTAACACTGAAGGGGATATGGGCATATTCCAGATGGCAGGCACACGAGAAGAGTTCATCTTCAACCTAAGAAACACGGTCGCTTCCGTCTTTTCAACGCCAGATGTCTTGATCTCCAACGCCAATGGTTCTAGTGACGGTTTCGATAACGCTGTCCAGAATCTTGGGGGCAAATGGCAAGCTGCCCGTATCGGGCAACAAGATCTATGGCGTAATGTGCGGGTTCCATTTCTTGAGCTACTGCCACACTACGATTCCGAGCGACCAGAGGCCTGGGTTGAAGTGCCAACCGACAGAGTGGTATCGTATGCGTCATTTATCGGTATCCCTATCCGTGGGGGTTCGACTTCTCGAGCCGGCAACTCCACCATGGTAGTAGGATCCCATTATATGACTCTCTCGTGCGGAGAAGCCTTCAACGGATCAACTTGGCTCACTCCTACGGCACAAAAGCTTTACTTTCACAACATGAGCGGCCATCTCCCTTCTCAGTATGAAGGTTTCTTCCCAATAAAAACCTGGCCCAACATCTTTTTGGATATAGTCAACGATACCAAGACCCGCAAGGAACATACTCAACTTCTACATTACCCCATCAATGATACGGAGCCCACTACAAAGCTAAAGCTTGTTATTGGGGGAGACTGCCCGGGTTATTTTCTCAACAGGGTCTTCTTGCGTACATGCGATATCAGCACGCCCTATGTAGACGTCGAGGTCCGCTGCACGAGATTGACAGCATTCGATGACCAGAACTGCAGAGCGGTTCGAATCCGGCACACACCAGGGTTTCCCATGCATGGCAATCTAACAGTTCTCTCCAACTTCGCCCTCCTCCAAGGTACCACCTGGGAGTTTCCGTTCACGACCTCGGATTACGATATAGGCCGACCTGGCTTGATAGAAATATATCTCAAAGACCCCCCCAATACCCTTGGACGCTTGAACTTGCTAACTGACGCCCCGGGCTGTTTTAACAATGTCTCGTTGGATGTATTTGAAACCCGATTTGCCACCTCGTTGAATACGTTCGTCACAGCTACATTCAACACCACAGTCCTCACCGGAGCAGATGGCACGAGCCTCAAGAACCGCAATATAATGTGGAAGAATACGACGGCATCGTGATCTGAGTTCACAGAGAGCGTTTACGCAATCCACAAGCCCTGGTTCTCCGTCTGGCTATTCTCGACGATAGTGCTTTTTGTTACCGCCATCGCCAACGTTGGCATTCGCGCAATTATCAGTGCTCCCGACTTCTTGAGTGGTGTGGCGGGGTTGACAAGAGACTCGCCGTTCATTCATGTGCCTGAGGATCGCACCGGTGAGAGTGGTTCGGATCGACTGGGGAGGTTGAAGAAAACGGAGGTTCGGATCTGTGATATCCAGTCTCAAGAGGAAGTCGGGAAGATCGCCTTGACGACAGATATAGACGGCGGGAGACTGATTTGGAGGAGGGCGTATGAGTAGGGGGGTCTTAAAAGAGGTATACGACATGTCTGCATTACGTCAAAGGTAGTTCCACATCTCCCAAAAATGCCATTCTATAGCTAAGTAGAATATAAATCACCATGAACTTTACAAAATGCGCAACACTCTATCTCTAAAAACCAACAATCCCGATATCCATGAGAGGGCTTAAGGCATGTGCATGCCGTCTTTGACGGGCTGGTAGCCTTGAGTATTAGGGCCATGGGCCTGTCTCGCTCGAACTTCTTTGTCCTGTTGAACCAGGGCACAGCAGAGGCACCAGAATGAGGTGCAACAGTCGCCCATGCCACTTCCTTCAATGCCATACTTCTCACGAATCTCTCCACGCCTCATCATATTGTAACTGTCATACGTTAATATGTATATGGCTGAGTTGAAAATAAGCAGACTCACATCCAAGCACAGCCGGTAAAAGACTGAATGCCGCAGAAAATCATGCACTCAGAGTTGGTGCTCTCGACGGGAACATTGGGGGCATTCCGCATGCGGTGGGCAGTTCGCCCAAAGACTAGATAATGTTGCGCTTAGATACTGCCGTGTCGACATTGGACGGTTAACCTACGAATGCATGGTAGAAAGGTGCTAAGAAGACAAGAATCGCAAGGCGAACAATCGCAAAGGCTGCTCTGCCACTCTTGGTTGTGGGACATGATGAGGATGGTGATGTTTAGAGAAAGGAGTGATAAGAAAGACAGTCAAAGGAACGTATGGTATCGATGGGAAAAGAAAGAGAGCGACGAGAATGAAATAGACAAGAGTACAGCCAGGACCAAGAGTCGAGAAAAGAAATAGTTTTATAATCAAACGTCACTTGTCGTGCCGACAAGAAAAAGGGTCAAATAATCGTATCCGATACGATTTACGTCCAAAGCCGGACAAGGATCCACAATGACCAGTTACGGAGAGGCCTCCTTAGCTGAACACACAGATTCGTCATTTTCTTTCTTGGTAGAGTTTAATTCCTGTTTATTTCCTTTTCGCCAAATGCCGTTCTCATTCTTGTCAGGATCAAAAGTCGGGGACGCCGATCTCGTTGGACGATCAACCTCGGCATCAAGTTAGATGGCGCACAGGGCATTTACACGAGGGAGCCCACGAACTATTAGATTAGCCAAGCCGTCGAAGTTACGATGTAACCAATCCTAGCCATGTATCTCTCTTCTAGACTATGGGGATAGCGTTGCGGGTGGTCATTGACCCATTTTGGGCTGGAAGTTTTGTCACAGCCACTTCCCATAGCTCTTGATTATGCCACTCTGCCGAGAAGCCCAGGTAACTGAGACATTCTTGGGGCAGGGGCCGATAAGCCAAGCCGGTTCATTGGGTTCAGAGCTCAATGTGTCGATGGATTGAAATTAAGGGGTCATGGCACATCGTGAGTGGGAACTAGAAAAAATATGTCAGTCGGTATTTGTCGATGTGAAAATCAAAGGGAGGGCAAAGTACTATAGTCTTTAAGATATACATAAATAGTTAGGCTGGACATCACAGTCAATGCTATTACCCTATTCCATAGCCAAGCAAAGTACAGGATTTTGTTAAATGAGCCAGAAGACAGACAGTTGAATTAAGGTATCAATGAGTGAGGTCTTTAATGAAAAGCTCCATTTAACCCTTAGAAATGTGTTGGAAGGAGGCGAGCAGCCTCCTAGCTTTGGAGGAGATTTGTTGACTACCTAGGTTACGCTATTCTACGGGGAGGGTTTTAACTATGCCATATGTTTATCACTATATTTTTAGACTGGTATTACCAAATACTCTATCTCTGAGTGTTTGCTCCTTAAGGGCCACTACGGAGAGTGTATTCTTGAATCGATGAGCAAGAAGGCAGAACATGTTCAAGGTAGTAAGAGTGGGTCATAAGTAGGGTTAGACGGCGAAGGTTACATCAAATCAGAGTAGAATTTACAAAACTATGAGAATGAGAATGTAAAACACGAAGAAAGCGATGGATGCAATGAAAGGCTGCCATATAGGAAATAAACCCAACAGTAAAAGAGAATTGAAGTACCCGAGTCACAGAACTATACACTGTCTGCAATGCCAATAACAGACGGAGAGGCCATTTGGCTCAGTGCTTTGAAAGCACCTTTATGATTGGCACATAACTGGTAAGTCCACCCACTACTTCTTACAAGACCAGCATGTCGTCGAGTTGGCCTTTGTGCAAGAATCATCAAACAGAGGTTTCTGAGGGTAGGGGCACAAAATCTGCTGCTGAGTCGAGTTGTCCGGCTTCGTCACAACAATGGGCGTATACTCCGGCTCTGTGCCATTCTCAACCCAGGCTTGAAGCTGGGAGAAGAGAGCCTCGGGTTGGCCACCGTTACCACCCCAGCAGTGTCCGAGACCAGGGACGCGGTAGTACTTGTAGAAGGAAGTGACGTTGCCGACAAACTCGGACACTTGCTTGTAGTAGCTCAGGGTTCCTCCGGGAGAAATACTCTGATCGGCCTGAGAGTAGTTAGCTTTTTTGTTCGTACACAGTTGCAGAGTAATATTCTTACCAGTCCGTGATAGGTAATGAGTTTGCCTCCCGTATCTCTGAAATCACGCAAATCAATCTCGTTTGTCTCGAGATTCGAAGCAAAGACCTGCTTGACAGCTTTGTAGATGGTGTCAAACTCCTTGTGCGTAATGTTGGTGAGCGTAGCCGTAGCGTCCTTCTTGACAAAAGCCTGGTAGGCAAAGACGACATTCGCTCGGCCGGCGCTGGTACACACTTTACCCGTACAGTTCGTCGGGGCGATAGTAGGGAGGTCAGCACCAATGTCGTAGCCATGATACAAAAACTTTCCGTTCGAGAAACGGGGACCACTCCAAGAAGCGTTGGCAACCGCCGCGGCCGCGTGACTGATCTTGAGCTTCGACCCGGTGGTTGAGCAGTTGAACGACTTTCCAACCTGCTTGAAGGGGTCAAATTTCTTGCGGCAGCCATCGACGTCGCTGATGAGACCATCCTCAACGCCATCCAGCTTATCACAAGTAGAGATGGCAAGGGATGTGATTTCATTCAGCTCACAGTCACGAGGGAACTGCTGGGTAAACTCCATGTAGAAGCTCGGCCAAATGGAGTTGATGTAGAACTCGGCCCAGTTGATTGCCGGTGCACCTGCGATGATGCCATCAAAGGCAGAAGGGTATTGCTGAGCGAGTTTCATTCCCTGGCGGCCACCCTGTGAATAGGCGTTCCAGTAGGAATATGACGGAGCTTTCCCGTAGAGACTCTTGATCAGTGACTTGGCAATAACCGCCTAAAAGCATGTGGTCAATATGCATCTGTGGAACGGCATCTCACTGGGCAGCAGAGAACACTTACTTCGTCATTGAGAGAAATCTGGCCAAAGTTTTGCAGAGCATTGGTGTTGAGATTTCCAGGGCTGGTCAAAAGCCAATCCAAGGGATTTGGGGATTCAGGAATTCCGGCATCGGTTGTGACAGAGGCAAAGCCGTTGGCAACGGCATTGATCATTCCCGCATATGTCAAGATATACCTTCCAGGCGTCCATCCCGAGCCTCCAAGAGCCTGCAGCCGTCCATTGTAGTTCTCCTCAGTGGGCAACCACGCTTCAACATGCAGGGTATCGTTTTGGCCTGGATGCGTGTACGTGACAGTGACGTTGCAAAAAGTGACGTTCTCAACGTTCAAGGCCGGCTGTGAGTATGTCCATCCCTTTGGAACGTCGAAACTGTAGTTGGGAACGACATTAGCCTCGATGGACAAAAACTCTGCTCCGAGGAGTGTCGGGGTTGCAAAGGTCGAGGCAACACAGCGGGTCATGTTTGCGGAGAGGGAGGCCATTATGGGCTGCTGATCCAAGACAGAGACCATTTTCTCGAAGACGTTCTTTTACCTCGACTTTTATAGAACGATCATGCCTTGGAGGCCGTCAACGAAAATCTGTCAATGACGACAACCACCGGTAGTTTGCCTGAAAAAATACCAAGTGGAACTAGTATATGGGCCCATTTGTACGAAACGTCATTTCGGGATTATTACAACGGCAAGATCAAGAGAGAGAAAGTCTAATGTTTGCTGCCAAGACCAGTCTTGGTCTGGGGGAGTCCCGGAAGTGGCTGTCGTATTTAATATCGTATTAAACACGATAAATAGGACCACCCACACCACCCAAACAACCAATCCCACCACTCAGCTAGTCTCCCCTGCATACGTAATCCACAAGCCATCCAAGCAGCGAGTCAGTGCAACCGTCAAGTGGAGGCAAGTTGTTCCATCCGCTCAATGTGGAGTGTCTCACTTCATGTTGGATTTATCGTACTTCTTCTCTCGCGTCTGTTGATGCAAATAAGCATCACCCCTTGTCCAACCAACGCCCGCCCGCCACCATGAGCGAAGATCAACCTATCGACCATGTGCATACTTCCTCGCGGTGTCCATGCCGTCCCACACAGCGCAGGTCGCACAAGAAGTCCCGCAACGGCTGCCGCAACTGTAAGCAGCGTAGGGTCAAGGTGAGTTCCTCCTGCAGGCCAAGCTTTATGCATTCTGACACGTGCAGTGTGACGAGAATAAACCCGTTTGCGGTAACTGCTCTCGCTGCTCGATCCCTTGCGACTTTGATCCCGCCAACGCATCTGCCTCCTTGTCGGCTACAAATGCCCCGAGGAGACGTGGTCGGCCCCTGAAGTGGACTTCAAGTCCTGATGATCAGGCTGTTAAATCGACACCTGGCCTGTCTGAATTACGCGAACCCGACTTATCCGCACCTGGGTCTGAGGTGCCCTTGAATGTTCAAGAAATGCAGCTCTTCTACCACTTCATCACCACCACTTCACTCACACTTGGAGATGACGTCCTCTGGCACGATAAAGTGCCGCGTCTCGCTTTCGAGCACCATTACATCCTGCGACTTATGCTTGCTATGTCAGCACTTCATCTGTCACGACTACGAGCCATGGAGGCAAGTAAGTACGAGGAGCTTGCCGAGGCTCACGCTTCTATAGCTTTGCGCCAAGTCACAGAGCTTCTTCCTCATGTCAGTCGAAAGAACTGTTCGGCGCTATACATAGCGACCGTTCTGGTTTGTAATTATACCTTTGCAAAGCCGCCAGGAAAGGACCACTTCCTCCTTGTCGCCGAGGGCACCAAGGTTGCATGGTGGAATCTTTTCCGAGGCGTGCGCATTGTTATTGAGACCATGGGTCTACCAGCAATATTTTCTGGAGTACTTGGCCCCTTTCCTCCGGAAAACACAACAAGGCTACCGCCGATAGAGGACAGACAAGGATACATACCCTGGGAAGGGCCAATGTCTAGTCTCAACGAACTCATTGCCAGCTGTAAAGAACCAGGGCTTGAGAATCTGAAAGGAATCTGCGAAGGACTCATTGATTGTTTCCGTGGCGTATACGGAACTGCCGAGGAGCCAGAGAGCGAAACCCATGGGAAGATGCACATTGTCATGCGTTGGCTATGGCTTCTGGAGGATGACTTCCTTCACCAGGTCAACAACATGATACCTCAGGCTCTTCTACTTCTAGGCCATTTTGCAGTTTTGATCCAGACTGTGGAATGCTTCTGGTTCATGAAAGGGTGGTCACATTATATTATAGAGGGTATCCAGCCGCACCTTCACTCGAACTATATCGGTTGGATATCCTGGCCTCGGAGGCAGATAGAACAATGACACACCGACTGATTCTCCAGATTGAAAATTAAAGACAGAGACTGTCAGTCACATGGATGTAACAAACACCAATCCCCATTCGTGCTCTGGCTGGCGTTTTACATTCCCATCAACCTTGGCCACCCCGGGCAAGGACTTGATTATGAAATACAATGTGATAGAGAACAAGAGGAACGCGCCGAGGTATAGACGTTCCACAAGTGTGTGTAGCATTGGTCTCATGCCAATATTTACCCACGAATGGTATCCATAGTTTACTCCTACAGGAGCGTCCATTTGAAGAAGCCATATCTTAGGATTTCCAGAATTGCAACCACAATTAATACGAAAAAAAAAAAAGCCCGTTTCTTGTCCTGATCACTTCTATGTGAAATATTGCCAATGCCTTGTCCAATCAAAGCCAGCCTCCTGTTTATTCAACCCTCCTGCGAACGCGCTGACAGGTTTTTGATTCTCTACTTCGGTGATGTATGCTGCCGGGCATTCCAAGAACCACATCTGCGGCTGAGACTCATAAAAACCATCAAACCTCTTCTGAAGCGCCAACTTTAGACTGTTTACACTTCCATCAGGATGCAAACTTGTCCAAGGCTGTGTGCAGGTATGGCCCTTGCACGTCTTCAGGACCATGATGAGAGCATTGAGCCGTAGAAGTACTTGGTCCAGAGGGCGACCAGACAGCTGATACGCCGAGCGTGACTTGCTTAAAGCTGCAATGTTTAGCGTTTGATGAGGATCGGACTGGTCATCATTAGCTAGGTGCTTTCTTTTCTTGGCTTGGGTGGCACAAACGTGGAGGTCAAAGAACTCCGTCTCATTCGTACACCAGACCGAGTAGTAAAGGCTGTACTCGCCTGACACAATTCTCAAACCCTTGAATGTGTTGTTAAGATAGACGTTTTGCCAAACCCCAGCCTCGCGGTGGCGGTCACTGCGACCGCCGTAAATTCCCTCTGGGACAGCCTAGAATAATGAGGATCCGGTATTCACAAAAGATGGAACTACTTACGGCACCCCAGTACTCAATAGCTGCATGCTCATGTCTGCCTACATGAATCTTTGGATCTCTCAGCGGCATAATAGCCCCATCGGTGTCCTTGTCCACGCCGGCAATTTGGAGAAGGGTCGAGGAAACGTCAGTGTGGGTAGTAACGACGTCGACAGACCCTCCTGCAGGTATACCTGGGCCACGGACAAAGAAGGGAATGTGAATATCAGTGTCTAGATGATATCAGCATCACAATCTATCGCGGGAAAATGACATCCATACCATAGCCACACTCTTTTCCAGGGTTCATTCGGTGCTGCGAGATGTGATATCCGTTATCAGTCGTGTAGAAGATGAATGTGTTGTCTAGTTGTCCAGCTTTCTCAAGACGGCCAACAAGTTCAGATACCATTTCGTCGACTGATTGAAGAGCACGAAGTCGCTGTCGTTGATAGTGATCGTTGTAAGTCACAGTTGTCTCGTTCAGTGGAGGCAGATCCCCAACCCAACCGGCTGCTCCATCGATTGCCGCGTTGAAGCTCTTCTCTCTGGGAATGACATAGTCGGAAAACAGATGTTGATGTCTGGGTGCTGACTTGGGTTCTTCCAAGTAGGAGAGATCTCGCTCCGTATCAATGACCCAATTGGAATGAGGCGCGATCGGCGAGACGGTCAGGAAGAAGGGGTCTGGCTCTGCCAAAGCTTCATCCAGCCAAGCAAGAGCTTTCTTGGCAATAACATCCGTCGAATACTGGCCTGCATAGCTCACAGGCTCCTCGCCGTTGTGCGTAATCTTGGCGTTCCAGTATTGGTAGGTGAACGGATCAAGAAGAAAGTCAGAGCAGTTGAAGCCTTTGGCATAGGGCTGGTTGAAGTTGCTGACTGTGTGAAAGTTCCATAGCTTGCCGGTATAGTAGGTGTTGTATCCGGCTTCTTGCATCCAGACAAAGAGATTATCGTCATTGATTCCTTGCTGGACCACCTTGGGGTATCCTCCATGAGGTGGGGAGACGTTGGTCACATTGTGATTGTGAGCAGCTTGGCCGGTCCAGAGAGTTGCCCGAGAAGGGCAGCATAGTGCTACAGTGCAAAAGTGCTGGTTGTAACTCGTACCCTCGTTGACGATCAAGTTCTAGGACAACTCGTTAGACCTGGTGCGGCGCAGCCGAGTATGTGATACAAACCGTAAGGTGAGGCATGTGCTGAACGCTCTCCATATGCAAGTCCTGATCATCGGTCAAGATGAAGACAATGTTAGGCCGGCTGCATAGCGCGGCCTGCACAAAGAACAACAACCCTGCCGTGAGTGCAAACATGTTGGTGACAACGTGGTAGAGGAATCAGTGGTGAAACCGACATCACCAACTGAAGTGCCGATTTTACATAAATCACCTAAACAAGGCTAGGCAATGTCCTCAGCATTAGGCCCACTAATAATATCACAGGGCCGATGGTGCAATTCAATTAGAGCCTGTCCGATGGGCGACTCCGATCGCCGATGGGAAAGCTCCGATGGGGCCGACGGGTCCGATGCCCGACGGTCAGCCACCCCGGCCCCGATTGCATCGGAGCGGCGGGTTTTGACGTCCTTGTTCCATAGCAGCCGATTCTGCGTCGGCTTTGCATGGGCCATTGCGTGCCACAGCCGTCGGCAGTTATACACACAGCAAGGCCATTCCCAAGTCGCAAAGCATTGCACAATCGTAGACTTTGGCTCCGAATTGTGCACCCAAATCTCGAACACGCTATTCGTTTCGGTGAATAGCAAAAATGGTTGCGCAAAAGAACAACACCATCGTCGAGGTAGACGAGCAAACTCCCCTATTATCGCCTCATCAGGATGATGATAGTAAGTGAACGAATCCCAGAGACCAAACCAGCATTAACAGACTTCACAGAAAATGAAACACCAGCATCTGGCATCACGTTGGTGGTCTTTCCGATCCTCCTGGCGGGTAGGTCCTCCATACGTCACCAAAGATACTTGTTTACTGAACTAAACTAGGTATCTTCTTGTCAAACGTCGTTTCATCAGTGGTGATCGCGACTAACCAGCGCATCGCGTCCGAGTTCAACGCCTTGTCTTCTGCGGCGTGGCTGTTGACCATCTACACACTGGCCCAGTCAGCAAGCCAACCCTTGGTGAGAAAAGAAGGCTCTATGGAGAAATACATGCTTATCGTGTGTATAGTATGGAAAGCTTAGTGATATTTATGGAAGAAAAGCTTGCCTGGTGTTTTGCTGGATTGTCTTTGGCATAGGCTGCCTGCTCGTGTAAGTCGAACACTCTCAAAGAGGGTAACGGCACTCACTCTTTGTGACAGCGCGGTTGGTCAGAGCTACTGGCACCTACTTCTAGGTCGCGCCGTCAGCGGAATAGGGAGCGCTGGAAAGATTGCACTGACTTCAATCATTGTTGCTGGTGAGTTGCACCCCTGGTTGCTCAAGTGCCCAAGGCGGCTTACCGGAGCGCGTAGACGTGATTCCGCTGCCAAAGGTGGCACAGTATAGAGGTTATGTGAACTTGACTGCCACAATAGCTCGGTCTCTTGGAGGACCAATTGGAGGATGGCTTGCTGGCGGCGTTGGCTGGCGTTGGTGAGCTGCCAAAGGCGCGTGTCCAAGCTGTCGATGGGACTAACTCCAACGCAGGCCGTTTCTTATCCAACTTCCCGTGGCATTAGCTGGACTCGCGCTTGTGCTTTGGAAACTACCCGAGCCCAAGGAAACAGTCTTTGAAGAAGATGTGGACTCACAGCCCACTGGGTCCAAGATATCACGAGTCGACTTTGCAGGAGCAGCAATGCTCGTCGCCACTGTTCTCACCGGTCTTTTGTCGCTGGACTTTTGCACCAAGCATAGCCTAGGACTCGTCGTCTACAGCCTGGTTGGTGCATTTGTGCTGTCGCTATCCCTTTTCTGTGTCATCGAAAAGTACTACGCTAAGGAGCCAATCTTGCCGCTGGAGCTCATCTTCAAACGAGAAGTTCTGACGTCGTACTCGATTGTGTGCTTCCAGGCGGCTGGCCAATTTGGAGTATGCAGCCCCCGTTTGCAATTTGAACGAGGCGATAGACGCTAATATTATGTCAGTTACTCTACACTATCCCCATTTACTTCCAGGTCATCGGGCGTGAGTCCATTGCGTCTAGCAGCAGTCGGATTGTCCCGGTCGTGGTGGGCAATGCTTTGGGGACAATCACGAGCCAGCGAATAATCACCAAGACACAACAGTATAAAGGCCTAACAGCTTTTGGAAATCTTGTCGGCCTAGTCGGGTTTTCTCTGATCTTTCTCCGTTGGAGAGGCAGTACGCGATGGTTTGACGCGTTGCTTGTCGCCCTACCCGGTACCGGTATGGGCGTCATACAATCCACGACTTTCGTGCACCTTGCGGCGTCTTTGGACCGGTCTGAGATCGCTATTGCCGGAGCATCATGGTTTCTTGCGCAGAACATCGGAGTTTTGATGGGTGCGAGTATATCCACGGCCACGATCAATTACGCCCTCAGACATGGACTTGCAACCTTGCTGCGGGGCGTGGAAGGCCGAGACGAGGTAAGTTGAACGCAAGGTTTTTTTTGCATATTTGAAGGTGCTAAGTATGTAAAGATCATTCGGAACGTAACATCAAACGTCGAGTACACCCAGAATCTGCCAGATCATCTGTGGGTTTTGGTGTCAAAGGCGTACGTCCGGGCGATTGCCTGTTCAAACGGTATGTCAATCCGCGCCGAAAAGGTGTTTCTCAGACTAATCAGCCACTTGATAGTGTTATCTGTGGGATGTATCACTTTAGCATTGGCTGTCACTCTCACCATGCGGGAGAAGCCACTGGGAGGTTGAGCTACGAAGCACAGGTGACCTCGTGCATGTAGAAGAAAGATGAAGCCAGGATGGATGATTACAATTGCGGTTAGAAGCACCACAAAATGCGGGGAGAATTTCTCGCTTCCAATTGGTCTAGCGCGGTAGATAGAAACAAACCCATTGCTCTAATAGGTTTAACTCGATGTTGTGATTCGTGGTCAAATGACGCTATTTCGGCTCCTCGTTGCGACATTGCAAATATCGATCAAAACAGGCGGTGGCCCCAATTGATGGAGAAGCATCGCCAGTACGAATAAACATGGAGGCCAGCGGCGTGCAAAAGAAGCGAGGCGCCACGGTAAAGGCCTGCCTCCGTTGCCATCGACGCAAACAACGATGCGTGGGCTTCCCCGCCTGCTCAAACTGCGAAGCCGCCAACATCCCCTGCAGCCGAATCTCCACACCTTCCATGAGACGTTTGGGCACACTATCGAAGGAGGAGCTGCTCAACAGGATCGAAATACTGGAAAACCAAGCATCTAGTCGAATAACTTATGACGAGGCGAGCCCGGTCTTGTCACAGCAGGATGATGATTGGGATCCAAGCTACGACTCAACCCAAGAGCCGCCCCCACAGGAGACGAGGCAAACTCCACGATTCTCTCCCGAAATTTCTACGACATCACCCACAACAAGAGACCCTCAACAGAGCAGCATCACCATTACCAATGAGCAACAAAAGACACGCCATCAGGAGACGATATGGAAGACAGATCCAGAGATTCGACGGCAGATATTGAAGACATATCTAGAGAGCATGCACCGACGCGTGCCCTTTTGCGATTACACCGAGATTCTTCAGACAAATGAACTAGGCCCTGATACTGCGGCATCAACAGACGAGGATTGGATGAAACTGCTCCGACTCTACATGTCCTGTGCCATCGGAGCGGCAGTCATGCAGCTCACTGGGGTTTCACCAGGACCACGCCCGGAAACCTATTTCACCAGGGCACTGGAGATTCGAGATTCAATTGGAGAGATGGATTTAGTCACGCAGACGGAAGTTCTTCTCTGGATTGTTCTCTATAAGCTCCGGGCTTGCTTCTCGTCCGAGGTGTGGTATTTAATCGGATCTGCTGTACGGACAGCAATCGACGCCGACCTCCATCGCGAACATCACTACACCAACCTAGCTCCTGCAGCTTCCGAGACACACCGGTGTTTGTTCTGGGCTGTTTATGTCATCGAGAGGAATATTTGTTGGTCTCTTAAGCGCCCGTTCAGCCTTTCAGATCACGACATAGACACCAGACTGCCTGCGCCGAGAACACATCCAATATCCCTGAATAGTGGCAATGTTTTGCGGTCGGAACCACAACCTGAATCGCAAAGACCACTTGATACGAGGGTCTTTATCTCCACAATCCAGCTCGGCAGAGTCAACTCGAACGCCTTCACACAGCTATACCGAGTTGATCGGGAATCGATAGACCGCGAACAAATTCCTCCCCTCCTCGACCGTTTATACCAGTTTGAGGCCTCTTTACCGGATTACAGTGCGCCCGATTACGACTTTCTACAGCTACATGTGAAGAAATCAGTCTGCATACTCATCGAACCGCTACTCTCCACGTTACATCACTCAGACTATCTCATCAAGACTTGCCTGGAGGCTGCGGGCAGCGTGTGCCAGTTGTTCAAAAAGCTTCGCCTCAAGCGATGTCTTGGATATTCCTTCACAATGATTAACTCTGTCTTTGTAGCTGGTACGACTATATGGTGAGTCGATGCAATATGAGAACTCCAAAAAGGCTACAGGCTGACATGCCCAGCTACGTGGTGTCCAAAGTCCCTAGCCTCTGGACTCCAGCAAGAGCCAATGATCTCCGCGTGTGCTCATCATCGCTATATGCGGCAGCCGAGAGAAACCCAGCCATTCGAAAATACTGTGACACCCTGGATACTATTATAGAAGTGGTCTCGGAATACGTCGAGCAAGTTTTGAGCACTCCTGGACCTTTCACTGGAACCGGGAGCACAATCAGCTCTCCAGCTGAGGACAAGAGTCCCCGCAACGCCTTTGAGAGACTCGGCCATTCTCTGAAGGAACTCAAATTTGAGTTTCCTTCTCATGCTTACCCGGAATATCGCTTAGAGGATGGGCACTCGGAAGCGACATGTGTACATGCGGACCTCAACTTGGATGCGATTGGCATCTTTGGAGACGTTGACTTGTCTTCGATCCAGCATTTATTTATGGTCAATTGACTCCCACAATAATAGAAGTGGAATAAATGATACACAATCGTCTTCAAATCTTCTCATAGGTACTTCGTATGGTACTTAAGATGAAGCATCTGCTTGAGTCTTGGAGTGAGCGTTAGCGCCATTCTCGGTCTTGCGTCATCTGCCACAGTTCTGATGCCATCGCACGTCTCCAATTCTCTACGTCGGCCATCGGAAACCACATTCCTATGGCCGACGACTGCCGATACCAACTTCGAGTCGAGCCTGGGACACCCCATGCAATGCCACAACAACACCAAAGAATTGCGCCATCAAACTAGGATTGAGCTATCGCGTCTTGGCTAATGCTGTCAAGACTTATAGAAGGCCGGATGTCGGCAATCTATACCAGACAGAACACCAGACCAGTCAGTCCCGAGAAGCGTTCAGGCCCGGCGACAATACAATGGCCACTCAAGTTTCTACTCGGCTAGAGTCCGCAACTCCAGTTGAGGCTTCGCCCAACATGTCAACTGAGAAGATTCCTCAGGACCAACCATCTTCGGAGGCTCTCATAGTTGCCGATTGGACTCCAAAGGCCGAATCTCATCTACGAAGAAAGTGAGCTTAACTCCTGTCCTTTCAAGACTACCCGAAGACTAACCAATTTTAGACTGGACTTTACGATCCTACCAATGCTCATGCTGGGTCTCTTTGCACTCCAACTCGACAAAGGAAACCTCTCCTACGCCCTGACTACGAGCTTCACAAAGGACCTTGGCATTGATAATAACAACGTCAACTATGGAAACCAACTCATGCTCGCCGCTATTGTCGTCTTTGAGATCCCCTTCAACATGGTTCTCTCTAGGATTGGTCCCGCTCTTTGGCTCACCATCCAGATCTTTGCCTGGGGAACAGTTGCGACAGCTCAAACGGCGATTCATAATCTGGCGGGCTTTTATTCGACAAGGTTCATTCTGGGTATGTGGGAGGCTGGATATCTCGCTGCGTCCTTGACGATTCTGGCATCGTTTTATACCAGAAGAGAGATGGCTATGCGAGTAACTCTTGTGTACATTGGCAACTACTTTTCCAGTGGCATCGGTGGCCTCCTTGCAGGTGCCATTTTCAAGATCCCAGAATCATCAGGATTGCAGAAGTGGCAGGTATGTTTTTTTTCGTAGGAATCGGGTTCAAACATTAAACTGACAATATCTGCACAGTGGCTATTCATTATTGATGGTCTATTTACCTTTGTCGTCGGAATCATGTTCATCTTCTTGATGCCCCGATCAACAGACAACACAACCCCCCTTTGTGGCCTTCAAAGCCTCAACTTCTTTAACGACGAAGAGCGCCGAATCCTCAACGACCGAGTAATTCTCGACGATCCTCGAAAGACGGTCCGCCTTGAGGGCATCGGCCCCAAGAGAGTCCTCCAGATTGTATTCACCAGCTTCCGCATCTGGGGCCATTTCGGCGTTAATGTCATTTCTCTCACGCCAAAGGGAGGACTCGGAGTATACTCGCCCACCATTATCAAGAACCTGGGGTTTGACGCCACCACCGCCTCGTTCCTTTCTTCTGTTCACAATTTTGGGGTCTGCATCTTCGCCATCACCGTCGCTTGGATCAGTGACAAGACATCACGTCGAGGTCTTCTATGTCTGATCTGCGCAGTCTACTCCATCATTTTCTCTGGAGTTCAATATGCAGTTGTCAGGAGTAGCGATGTGTGGCTTAAGTACGCAATTCTCACTGTACTCACATCCGGAATGGCAGTCTCCCAGAGCATCAACGATGCTTGGTTCAGTGTTAACACTGCTCATCCCCAAGAACGATGCATTGGCCTTGCGCTAGCTGTCGCTGGTTCCAACCTCGGTGGCTTATGCGGACAGAACATCTTTGTCAAGAGCGACGCACCGTATTACTACCACGGGTTCCTCAAGGTCCTCTGTATTTATGCTGGAAGCGTGGTACTTATTGCAGTGCTCATGTTTTACTACTGGAACGAGAACCGGAAGCTTGCCAAGGAGACAATGGCTGGAGAACTGGTCACTGAACATGGAGTATCGGAAATCAGCCGAGATGGTGGCAAGTCAAGAGTCAAGAATCAGCTGTAAAACGTGTGATATAGCGTACTTGAGACAAGAGACAGAAACATATTAGCCACAGGGAGAAGTGCTTGCCCAATCACCGACATTCCTATTTGTCATAGATGCAACATACAGTATTGTTCCAGGCCTCACGCCATGACTAGATTCTTTGTGTGATAGCTTTTCAACGAGCTTATTTTTTATGACAATTTCAGTTGTAGTTATTAGTGCTTATACTTAGAGGATCAAGTTACCAAGACAAGACCTCGTCTTCACCATTATACCTACAGGCTGCAGAGGGCATACCCATTTTACATGGCTAAAGAAGAGTTATTCTTATATCGACCGCTATACGAAATGTCAGATCATGCTAAGCGTGTCCGATAAGTATTTATCCCGAAAGCATAAGCCATGAGTAATTTTTATCCCGGCTTGTGATCAGCGCGTAAGCACATAGACTATTCTGGAAACGAAATTTGATCAAGAGTCAAGATCGCACCAGGAATTTACCACCGCCCACTCATACACACACCTCATCGTCAAACTCCTATAAACAGCCTCTTATGGCCGTTGAATTTTTGTATTCGATCTGATATTAAGTTCCTTCCCTCGCGCTATCTGAAGCAAAATCTTGAGCTCTCAAATTCACCGACCCAGTCCATCACAGAACATGAACAACGTCGTCGAACCTCTGAGCCCTTTCTCTGACCCTATACGAACCCTCCCGGGATGTCGTCCCTGCGGCTTAGCTTGGGACAAGTGCAAGCTAGGCCTGCAAAGAAGCGACGATGAGCTCGTCATCTCCTTCCAGTTCCCCGAGTTAGCTTGGGTGCGAAGGTTGAGCATAAAGAATGGAGAGCTGCAATGCAACCTTCAGGAGCTCGAGGTCCTGCGTTGGATAGCCGAAGATGGTGATACAACAGATGCTGGTACTTCTCTTCGGGACTTCGACATCGTGTACGTTCCACAAAAACAGTATCCTTGCCTGTTCCCACATCAGGCTGGTACAACTCATGACGTCTTGGAGATCTTGCCTGATATGGCCGAGGAGGAGCTACGAGAGGTTGGAGAGGTGGCAATCCGAAATTCCACCGTGCTACTATGCCCAGCACCATGTTCCTGTTGTACGTCCCCGCTGCATAGAGGTGTTAGCGAGGAGGTGTTTAAGCTGGCTGCACACCGGCCTGTAAGGCAGATCTCCTGCGCCATGCCCGCGCAAGGTATCATCGACATATTGCCAGTGGCCATTTGTCAAAATAGTTCCCTCCATGGTCAATGTGTCATGCTCCATAAGGGAGAGACAGCGATCGCCAGGGCACCCACAGAGATTCGAAAGACCATGGCGCTAGACACCTTGGCAGGTACCGTCAGATGGATACTTGAGAGAGGAAGGAACAATCCTGGAACATCCATTCACCCCTCCTGGATAAATGACCTGGCCTGCGTGACCCAGCCGGCGGTGCTCCAGTGTCAGCACAGAAAGGCCACTGCTACTCCTACAAGACTATATGACGCCGACGACAGACTCACCATGACGAGTATCCCTTCAAATGACGAACAGCCCTTAAACTATATTGCGCTCTCATATGTCTGGTCAGAGTGGACAGACAACGAGGCGCTGAAAGATAAACTCCAGGAGATCTCTCAGAGACTGGGGATTCGATACTTCTGGGTCGACAGATGGTGCGTACACCAGAACGATGAGGAAGACAAGGCAAGAGAAATCCCGCGCATGCAGGACTACTATTCAGGAGCCAGTGGTTGCGTAGTCCTAGCAGGACCTGCCGTCGCGCCCTTTAGATGTGTCCCCCAACACGACGGTGCGGTCATCAGTGCTTTCCAAGAGGTTAACCTGAACTCGGAGGGATTGATATCACTGATTCTCTCCAAATGGGCGTCGAGGATATGGACCCTGCAAGAGGCATTGCTATCCCGACAGATGGTCTATGCAATCAAGGATCAACTGATTGATGGCGATTACATCTCCGAGCTGATTGCATTCGTCGAGACATTTGCCGAGGTGATTGGTGGCCATGAAGAGTGGATAGGTGGCTATGGGTGCTATCGCTGGAACGCCAGAGCTCCGTCAGTTGTATTTCCTCGACAATTCCGGATGATGGAAGATTCACCGCTGTTTACCATCATTCGAACGGTCTTTGGTGGTGAGCAGCAACACAGGGAGCTGAAACAGATACCGCATGGAATTCCTATGCCTTTTGAAGAAGCCCTGACTATTTCCGCTGGCAGAGACGCCAGTACACAGGAAGACTATGTGTACGGCTTGCTTGGAATATCCGAGGGTGGATCAGCCTTAGAGGTTCAATATGATATTGAGTGGCCGACGATGATCACCAAATTGCAAGGAGCGGGCATGATCACAGAGTGGCAGCTCGCCTCGGACACTGTCAGCAAGCTCCCCGGGATGAGCTGGCTGCCCAGTGTCGAGCATGGCTACGGTCCCTTCCAAACTCCAGGAAGGGCCAACGCCTATGTCCGTAGGCCAGCACTCTCATGGTCTGAGCAAGGAGCCATTGTCCACGGGGAACGCTTTGAATGGATCGATGTTGACATGCGGGGCCTATGCAACAGCAGCGTCCACGGAGGGGGATGTCACGCTGCCTGCGGTACAATTCGGTTTCTGGACGTGCCAGGACTTACTGCAAGCGTAACTGGGACCATGCACGCTAATTATTACGATATGACAGAGGAGAAGATGCGGACTGGTACTCATATCATGCTTTGCAGGGACGTTGAGGACCGGACGAGGTCAACTGTCGTGATGCGAGTTTCAGGGGATGTTGAGGGCGGAAATGTCTATAGGGAGGATGGATACGTGCTAGAGATCTATCATTGGCAGGGAGGTCATCCGGGGATGTTGAAAGGCCGGGAATGGAGGGTTGGCAGTGTGCCGTTGTAAATTGGTAGTATTTTGCAGGGGCCTGTATGTAGCATAGATAAAATTTGGCACAATGCTGCTGTATCTTTATTTTCCCTGGTATAGATTTACACAAGTATCGCTCTAGAGTACATGTCAATGAGATGTTAGCTTTCTATTCAAGATTATAAGCCATGTCCCTAGTTCAATAATACAATTTAGTGCCACATCTCACCATGACTACTCATAACCCCTTCCGCAAAATCTCGACCGGCGACTGCACTTTATAGCAGCTTCTCCTCCATTCTTCAAGCATAAGCTAGTACCTAGGCTACGTTTTCAGTCATTCCAAGAATTCCATTTATACTCACGAGAACATGGGTTAAGTAGATGTCTCAACGCCAAGGGGCGATCACATGCTGCACTAGAGGATGCTCGCATACTCTTTCCTCTCTTGAAAAGGTATTTCTATAGAAAAATGTATCACAGTCGCTATAATCTGCAACTACTTGTCACGTCGACATCAACCAACAAACCACACTCTTCACTTGCGATACGCTACGCACCCACCTCAAAGTCCTTATCCAGCTGCTCCTGAAACTTCTCCCACTGCCCCTTGAGCTTACAAGCCGAAGTCCAGTAATTACCCTTCTCATCCTTACCCAGGATAAAAAATCCATCTACAGGCTTGATAGGCCCATGATTCTCCTGCACATACACGGGTCGACATGGTCCATCACCACTCTTGAGCGCAGGTGAAAAGTCTAGGTCAAACAGGCCTGCTTTTGACCAGTTGGACAATCCCACCTGCGCCATGTTTCCATCTCCAAAGATGACAATCGGAAGACCCATGCCGTGTTGTCGCACCAGCGCAAAGTAGGCTTCGTGTTGTGCGCGGGTTCCTTGCTCGTTGATTGCCTTTCGGACTTGACGTGCCACGTAGCTTAGGGGTTTTGTGGTGATGTCTTTGGCTTGGAGGAGGATGTTTGCCCAGCCGAATGCGTTGCCTACGTATGGGCGCTCGGAGGATGGGGGGATGAGGTCGTTTTCGAATGCCTTGCGCAGGGACATGGCGATGGAGATGTTGACCTGGCCACGAGTTAGTAAAAGAATATTATACTGACAGACAAGAGGCACCTACTGGTCTATCCGGACTCATATCCAGAGGTGTGATAACACATCGCATAATCCATGCCGTCAAAACGTCATTCTCGGTAAGAAATACCTTTGACACATCTTCTCCGTTCGCAGCCGCCTCTTCACGCAACTCGCCCAATGCCTTGTCAAGCTGCGCCTGCCAACAGGTTTGCGGTACACAAACCATGCGATTCTCCTTGGCCCGTAGAAGCATATCAACACCATAGCCAAGTCCCCACTTGAGCATGCCTCCAAGTCCAACTCGCGTATTTGACAAGACGTGTTCTTCCGTCGTAGGACGGGTACCCTTGGCCAGAGCATCGAAGGGGTCGGTTTCCATTTCGCAGGGGTCCGGAATATCGTCGTCGTCTCCCCACAGCATTTCATTCCAGCCCTCGACGACATATTGCATGCCAAGAGCATCGAAAGCCACATGCTGCCATTGTAGTGTTGCGATCGTTCTGTCGGTAAACGAATTGACTCGTAGGCCAAGCACAGGGCGATCAGCCGTCAAATAGTCTGAGATTCCTCCTGGTGTGTATCCCGGCCCCCATGCCAGTTCTTCCAAGTCGTCTGGGTCCGATACTACGGATGGTCGATCGCTCGGTCGAGGTATCTTCGAAGCTGCGGGATGCGACGATGCAGGCATGTTATGATCGACGTGAGAAAAGGTTATTGCGGGTCGCTCCGCTGTGAATTCGGTGGGTATGTGCCATTCAATGTTACCAGAGGCCTGCGAGATATTGTTAGCGGGGCCGTGCAGGAGGATCAAGTCTTCTCACGTTCTTCCTCAATCTTCCTCCCAATCGCTCCCATCCTTTCCTCTTCACAAGCCCTTCAAGAGATCTGTGGAGCTTCTCAGGGTCCAGAACCCCATCAAACACAACGGACACGGCCATGTTGTTTCCCTGGACCAGAGGGCTGTTCTCGAAGAAGTGGATCGGTCGTACCCGATCGGTCGGGACGAGCTCCACGGCTGGGGAGGATCCGAACCACATGTTGACGTTGTCGTTGGAAATCGGCTCTTCCTTCGCTTCCTGCAGCGTTTCGTTTCCCAAGACTTGGGATCAGGGACACAGTCATGTCAAGTATTCTCTCACAGACCTCATTCGGGTTCCTGAAAGGCCCCGAGTCCGTGGCCAGGGGACAGTTAGGTTCGCATACGACCAGGATAAGGCCATTCATGACAAGGTCTAGGGCTGTTGGCGCGTCTCAGCTATCCGTTTTAGCCGCATGCTAGCTAGCTAGTGACGGTTAAAGCTCGCCAACGGCTCTTATCCGCTCGGTGTCTAAGCTAGCATCGCGACATTGGATCTTCAGCGATTCGTCGCGGAACGGGGTACGATATGGGGCCGTTGATGCATTAGCTGTTTGGTTTGGACGATCACTTCAGTCCCTGGCGCGGTTATCATCCTTTGGAAATCTGGGCAAAATTCTTTGCATGGCTCAATATTTTCCAGGAACTAGTAAAAGGAGTGCATGTCCTCACGCCAGTTTTTTTGCGGATAAACATGTCCCCTCCTTCCAGAAGTTTGTTCGCATCTTTTTCGTTTAGCAAACGACCTCGAAAGCAAAGATGACGAGCCAGATGCCGAGTCAGGCTGACCTGGCGAAAACGCCGGGGATGACGCCCCCAGGCGACCAGATACCGGATTTTGATGCGCCCTACAACTCACTACAGATTGGAACGGTCATTTCCTTTGCGGTGACCTACTTCTTTGTGACTGTCTTTCTTGGCCTCCGATATTTTCAGTCTTTCAAGCTGATACAAAAAATCGAGATTGATCTAGGTAAGACCTCCGCTAGCAACGCGCAACTCTAGCTAACAGTGAATAGTCATCATTACAATATCATATGGCGTCGCGATGGCCTATTTTATCACCATGGTCCACTGTCAGTGCCGTGCATATGCGATCCGAGCGTATTCTAACCTGGAACAGTGATGGACTACGGCTGGGGGAAACACCTCTGGGATGTATCTCTGGCACAACTTATCGAATTCAACAAGGCAAGTCAATGGCATAGCACCATTCCAATTGAGTACTAACAGCAACAGGGCCTCCTCGCCAACACGCTCTCCTATCTAATCACGCCATCCGTCACGAAAATCGCAATCCTCGCCATCCTCTTCCGCATCAACCCCTCGATTCCCTATCGCTGCGCCGTCGTCGCCATTGCCGTCGCCATCTTTACATACACACTTGTTCTTTGCATTATTGCTGGCGGCCCATGCAACCCGCTAAAGGAGGGGACTTTGCAATGCCTTCAGAATGTTGCCTTGTCGCACGCTGTGCTCAACATCGCGAGTGATTTTGCGGTCGTGGCTATACCGATTCCGACCATTCATGGTCTGAATCTGTCGTTCAAGCAGAAGCTTTCGGTTGGATCTATTCTCGCCGCCGGATCTTTGTAGGTCTCATCAGGCGCATAGCGTCGATAAGTCGAGGTGCTTACGATTTGTAGCGTCGTCATTTGCTCCATTGCCCGACTACCTTACGTCCTTGTCCTCAGTAAAACCCAGGACGCCACCTACACCCAAGCAATCCTTGGTATATGGTCAATTGTCGAGATCAACCTCGGTATCATCTGTGCTTGTGCGATGCGCCTCAAGCGACTCATCACAACATATCTGCCCCAATTTGCCGTCTTCTTCTCACGGTCCAAGGGTGGCAGTCAGTCATGGAGGAGTGGTGCGCTCAGGATAGACAACAGTGATGGGACTCACTCGCATCAGCTTCATAGTATGAAGAGAGCAAATACTGGTGATCTTGGGAGTGGTGGTGTGCAGGTCTTCAAGACTTACGAGGTTGATATGGAACGAAGTAGAGGGAGTAACAAGAGCACAGAGCAGATAATACCTTAGTTAGGCTAGATTTAGCGTGGCATTTGAAAAGCCGGTTATGTAGATAGACATTAATAAAACAGTAAAATGAGACACTTCATTGAGTCGGGGAGGTTGGCCGGCCACGCCCAAGAACGCGTTCAGCAGGCTCTAGGGTAGGATGAGTCTTTGATGAACCCAAATCTTGGCGGTATGAAATACCTCAATTGGCGCTCAGTGAATGCCCTTTTTAATATGGATTAAATGTGTCTCTTAAGGATAGTTGGAGGCAGCGAGTTTGGATCGTGTTCCTCGATTGTGAGGTGCGTATTCTTTAATTTGTTTATTGACCTCTGGAAGTTAAACAATCCACTTGACATATCCTGCAGTGTTGCCCTGCACTCGTCAAGGGTATTCACTCAGCGCTTATAACAATATACTATTTTTAGAATTCTTATCTCTTTTTATAGGCAGCTAGTACTATTCACGTGATGGAAAAAGGCAACGAGCATTTATATTATACTTTGCTCTCTCCTAGACCTAGACCTAGTTAGTACTTAGCAATGGGATAATAGAAACAGCAACTGGGCATAGTAGCGTGACATTGGTGACGCCCTTGAGAGATTTTCAGGTCGTTAGCAAGGTGAAAGATTACATAAAAACGTGCAAATATAACAATCGATTTCTAGAAACTTGACTGTTGTGTCTTGGGAGGCAGGTTGGGTTGTAGATAGCCTCCACTAACAATCATGATTAGTCATCAAGTATGAGGATGCAGAAATTTGCATGAACATTTTTTCACTCAAAAGCAACAGCCAACAATCACATCAACCAAGCCCACGAGTCAACATGTCAGCCCAAAATACCAGCAGCAGTGCTGACGCAAGCAAACCAACTCTACCGGCCAACGTCTGCATCTTTTCACCGAAAAAACCCTCAGCAGTCCAGGCGCTGCTTGGCGCGCGTGTCTTTACACGACTCGTCGCAAGCGCAAGCACCAAACCAGCACAGCTCGCAGCGGCCATCAAGTCATACCAGGGAGCAGACGAGAGCTTCTGCCTCGTTCACGGCAATTCGATCCTGATCTTTGACGGAGGCGAAGGGGATACGCAGGGTGACGAACTGGATGACGTTCACCATGAACATTTCCGGATCGTCTGCCTAGCTCTCAAAGAACATGATATCGGCTTGGACGTGGCTGGATGCATACACGATGCCGAAAATGCTCTCGGGGCTGGATTTCAACTTGACAAGTTGAATGATGGAGCGGCGTTGGTTATCGACCTAGTGGAGGTTGAGGAGGATAGCGATGATGAGGATTGAGTTGCTTAAGGAAAAAGCAGCCGTAAAAGAATTAAAAAAGCCCCATCTTCACTTCGTTGGATGATGTTGAGTTCATCAAGTTGCAACCCACCCTGGTGAAATTTCGTAGACCACACCCTCGTCTCTTCTCCTTGCCTCTGCAACACATATGTCATTTGGCTGGAGCAAAACAATCATACAAAAGAATATGATAGTGATATTTATGATTACTGTAACCGGCAGGCTATCTACACTCTAAGTCGTTAATAAAGCAGTCTATGCAATGCGTCTAACCTAGCCAGAACTAGAAAATAGGGACATTTCTATTCCAAAACCCCTCTGCCACCAAAACAGAATGCCAGTAATAAAGCAAAGGAAGATTCCAATACTAAGGCCAACCACAAGTCTGTATGAGGTAGTGCGCTCCTTAAGCAGAGTGTAACCACCTGCAGCTCTGGATTGCAAAGATGTCCAGGCTGCCATCAACTTGTCGACGCCGAGGGCGTAGTAGGTCAGACCCATCAGACTGACGCTGTAGCCGAATATTTGTATGGGTGTGATTTCGGTGCGCCAGATGGCGGTTGAGCAGGCGATGAGTAGGATGTTCTTAAAGATGCCGGTGAGTGTCGTAACCAGACCAGACGTCTTGCCAATCTGAAGCATGTTAGCAGGGAAGGCATTTTGACAGTGAGAAAGGGAACTAACCAAGACCATACTAGTAAAGTTAACAGTAAAGCCGACGGCAGCATTGGCAAGCAGGATTGGCGGGCTAACGCTCATCGCCGTGTCAAATTGGAAACGCGGCAGCTCAATAGCAAGGGCCATGGTAAGGTTGACCAAAGCACAAACCGGGGCAGTATAGTAAAGACAGACCAGAGGGTCCATGGCCATACCTTCACCACCCAGCATGACCTGCAGCATCACAACTCTGACAGCCTCAAACACCAAACCGGCAGCCTGATAAGCGAATCCGGTCCATGAGATGGCAATCTCACCCGCACTAGCCATCGCGACTCCAGAAACAATGACGGCGATGTTGACAACCATACCCACGGTGGGTGTAGTCACGGCCCAGATCCATGACACGAAGAGCACGACAGCAGGTGATCCGGCCTTGAGCATCTGGATGAATGCCACAGACAAGTACTCGTAGACAACATTGGCGCAGACGAGGGAACCCGAGGAGACAATTCCGATCGGGATGATAGTACGGAAGTAGAAGCGACGGTTGATGGATAAGTCATGTCGACTGTCGAGAAGTTTGGTGGTGTGTGCAAGGATTTGTGTTATGATGGATGCGAAAAGAAGGTGCCAGCCTGTTAGAAGAATAGCTGAAGGTCATGTTAGTAAACAGTCATTGAAGTCCAGCGTGAGGACATACGATAATCTGTGAGATGTTAGCCAGGCACAGCATCAGTCATTGTGAGGTTCTCACCAAATCCTGCAGTGTCAATAATCCACTTATTAAATATGACTGTCCCGTTTGAACTGACAATCCAAGCACTACAATCACGTTAGCAAAAGACCAACAGGAAGCGAAAAGCGCCATACACCATGTACAGCGCCGTGTGCATCGTCGGGCTCAGCCAAGGAGCCCGCGGCACAGGCACCTCTTGTAGGGGAAGCTCATTCTGCGGAGCCATGGCTGAAGATGTGTATGAAACTGTAGCGAAAGAAACTCCAATTGTGACAAATAAGAAAAAATGGCAGAAGCAGGTCTAGGACAAAGAATCAAGGCTTGGGGAAAACTGAATGGACAATTTCGAGTGTAAAGGGGAATGAGGAGACACTGTTGAAGGAGGTGGAAAAGATGGATTTGGGGCTGTAATTGACTTTCTTGTCAAAGGCTCAGGGAGATGAGAGACAAGAGTAGAAAGTGGGCATAGCAGATCAGGGTCTGGACTAGATCCTCTTACCCGCCCTTTTTTCTTCTCCTTTCGTCGCCATGCAATCGTCTTTCCAGGGAGAGGGCTTGTGGAATGTCCCGCAAAAGTCTAGGTTTTTTTTCGTCAGCTACCGCAGTTTGGGAATGCAAGGGAGGATCACAGGTGGTGGTGACATTTCAATGTCTCACCCAGCCGTGGATAGTCCCAAAGGACACGGTAGCCACCCTGTGCATTCTCCCTCCATTCTCGAACAGATGCACTATGCAGTACACTGTGATGAAACGAATACCTTGGGGAAAAAGCTTGTTATGCAGGTCTCGGTGATGGAAAGGGGCGATACCCTGTATTCAAGGGAGAATCATGGGCTCCACATGAATTTGAGCTTTTCCCCTGGAATAGCTCCCGTCAAAGACTAAAACGACGGCTTTCCTACTTTCTATTCTCATCTTCAACCATCGACAAATTTCACAAGTCGGCCGAGGCTGCAGACAGTCATCATGAAGGCCGCAACTTTTTCCAGCTCGCTCATGTGGTTCTCACGCAAGACGACTGCATTTGCCGCCGCCGCCGTCTTTTGCGTCATCTTTTCGCTTGTGATGCTGCATCAGTATAGCGAGAGTCTTCCGCAAATCACTTGGAGACCGTATACTGCGCCGCAGAATGGTTGGGGTATCGAGTTGGATACGCCTGTCTGTGCCGAGGCGCAGAGTATTGTGTCGGAGGATATCTGGCTCGAGTCCAGAAGAAAGTATCAGCATCTCCGGGACGACAAATTCACGTATGTTTCAGTCTTGACTCTTTGAATCTCGATTAACCGTCACAGTTTGGTTATTTCGACGTACAAGCGACCTGACAGTCTCAATGCGACATTGACTCTTGTCCTGAGTGAAGAGATCCCAACGCTGCACGAAATCGTCGTCGTCTGGAACGAAGTCAACACGACAGCACCAACCGACTTCATCTCAGACTACGGTGTCAGGGTGCGATTCCGAGTTTCGCCGCGCAACAGTCTCAACATGAAGCTCTGGAATGATCCCAAGATCCGCACCCAGGGCATCCTCTTGTCCGACGACGACTGCCACTACGAGCCTGATGATATGGGCTTCATCTTCAACTACTGGAAGGAGCATGCCCAGGATCGCATCGTGGGTGCATTCCCACGTGCTTACACCATCGGCGAGGATGGTCAGTACAAGTACAGCTTTGCCAGAGGCTGGGACAGGTACTCAATGGTCCTCACGGGTCTTGCCTTTGCACACATCTCATTCCTCGACTATTACTCATCTGACGACCCTCTCATGACCGATATTCGAAACCTGATTGACGAAAAGTTCAACTGCGAAGACATTGCCCTCAACTTCATCGTGTCTATGTTGACATGCAACAGCCCGTTGCAGGTCGTGGGCCTCAAGCACCCCATCAACGCTGGAGGAAAGCACGGCATCAGCACTAAGAAGGGACACATTGGGAAGAGACATTCGTGTGTCAACGACTTTGCCAACATGATGGGGTACATGCCTCTGCGGAATGCGACGCATTACATCCACCGCGGCCGCCAAAGGTGATTTATTACAAGGGTGTTCCGGTGGTAGGGGAGTTGCATCGTTATTCGGCGCTATTATACGATTAGATTGCCTGTTTTCTTTTTCCGCGTTTGTGTTTCAATATAGAAAAGATGCATCAAGACTGCTTCCAACAATACAAGTCCAGCTGTGGGATATTGAAATCGCTTTCTGATGAGCTGTGATGTGCTTGCAAGACGCTAAGCAGCCCCAGCCCACAGGGCCTTACTCACTGGAAGCCCTGACTGAAAGCCACTGAGCAGGGAGAGTGACAGACAGTGAGACACGGATACAACGAGTGCAGCCAAGTTGCGCATCAAACATGCGCATTATCGATGCATTCGACGTTAACCGAGCCAGAAGACTGATCGCCACCGCATCGTGATTGTTTACTTCTTGCATGGTAAATTGCTTGATGTAGGGCTGACTTTCTTCGAGGAACTGACCTTGGCTGCCTTGCCAGGCTTGCGCACATATGGTGACGGCAATGCAGCCCTCCTCCAAAATCATCTGTCTCAGCCCCCGCAGCCAAGAACCAACCGGATGCGTAAACTGTGTTGGGACATATTCAAGGGATAAAAACTGGCGTTTTCGTATTGAAACTAGATTTACGAGCTGAAATTGCGCAAGAGTGCGAAAACATGCAACGCGTTACTAATGCCAACGTTGACAGGTTAGATCACCGTGCAACCTTTCCCTTCCGTGCCTGGCAAAACGCCACGCGGGGTTGTAACTGAATCAGGGAGATTTCTTTCAGGTGACATTTCTCCCTGCTTTAAGCCAGTTCCTCAGTCGAAATCCAGACTTTTCAGTAGGCTTCATATCGTGGCTAGGGCTGGCTGAACATACGCCATTCAAGACATGGCTTGAGTAATTCGGAAAAAGGCAAAGAAACTCGTCTCTCTGTTTTCGCCGTCCCTTGATGGCGCTCACTCGACATCGTCTGACGTGCGAAGCCTGGAACGCTACCTCGATGGCAACCTCGTGATTTCTGTCTTTGCGCCCCAATTCCTGCAATGTCTCGGACCTCCTGTCTTCATCTTGACCCGTCTTGAGAGTATGCTGCAAGGAACATCAAATATCCAATGACCTCCAAAGGGGCCTATACACGCGAAGCGTAGATGTTTGGTTTGGGAACAGGGCGCGTGGCAATATACAAAAAGGATCCGCTGGAATAGTTGGAGCATACGATAGCCAACTCTATCTCTTTGAATCTCTGATCTACCACAATGAAGCCCAATTATTTCCTACCAATCCTCGCGGCCGCGGGCATTGATGCCCTCCCTCTATCATCCAGCCTGTCCGATGAAAGCACATTTGGCATGTGCTTTTCCAACTCCGATTGTTCTGGCGAAACTCCCATCTGTTACGATTACACTTCCACCTGCGTTGGCTGCACTGTCAGCAGCAATTGTGGAGGGTTCACTCCTATTTGCGACACCGACACGTTGACTTGCGTCGCGTGTATTTCAAGCGACGACTGCCCCGGGCCGAACGACCTTTGCGATCCCATCTCCATGAGATGTGTGGGTTGTATATCGAATGCCGAGTGTTCGGGCTCAACTCCTGTGTGCGACCCAGATAGTCGCATGTGCGTTGCAGGAGTCATCAGCTCTATAGAAGAGGACCTGGAAGAGCCCATCGAAGAACCCGTGGACGAAATCCCAGAGCAGCCCACAGACGAGCCTTTGGAGGAACCTGAAGATGATGAGCTGGAGCAACCTTTGGGAGAGCCTCACCCTATACTCGACGACCCCAGCGAATTGGATCTCCCTCCCCCCACTACGGATGCTGATCTCCCATCCCCGGATCATCCTCTCAGCCCTGATCTCTAGCGGATGGATCCCGCTCGCTTATGCGCACGTTGGATGCAGGGGTACTGGGATTGCCCTACGAAAGGAATGGAGGACGACTCGCTTGTTCTTGCGGGGTTTAAGGCGTATTTTGGTGCATGGATTGGCAGAATGACAAGTCTTTTTTGTTAGCATTAATGAGCATTTAATTGATGGCAAAGATTAACATACACTTGCATCTAAAATTTGTTGAACCGACCGTTGAGCAACACTTGTTCTTCGTGCATGTTGACACAAAGGCTAACTCTGTAGCTTATGCACGTTAAAATTCGAAATGACTAAAGAAATCGAGATCCTGTCTCACTAGCTTCGCCTGCCGACTCATGCAGAAAGACACATCATATCATGTCTTGGTGAATGCAGGGAGACTCAAGGGCGACGTTCCTGCAGCCCTAGTGGGCGAGCTAAATTCTAGCCACCCGTTGCGTGCCACAAGGTTCATTTTGCGGAGTAAGACTACGACATTAGACTAATGAATCGCATCCTTCGATGAGAAAAGGGCAGATCTCTAGCCTATTTTTGCTCTAATTTGCGACTGCAGGTACAAGACACAATTCCAATGCCCTTGCAGTTTGAGACATCTCATATGCCAAAGCTGCCCTGCCGCGAAACCGTGAGACAGTTGGAATTTGAGCCCTCCCTACAGCTGACAGCATTTCCCTCTGCCCTACTGACAGTAGATCTCGGCTAATGCTTCCCCTGGCGTGGCAATTCTATCGGTAACGGTCCTGATAGGATGTGGCAAGGTCCATGGTTATCCGACATTCCCATGCGATAGTTCTCGATCGGACATCAAAGAAGCAAAGCTAGTCGTGAACTATCATGAAGCCAACCACCCCAACACCGGGTATTGGTCTCCTGTCTCTAGCAACAATGCAGGAACAAAGGGGTGCAACGCCACATTATCCCTCCCATCAAGAAGAATGAGACTGATTGCACCAACGAGGCCGAGACGCAAAAGTTGCCACGACTCTTCCCTAGCTTAGGTGACGGGCACATATATAGACACTAAGTAGAAGGCTTGTAATGGGCAACTCATCTGGTCAATCCTACAGCCACTGCAGCCATGAATGCTCTCAAGGCAAGCCTATCTCGTAGCCCTACGGGTCGGGGCTACAGCGCCATCTCCAACGACTCCAAGGCCGAGCTCATCACCGCTGGCAGCCATGCACAGGGTAACCTTAGCAGGTTCGTGCCACGGAGGTTGCTCCGGTTGTCGACCAAGGGGCTCTTTATCCTGGTCTGCACGGTGCTTACGCTGCCTGGAGTCCTCTTCACGATGCTCTTGAAGGTACGTTCTCATCACTTACACATAGACGGGAGATAGCTAACGAGAGGATTCAAGGGCCATGGTCACTACTATGGAAGAACTCCAGTACCCTTCGATACGCATCGCCGTCTCCAGATCATCCTCCCATGCAATGAGCCGAGCACAAACCTGTGCAAGTCAGTATCAAGCGCCCTTGCTCTGGGCTTCCCCGCACCCGTCATTGTCAACTGGGGCAAGGACTACCTGGGCGGAGGATGGCACGCTGGCTCCCATCTTGACAAGATTATCGGCACCATCGACTACCTCGACTGGGCTGTGGTTAATGCCACCGGTGAAAACGCTCTTAGGGACAGTGACCTCGTTGTCGTCGCTGACTCGACCGACACTTGGTTCCAGCTCCCGCCTGACGTGCTCATCAAGCGATACTACGAGGCCAATGAGGAGGCCAAAGAACGTTATCAGGAGCAGTGGAAGGGCACGGGAGAAGTACCAATGGAACAAACCATTATTGTGTCGACTCAGAAGAAGTGCTTCCCTCCCCGTCAGTCTGGTTCAATCCTTCACTGCGACTCTCTGCCCCAGAGCCCCCTGCGAGAGGACCTGTACGGCAACGTTACGGACAAGGATCCTCTTCGGTACACCAAGAACCGACCGCGCTATCTCAACAGCGGCAGCATGATTGGTCCTGTCGGGGATATGAGACGGTACTTTCACCGTGTCAGGGCCAGAATGGATGAGCTTCAAGAAAAGGGCACCCATCTCTACAGTGATCAGGGTATCTTTGCCGAGATCCTCGCTGAGCAGGAGATTTTCCGACAACAGCTTCGCCGCAGAGAAGAATGGGACGATGCCTCCATCGGCATGTTCCAGGAGGAGCTTGAGTACCATGTTGGACTCGACTATACCCAGAAGCTCTTCATCCCTACTGTCTTTGAGGAAGAGGACGGCGAGATTATCACCCTCAACAACGAGACGCATATCCAAAGGGCTTCCAAGCAGCGGGGTATTTACCCAGCCCGCCTCCACGGCGTCCCTGATGATATCAAGAATGCCACAAACCCGCTGCAGAGTCTGGGAGGCGAGGATGCGTTCAACTGGGGCGAGCTTCCCCTCTACGCCGACTACTACACGCGATCTATCCCCGTCATCGTGCACCACAACGCGCACAAGGACAACGCCAAGGCGCGTCGCTACAAGTGGTGGGACAGAACTTGGTTCTTCCCTCATCTCCGAGCTCTCCTCAACGCGCGTATCGCAGCCGAGAAGCCCTGGCGTCTGTCCACAGTAAACCTCCCCCAGGGTGAGGTGGTGTACACTGCGCTGGAGACGTATGACGTGAACCCGAAGCCGAGATTGTATAAGCAGGGACAGGGCATTGAGGAAGCGAGCTTTGAGGCCGTGTGTAGGACTTGGGCGCCTGAAGAGGGTGAGAAGATGTGGTATGATGAGATGTTCCGAGATCGAAGGGGTCCTTTGTAATGGCGCATTAATGAATTGAGAGGCAATACTATTTTAGATTTGTTTGGGAATATTGGCGGCTATGATGGTTAGATTGAATGAATATAACTATGATATGTAATGAGACTGTTGAATGTCAAGAATCTGCTCTGCATACGTGAGATACCTTGTTGTAATCCCAACTCCTAAGATGCCTGGCTCGAATTTCCATCACCTACCCACGTTCCATCGCCCACTTCCAAAAGATCTTTAATCAGTGCTGGACTGCTGGTGTCTCGATTGTTGTTATCCTTACCGCGTTACGGCATGTTGAAGTCAACCACCGTTTGAGTACTGTAGTAGTGGGCATTGGACTTCCTCAAGTCGGCCGGCCGTGCTCCTCTATCACCAGACTCGGTGCAATCTCATCGCGATGTTTAGTAAACAACGGGAGCTTGAACCGTCCCACATAGACATAGTTGCTCTCTCCTGTCCCACCAACACACTCAGTCATGCTTGAACATCCCCCGCAAAGTGGCCCACATGTCCCGCCCAACGACACCCTGCCCGAGCAAGGGACGACGCGGTGCAGGTACAGGGGGGGATCAATCTGCCAGTGGATCCTCCAGGAATTGGATTAGCTCTCCGCAATATGTATGACCTAATTGGCGCAGCTACTTTGCGGCGTCACTCAATGAATTGATATCGGCCTGTAGTTGGTCCGACAAGCTGTTCGGATAGGGAAGATCTCGGATGGACTGACATTCCCGATCAATGTAAGTTAACCAACAATGCGCGGAGAGGAATAGGCCTCACATCCAGGCGGTTCCGAGGCTCCCCGCTCACATCACACCAATCCGCTCAATAACACCCGGCGTCAAGATGTCGATAGTGTCACCGTACCGAGAATGACGTTTGATACCCTGATCCGGCCGAGTTGGCACCAGCAATCCGTCACAACTTGGGCTGTGGCAGTTAAGAGGACGGTAGGCACTAGGTAGTCGCATTGAACACGATGTCACTCACTGTCCCTGTAAGTGACCGACTAGATCTCTCTGGGAATTAACATCTTCATACGTATGGCCCACCCTGCAATCAATCTACATAGGTCTTGGACTCCAGATCCAACAGGGACTACTGCCAAATCGCCCATGCAAAACGGTCCCCTGATCTGCAATCGACGAGAGTAGCTCCCGTGCACCCTCAGCTCGCCTAACCGATAGTATTGGGCTCCCGGGCTCTCTCCACGTTCTCCACCTCGACTCCATCCTGACTTAGGCCATCCTTGATGCCTACTTTTTCATTGACTCCGTTATTCATTGCTGACTGAACGTGGTTCGTCATGTAAGGCTCAGGATCCTCCACCCAGAGGGAGCAGATCAAAGCAACGACGCTGAAGGGAATGGTGATGTAAAAGACGAACTGGAAAGCGCGGCCATAAGCAAGGCGCACCGCCGATCGAAGAGTTGCCTCGATGGCCGGTGTCATGCCTTCAATGCCGTCGAGAGAATGGGGAACGCCAAGGTTGTGAGCAATAGTTCCCGGGATAATAGCACCAAGATCAGAAGCGTTCAGACCGCTTGCCAGTGCTGCTTTCGTGATCTCTTCCCCTGAAAAGTCGCGGAACTTGTCCTGGAATACGGTATTGAAGATGGCGTTTCCTACAGCACCACCCGCCGAGCGAAAGGTTCCTAGGAGTCCCATTGCTACTCCGAGATGAGAGTGCGGAACATGCAGACTAGCAATGGCGTAGCCTAGAATGGTGACCATGAGGAACATGGGAACACCAAAGGCTGGCACGAAAGCCCATGCCCATTTCTTGTTAGGGTTGACAGTAGCGGCGCTGGCACCCATGAAAATGGCCTGGAAGGCCATGCCGGCCACGAACAGCCACTTGATATGGCCTATCCGGTGCGCGCAGATAGGGACGAGGGCACCAACAATCGTGGAGATGAGGTTGGTCGGGAGCGAGATGAGTCCGATCTGGATGCTATCCGTTGTGAACATGAAGAGAGATCCCTGAGGGAAGAGAGCAGACATGGCGTGGAAGTTCATGCCTGATATGAAAAGTCCAACCAGCAGCACGACGAAGCCGCGCCACATGCGAAAGAGCTTCACAGGGAACAGAGGGGCCTTGGCAAAGTTGAAATCGTAGACGAAGGCAAGTGCGACGACTACCACCCCGATAACAATGGGTACAATGGCACCCGCACTCTTCCAAGGATATGCTGGGCTACCGCCCCAGGTTAGGCCAACAAGGGCTGTTGCAAGGCCCAGAGTGAAGAGTGAGAGTCCGATCCAGTCGACTTCCTTGAACTGCTGCCATCGGGATTTGTCAAAGTCGCCACGAGGTCGGGATGTTGGCCAGTAACACAGGGCTGTCCCAACGAAAGAGAGACCTTCGACGATGATGCCGAGATAGAAGATCCAGCGCCATGACGCATACTCAAGCAGGGAAGCTGCAAGGAGGACACCGACCATTCCCCTGAAAGTTCATGGTCAGCTTTCAAAGTCGGCACATAGGGCTAGGTTCCAACTTACCAGGGGACCATAATACCACCCTCTAGGATTCCAACGCCCAGAGCGCGCCACTTGTTGGGCAGCATCTCAGGAACGCCAGCGTATGCCACAAAGACGAAGCCAGTCCCGAGGCCAATGACTGTCTCGCTCGCAATCAAGCTGGCAACATTCTGTGCGACGCCTCCCACGATACAGCCTACCATGACAACAGCCTGACCGCCGAGAATGAGGACTCTACGGCCAAACACATCACTGAGAGGCCCACCGAGGGAGAAGGAACATGCCGTTGCCAGTGACCAGGCGCCGACAACCCAAGCCAAATCAGCGTCATTTCCGAGATCGTTGGTTATCTGGACGACAACGGCAGCGACACAGGTGAATCCTAGACCGACCGCAGGGCCGAAAGAGGCAGCCATGGACTGTTTAGACGCGACGAATTAGTCAACTCTAAGTGCTAAAGCTCCTGAGGGAGGCTTACAAAAATGGCGAGCCAGGTTTTGAAGCTGACTTCGGTGTGGTCAGGGTCATCCTCTAATGCGGCGCGGTGGGGATCATCTTCAAACTCGATGGCTGCGCGAACATCTTCTGCGCGACGCAAGTTGCGTTCAACGTCGTTCACCATGATGAGGCTATGAAGAAGTGAAAGGATGGTATGCTATGTTATGACTGGTTACCAGGTACAGTCTGATGTTGGAAAGATAGATCGAATCTCAAGCTTCGAGAGCCACTGGGGGTTTAATATCCATTCTATCTTGGCTTCCATGTTACGCTGCTATCAAGTCAATCTCCCCGCGTTTTCACAAACGGCTGTCCCACCTGCCAAAGTCAAAAGAATGTGGGGAAATGGAGGAACCGAGATGAGTTGAGCTCGGCATTCGGTTACAACCCCAGGTTTCTCGCCAAATCAGGCATAGCAAATCGGTTGAGTTTAGCCTATCTCTTCCCCACACTACGCTAAAGAGTGGCACCGGTGACATTCTAACTATTTGTAGTTAAATAGCTGAACATCGACAGGCCCAGACCAACCGCCCTTGCACGTTCTTTTCCCTTTGGAGCTCGTAATCTCTCATCCGTCCTTATTCCACCTCCGACACACCCGGTTCTCAGATGCCTCTAAGTAGATGTCAAGATGGCTACCGAGACAAGCTCATTGTTACACCACCCTATCATTGGGCACATTCGCGTCAAAGATGGCGATGGGGTCGTCCAATGCCTCGGTCTCAAGTATGCTTCTCTCGAGAATCGGTTCGCTGATGCGCAAATCATGGATTACCCCACCAAGGGCCAACTTACGGCCACAAAGCACGGGTAGGAGTTCGTCCATGAAAGATGTAGGTATCAGCACTGACTATACCATAGGCCACCCGTCATCATGCCACATGGAGCGGTTGACTTTGAAATGCAGTTGATTCAACAGGCTATCCCTAAGCTTGACGTTCCTCCTATGTCTGATTTGGATGGTTTAAACCTCAACATCACCTTGCCAAAGGACTGCAACGAGAGCTCCGTCCCCCGACTGCCAGTATTGGTCTTTGTTCACGGCGGCAGCTTCACTTTTGGGTCAAGCTCTTACTCTCACTACGACCAAAGCCGAATTGTCAAGTTGTCGATAGAGATGGGGAAGCCCATCATAGCTATCAATTTCAAGTAAGTCAACAGCTCTAGTCAAGACCACGGCTAACCTGCAAAAGTTATCGATTGGGTATACCAGGGTTTTTGGCTTCGCAAGAGCTGTCAGATGCGGGCTTCAAGCCTAACCGTGGCCTTCGAGACCAGAAGGTTGCACTGCGGTGGATAAAGAAATACATTTCTGGGTTTGGAGGCGACCCGGATCAGATCACGCTCGTCGGGCAAAGTGCTGGCGCAGGTAACAACACTCCTGCATGTCCAACCCTGCTGGTGTCTGACTTCAAGTTTACAGCGTCGGTCGATTTCCATATGCAATCCGAGGAAGCCTTGTTTAGTCAAGCAATCCTGTTTGGAGGCTCCTCCGTCTTATTGAAACCCTTTCAGCCAGAGGCAGCTGAATCCGTCTACACCTCTGCCATTAAGGCACTAGCTCTGGACAAGCAGTCTCCCCAAGGTCGGATCGAGTCCCTCTTGAGCATTCCAGTAGAGTCTATGATGGCCAATGCTGCAAAGGAAATGATTGAAGCTGGTCCTACAATTGATCATGACCTGATCCAGACCGCAGCAACTCTTGGAGACACGAATGACATGGTTGAATCTCCAATGACCCGCAATGGATGGTGTAAAAAATTGTTTTCCATCGATAGCAAGTTTGACGTATGATCATCCCCGATTGATTTATTGATGACTTTTACTGATACGAGCCTCCTCTTAGGGATCCATTTTTGACCTTCTCAACCTCCGCTCCCGCCAACAAGGCATCACAGCAAGCTTCCGAACCCATTTGATCAAGACATTGGGGCAAATAGCAGCTTCTAGAGTTTTGTATCATTACAAAATTCGTAAAGACACGCCAGATGAAGAATCCTTGCTCAGCATCGCTCAAGCCATCACCGATGTCGGTTATTACGCCCTGTCTGTGAAATATGCCGAGTCATTTCCTGGAGATTCCATCTTGGGTCACTTCAACGAGCCAAACCCGTGGGATGGTGTTCACGCTGGTCGAGCGAATCATATCCTGGATATTGCCTATCTCTTTGGCAACTATGATGAGAGACTTGGTCCCCAGAACAGACGTGTGGCTAGGTCACTAGCTGAGGATATTCTGTCGTTTGTATGCAGAGGCGATGACTTTCCCGTTTTTGGTTTGGAGAAGAAAGTGGTAGTTTATGGGCCAGGGGTTGACGGAGTTTCCAGACAGATCTTGAGATGGGATGATGGGGCAGCCCGGAGGGACGGTACTATCTTCGATCTAGCGAAAGAAGCGGGGGGTCTTGGTAAACTACTGCAGGCCCTTCTTAGCTTCTGTTAATTGATATGGAAGTCTGGTGTGGGGTACGTTGACAGATTTCATGGCGCATGGATCAACCTGTTGGCAGTGACGGGAGTGACAGTCCGATTTTAGCATGATAGCCCACGCGATCCTCCGCTTCTCCAACGCTAAGAAAGTAATGAGTAGGGCCCTCGAGATGGGACAGCCGATTTGAGACTCGTTCCCCTTGTTCCACGTGCTCCATTCTCAAGGATGAAACTCGAGGTTGACGATTGCCGAGGACTCTACCCCAAGATAGAGTCCCACACGGGCAGCCCGCCCTAAGCCGTGTCTGGAGCCAACAGCACCCCAAATCCCCATGTGGGACAGACCTGGTGATCAGACCCTGAAGCCACCCACCCCTTCCCTCATGTGGGCCGGACTATTGTAACTATCACATCCATAGGAGGGGGTTGTCACACAACACAGTAACCTCTGTGGGGCTGATGTGCATGGGGCCCTGGCTTCTTGTCGGATACCCTCAACCGAGGCCCAATGACTTTGCGAATATCATAGCCATTTCTCCCGTTCACATCGGCATTTAAATGGTGAGAAATAACTGAAACTTTAATCCGCCTTGAAGGTTGCAATCACGCAGACACGATTACTAACCCTGTCTCCTTTCTGACCCTCAACTCGTACCAAGCCAACCATGGGCGAACACATTAGTGATGTTCCTTTTACCCTTAAGGATGTGCCGGTTGAGAACCAAAGACCCATGAAAGTCATCATCATTGGGGCAGGCTTCTCAGGTATCTACACTAGCATCAGGTAAGTGCGCTCGTTTTACCAATCTTGGCTGGCTCTGACATGTGAGGTCATAGGATATCTCAGCGTCTCAGAAATGTTGAGCTGCAGGTGTACGAACAGAACGAGGGACTTGCGGGTGTGTGGTAAGCTAACGATGAAATGTCCTGTTCGGATATATGGCATTAATACTAACTGTGTCTCAGGTGGTTGAACCGCTACCCAGGGCTGGCATGTGATATCCCATGTAAGTTCGCATCCATTAGCTTGGGGAAACAACGAGTATCATAGATCGAAAACTAACAATGCGGTCTCCAAGCCTACTCGTATCAGTTCAGTTTTGCTCCCAATCCATACTGGTCCTTCCTCTATGCCCCAGGGCCCGAAATTCGAGCTTACATGCAGGACGTTGCTGAGAGGTATGGTGCAACGCGCTATATCAAGACTTCTCACGCCGTCAAGGAGTGTGTTTGGGATGCTGGAATGAAGATTTGGTAAGCATTCATCCAACTTTCGCCCAACTGCGTGAATAGAGGCCGGGGCTGATACTGTCGATGGGTAGGAGAGTCAAGGTGCACAACATCAAGACCAACGAAATCTTCGAAGACACTGCAAACGTCGTCATATCAGCCAAGGGCGGGTTGAATCAAATCATGTGGCCGAAAATTAAAGGCCTTGAGGATTACAAAGGAAAACTCGTTCATTCTGGCCAGTGGGATGAGAGGTAAACTCCTGAGACCTAACACGATACCAAACCACTAACAGGGGAATAGTGTCGATCTTCGACACAAGCGAGTTGGCGTTATTGGCAATGGTTCCAGCGCAATTCAAATTGTACCAGCCATCCAACCACTTGAAGGGATCAAGGTTTGGAACTTTGCCCGAAGCCCTACTTGGGTATCCAACTCCTTTGGAGACATTGCAATGATGAAGCTTGGGAGAGATCCTGGGAATTCAAAATGTCCGTAATAGCCAGTGCTCAAGTGGAAGTTCAGCAACAGAGCTAACCAGGAACCAACAGTCTCTCGCCGGGATCAGGAGTACATGGCACGGCATCCAGACCACTACCACAAAATGCGCAAGACATTAGAGAAGGAAGCCAGCAAAAAGTACTTTTTCACTCTCAAAGATTCACCCGAACAGGCCAACGCGGTGGGCAAGTTCCAGGATTACATGAAGAAACGCCTAGAGGGCCGACCTGATCTTTACGAAGCGATCATCCCAACATTTGCTCCTGGATGCCGTCGACTCACCCCGGGACCGGGATATCTGGAGTCCCTCAAGGAAGACAACGTTACATTCTGTAATACCCCTATCCAGGAGATGTCTGAGAAGGGTCTGAAACTCAGTACTGGAGAAGAGATCGACCTAGACGTCGTGGTTTGCGCAACAGGATACAACGTCGGAGCACCACCAACATTCACAGTGACTGGCCGCAACGGCGTGACGCTGGAGCAGAAGTGGGCACCCCATGCAGAGACATACCTCTCCGTAGCTGTCGACGAATTTCCCAACTTTGTACTTATCGGCGGACCAAACTCAGGCCTCGGCTCTGGCAGTCTCCTCAGTGTCTTTGAAGGACAGGGCGACTACGCAGTCAAGATGATTCGCAAGTTACAAAAGGAGGACTACTCCACCTTTGAAGTCAGGCCAGAGCGTGTAGCTGACTTTAGTCACTACATTGATGAGTACTTCAAGCGAACCGTCTACACGGATGACTGTTCGTCGTGGTATCGATCAAACACCACTGGATCACGGATCGTAGGTTTGTGGCCTGGATCGTCGGCACAATGCCTTGAGGTCTTGCGGGCTCCGCGATGGGAGGACTACATCTTTGATAGCGCTGATCCTACTGGAAACCTCCTGCGATGGCTTGGTGATGGATCTAGCTTGACCCTCACAGAAGGCGATCCGTCTTGGTTCCTGGAGTATGAGGCTACTGACGCTCCCCAAGAGGGAAAGCCTGAAGAAGGCGAGGTTTATAGTAGTCGTCCATTTTCTCACTAGATAACTTAATGTCTCATTTCAAGTATTATTATTTCTGTAATGATGATAGGAAACCATCAGCCACAACAGCGAAAAGCACAGTCATTCTCACCCTTGTGCTGACTTAAAAGCTATCCTATCATCAGCCTCCTGTCAGGTCAGAACCTATCTCCGTCCTATCTCCATACACTTCCCTTTCAGCCCAACAAAGAATCAACAAGACGGAAGAATAGTAACACCGGGATATTGATTACTGCCTAACTACCCCGCAACCTGAACATCTCGGCATCGTGAGACTTCCTGACACCAAGATACCCCGCTATCATGGCTCCGTCTGAGAAGTCCGTTTCAAAACTTATCGGGTTGTTGAGCGACAAGTCTCAAAACCCAAGCTTGACCATTGTAGACACGATTCTCTTTCATCTCAGGATTGCAGATATTTACGCGTTACATGCAACATGTCGATCCCTGCGTTGGCTGGTTGATTACATGACGGATTCGCCACATCTGCTCAACATCAACAAACAACTGGGACCCTTTGTTAAAGATCCTATGCGCTTCCGAAGTGAGCTGGGAAAGTACGATGGACTCATTGCGGGAGGTTTTGTTCGAAACTTCTTTGAATTTGGCCGTTGGGATGTCACCACACTGGCCTTGTACGTCGAACAAGGGCTCAAATCACAAGGCTTCATCGACTATTTGCGAGATCATGAAGATTACAGGGCGGAATCACGACAAGACAAGATCCTGGAGAGAAAAAACGCTCCAGGGCTATACATCGTCATAAAGGCTACAATCGGTCCTCCGATCATCAACCTCATTAATGAGGCCAGCACGACGGCTAGCCTAAACATGATATCCTGGAATAAAGCCTACTCACTACTCCCGATTCCGACTATTGTGCGTCACAAGTTCTACCCTTTGACGCCTTTCAACAGTGCACTCGGTCAAACACTTCGACGACATGCCAAATTAGGATGGACAACTCGCGATATGCTTTGGCCGGATCAAACAAAAAAATTCATGACCGGAAATGAGTGCCGTCGAATTGGGGGAACCAGGTCGCTGGTTATAAACCTTAGGGATGTACCTCCTGGAGATTACACTCCTGATCATGTCCTTGATAGAAGTGTATTTTCTGTCGTGTGGGAATCGAGTGGTGATAGCCGGCGCGTATCGGCCAGTATACAACCTGGGGTAGAGTTCACTGCACTACGAGATGTATACGCAAACGGTAGGCGTGGTCAGGGTTGCAAAGCTTGGGAGAAGTTCTTGCGCGGGAAACTAGAGCGTTGGATCTTTGTTGAGATTGCCAAGATGAGCCAGCAGCAGCGGCCACCAGGGTTCTATTTCATGGCGCCTAGCAACTACCGTGTCTCTATTCCGTCTGGTTATCAAGTCCCTGACACGTGGGACTATGCAGACGATCAAATAATCCCATGGTTTCAGGAGTGGGACAGCACCGAGGGAAATAGTTATAGATGCGGGTGAGCATGATCCAAGGAGCGAGACAGAGGATCAAGCAATTTGTGTGTTAATAAAAGTGTCTTATGATGGGTTTGGCCATATCGCAAGTTTTAGTATAGTTACTAGTCTTTTGTTTTTATAATATATAAAAGAATTATATTTAAAAGGAGTATATTAATAAAACATGTCGCCGCTTTTATATATAGTAGCTAAGGCATATATTAAATAGTACTAAGTATATTCTAATATTTAATTAAATATCTTACTTAGCTATTTTAAATATATCTAAGATATAATTAAAAAACAAACTCTTGATTATAATTGTAATAAGATTAAAAAATATTTTTAAGTAATTTACTTTCTTAAATTACTTATAATATAAATACTTTATTGTTTTAATTAACGCTTAGTAATAACTTACTTTATACTACATCCCTTAAATATTTAATATGTCTTACTTCTTAAGAAGCGTAGGTTATTTAACCTTTTATTAACTAGCATTTAAGGCTTTCTATATTTAACAAAGTAACAAACTCACCTGTAATTACATAGAGTCCCCTCTTTACTAAATTCTCTCTCACATAGGCCTTTATTACTGCAACTGGCAAACCTCCTCGTCTTCTTAGCAGGTACCTAATCTTTTACCCTGTGGCGTGATGGCGTAGATGCACCGTTATAGATACCCTAGTTCAGACTTCAGAGCTATCAGAATAGGCATCCCCACTCTCAGAACAGCTATCCTCACTCTCAGAACAGCTATCCTCACTCTCAGAACAGCTATCCTCACTCTCAGAACAGCTATCCTCACTCTCAAAATAGCTATCCTCACTCTCAGAACACTTATCCTCACTCTCAGAACAGCTATCCTTACTCTCTCGAGAGTCGCGAATACACTCGGTTCCTGATCCGTGAATCTCATCACAACAGCCTAGTTCACGGTAGTTTCCTTCTCGATCGATGAGGTCCTCGCTCACAAATAGATGCTCATCTTCCTCGGTCCACTCCCGGCTACGTCTCAAAAGGTCCGCTGCAGCGTAATATCCCCCTTCCGTTGCAAACTTTACCGCCCGGATGAATTGGCGGCGCCCATTTCCGGTGGTGAGAGCATCACGAATCAAGAGCTCCAGCATATCAAGCCTCCCCCGTTCTGCTGCCCCCTCTAGTGCCGTTCTTCCATGCCAGTCTGCCCCTCGGGCATTCACTCGAGCCCCGCAATCAAGCAGATGGCGTGCCAATCCAAGATACCCCTTCATGGCAGCGACTTGAAGAGCTGTGGCTCCCCTATCAAAACTTGGCGGTGCATTGACTTTTGCTCCCCTCTCTAGAAGGCAACTCACCAATTCCAAGTTCCCTGCCATTACTGACATCTGAAGTGGGGACCAACTGCGTGTTCCGTAGTCGTTAACGTTCGCCCCAGCTTTGAGCAGAGCCTGGACTAGCTGTTTGTTCTTCCTCCTGATAGCGGGGAACAATGGTTTTCCCGATCCGGGGAGGTTGTCAAGCCGTTGCTGATATTCGCTTAGCATCTCCAGGCACAGGAAGTTCTCAGTCTGAGCGATGAAGATCCAGGTAAGGAGGTCGGCACGACACCCTGCCCCGAGGAGCTCGCGGAATCCTGTAGTATCCGTACCCAAGGCAGCAAGGGCCAAGGGGCTGTGCTTGGTGCATGTGTAAGGACGCCTACGGAAGGATTGGCGCCAAAAGAGACGTTTCCCAACTTGTCTCTCGCAGTCCCGCTGCACCCGGGGAAGCAACGCCAAAATTGGTTCCCCATCAAGCTGGAGATGATGAAGGAGTTTTCGCAAAAGATCAGAATCTCCGGACCTGGCAGCCACGCCGACAGCTGTGCCTTCCAGAAGGTGGCAATTTGCTTTTCTGGGACGATTGGAGAGAAGGGAGTCCACGAGCGGCAGATCTCGGGCCTGAACCGCTGCACATAAGGATCCCGGATCGTACTGGCCAGAGCAAGCTTCACGCATTTGTCGAACCATCTCTTGACTTCCAAAAGCAATTGCAATCTCAAGGCGAGACACTCCCTCGTTGCTCGTGTCCTTCAAACCTGCACCAGAGCTCAGCAGAAGCTCGATTAAGCTCTCGTCTTGAAGCCGAATCGCCGAAGCAACTTCTCCCCCAAGAAGCTTCGCCCCATTTTTCAAGAGTGCTTGCACAGTCTTAAACCGCCTTTGAGCAGAACTGGCTTTACTCCAATCGGGGGTTTCATGCAACGCAGACTGAAGCGCACTTTTTCCTGAAGGGTTCTTTTCATCTGGGCTGCCGCCAGCACCCAGCGCGGCGAGAAGTGGACGTACAGCACATCCTTCTGCGGACCAAGATACCGCTCCACTGGTCATTTTAGCACCTTTTTCGATCAAAACTGAAAAGCAATTCAATGATGACACCCCTAGGTCTTCGGCGGGTACCCGCTGCATCATGTAGACAATTGTAGGAGAAGAACCAGTCTTGAAGACGTCTTTCTTCAAGGGTGGTCCGTTGCCCTCGCGAAACTCTCCACAGACGGCCGGGTCGACAATTCCATTCACATCCGCTCCTTCCCGGATTAGAAGTTGCAATACATCCTCATGCCCTCCGAGGGCTGCAAGAAAGAGGAGGGTGGGTGACAGTCCGTTGTAGAGGGCGAGAAGCACCTTGCAAGTACTCAGCCGGCCAGCATACACTGCTGCTTCGAGTGGAGTGATGCCGCACTGATTCCGACCAGATCCAACCGGCCGGATGTTATGAAGGCGACTGATAGCATCATCATCGCCTTCAACAGCAACAGCGATAAAAACATCCACTGTAACAAGCTTGAACAGATCGTGAGGTAGGACATGTTGTAGAATCACATCCGTAAAGTCCTTGCCTGTCGCAAGAGCTACACTCAGCGCATTCTCCTCGTAAAACGGAAGGCTTTTTCGTTCGAATGTTTTGGTGACGTCAATGTCCAGACGCAAGATCTCGTGGACAAAGTCCATGTCGCGTAGCTCAATTGCTGCGTGAAGAATCCCTTCCCGGTTGATGGAATCGTCATGTTGGAATAGACGCTTGATGATACGTAATTTGAGGGCATCTGGACGTATAGCCCTCATCAAAAGCGTAACGACTGACACGGGATATTGCCTGCTGGGGCTCATATCCGCGTGGAATGTAAGAAGCAGGTCAACCAGTTTCTCAAAACCCCCAGATGCCGCCGCTTGGAGAGGGGTGGCTTGCTCGACGTCGTCCTCCACCCCTAGCATGACTGCAGTGTTGGGATCTTGACCTGACTTGAGGAGCCATGTGACGAAATTTAGGTCATGACCTTCATCACCAAATCTCCCCCAAATCATCTCATTCCGGAAAAGACCTTCCACGAATGCCTTGATGGTTGCGTCTTGCTGGTAAGGTCCCCCGAGATCAATTCGCAAAATACCGATTCCTATAAGGAGATCTCGAAACTTTGACCATGACTTTTTATCAGTAAATTGTGGAAGGTTGTTGGAGATCTGGTAGATGATGAACTTGAGATAATGATGTATAGACTCTCTTGCTGGGCGTTGTACGATGGCTTGAGTTGTTTGCAAGTGCTCTCCTGGGTACCATTCTGGCATGGCCCTGCCGATATTTGCCGCCAATCTAGAGATGCAAGGCTGCACGTTGACTGAGTGAACTCTTTTGAATTGATATTCTGTAATTAGATCGAAAGTCGCCATATGGACTCCCTGAAGATGATCCGTGGAGCTAAGGTGGGAGTTGTCGGATCGCTGAAAGTTGAGGGTCACTGTATGAAATGTATATTAGTTACCCATGGCATACTGGCTTAGATTCCGGCTTACATGTCTCGTATGTCTCCCGGAATTTGAACCAGGGCAAAGAATTTGGCCAATTGAACTCCATCGCAAGTGGCTGTGGCGTACACACATTCAGGTACGGGTTGGTTGGAGATGGAAGAGAGGAGTGGCCTAGATAATGTTATCAGGTTAGAAAACAGGGACAACTGGTTAAGATAGATGGACTTGTCTTACGCTGAGAGATCTGGGTAAAGATGTTGGTCTCGCGATGACGGTTGATCGCCTTGTTGGTGGTTGATGGCTTCATTCGCTTGCCGCAATGGATCACCTCGCTCTCCTTGCCCTCGCGCTTGCGCTTCTCGATCTTGCGACCGATATGCTGCCACGTCTTTTGGCCGATGTTCTTCGAGATGCCCCATTTCTTGAGCTGATAGCAAAGTTGTCCCTGTCTAAAAAGGTCAAGACTGAGTTAGTTACGTGAAGATGAAGGTAATGCTGATATGGGCACAAACGTGATTGTATGCCCCAGCGTCGCTAGTAAGGTGACAACACTTTTTAATGGCCTGTCGCACGTGAGGTATTCATGCCGAATGAGGGGCAGGTGCTGCAGCAATCGGTCTTCGGTGGACTGAGGCTTCGCAAGCTTCATTCTTTGTTCATGAGCCTCCTCAAGAGGAGGTTCAGACACAATGTTGAAGACTGCGGGATTGTCAAAGAACACAGGATTCATAGGCTCCATGGTAAGACTCATCCGTGATTGATCCTGCGCTGGCATGACCTGTTCAGCATTCCCCACGAGGGGAGCGATATCCAAGTAGCCCACACCAAAGTCGACAGCTTGTTCTGAAGGGCTGAAGGACGTGTGGAAGGGAGTGGCAGGAGGAGAATAGAATGGTTGAGAGAAATCGTTATCCTGGGGTTTCGGGCTAGACACCGACTCTATCGCGTCGGACTCCAGGACGTGGGATACCCTCGGTGACGGGTGTTTAAAATTAGTTCTTCCGTGTGATGCCATGGTGGAAGAGCATGGCGATGGCAAAGGATTGGGGATCAAGGGAGTTGAGGTTTCTGATAGAGAGAAAGCCCGTGTAGATTTCAGCAGGTTTAGTTGAGAAGATGGATTGCAAGGTGTGTTTTTCTTGGGAAATTCCTCGGCTATTTGTATCTTGCGTCTATCCAAGTACCTTGTACATCGTAGTAAATCAGGCTCTAGGTTCTCCTGATCTGATTGGTAGAAGACGGAATCAAAAGCTTGCCAAGGTGGCCTGCCTGAGGCGCCCCTTTTCTGTGTCACGTATCACAGAATCCACTGGGCTCACCGACGGCGAGAGGTAAGCCCCGCATAACGGTTAGGGAGCTTCCTATTCGTCGCGTCCCAAATCAAAAGGGCAGTGCTGTCGAATGGCCCCTTATTGTCGGCTCATTCATTGGCCAATGCCACAATCATAACAACACAAACACGCCCCTTTTCTGGCCTTGACCCCGCACAGCCGAATCATGAATGCTATCTATCCTCCCAGAGGAACAGCCACCATATAGCACTGCTATCCCCGTCTATCTTTCCTTAAAATGCACGACAGCAAGATAAAGGCTCGAGCTGCTGCTTTGAGATCAACGACACTGCACCCTCACAACTAGACGAACCAACCCCGTTTCTTGAACATCGTTTTCTACCCCTACAGCCACATTGCCATCTTTTCTCCCAAGGGCAAAGAGACCCAAGCATTTGCAATGAACACTGAAGCCATGATCGCGATGGTAGCCCTTGTTGTTGCGTTACCCCCGACGGTTTACATCATGATTAAGTGGTGTAAACGAGGTCGTCGGCGGAGATCTTTATGTAAGCCCGTCTCTCATTGGGTCATCGTGATAACCTAATCAACCAATATCCAAGGAGTAAGCTGATTTGTTTACCAGTGCTAGCAACACTCTGCCCAACTGAGGGCACCCGATCACTCAGACGTCAATCGCAGCTCTTCACCTTCTCAGATCGCACGGTTACATTTGGTGTTCAGATTGATGATAGTACTATGTATAGCCAAACTCGTTCCGAGGATAGGCTTTTAGACGCTGTATAGGGGTTGAAGGGAGATAGGCTGATAAAGGCCCGGGGACGCTTAACCAAGACGGAGATCCGTGGAGTGGGGCCCGGCGGGAACGGCTTCCACCGGCGCTCACGGTCGGTTGCCTTCTCGAGTCATTTCCTCTTCCCATAGGTAGTCCACAATAAGTGCTCGGCTTCGTAGACGGTTATTCCAAGTGTAGAGCTACTGCTTAGAAATTAACATCTGTTGGAGCGATGATGCTATTTTTCCCAGCTGGCTACTGTCGGTTATCGGTCCAGTACAGCCAGGTTAGTTTTACCATTGAAGACGGCCTCAATCCTGGCCACGAAGAAGAATAGGGACAGTGGTAACCGAAGAGGCACATACACTCGATGTACTTGGGAGTAATCATCCTGCTGCCTGCCTTCGAGGTCTGGGGTCGAGTCTGATGTGTCAGTATATTGAGTTGACCGACCTGTTGCTTGACTTGAGGGGACTCCCAAGTCACTCAACCTCTTCCAGCCCGATGAAATCCTACCTTGTCATCAAACCGAGTTGTTTCATTGCCAACACCAGAAATAAACAACATTCTACAGTGTATCGTTAACTCTGACTCGATGGCCTCTGCGAGTCCATCCCCGCCGCCCACCAATTTCACCTCCCTCGCCCTCGAGGTCCGCCTACAGATCATAGCGGAGGTGATTGAAATTTCTCTCCGCCTGCCTCTCTTCGCAACTGTATCCAGGGAATGGCGTTTGGAAGTGAAAAAGAACACGTTTAGGTCACTCTTTATCGGCAGAGACCGTCTATTAAATCCTCATAGGATAGCGAGAAAATCGAGAGAGCGCTATATTAAGCACGGTTGTCTTATATTCCCCGCGTTTCCAGTACATTATCAAAAAAGCTAAGAGGAGAGCAGAAGCTCGAAGAAAAGTCTGTGAAATCTTTCTGTTAGTTGCAGTCGACATGACCGGATGTTCTTCTCACATTGATTGTTCAACGTTGCACCAAATTCGCTCGCATCGAAATCCGCCAGAAAGTCGTAAGAAGCAGGCCCGGTGCCATCCTCGGGAGACGCTTCTGTGGTTCCGAGAACGATGCTCAGAGCTTTGGCTACTTTCCCAGCTTCTGCAGATGCCGTACTCATCTGACGCCAAATGTTGTGCGAGATGGTTAACTGTTGCCGAATCTCTTCAGCCCTAGTTGTCTGTCCTGCGGTCTCAAATTTATCGACGTCTTGGAGGTAGAGACAGAGCACGCTGGTTGCAAGGAGGACATCCTGGTTGAAAATACGCGTGACCTTCCATCTGAGCTGACACAGACGACCAAATGGCTGAGATTCTTCGTGAAGCATCTGTTGAAATGATAGGATCTTGAGTGCGGAATCTAAACAAATCGTCACCGACTCCCTGTCCCGCTGTTGCCCAAGCAAAGCTCTTCGGTAGAGGAGGATGCGTGATTTGCGGTAGGTCGTCTCGATACTCACCCGCTGTACGACAAGGGTTGGACTATCCGTGATGGGGTGTGGCATAGCCTCCCAGCGTAGCACGGGCGGAATAGCACGATTGTGCACGTCTTTAAGAAGTGCATCAACCTTAGTAAGCTCGTCGTAGGAAGGGGGATTAATATCGGTGTTGATGTCACAAATCAAACCAAGAGCTGTTATTAGTCGCCCTCTTGCAATTAGAGGTAGCACCGGCGTCCATTCCGTTTCTGGCCTCGGCGGAGGCATTTCGGTTGTATCCTCGTCGAAATCACAGTCGCGCAGATTACGCGCCGGTTTTGTGTCGATGTGCGTATCTGTGGCACTTCGAGGAAGGCCCATCTCCAAGGATATGACGAGATCCAATTGCAGGATTGTGGTCCAGATGCGTCTGCGCATCTCACCCTCGAATGGAGATATTCCGGGAAAGTGGTCTGGGTCCCGGTGATAGCCCATGCGCATTGCAAGATGAAGTATCATCCCGATCGAGAGCCAGCCGTCGGTAACGCCGTCTTTCAAGAGAATAAACTCTCCGGTAAGGACCGTTATGAGGGTTTCCAGGATATATGGTCCTCCCGTTGTATACCTAGCCAGAATCAGACATTGCACTGCCTTCTCCCGGAAGGCATCCTTCACGGTGAGATACTCCGCCTTGAGTGATTCGGCTCGTCCGTCGGGAAAGTCAATGGCAAAGGTCTGCAACTGGGCAGCGATATATAACATTGAGAACATGAGACCAATCCAAGCGATGGATGTTGTAGATGGATCTTCCCAGAAGGCTTCGTACTGGTCAAATGTCAGACTCCTCGTCATCGGTCATCAAAAGAACCCACCTCTCGGAGAAACTTCTTGCCATGGATTAGATCTGCAGCACAATCAGTGCCTGTGAGGGCGGAGACAAAGCTTAGGTGTACTGACATGGAGTGATAATGTAGGAATCGAAGTGAAGGGCCATGAAGCGGTCAACAACCGGGCGAGGAGGAACAGCAGCCAGTATCTCATCTCGAGTTGCATGACGATTCGGACCATAGAACAAGTGCGAACCAAGCGGAGGCTTGCTATCAGTGACAAGGTCCTCCTTGAGTCCTCTGATTTTGGTAAGAATGGCCTCCCAGTGGACGCTTTGGACATAGCTGGTTCCAGACTCGCGCACCTCTAGGGTGCCAGGGTCTGCCGGGGAGGCAACTCCATCTTGAGCTTCTGTTGGTCTTGTGATGTCAGGGAGCACATCTGCGAGTGATGGCGATTTTGGTGCGGGCGCAGTTGGGAGCGGTTGGCCTTTCATGAGGGTCACGACAAGGTTCTCGAGTTCAGAGATCCTGCCATGAAGGCTGGTGGACTTTTGTGGAGCAACGGAGCGCGGAGCATCGGGCGTCGAAGAAGGTGACGTCGCATAATTGCACGAGTTGACAAGGCCACGCCTTGAGCAAGCTCCGCATGGGTGGTGTCGGTCGCACCTCAGCCTGGCAGAGTCAAGTCAGGGGCGCACGGCATTGTGACAGATGACGAATGAGCACTTACTTTCGATGTCTACAGGGATCGCAAGAAAGCTGGGCTTTGTCTCTGCGTCGATTTGGCGGGGGACGCGGACGCGGAGCATCGTCGGCCATGGTGTGCTTAGATTGAGGTACTGGCGGAGGTTAACCTCGGAGGGTGGGTAATCTGGGATGCCCAAAGCAGAATTGACTCCTACACTTTCAGAGGCACTTCAATAACAGCAGGAAGATGTTATCGGAGCAAATTCAGAGGCCATGAAGAAAACAACGACCATCCGATCCTCCGTGCGACCCTCCGCGTCAAACCTCCGTATCGACCATCCGGACGGATATAAGAAGGTTTAACTCCGCACTAACATACCATGTAACCAAATCAGTAGCTGATGCAATTAGCTAGCCACTGCCCAAGGGGCCATGACCCTGGCTTCAAATAAATAGCAAGCAATGATGAAATATAAGATCCAACCGCCTTCTGAAGTGCTAGCCTGTTTTGTTTTAAAAAGCAAAGCCTGGCACCAGTGAACAAACACGCGCCAATATCCCAGAGCCACACCACCCTCGACAGCACATCATGGCAGCCGACTTGGAATCCGCCCATGAGAAGCCTTCCTTAATGGAAGACGGCCACCATGACCAACAATCCAACGAGTCTGACCAGACAGCCATTGAACAAGAACAAGAGACAAAGGACAATGTCGTCGACTGGGATGGGCCAGACGATCCCCAAAACCCCCGAAACTGGTCAGAATGGAAACGGATGACCCAAGTAGTCCTAGCCAGCGCTTTCTTGCTGACTGCGTAAGGCATTCCTTTGGCGAAGAAAGTCCAGTACTAACTGATGCACATACAGAAACCTCGCTGCGACAATGTTTGCACCCGGAGCCGCCGCCCTTGCCAGGGAGTTCCATATCACCAGTTCTACGATCGTTAGTCTCACTGTGTCCATTTACCTCTGCGGCTTCGCCGTTGGGCCGATGTTCATTGCACCACTATCCGAGCTATATGGACGCCTTGTCATCTACCACACTTGCAATATCATTTACATTGGCTTCATCATCGGATGTGCTCTGAGCAAAAACACTGGCATGTTTCTAGCTTTTCGATTCATTGCCGGGTGTGCTGCTTCAGGTCCATTGACAGTTGGCGGAGGAACCGTCGCAGACGTCGTCCCGCCAGCTCAGCGTGGGAGGGTAATGTCTTTATGGATGATAGGACCACTTCTGGGACCCGTAAGTATCATTATCCAACGCAAACCGTGATGAGGCTGACATTCCTCAAGGTGTTGGGTCCGATTATTGGTGGCTTTGTGTCCGAGTCAATTGGCTGGCGATGGACTTTTTGGATCATCACAATCCTAGTGAGTAGAGCACAACCCCTACTACTCTCAAGCCGCTAACTCTTCGACCTAGGCAGGAGTATCATTTATCATTTCAGTCTTCTTCCTCCGCGAGACCAATGCCGTCGTGCTCCTAAAATGGAAAGCTGCTCGCCTCCGGAAAGAAACTGGCAATGCTGCTCTGGTTTCCATAATGGATAAAGGCCTGACCCCCCGCCAGCTATTCCTCCGCGCCATTGTTCGACCAACAAAGCTTCTCTTCCTATCGCCGATCGTACTCCTCCTTTCCCTCATGTGCGCCTTTGTTTTCGGCCTCCTCTTTATCCTGTTTACCACGTTTCCCACCGTCTTCGAGGAACAATATCACTTCTCCGCAGGCATTTCTGGCTTGTCATATCTTGGTGTCGGAATTGGAATGATAGTCTCTCTCGGGGCCTACGCCACCGTGAGCGACAAGTTACAAAAAGCACTTGGAGATTCGCCCAAACCTGAAGGACGCCTGAAGCCAATGATATGGGCCATGCCTGCTGTGCCCATCGGCATCTTCTGGTACGGCTGGGCAGCTGAGAAGCAGACTCACTGGATTGTGCCCATCCTCGGCACCGCCTTGTTTGGATTCGGCTTTCTCTGGATTATAACGCCAACTCAGCTCTATTTGGTGGAGGCTTTTGGCCCTGAGGCTGCTGCGTCTGCGTTGGCTGCCAACGTGATTCTTCGACTTCTTTTTGCTGCTTTCATTCCTTTGGCGGGTCCGTCTTTATACGCAGACCTAGGACTTGGGTGGGGGAACAGCGTCCTGGGTTTTATAGGCGTGGCCTTTCTTCCCGTACCACTCTTCTTCTATCGTTATGGAGGATGGCTTCGGGAGCGTTTTGCTGTGAAACTATGACATCCCATGTTGGGGAATTCTTTTTGATATACAATTGGGACTTACGTCTTCCAGATGTCATTTCCTTCCCCTCATCATGATGGGTGCAGGGGAGTATAGCAGTAGTCTCAGTTCAGACGTTACTGAGGACTTTAATTGTCCAAAACAAAAGACAGGTAACATGGTCCAAGAAGGAGCCATAGAGCTTGTGTCATCTACATTTATATTTCAAGATAGTCTTTTACTTATACTTCACACTTTATAATACCTACCTTCTTGAACAACACAAAGGCACTCTATTAATCCCTGCGTATTACTCAAGTTATGCAGATTATACAGAATGGGAGACTAGGGCAAACTTTAGTCCGGCCGATATCGCTTCGAAATCCGGATAGAAGCGGCAAACAAGGAAAAGAGGCGAGGGGCGAGGGGCAAAAATTTAATTGACCCAGGAGTAAAAACATTTCGGCCTGCAAAATACTCCAGAATAACTCGATTGACTACCGCCATGTCTTACGGCACAATCAAAACCCCAGCTCCGGCGTCAAATCCTCCGGAAGCCTCCCCCCTTCTTATCGCCAATGGGGGCCCTGCGGCGTCCAATGACGCCTTAGATTGCCCTGAGACAAGCCAACAGGAGTCTCTGAATGGAAACAGTCTGTGGGTAACTCTCAAGTCGATCTACAACAACAATATTGGGTTGTTTCTTGTCTTTTTGGCACAAATGTTTGGGTCTATTGTACACTCCCTCAATTGCGGAGAAACTTCATGATGCACTGACAAAGACAGATGACCATGACAACTCGATTGTTGGAAACGGGTTTCGAAACAAAATATCATGCCTTGCAAGTCATCTTTGTGCGGATGCTGGCCACTGCCATCGCTGGATCTCTAGGCATGTGGTATAAGAAAGTTCCTGGCTTCCCCTTTGGCCCACGAGAGGTCAGGGGATTGTTACTCCTACGAGGGTTTGCCGGAACTGCCGGGTTGATTGGCCTATACTGTAAGAACAGACTTGCTCACCTGTGGATGAAATCACCAAAAATTCCAGCTTCTAACAATCTTAGACTCGTTGTCGTACCTAGCCATCTCTGACGCAACCGTTATCACGTTCCTCGTCCCTACCATGACGGCGTCCATCTCTTGGGTCGCTTTACATGTATGTCAAGCACACCTTGCATCACGAACTTCTTACCAACTGTTGTCGATAGGAACCTTTCACTGTCAAAGAAGCTGCTGCCGGCTTCATCGCCTTCACAGGCGTGCTCTTTGTCGCCCGACCAGCATTCTTGTTTCCCGAAGGCGCCAATGCATCGGCATTATCTACTGGCGTGGAATCCATCGTTCCCGGCGTAGTTGTTCAAGGAGGCATTCTTCCACCGCCAGAAGTGACGCCTGCTGAGCGTGCTATCGCCATCATGTGCTCCATCTTCGGTTCCTTTGCGGCGGCCACGGCATACAGCACAATCCGCGCGATTGGGAAGCGAGCGCACTCTCTCGTGAGCGTCAACTACTTTGCTACGTTGGCGACTGTCAGCTCGTTCCTCATCATCATGATTCATCCTGATCTCCAGTTCGAGATCCCCAAAAGCACCATCGAGTGGTATGTGGCCCAAAATTGACAACTTGCTTTTTCCCAGGGTTGGTGACTAACTTCAATAGGATTCTCCTCCTTTCAATCGGAGTCTCGGGTTTTTTGCTTCAGGTCCTTTTGACGGAAGGTCTGCAGAGGGAAAAGGCAGGAAGAGCCACCAATCTCATCGTAAGTTTGTTCCACACTACAGAGCCTATCAGGGGCCGTCTAACCCAGCCAATAGTACGTTCAAATGGTTTTTGCACTCATCATTGAGCGCGTCGTCTGGGGAACCACACCGCCGGTTACAAGCTTCGTCGGCAGCGCCCTGATCATTGGGGCAGCCATTTGGGTAACGTTACAGAAGAAAGCACCCGTGGAGCAGACAAGGCTACTGGATGAGGAAAGGAGACCTTGAAACTTAGCTGCCTGCAAGCAGTTTTGTCAGCATTCCTGACATCCTGCTGATATTGAAGGGTGCCAGGACTGTCCTTCGCACAGTGGGTTTCGCACATGTTGCCAAAAGATACACAGAAAGACATGTTCTTGAATATATCGCCAAGAATACCAAGTACATTAGATACCTAGACATTACTTTCGCCCGAAATATTGCACTGACCGCAGTTAGTTTCTCCTCTTGTGTCACCTTTCAAGCCCATCCGTGTCACGTAAGAACTCTATTATAACCCCTTTCCCACCAGGCAGGCTGGCCTCACGAGCAGTCCACACCAATTGCCAAGGTCTCCTTTGTCACCGAAAAACACTGTGCAACAACCCAGGTTATCAGACCCGGAAACTGTCGGCTGCATGTTGCCAAGATTATCCGTTGTGGCGGGACGACAGTACATACAGTATGCCAAAGGTGGGAACCCATTGCCAAAAGGGGCGAAACTGAGCGCGGAGCGAATCATATCCGTCCAATTTCCATCCTCAACCGCAAGGCAACGCTGGCCCCCTGCTGTGTATCCCCACATGTTCACCCAGATATGCTTATCCGCGTAACCCGAGCCTCACTGCAGGGCCAAGATGCCTCAGCTGAACCCTCCTCCAAGCTGAGTTTTGCCAACAGGAACGGACCCGGCAGTTGTCCGTCTCACCCCGGCCCCGCACCTCTTTGACTGGCCTCACCTGCAAGTCTGCTGACAGCCAAGACTCCAGCCTCATGAGAGTCTCTCCGAGCCGCGCGGTTATTGTATAAGTCGGGCTTCATTCCCGCTCGTGCATCAAGTGCCAACCTTCCTCGGGCTTGTGTTCGCCACTTGGGTTTCTGCGATCCTCACGACAAGGGCCAAGAAGAGGGGAATTGAGTACGCGATGGCTTCTAGTGTGACCCCAATCCGGGCTTGGGGGTTGCTTTGAGTCGGGAGAAAACCCGCCCATGCATTGATTGAGGACGGGGGATTGGCTCTTTTATTTCTCCCGTCAACTCTAAGGCGTCGCGCTCGGTTTCACCGGATGAGGAAAGATGATGAAGATCAAGATACCATCGACGATGTTAATATCGACGAGGCTACGAGAATAAAGAAATCGGTATAAAACGTGAAGGCCTCAACAAGCTTAGAGGTATTCGTTAAGCAGCATCAAACACATCCTCCCATCTCCCATCCTCAAACATCCCTCACGACATCAAACCACCAACTTGAACTAGCCAAAATGAAGTTTCCATCTCTTCTCGCCGCAGCAATGCTCCCCGCGGCCATTATCGGCAAAAAGGACTCGGGCTTCAAGTACGAGCGATTGGATAAGGACGACGCCGTAAGTCACACCACCAGAAGCCACACTAGCCTCCTTTACTGACTTTGTCAAGGTCCTCCTTATCGTTGATATCCAGGAGGGTCTGATTAACGTCGTGAGGGACTTTGATCCCCTTCTCTACCACCACATGGCTATTGCGCATGCAGCCATTGCAGAAGCCTTTGACATCCCAGTCGTTATCACGACTTCAGCCGACTCAGGTATGCAATCTTCTCCACTGTGAATGGGGGTCAAACCTTGTCCTAAGACAGTGACTAATGTGTGCTTCAGGCCCCAACGGCCCGCTCGTCCGCGAGATTAAAGAGATGCATCCCAACGCCCCCCTCATCCAGAGACAAGGCGAGATCAACTCCTGGGACAGCGAAGAGTTCCGCAATGCAGTGATAGCAACCAACAGGACCCAAGTCATTATTGCCGGCATCGTAACCGACGTGTGCACCACATTCCTCGCTCTTTCTCTCCGTGAGGAGGGCTTTTCAGTCTGGGCCAATGTTGAGGCATCAGGCACTAGCTCAGTTCTGGTCCGCGAGGTTTCCAACGATCGCATGGCAAGGGCCGGCGTGCAGACGGTCAGCCTGTATACCATTATTGGAGAGTTGATGCGCGATTGGCGAAACGTTCCTGGTGCCGAGAAGATCTTCCCCTGGTCTGATAAGTACATGCCCCTTTGGGGTCACCTTATCCGAGCCCACGGTTATGCAGTCACCAACGGAACTCTTTCTCCTGGACAGGAGGGGCTTCTCTGAGCAATACTATTGGGGAGGCAAGGTTGTGAGCAAGCATGCATGACCGTTACGCGTCGTCATTGTTGCACGGATGAGCCGGCTCACATGCCCATTTCAGTGTCCCTTTGGCCAATGTGAAGGCACTTCGCCCCGAGGGGAGCAAGATGCAGGTTGGATGGCACAAAACTTCACTTCTTCAATCGCTTTATGTCGAATTCTGACAAGGCAATTCTTTTTACACGTATTTATTTAGCTTCAACTCCCAGCAGCCAAAAGGCTTCAAGTCGCATGAGTCGATTACGAAGGGTCGAGTATTTAGCCATCAATAAATCACTGCATCAAAGTCTTTCCCTATCCAGTGAAGCATGCAATTTCATAAAGAACTCTGTAGCTATGCACATCAGTTTAGCCTAGTGCCGGCATGACAAGCTTGTTGCCTCCATTCGCACTGATAGCAGCACCATTGACCCAACGGCCCTCCTCACTAGAAAGGAATCCAACAATGTATGCAATGTCCTCAGGAACACCAATCCTATCCGCAGCCGAAGTGTCTCTAATCTGTGCGTCAAAATAACCCGGTGGCATCAAGTCTTTGCTAGCCTTAATAGAATCAGTAAGTGTCAGCCCCACAATGACACTGTTAAAGGTCGCGCTAGACTCCTTGGAAAAGGCCTCGGCAAACGAGCGGGTGTAGCTTTGAAGAGCGGTCTTGCTGGCTCCATATGTCATGGTGGGATCAGCGTTGGCCTGGTAGGCGAGGACACTTGAAATGTTGATGACACGACCTCCATAGGCTGGGAGATGAGGCAGGAGGGCAGTGGTGAGTGTAACTGGGGCGTAAACGTTTCCTTGCATCACGTCAAGGAAGCTCTGAAGGGTAGTCTCCTTGACGGGAAGAACCTTCGAGTGGTCGGTCAAAACGGCGTTGTTGACAAGGATATCAATAGTGGTGGTGTTGAGTCGTTCAAGAACTTGGGCGATAAGCTTAGGGCCGAACTCGGGGTCAAGTGCATCCGCCTGAATTGCAACTGCTTCCTTCACTCCTAGGCCTCGGCATGTTTCGAGAGTAGCTTCAGCAGCCTGGACGTTGGTGGCATAAGTGATGGCCAGCTTGGTAAGACCTTTGCGGGAGAGGTGAATAGCGATGGCTTGTCCTATGCCGCGAGAGCCTCCGGTAACAATGGCTGTCTTTTCGGCCAAGGACCAAGGGGCTTCGAAAGATGGAGGCGAAGACATTATGATTAAGTGTCGAGTGCGATAGATCTTAGTCTTGAATAGAAGGTTGGTTGATTGATGAGTATCTGGGTCTCGCATTGGGGGTGGAATCTGGTGTTATTTATACAAGAATCACATGTCCAACACATCATAACGAATAGTCTTTCGACTTAGCACGCAACAGCTCCAAGCGTCTGTCAACCGGGGCTTGTATCATCCGTGTCAAGCGGAGCGGACAACGGAGTTTGGGTGGAGAAGCGGGATGGCATTCCATGGGAACAAAGAGCTGGGGTCGGCCTGTCTGGGATGAGGCTCGCAAGACGATAGTTCCATGTCCCGCTAGACGACCGACCAGTCAGAAGGCCACTGGGTGCCGGCGCATTTAGAAATTCCGAGAGAGGGGCAAGGCTAACTCGAGATTTCTTGCTAGCAATGGCTGAACAAGCAGGATCCATGGGGTGGCTGCAAGGGGTTATGGGGATCGCGGGCCCGAGAACTATCCCGGCAGCCCGAAGGCTTGACATGAATATTGAGTCAGTTCGGCACCAGACTACGGTGTTAGATCAGAATTTTTGGACGCGATTGAGCTTTCTTCTCGTTACAATACTCTTCTGGTGCGCTTGTTAGATCCTCTTTGAAGCCAAATCTTTTCATCACCATCTCTATGCCACAATGATGAATTTATAGCCAGATTATGCCTCTCCAAAAATCTCAAACATCTAATTGAGTGTACACTTGTCTCGATACTGTATGAACATGAGACCAAATACCTACCTCTATGCTACTGCTCAGACGCGTCAGTCCAGCGGACTATTGCATAATCTAATCTTAACTCCATTATCGCCGAATGCAGGACGCCGCCAGACGCTCTAGACAGAATCGACTCCCGTCCAGACGGGACATATTTGACAAGATTCGGCAATCGGTGTGATTTCGGAGACTTTATAGGTATTTTTCGTTTTCCAATACGAGCAAGACCCCTGGCTGTCCTGACTTGTGCACAATTAAAGTTCGACCGTTGCCAAGAGGGGTATAGTATTTATTAATGCCTGTGGCCGTAGAGTAGCGGGTTGGGCACGTTTTGGCTTGAGCAACGAATCATGCTGCCCCCGGAGCAGTTACATACGTACAATGTCTCAAGAGGGCGCAAAGAGAAGCAACGGGAACGGATTTAAGCATTAAGCCCGCATTGATCAAGACAACCTCGCATCACCACAAGGCGACGTGGTCCTCGGATGTCAAGGGAGTTTAAAACTATACAAGTCTCCAAAAGCGGCATAATTCTGTCCCGATGTCCAAGCACTTTAGCTCTCCTGCCAGGGGAAAGTACTTTATACTTGCCTACTGGCCAGGTCAATTGCTTCGGTTAATGACAAATCAAGAGGTCCTCTACACACTGTTTGTCAGGCCTATCACTAATGTTGTTATTGATGGTCTAGCAAAGGGCATCGTTTAATCCCATGGACTTGAATAATAGCTCTATAGCAACAGACAACAGTCACAACCTTATCGAGCCTTCTTTATTGATGAACCCTCATTTATATGTATCAACTCGTTTGCGTATCAGATCCATCAATATGCAGTGTGCGTTGCAGATAAAACGTTTCAGTGCGACTCAATGAGATATTCGCTGCAGTTTCTCCCACTTTCATGAAATTGCACAAGGTTATGCAGATCACAAATCACAAAGGCTTCCTGGGCTTGCGCCCAGCCAGTGGGTGCGAGGGTCATGTGATCTTCTTTGCACAATCCGCCGTGCATACATAACGGGCACAGAAATCAAGCCACAGACATGAGCCACCAAGGTCTCTTCAACTCCTCCGGACTACAAACAATACCTACCTGGCATGGAACCAAGTATGTCAGGGTTAGAATAATATGAGTATATGACTAGGGGGAAATGTCCCTCTTCTATTTGTGCTTTCTTTTCCTTCTCCTCCCCAGCATATGCTGGTTATCTGGAGCGACTTTGAAGCGATAAAGTTGAATGTGACTTTCCAAACAACACAGAGCAAAAGAGGGGAGTGGGTGCAAGGTGTATTTGAATTCATGGATCTCTTGAATCCAGAAAGTCATGTACGACTAGACATGAACTGAGATCCACTCTCTTGATCCTTGGCTACTATTGAAAGTGTGAATAACCTCATTGTGTCAGGGCGGAGTGTAGGGTAGCACACATGTACCAATGGCGACCCAATCTTGACAGCTGGATCCACTATACTTTGACGTTGATTGGTCAAGAAACGCGAGCCAATGAGCGCGTAAGACGACCTCAAGCCATATAAAATGGACTTAGACGACTTCCACCGCGAAGGAACTCTGACTTCTTTCATTTTTGGCCTTGATAATATATTATCAACTCCCAAAAATATTTTCCTTTGAAAAGTCTCTCAAGGATTAACCTACCATCAACCCATCAGCCCACAATGCCTCGTGTGACTGGCCTCGCTCTACACGACCACCCTGCCTATCAGCGCTACCTAGAAGGCGAGCCAGGCAACCCAGGAACTGTCAAGCGATGGTCTGGACTCACACCTTTCGAGCGGGATGTGAGTGCTAGAAGAATAGTGATAGACTAATAGGCCTCGAACTGAGCTTTTTGCATAGGAGCAGGGGAGGATTGTTCTTCCTATGGGTGAGCGCTTCTGCCGCATGCCTCATCGTGGAGGCGATGGTATCCAGTTGTGTAGCAAGGTGAGTAATTCATACGGTAATCAAATGGAAATAAACTGACCTTTACTACCTAGGATGGCCTGTTTTCAGGCTACCAGAATTTAAAGGGGCACATCCGCATGACGCACAAGGAGGTGATTGCGCCCGCCCATAGGGGTGCCAGTACCCAAGCTGAGATTGACGACACCACCAGTATGCTTGCCTGCTCCAGCTTGCCGTCAATTATCGGCTGACTAAAATCTAGACTACTACACTCTCCTTGTTGCTCGACTCACTGGCGCCGATGATGGCGAGGGAGAGATCGCTACGCCTCGCAAGGCCAGTGGTGAAAGTGTGGTTGTCTGAGGTGCTGTCGATGCAAGAGAGGCGATAATGTATTGTCAATGCATAATCGATCGAATGAGAGTTCCAACTACTCTATTTCGCTCCATGGGTAGCAGCGGCTGATCCCAGAGGGACTTTGGTTGACAACAATTAATATCAATGGATTCAATCTCATTCAAGGGCCCTTTGTCCTTTTTTTTTTGTGAGTGAGAGGCCCTTGACAAGGATACAACCCGCTTAAGTTCGTGAACGACGTGGTAGGCACCACACCCTCTAGTTTCTCGCTCAAGCGCACATCCTTTTCTACGTCAATGGAGCGTACCTAGACGATATTGGGGAGCGCTGAAATGGTACTTTGCATGCTTTAAAGCATTGAAGTATTTTTCTTGTATGTAGCTCAGAGCAAACAATTACATCCGACGGATGCAAGAAGCTAGCCCAGCACAAACGTGGGGTACTGCTTCATCATCTCTCTGATGTCAACTCTCCGGCCATTGCCCTGCTGAATAGCTAAGGCATCCTTGAGGAAATTGAACGCTCGCTTTAGATGCTGCCCCATCTCGCTCATCTTTTGAAACCTCTCAAGTATCCACTCACGATGGAGTAAGTCATCCGTCTCCAGTCCAGCCAAAAAGAGTGGCCACGCAATCTTCCTCAACCCATCGTCGCCCCAGTGACTACGCAATTGGAATGCCAGTCTTATGATTTCTGCAAGAAGGAATCGCTGCCTTTTTCCTTGCCCGAGAGGTGAGTTTGGTTGTGTGATGCGGAGGAATTCGAGTTGGATAGCGTAGAAGATGGGAACGATGTATCGGATATTGGCGACGAGTCTCTGGCTATGATCCGTCTCGGTACACAATTCGCGAGAAACTTCCAACAGCTCTGCGTAGGTATAATTGGCGTTCCTAATAGCGGAAGCAACGCTTGCTGCCCGCTGTTGAAACTCGTCTGATGAAATATCGGGGGCAGTAGCCAGTTCGGCCACCATGAAGCGCAGGAGGTTACAGACAGTCAAGAGATTGTAAATGTTTCGATTCTGAAGATCGTCCAAAAGTTCGGCTTGGGGATATGCGTGGCCCCAGGCAACACGGTATAATGGGTTCGAGTAGCGGTGCATGCGCATGTAGGTTTGCAAAGGAGACAGTGGAGGAGGTCCAAAAGGGTCATTCAGATTGGTGCCACTATCATCGGGTTGCGCTTCAGATAGCAGAGACATCAAGGTCCGGTTGAAGTGACCACCTGCCCCTGTGGAAGCTGCGGCAGCGTCCGACCCAGAGATCCATACCAGCATACGGGCTGAGTACAACGAAAGCATCGGCCTTGTATCTGAACTCGACCTTCGTGTCAGAGCACAAGCTGGCGCATCCACGTCGTGGTCGGATGTTGGGAACCGGAGAAGCTTGTTCATACGATGTTGAAGAAGAGAGGCTGCTCCCTTGATATGATTGGTGCAACCCTGACTCTGCGAGTGCCCAAACTGTTGTTCATATAGGATCATGAGCCATAGAGTCGTGAGAAGGGAATCGAAGTCTTCGCATGGCTCTTCGCGGCCAACCGCATCTGATAAGAGACGCAAGGCAGAGGAGTAATGATAAGTTGGTCGCTGGGTGCAATTCGGGGATGGATTGGGACGTTTTAGATCCATGTCCCCGAAGCTGAGCGCTAGAGCCATGTGCATGACCATCGGGTCCTCCTGGGCAAGGTTAAACATGATGGAGATACATGAGTATTCCTGGTTTTTGGTGTGATGAAGGCTGGCGAATGCCGTCCGGAAATAGCGAATAGCTTCATGGTCGGTGTGGGCCAGTGAGAGTGAGCAGGAGGCTTCGGTAGGAGGGGTCAAACTGGCGGCAGGGGAAATAGGGTTCGGCCGCCTCGGTGTCAAAGACGGGCTTGGTGACGATCTTGATGCCTTTGACTTCCGTGGTCTTGGGCGATAATCGCAGAAAAGGCCAAGCCGGGAGCATCTGCCGCAAATGGGGCGTGTCTCGTCGCATCGCTTCTTTGCCGCCTTGCCACGGCAGGTCCAGCATCCATTCCTAGACCGGGGTTTGCTGCGGGGAGCTGGCACATGCTGCGAGAGAGCACGCGACTCATATGTCCCAATGCCAGGGATGTGAGCCTCCATCTTGTTGACTGGTGCTGAGTATTGAGCCAGAGTGAAGGAAGATGTTCAAGAAGACGGAATACAAGCTGATGGGCAAGCATAGCCGACAGCGGCTCTGTCGGCAAACAGGGCCGCTCCTATCAATGGCGTTTGTCTACTTCTGGTTAGAATTCATCGATAAGAAGGACGAAATGATTGGAGAATCGTGCCACTAAGTTGATCCTGGTTCTCCGAACCTCGCGGCAACTAATGTCGGGAATAGACATGGAGCGCGGGGTTGACCAATATTCGGGGGCACTTCTCGAATCCGAGGAATGGTGTCGGTGCCTCCATCGGGTAACAGTCGTCTATTACAGCCGGCAATAATATTACGAGGGCCCATGCCCCTCTGACCGTAAATTTGGGGCGTAAACTCTCAGCTTGACACTTCTGACTGCATGTTCGTTCGAGGGGCAGCACCACCCTGTCCTGTAACTGGGTCGGGATAACAAAGAATACTGATGCTAACTCTACAGAGTTTGAAAGGTACCATAGGAATGAGTTGCGACGGGATTTTCGCCGTTGGCCACTTTTCTCGATGAAGATATATTAACTTCTTGGCAGTGAGATATGTAATTGGTCTCGGGTTGTTTGCAAGACATGGAGCATTAACACAGGGTGTCCCCAGGGTCTCTTTTGGGATGTTTAGAGAAAACAAGTCAGAGACACGGCGTTTGAAAACTTGTCGATGTCATGTTGTATGGACTCCTTCATGGTGATTGATCGTACCGACGACCCTATTATTACTATCTACTCCAAGATCTTATCGACAAAAACCCCAATCTAACCAACAGAAGGCTGTTGGAATTCTTCAGCTTTGGCACTCCCCTCGTCCTAGGATTAACTTAGATGGAATACCGGAACTCGGGCAATTCGGCATCAGTCTTATCCGCCAAGTTTTGAGCCAGATCCACCTCTTCGGGATTGGTCTCTGGGATTCCGTACTGCCGATCCCTCTTTTTGTTCTCCCAGATGAGATAGAAACGGAGAACACCACTCAGAACGGCGGAAGCACTCAAACAGATGACACAAGCTGTAAAACCGCTTTCGTAGTTGGGCGCCTCGCTAGCCTTGAACAGTTGGGGAGATGCAATGTTGGCAGCGCAATAAGCAACGAAGATCTGCCAAGCAACTGATGTTAGCAGGCTGGAGTAGAAATATGTGGATAGGATGTTTGCATGGCAACTTACAGCAGCGTTGACTGTCGCCTTCTTTGTAAACCCGGCAAAGTTGGCAGTCGACATGGCAAAGATCATGGGGAAATTGCCCACGAAGCTGACGCAAAGACAGAAGCCAAAGAACCTGGCCCAGATATGCTCAGAGTTTATCTTCTGGACTATCACAGACCCTGCAATACCCACTGCATAAATGGCCACCATGAAATAAGTCCGCGAGTTTTTGATATACGTGCTACCGACCGTGGCAATGATGACAGCCAGGGCTTGGAAGGCCGTCGAGATCATTTGGATGAGGTAAGTGTGAACTTTGGAGAAGCCGAACCCTTTCAGGATGATGGATTGGAACTGTCATCCTGGTCAGCCTCAAGAAACGGACTGAACACTCAGCTGGCAAATGGGGCTTACGCTTTGCAGGCCATTAGCCAAGTTGGACGACAACATGATGAGGACTAGTAGCCACATCTTAATGTCAGCGAGTCCCTCTAGCAGCTGGTACATCTTGAAGGTGTCGTTTTTAACGCTCGACATGTTTGTGGCGACTCGAATGACGGCCTTTTCGCGTTGCTCGGGAGAAAGGAAGCGCGCGGTGGTCGGGTGATCGGGGATGAGCCACAGGAGACAGAGGCCCCAAAGCATGGTGACTGATCCGAAAATGATGAACAAGATCTAAGCGCGGGACTTGTTAGAAGGCAGGATACAGATGTGTGAGGGAAGAGCAGTGCACACCTGCCAGGGGGAGATGTCGGCTTTGATAAAGCTGATGGCGTAGGAGAGCAACGAAGAAAAGAAGCCAGCCATGACGTTTCCCATGAACCAGACTCCGTGTCGGAGGGGCTGTTCGGACTTCTTGTACCACATCGAGACCATGGTGGCCAAACCCGGGGCAATTGAGGCTTCTGCTACTCCGAGGAAGAATCGGGCGGCGAGGAGTCCACTGGCGTTGAATGAGCCGGCGGATGCAATGAGGACGGCACCCCACATGGTGCTTGAGAGTAGCGATGTCAGCTACGTCTGTGTCTTCTAGTTTCAAATCTTGTAGAGCACGTACCAGGCACTGGCAACAAGCTTGCCCAAAGGTAGCTTTACAATAAGATACGAGGCAGGGTACGAAAATGCCAGGTACCCGAAGTAGTAGATGCTGCTTGCCCAAGAATATTGACTTCCTGAGAGATTCAGATCCTCTTCCAATCCCATGATGGCAGAGAAACCAAGTGCCTGCTTATCAAGGGTCTGAAAGAGATACGAGAAGAGAAAGATGGGGATGAGACTGAAACTGTTAGCGAAACTGGGGGCAAGTGGAGAGACAGTTAATACGAACTAGAGATCGATCTTTCGAAGGATTCGAGCATCTTCCTCTGTGGAGAGAGTTGGGACATAGGTGTCATCCATAATGTCCTTCTCCATTGCGCCGATATTGACGGAAACAGCAGCATCGCCGTCTTCAGGCTGTGTCTTTTTGGTGTGTGATTCAGACATTATGGGCCGGATCAAAGCAAATAACTAGGCAAAAGTATCGGTTGAGAGTTGAAGATGATGCTCCTGAGACTGGAGTCAGTCTTCTATATATACAAGCCTCCATGCGAGATCAACAGGTCGATAACGAGCAACTTTATTACCCCAGCTTATCATCTCTTGATGGGTCTCAACTCGTTCTGGTATGATTGCGGGGGAAACCCCTGATTCGTGAGACCAGGCCAGAAGATTAGCGGCTAGCGATTGTCGGCTATCGGCTATTTTTCTTGAGAGGTAGTGGAGCATCCATGACGCTAGGGAGCGGCTAGATCATCAACTCTCAATTGGCTTGGCTCGTTTGTTTACGTTTCAAAGGGCGATCTCGGAGGAAGAGTGTAATTGCCGCTGGGATGAATAGAGAGGGTGAGCTGTCTCACATAATCATGTAGTTGCACTACAAAAGATGCTGACGGCGCTCAAGGAAGTTGGCCAGACTAACTCCCTTTGTTATTGTTTATCACTATCTCCTATCAATCCAACATGACCGCCATCCTTGTCCAGCAACCGCACAATGTCGAGGCATCGCCTAAGCACAAGGCAGATGAGTCTCTACTGATGGCAAGGCGAGCCATTGCTTCCACCATAGACTCCATCGACAAGCATCTACTGGCGGTCAACAATGGCATCCACTCCCACCCCGAGCTCTGCTACCAAGAGGTCTTTGCCCATGCCACTATAACCGACTTCCTCGAGTCTCAAGGGTTCAAGGTCGAACGCCAAGCATACGGCTTGGACACGTCATTTGTGGCAGAAGCAGGCTCGGGTGGCCGACTCGTCATCTTCTGCGCAGAATACGATGCTCTTCCAGACATAGGTCACGGGTGCGGTCATAATCTCATCGCAACCGCCTCCATAGCTGCATTTGTTGGAGCTGCCAGCGCACTACTTGCACTGGGCATCGCTGGCCGCGTTCGGATCCTCGGTACTCCTGCTGAGGAGGGAGGAGGCGGCAAGGTCAAGCTCATCGACGCCGGCGCCTTTTCTGATGACGTCTCTGCAGCGATGATGTGCCACGCAATGCCAGCCCATCAGATGAAAGGTGGGAAGGCAGGCATAGCGGCGTTCCGTACCCTGGCATCTCGACGCCTTGGCATGGAGTTCTTTGGCAAGAATGCACACGCTGGACAGGAGCCGTGGAACGGCATAAACGCTCTTGATGCCGCTGTCAGTACGTACACGACAGTGTCCATGCTTCGCCAGCAGATCCAACCACACCAGAGGGTACAGGGCGTTATAGAAGAGGGAGGAAAGGTTCCCAACATCATTCCGGATTACACTAAAATGACTTGGGGCGTGAGAAGCTTCTCTAGCGGAGAGGTGGACGCGTTATCCGAAAGAGTGGAAGCTTGTGCAAACGGCGCTGCCAAAGCGACAGGCTGCACTGTCAAAATTACACGGTATGTGTTGGCAAGGATCTCGCTCTTAACACAACTGACTTGAACAAGGGCGGTACCTTATAAAGAGTTGCGAGTCAACGAAGCCCTGTCTAAAACTTACGTCAATGAGATGGCATCGCTGGCCAAGGATGTTCTTTACGAGGATGATGAGCCCTCATCAGCAGGAACGGACATGGGTAAGTGTCCTTGGCTTCCTTCGGCATTAAGACCCATTCCTGACAGCAGGACCAAAGGCAACGTCTCACATGTTGTTCCAAGCTTTCACGGCATATTCGCCATCCCCACGGCCCCCGGGGTCCCTTGCCACAACCGGGCTTTCACCGATGCAGCCGGCACTACTGAGGCCTATAGAGAAGCTGTGAAGGCTGGAAAGGGCATGGCAATGGTGGCTATTAGGATACTCGAGGATGCGGATCTGGCGGCTAGGGTGAAACATGACTTTGGGAGACAAAGCGGCTAGTATCGACATAGACATAGTAATAGTCTGCTAGTTCTAAGACGTGGAGTATAAGGCGATTTAAAATAGCACAGAGGGTAAAATAATAACATGTTCTCGACCATCACGGCTGTCGATAACTTCACTCCTCCTTTGGATGATACAGCTCCTTCGCTCGCAGCCTGGCAGCCGTATTTACGTCATGGCTAACAAGCATGACCACATTTTCCTGTCTTGAAAACTCCTTGATGAGTTCCAAGCTCTTAAACGCGACCATTGGATCCTGATTGATGCCATCCGGCTCCCCTCTCTCCAACAACTCCAGGCTGTACGTAGCATCGCCTGTAATGAAGTACTTCTCAGCGACGCCTGTACCTGAGTTGCTGCCCTTCACAATCACAGAGAGATGCCCCGGAACGTGTCCCGGTGTCTCTACTGCAACGACTGCTCCGTCGGCTGTGATAGACTCTGACTGACTCCATGGCCCAATTGGCTCTCCTTCAAATTTCAGCAACTTCAAGTTGAACTCCTTTGGCCAATGATTGGAAGCACACCCTTGCATAGCAGCATAAGTAGGGTGCTTCCCAAAGGCTTCCCAGTGTGCAGTGCTGATGTAGACGGGAACATTTGGGGCAGCCTCGACAATTTCCTTCAGGCCACCGGCGTGGTCGTGATGCAAATGGGTGAGAACAACAGCCTGCAAGTCTGTTGGACGCACACCGAGCTTTTCCATTTGGCTCACGACGCCGTCTTCTGGTTCCACCTCAAGCTGGTTGAGCACTGTGGCAATGTAGCCCAAGGCTGGAAAATAACCTGGTTCCATGCATTGAGGCGAGGCTCCAGTATCGATCAAGATGGGTCCGTTGGGATGCCTGACAAGGAAGACGCCGATGGGCATCCATGGTGTCCACTCTCCTGTGAAACAGCGGAGGAGACGGAGTGTGGTGTTCTTGTTGGTGATGGGTTGTCCACTCATTGGTTCTCTCATCTTGACCCTACCAGTCGAGATAAACTCGATGGAAACGTCAGACATCTTCAGTGACAGGAGTGATCCTGCGTGCTGATTCTGGGATAGGTGGGAAATGATGAGGAGGGTTGGCTGAGCGGGTTTGGTTGGGGTTGAGCGGATCAGATTGGCGCCGCAGTGTTCACTGATGAAATCCTCTTGGCAGCTGCAGAGTGGCCGAAGGGGATCAAGGGATCAAAACTATTGATGTTGATGGGATCAGCTTATGTTGGGCCATCCGGAAGAGAAAGCTCAGAGATCTCGTAGCTAAGCGAATGCCGAGTACCGAGTGCCGAGCGCCGATCACCGAAGTGCTAGTCATTTGATCCGGCACAAGCAATGTTATACTTTAATCAAGCAAAAATGGACGGAGCCATTTTAGCGTGTAGAAGAGACCGTTAATGGCGGCGGCCATCTATCTGCTTGATGGGTTATGGGAAGCAGATCGGAACCAAGAGAATTCCCTGAGTGTTGATGGTCACAGAGTGCAGTTGAAGTAATCAGATAGTAGAAACCAAAGAGAGAGGATTCAGCATCAAAGGATATCATAACAGAGATCTAGTTCTGCAGCGCGAGTTAAGAATACAGCTCGGAGAGTCTGTTAGCAGATTACAAGTTATCTGCCCTCCGAAACTCTCCGCGGCTAAAAGAAGGAAGTTGAATCAAGAAGAAAATGACAAAAAAGTGTCGCAGAGCAGCGAAGAAGAAATCAAAGCCCCCAGGTCTACATCGTCAAGCCTCAATGCCGTCTAAATAGGGCAAGCGGCGTTGTACTTCTCATCAGACATCTCAGTGTCGCTAACCTTGGTACCATCGGGACAGTACACTCCAGATTCGGTGATAGCGCCAGGGACAAGGAGACCTGGGCTGTCCTCAGTCTGCTCACCACCATCACCGTCAACGACTTGGTGGTTGTCGGTGGCGGGAATCTCGACTGCTCCAACGTCCTCGGGCTTAACGTCTTCGCACTCGGTCCAGGCTTCGGAGTGGTCGGCATCCTCGAGGAGACCGGTGACCTTGTATTCGTAAGAGGTGCCGTCCTTGAACTTGTTCTCGAGCTGGAGGAAGCGATTAGTGGGTGTTTTGTGATGAGGAAGTATCGAGCGCTGAACTTACGGTGGCTCGGAAGCGAAGGTTGGCTCGACTTTGGAGAACAGTGGTCATGCAACGGACCATGCCTCCTCCGGGAACCAGATGGTTGACGCGGAAGCGGACAGTCTCCTATTAGCAGTATTAGAATTATATAGCATGACGCCCTCTGTGCAAGAATTTACCTTGATGATGCTGGTGTTCTCTTCGCCAACAATCTTCTTCTCAACCTTCTTGCCGACATACTTGCCCGAAGCCTCCAGACCAGCCTTGCTACCACCAGAAGCCCACCCAGGAACACCAGCCTTCCAAGAAACCTCGCCCTTGGCAGTAAGACCGATCTCACCACCGTGCTCAGAGCCTTCTTCCTTGACCTCGCTGATCTTATGCTGCCTCTCAGTGCCGATGGAGGAGTCGATCCACATGTTGGCCTCGCTCTCTGACTTTCTGTTGTCGAGGACGTGGGTCACCTGAACGGCGTCGATCATTCTCTCACTATACAAGTATGTCAGTATATGTCTATCTAGCCAAGGAAGTACTACTTACGAGAAAGGCTTTTCATTGAGCTGCTCAAAGGTAGGATCGAACTCGGGGTCCTTGAGAATGACCCTGTCCACAGCCGTCTTGGAGAAAATGGGAGTCATCGAGTCAATTCCATCACCATGCTTGACGGAAAAGCCGAGAAGCATTCCACTTCCTTCGATTCCATGAGGAACATCAAACTGAGCCGCATCAGGAACCCAACCACCAGCATCTCCCTCGCAGTTGTCACGAGGGCAAGAGTTGAGGCGGAACACTAGACGGCCCAGACCACCGCCCCAACCGTGGTCGTACATGCTGAACTGAGAGAAGGTATCTACCCAGGGATCCCAGATAATCTTTCCCTCTCGCTTGTGCCAGTCAAGGTCGGGCTTGGTACCGACCTCACGCTCAGAACCGTCAGTGAAACGAACACGGATCCAACGAAGCATGTTCTCATCAGCGCGAGCTTCGATCTCGGTGGGGAAAGCGCCGTGGCTCCAGCCACCAACACAAGTGTAAACGCCGCCATTGTCGTTGCCGACAGTCACCTGGCTGTCGATGAAGTCGCCGAGTCCAGTGCAGTCAGCGTTGGCAGGATCAGAGAGGTCCTGGCGGCGAACTCTTCCATTGCCACTTGGGGCACCGCGCACCAGGCCGTTGGTGGTGGCGAGAAGGGGCGCGTAACGAGTGAAAGATGAAGAAACCTTCATTGTAACGAATGTTGGTAAGGAATGTATAAGAGTTAATGGATTGAAGTGAAGCGAATGGTGATTGTGTTAGTTCAACAGTAGATGGTCACGGTCTCTCTTTATACTTTTAAAGACATCATCGAGCTCTCAGCAGCGGTAGCTACTGCGTATGCCGTCCAATAAGCAACTTTCCTAGGATCTCCAGATAAGAAGACCATTAAACTGGCTCTACCATACGCTCAAACGAATAGAACTGTTGGAGCATATCCCCGTGCCTACAATCCCTAAGCGCCTATGTGCAGAGGATTTGATTAAGGTCTGAAGGATTCGGGCGCTTGGCTCCAAGGATCCCAAAAAAGATCCTTCTACTACGGCCCGGGCGACAAGGCTGATCCTTCGGCCACCAGGGTCTAGTAAATTGCCTCTTTTGAACCATCTTGTGGCTTATCATTGGTCAAAGTACGATTCAAAGTCATACTATACTATCGGTCACTCGATTAACTTAAGTGCTGACTCGAGTTCGTCTCGCAGGAAGGCATTGTTTCAAGGATCAACGTGAATTGTTGAGGGATGGCTGAATGAGCTATGGCAGACACAAGGAATGCAATTAGCCTTCTAGTTTAATCTCACATTTGCGGATGACGCTGGTAAAATCTCGTGATCTGCGTTACACGTGCCCAAGCTTATTAGTCTTACTGGGTATACTCTGAAACGCCCACTTCAGAGCTGATCTGCAATAGAACCCCATTCATATAACCTGTCTCCTAGGATGCCTTGCCATATGCCGTTCCTTAGAGTGACAACCTAAATGGGGCCGGAATTAGGCGAACTCTCTCGAGCTGGTTATCGATCGACTGTCAAATCATCATTTGTCGACTGATGCCAGTTGGAATTCTGGATGAAACGGAAGAAGCACGTGGTCTCTGCAGAATCCCAGTGACCCTGCCTACACCGAGTGCTAAGTTCAGAGTCATTTATAGAATTGGTCACCAAGTGTTTACATTTTCCACCTGCTTGCCCTAAGGCCAGACACAGCACGTTTGGGCAGTCAAAGGGATGTCCACCCGGCTCTGTACCAAGGGGTACGGATCAGATAGAACACCAAAAAAGGATGCGTTTTACCATGTCTGGTAGGTAGTATAGGTTATGGTACTAGGGAAGATAGAAGGATCGGGTAGGGACATTATCGGAATCCTCTATCGACGGGATCACCGAAGGAACGGCTCTAGAACGCCCTGGGTCCATTATTTGAATTCTACATCAATATTGTCCAAGGTGGGCCATCTGTAAATCCAACAGGCATAAGTCCCAAACCTAGATCCTGTAACTCAAGGTAACGTAGTCAAGAGATTTGCTGGTTCTCCGCCTCTAAAGCACAGCTCGTTTGCGTTATAGATTTGGTACATGTAAGGAAAGACCGGCGCAAATTCAGTATCCTTTGAGCCCAATCCAGCTGGAATTATAGTGAGGAACACAAGCAGATAGTTCGAAATCGAGTTAAGAATCGGCATGACCGAAAGCCATAATACTGATGTCTAGGCAACGTATGAGGGGCCGAATGGCGTCGGATACCGCTTCGTCGGGGATGAAAAGCCGCGATTGACTCCTGACAAGGCTATTCTACCCACCAAGTCTACACTGAAGGTGCATTTTGCCAGATTGTGGTAGCCCCGAGGTCTCGCGGGCATCTAGGTTGGGAAAGAGGTGTGCCGGGTCACCTGACCTGCTGCTGTCTTGGAGCACCTGCCTTCACCATCTGCACTTCAACTTTTCTTTTTTCCCTCCCACACCAACAACAACCGTCCACTCTGAATCATGCTTCTCTCCCCCGCCGAATCTGTTGTTTAATTGATATCTGGTTGTTTTTTCCCTGATTGATTGATGGAAGAAACGTACGTGTCGGATGACCTCCCTGTCCTCTTGGCCCTGTTCGCTAACAGGCAGTTACGCGAAGGCTTCCAGAATCTGTTCTTTGTTATAGTTGCAGCCTGGCCCTTGATGGGGACTGAGCCAGAAGATGGAAGGCAGTCTTCCAATTCCCGTACGCTTAGACTATCCTCGCCACATGCAATAGAGTAACTAACAATTCTCTTGCTGATAGAACACCATCAAACCTTTTTCTGTAGGTCATGCCCCCCTCCTGATATCAAATCGGACTATCATGCTGACTTGACAGTCAGCAACCGCATCACAATCGTAATTTCTGGCCCCCATTCATGAGAGACGATTCTCGAGTTATTGCTAATACTTAGTATAGATGCCGAAGAAGTCTGCCGTAAGTATTCAACAGCCAATCTGTCACCAGCATCATTCACGCATACGCGACCGTCGTGGGCCAAAGAACTCAGTTTGTTAACATGCTTATAGAACGTCGATTCCAATGACGGCGTGAGCTATTACTTTTGCCCGTTTGATAGCTGCCATACAGTCGCAAAAACACGTTACATGAAGCTGCCGCAATGCAGCGTGTCGGCATGGGACCACAGTGCGACGACCCGGTTGGCCGCCAGGTTCAGCCACCCAACATAAACGTTACCCACGACGTCGACGACGCTTGCGTACATCCGTCCGACACTCAAGCACCATCGGAGACCGACGTTGAAGATGTCGAAATATAACAAGGGCCTGAGCTTCTGAGTTTTGGTGGATGATGTGCCGATTGAGGGCGGACAGCGCACGGCTTGTCTGGATTATACGATATTCTAGCTCAGTTTCCATCAAGGGCCGAGCTGCAACTATGATAAAGAACACATTGTCAACACATCATAGCATCATGATCCGATGTTAACACAGTAGCTTGTCTAGTACAACTTAACCCTAAAAAGGCTCATAGGTAGCTCCATCACATACACATCTTGTTCTGAGTCGCGGTTAGGACTGTATCTTTGTAACAACAGATGTATTATCCTAACCATAAACTCTCTGAATTTAAATTCTTCGGACTTCCTCAAGTATAGTCCCGACATCCAATGTTCCCTCTTCAGAGAGGCTCGCACGCCAGAACGCCAAAATACGCCCTGCCGTAGAAGAGAGTCTCATCAGCAACGCGAGGATTTCTCTGCAACTCTCTAGAAGCATGCTCTATTACCTTGTAGAATTCGAGGCAGCCAGAATCGGTCTCAAAATCGTCGTGGATGTCTGTTAAATCATGGCGCCAACCAGCGGCCACTTCGACAAATCGACGGTCTGCGCCTTCAAAGACCTTCCGTCTCGGCTCCCTTGATTGCAATTCAGACTTTTTTGCCCGCCTTTTCAAGCTATAGTCCACGATCCATATGGTGTTGATATGGTGGGACAAGATGGATGCTCTAGTGAACTCATCTAGCAGCTTAGATATGCCTTCTTCGTCCCGCTCATCTGTCTCGATCCTGGCACACCATGTCGGATCGAATTCGATGGCAACATTTTTTGGTCCAGCGAGTCCAACATCCGGTGACCAAAGTCCATGACCATAATCAAGACCGTACAAGTTGATCAAATCGGGCTCTCGGCTGTTAGCCTGGAGGAAGAATAGATCCATCTCCGGAAGAACTGTGAAATAATGCGGAGAGACATTATTGAGAAAATAACCCATTGCTGACATCCTTTTCTCCTCGGGCAACGAGTCGCCGGGGAAGTCGTACAACCGCATGTTGAACTCATGATCGTTTTTGCGACCATTCGTAAAGGCACGCCAACGTTTGGACTCGTACTCCTGCTCCATGACGACCCTAGACTCTTTACACGCTGTCCAGAGGCCCCCGTCAATAAGGTAGCTAGATGGGTTGTTTGTCGTCCAGGACGGCTCGTGTAGAGCACCGGTAGGTGGCAAGGGGTGTGGAGTTGGAGCGGCCAACCGAAGCCCTCTTTGGGAGACAAGAAACGGCCTGGCATAATCGCTACGTAGTGTAAGGTCGTCGTCGTCTGTGGTGCGAGGATCTGTTCCGAAAACGTGGACCCCTGGTTTTCTGGGTCGGAGGGCGAAAGTCCAAATCAACTCTCTCAATTCCCATGGGAGCCGAGAGAAGAGATGGAAAGTGTCTGACATTGTGATATAGATTGGATGATTGAGTCAGGTCTTGATGGGTGAGAAAAAAAAAGGAAGTGTGGTTGTGAGGGACTTGACTTGTGTTAATGAAGGGTTGAAGTTCACACGGGCAACAAGAGCAGAACGGGTGATTTTATAACGGTCTTGGGAGCAGACCTTCCGGCCTATGACTCTTCGGCCTGGTATAAAGCTTGATTGCATGGCCACAGTGATAATAGGCATGAGAACTCTAACAAAAGTAAGTGTGTCATTTGTCCATAGTCAAGCCGGGGGACGTAAGCATGATAAACTCTAGGAGAAAACTTATAACGAAGAACTTATAACGAAGAAATGAGGGCACGATCCCAATTTTAACGTCGACAATGATTGCTTGAAAAGGTATCTAGCGATCGTAGGAGTCGGCAAAGACGCGCCCATTTCGTCCACACTTAGAATGACTCGATTCACAAGGCTCAGAGAAACATCATGCTGGATATGTATACATCTGCAGGAGGTTGAATGCAAAAGAAGGCAAACCCACACAACCAAAGGTACTCTGGGTATCAAAAAAAAAAAAAGAGGCGATGAAAGCACCGCCAAAAAGAAATAGACGAGCACTGCTTCCGCCTGGGCTTGAACCAGAGGCCTTCGCATTACAGAACACTCTGATGGAGTATTAGTACGACGCTCTAACCAACTGAGCTACGGAAGCTGACTAATCGTTGGATGATGGTGTCACTAATTCGCTAAAATGACGGCCGCTGCGGTGAGAATTGTGGCGGCACGGGGTAAATAGCACCGATGTGAGGAGCCAAAGACAAAGCACAGGAGCGCGATATAGCGCCTCGTATGGAAGGTGCTCTCGGACTCAGTCTCGGACTAGGTGTTATGGTTGCATTGGGCTGACATGTCTCTATGCCAATCAAGGAAGAAATCGTCGCTTTGCTAGCATTACTTGCAGCTCGGCGTCAGCCTTAAGCCCAACTGACAAGATTCTATTCGATCCTCAGAAGATGACGTGAGCCCATTTTGTTAGTTTTGACGACAGTCCGAGGCGGGGTTATCTCTATAACTTGATCACATTTCCCGTTGTCAAGTCTCTAGAAATCAAGCATTGCTTCTTATAGCTGGCAATATGGCATCCACCGAGACCTCTACGGCCCGGGTTTCCGGGCAAACTGACTTTATCTTGATCAAAGGAGCGACCATAATCACCGTCAATGATGAGGAGGACATCCTCGAAGATTGCGATATTCTCATCCAAGGAGACCGCATCGCCGCCCTGGGCAAGAATCTCTCTCAGCCAGAGGGGTTAACTGGGGAAGTAATTGATGGCACAGACTCCATTGTCATCCCAGGCTTTGTCGATGGTCACCATCACATGTGGCAGCAGATGCTCCGTGGCGTCGCTACCGATTGGTCTTTGCTCGACTACATGATCAGCATGCGGAGTGTGTACGGCAGTCTCTTCACGCCTGAGGATGTCTACCTGTCTACCTATGTCGGTGCGCTGAGCCTGCTGAACAATGGCATCACTTCTGTGCTGGATCACTGTCATATCATCAATTCTCCGGATCACGCAGACGCGGCTGTAAAGGCGCTCAAAGACGCCGGTATCCGTGGGACATTTTGTTACGGATTTTACGCGAACCCGCCCGTTGATGATTCTGGAGCTTCATCTACGACACCCGAATTCTCACACTCAGAGCGACTCGCCGACGCTGCGAGGATTCGAGAGAAGTACTTTGGCGATAACCATCCGGGGCGTCAGCTTCTGACATTTGGAGTCGCTCCTAATGAAGTTGAAGTGCAGGATTTTGACGACACAGCCCGCGAGATTGCCGAAGCCCGTGGCCTTGGAGCCCGCATCGTCACCATGCATGTCGCCCACGGCCCCATGGATCTTCTTCACAAAGAGACAGTGCAGAAGCTCGCTGATGCCGGTGCACTGAAGTCTGATCTCGTCTTTGCACACGGTGCTTCATTCACCGACAGCGAGCTACGCGAGATCTGCACCTCAGGAGCTGGTGTTGTGAGCACCCCCGACACCGAGCTGCAGATGGGCATGGGGTTCCCTGTGGCCTTTAGAGCTCGGGACGGAGGTTGCCGAGCCGGGTTGGGTATTGACATCACTTCAAACCAGGGAAACGACTTCATTGCGCAGATGAGACTCGCTTTGCAGACACAGCGTGCTGTGGAGAATGAGAAGCGCGTACCTGTCACTGTGTCGCGCAAAACATCAGAGGTTCTGCGAATGGCTACTATTGGTGGAGCTGAAGTGATGAGGATTGACGACTTGGTCGGGAGCCTTGTGGTCGGGATGAAAGCAGATGTGGTCATGATTAAATGTAATGACATTGAGAGTAGCCCTGTCTCGAGTGCTACAGGGGCCGTGGTCTTCAATGCTTCAGTGGGGCATATCGATACTGTTATCGTGGATGGCCAAGTGAAGAAGCGGAATGGAAAGCTTGTGGCAGATTGGGAGCCATTGAGGGATGAAATGCGACGTCGTGCAACGGCCATCAAGACCAAGGCGGCGGGACATGACTTGGAGGCCGCACGAGAGCGTTGGATGGGCCCTGTCAAGCTGTGACGATGATGCCGCTGATTAATCTGGTCTCGGTGATGCATTGAACGTTACTCAAGTAGTTTTAAGCTAACGATTTCTCCCGACGCTTGTCTTGGCCCTGGAACGCCGGATGCTTGAACCCGACTTAGTCGCAGCTGAATATGCCTGTCGGCATTGGGCCGCGGGAACCATGGATGCAGGGTCTCTTAGGCTCAGAATACAGCCCGCGATTAGTGTCATTCTTAGTGTTGTTTAATGCAGGCAGCCTATAGATCAAGGTAGGGCTCTTTAGGAAGACCCTTTTGATGCTGTGGCCTGAAAAGTGGTAGGGAAATGGTCAAAGATATGCTCAGCTCAAAGGCTCGCAGAGTAAAGCGGCTTGGACCATGATGGAATAGGACAGCATTTTGAAGGATGTGAAGACAAAGTGTTCGGATATTATAACGAAATACTACAACAAGACGAAAGAACCGCAGCCATAGTGTAGTTGCCTGCTACCAGCTCTAATATCTCGCAAACTGGACTTCGGAAGATGTAGACGATGCATCCCCATTTGCCTTGTCTGGTGCCCCCCGAATACTGTCGCTATCCTGATCGCTATTACTCCTCCTTCGATGAGTGTGGACAGTGATTTCGGTCGTCTTCATGTAGGAATTAGGGCCATGTGTCTGGGCACCTCCATGATTATGATCTCCCTTCCCAACCCGAACTTCATACTCAGGAGCGGACTGCCCATCTGTTCCCGTAACATGTCTGGATCTCTCGCCGTTGAAAGTTTCCAAAGCAACATCGTGAGCTCCCTGACTGCGAGTGTAGGAGCTGCCACCTCTTCCGCCACGAGTAAGCTCGACCAAGCGGTTGAGGATACTGAATTCGAGCTTGAGCTTGATGCTGTACACTAGCGGCTTCCATGCGGTTTGTATACTGTATAAGTTCGCAAATTCGAGGGCGAGAATGGTGATATCAAGAAGGATGACGATAACGTTGACGTAGACTAGATGGTTCATAACGGTTCGCGTTCGAGTGTTGCCGATACTCTTCTCTAGGTTGAGGCGCTTTGTAGTCTCCCACACGTAAAGACCAGAGATGATGAGCTCTTGGACGAAAAAGACACTCAACTGGATCTTTTCGAAAACCTCGTACGGCCTCACGAAAGGACCCGAGTTATTCGAGTTAGATCCATAGACCAAGACGATGATGGGCAGATGCAACCAGATAGCATTGGCGATGATCATGTACAGCACCAACCGCAGCCACTTCTGATTATGCATAACAATATGCAACCTCGAGTACAGCACAACCGACTGTCCCGTAATCATTGCACACCAGCCGATGAGGATAAGAGTCGAATAGACATGCGGCTGCTCCACGACGCCAAGGTGTTTGAACAGATACCCAGTAGCATTGAACGCAATACCCCATGTAGCAATGACAAAGCTCCAGAAGTAAAGACCGCGACGTTTCTTGAAGGACGTGAGAATGTGGACGTTTAGCTCGAGGACGTTGTAGTAGGCGATGCTGAGGAAGACGCAGATGACGACAGCGACGACGCCATTCTTGGTGTTGAGGTCAATCTCGGCCATGTTGGGCTGTTGGTTGTGCCCCTGGTTACGCACAGAGCATAGGAAGTGAGGACTGTTGGCGGGAAGACGGAGTGTTCGGGGATGAGAGGGAGATCAGAGCCAGAAGTAGCAGACATGACATTTTAGGGCCAACAAGGGGGCGTCCATTTGACAGCAAGTGTGTCAGTCGCTTGATACGCAGGACATGTTCATCACGACGATCCGGCACAATGGCCGAAAGACCTTCCATCCTGTTAAGGCTGTTACTCGACACGAGGAGATCCCTGACCTAAATTCATGCATGCTCTTGGTACCCCCCAGTCGTGGGTTGAATTAGAGTTTCCACCTTGCCCCATTTTGCTTATTCCAAGGGGTTCCGTCGGCGAGAAGAAGCACGTATAAACTTTAAAGTGGCGAGGCTAGACCATTGGGAGAAAGTGTTGCATGTTGACACGAGGATAATCCTTCCAGATGGTTCCCTGGGGCTTCGGAGTTTTCATTTCTTTTTCCTCTCGAGTCTTTGTCGCATCTAGACTCGCATGAACCTGGCTACCAGCATGTTGCAAAGTTCAGCTCAGGGGCCACCTGTTCAAGAAGCGAAAGCACAGACACGAGGAGGATCGACCACTCCTAGCCCGTCCTCCCCACAGCCCGCTCGCTCATCATCCCGGGGAGAGCTACTCCAAAGGTGTTGCCCCGAGCGTCATGCTCTTTATACTTTTTTCTTCTCCCCTCTCCGTGCCCCTTTCGGAGAAGCCGTCGGTATCCATTTACCCCAGGCGACACTAACGGGTATTTGACTATGGTCTTCCGAATGGAGGACGTACGAGCTAGTATGGAACTGGTAGTGATTAAGGGATGTCGTGATAATTTCTGTCCAAACTTTTGACAGGTTCATCCGCGTATTCAGAAGTTGCACGGATCCTCTCCATCATCTGGCCAAGGTACCTATTTTCCACAAGGCTCCGCATTGTCCCCTGGCGTCACCTCTTGCCATATCCTCAAACCCTTTTAACGCAACTCTAGATCGACTCGGCAGCCCAGACGCCCGCGCCGAGCCGCTCGTCAAAGCCGATTGTGGAGCCGAAGCGTTTACGCCATGCCAGCGACGTAGCACTCCAACACCTGCCCGAAATCGTCACCTCGTACGAGGGCAGGGACTGAACATTTGGAAAATGACGACCTAACCACTAGCGTCGCTACTGACAGCAGGGGGCCTGAACTTTAACGATAGGCAAACTGTAAGCTTGGGTTCAAGCTTGACCAGCTGATCTCCACAGGTCAACTCCGGATGCTCCGTACCTGCATACACCCAACCTTGTCTTCTTCCGTGATGAAAGGTCCTTGCATGCACACTAGAATGAATCCATATCGAACTCCGATCTGGCAATTTTAAAACAGGTAAGGATCAACACTGCGACAGCAACCTTCAGCTCTGTATTTAAGCCACCTGCCTCGAACTTGCATGAGGCAAGCTTTCTCCTCACGCCACAAGCTCCAATCAATCCCACACACTCACCATGTCGTCCTCTCTTGCTGTGGTTGCCCTCGGAGCCCTCGTCCAGTCGGGACTGGGTCTTGCCGCAAAAGTTCCTTCTACGGCTCAGGTCGTTGACTGGAAGAGCTTCAATGTTCTTGAGAATGTTCTTCCTCCCGCCGAGGCCAATGATTCGACCGTACGTTACCTATTTGACGACCTGTCAACCTTGCTTACATATGAACAGACCTTTATTTGGCCTGGTGTGACTGAAAAGTCTCTCCTGGAGAAGCCCTTCCACATCTACGACGATGAGTTCCTCGATGTGATTGGCTCTGATCCGTCGTTGACCCTCATTGCTACCTCTGACACGGATCCCATCTTCCACGAGGCTGTCGTCTGGCATGCCCCCAAGGATGAGGTCTTCTTTGTTCAGAACGCCGGTGCTCCTGCTGCGGGCACTGGTCTGAACAAGTCTTCCATCATCCAGAAGATCTCTCTCAAGGAGGCTGAGGCGGTGCGCAAGGGCAAGTTGGATGAGGTGGCCGTTACTGTTGTCCCGTCTAACCCCCAGGTCATTAACCCCAATGGTATGTTGTCTGTGCGATGTAAGTCATGGCCTATGCTTACATAGATAGGTGGCACCAACTACAAGGGCAACATTGTCTTTGCCGGAGAGGGTCAGGGCGACGACATCACCTCGGCTCTGTACCTGATGAACCCCAACGCTCCCTACAACACCACTGGTGAGTACCATTTATCTCGATTCTCCAACCACCGTCTGTTAACGATGATCAAGTTCTTCTGAACAACTACTTCGGCCGTCAGTTCAGCTCGCTCAATGATGTTGTCATCCATCCCCGCAACAAGGAGCTGTACTTCACCGACACTCTCTACGGCTACCTGCAGGACTTCCGCCCTCCTCCTGGCCTCCGCAACCAGGTCTATCGCTACAACTTTGAGACTGGTGCCGTCGCTGTCGCTGCCGACGACTTTGCTCTGCCCAACGGTAAGTCTCTGGGGGAGCTATTATGATATGACTTGCTAACTTGGATAGGCCTCACCTTCTCTCCCGATGGCAAGAAGGCCTATGTCACCGACACCGGCATTGCCCTCGGCTTCTACGGCCGCAACCTCTCTGCCCCCGCCTCCGTCTATTCCTTCGATGTGAGCAGCGACGGCACCTGGGGCAACCGCAAGACCTTTGCCTACACTGCCAGCTTCATCCCCGACGGTGTCCACACCGACTCTGCCGGCCGTGTCTACTCTGGCTGCGGTGATGGTGTCCATGTCTGGAACCCCTCTGGCAAGCTGATCGGCAAGATCTACACGGGCGCTGTTGCTGCCAACTTCCAGTTTGCTGGCAAGGGACGCATGATCATCACTGGTCAGACTAAGCTATTCTACGTCACCCTTGCTGCCTCTGGTGTGAAGATTGAGTAATTTTGAAATGCGGCATGTATAGAATAGACAAGCTAGGCTCGGTGGTATTACTGATGCCGCCCTAATAAACGACTACCCAAGTTTTGTCAATCGCTCCAGATGCAGACCTCTGATCGGCCATGCAACGAATAATGTGTGAAAATCGCAATTACAGCAACTCTTCATAAAATAATGATCGTCTTAATACTCATGCTAACCTCTGTGGGACGAAAAGCTCGTGCCTCGGAGTTGCCCGTGGAACCCGCGGGGACGCCTCTCAAAGCCGATCGGTATCCCGGATAAAGTACGGAGTACTACTAGGGAGTTAGCGGGGACTTGGATATCGATCTTCAGATCGACACATGCACACTGGCGTTAATTTGAGGTGCAGGATCAATGGGTCACGGGATGGACATTGAAACATCAAGTGGCCAAGGAGAGAGGTCATTGGACATGCAACCGCTTTCGTTTGTCTATATATATATCACTTTTCTTTCAATCATGTACAAGAAACCCCACAACGGATCGTTCTATCTCGACCACATCCTCTATGGCAGGGGAATAGACTGCAGATGGTTCGTGAACAGTCCCTCAGGGTCAACAGCAGCCTTGATCTGCTTAAGACGCTCATAGTTGGCGCCATACAGACGTGAGCTCCACTCCTCCTCGTTCAGCTCGGTATCAGCATAGTTGACGAATCCACGGAGAGCAGCTCCTCCCTTGACCAGAGAGTCCTCGAAAGGCTTGATGAGAGCCTTCATGTAAGCGGGGCCATCGTCAGGGTAGTTGTTGACGTCGACCGAGTTGGCTTCCCAGCGGATCAGCCACAGGTTCTTTCCATGGGCGTAGGAGGTGTCGCTGTCCTTGATGTTGCGGGAGACGCCGCCCCAGAGATCGAGGAAGCCAGACTTTCGGAGGTCGGTTCGGTTGAAGGACAGGGTGGTGCTCTCAAAGAGAAGCTGGGCCTGTTCAAGAGTCAGGGGGTGGTCGGTGGTGGTGGTCAGAGCCTGAGTGTAGAAAGCTCGGCCACCAAGGGCTCCTCCAGTAGGCGAGTTCATGCCAGCGCCAGCAACAGCGACTTCGAGATCCCACCAGGGAAGAACGGTCTTGTTGAGGGAAAAGTCAGGGCTGATAGCCTGGAGCTCCTTCACGAGGGGTCGGACAATGTTGTCGAACTTGTTGGGGTTGCCATAGAAGTATCCACTGCCGGTATAAGGAGGAGCACTCAGACTCCAGCGGAGAGCGAGCTCATCGGGGCAATGCTTGCTGGTGGCAAAGTTCTGAATGGCGACGAGAGCCTTGGCACCGGCTTCGGGGGTGACGCTTCCAATACCAACGGTGAAGTTGATGGCCTTTTCGAACTGGGGCTTGTAGGTCTTAGTCGTCATAGACAAGATGATACCGTAGGAAGCTCCGGCACCCTGGGCAGCCCAAAGGAGGTCGGATCCCTTGCCAGCCTTGACAATGGTGCCGTTGTACAGCATGTACTCAACCTCGACGATGCTATCCATGGGAGTGCCGAGATGGCGAGAAGTACTACCGTAACCTCCTCCAATGCTCGAGCCGGTGACACCAACGTGGGCACCACGAACGTGGGGAATGTGTCGACCAGCAGTATCCCAGAGATACTTCAGGGTAGGTCCAACATGGGTACCACCACCAAATGTCAACAGCTTAGTCTTGGTGTTGTAGCTGACGTCGTCGAAAGCGCCCATGTTAATGACCAAGTTTCCAGGGTTGCCGAAGCCATTGCCCTGGAACGAGTGGGCAGGGCCAAGAGCATTAGCCTTCACGGAGGACTTGCGAGCGCACTCGAGGGCGAGGGCGACTTCATCGCGGTTCTCGGGGAAGGCAATGCAAGCAGGGTCTGGCTTGAGGCGCTTCTGGAACTGGGTAGTCTCGGTAGCCCAGGTGCTGTCAGTGTCAACGATGCTGCGAACGCCAACAGTGGTCAGACAGCTGTTGAGCTCAGCGCCCTTGTTGGTATCTTGACCAACAGCAAGAGAAAGGAGTGACGCGACGACGAGGCGTCGGAGGGAGCGTGGGGCATCCATTTCGGAGAGTCGAGGAGGGATTGAGGACTAAGAAGCAAGAGGGTGGGTTGATCGCGATGATCATCTTCTTATAGCGCTTTCGCATTGACGTTGTGTCCCAGGACACTTCTCTAGTGAAACCTCGTGTCCCATCCACGGTAACTACGGAAGAACCTTTCCGTCGGTAATTGACCGTTCTAGACTACCGTGAGAACTTTATGACGGAAAAATAAAGTTATCAGATTAATGGCATGTTCCCTGTTTAGTAGGTCCCCTGTCTAAGCCACACCTTAACTGGCAAGTCGGAACCACCAAGGGGCACTCTATTGGTGCGCAAATGCATCAATGCAACCTCTCTTTTCCTCATGGGGAAGAGCTCTCGAATAAGCTTCTCGGGATGACGTTTTGAATTGGGACGGAAGGACCCTTTAATCTCCGTGATACCCGGCGTTGGGTCGGAGGAATCGACTCCGAACAAACATTCCCCTTTTCTACCTGCTCGTTTGGTCTTGTGTAACTTGATAGAGCCGAGAACCGGTTCGCTTACCCCCACGTTGCTGTATCATCAGGTCTTTGTGGGAGCCGAGTACAAGTCCCGTATTCTTTCTCATGCATTTCGGTGAGCAATTGGAAGTTGAGCAGTCGTGATCGATGGGTAAAGTTATCTAGAGTGTTAGGATTGTCGATTAGAGAGCAAATTGGTGGTACGTAAGTTTGAGGCCCAGTTGTGGCTGTGTCTCTTGGTGTTGAGTAAAAGTGGGGGTCCGGGAAGTTCCTCCAAGAGTCCATGCATGTTAGGATCGCTTTGTCTTGAGGTGAGCAATACATAGTCAGGTAGATGAGCTGAGAAGTAATGGATAAAAGAGAATATTCCTTCAGTAAGAGAAACCGGGGCAAGAGAGTATTATAAGAAGGCAGTAGGAGTGCTTACGATGGCTTCGCCGAGACCAGATCAAGGTCTAGGGTAAGACAACCACAAGCTCCAATGTTGGTGCACTCACAATAACCTGGTCTCGATAGCAATAACACACATACCAAGGCGTGGTTTGCTGAGGCGAAGAATGGAGAGACAAACTCCGTTTGTTAGTGGCATTATTTTTCCCTTTTAGCAAGGAAATTGATGCTGACATGTGTCAATGGTTGTGTCCTGAAGTTACGGCCAAGAATTTCTCTCAGGGCATCATAACTATTAACACCGGAATATGTTAGCACTAGAAAATGACGCAATAATGTGTTGGCACTATATTCTTTACCATTGTTAAAGCCCGGTTATGAGTTGGATAGCTAAGCCCATATATAGAGTATTCGTACCAGTAGGAACACTAAAGCAGCCACGGTAGTTGAACCCCCAGGATTGCACAGAACTCGTGAGTTGGGTTACAGTAAATGCCGTCAGTGGCCTCAGACACAGTCTGGTCTGAGATGTAACAGAAAATTGCGAGATTTCAGGAGAAACTTCGCACTCATAGAGATGAATAGGTTCGATCACGTTGTAAAGAAGGCCAGGATGGTTAAGGAGAGTAGGTGAATTAATTAAGAAAATATTACAACAATTCGGATATCAAAGAATGACTCCTATCCAGTTTTCCACCATTCAATTTCCCAGATCAGCCCTTATGATTGCGCAATCATGAACATTAAAGGAACGACAACCCTGACACCAGTGTGTCCCGAATCCTCCTCAAGTCAACTTCTGTCACAGCTGATCCGTCTAGCGAATACAGCGGCGGCTGCGGAGATCCCAGCGGAATCCGGGCTGGCGACAGAAGCAGCTGTTACCTCGCCAGAAAGCAGTAGGGCCGCAGTCGAGATGGCATCCGCGGAAGACGGGGTCGTAGATCCAGCCAACTGTTCGGCAAAGGCATCGTCCGTTTCCAAAGTAGGCACCGATACTACAGTTCTGGGGGACGATGCGAGGCTTCAACTTCATCTTCTTGTCGTCCTTATAGTCGTCGTAGTCATCATCATCATCATCATCGTCGTCATAATCATCGTAGTCATCGTCGTCGTCGTAGTCACCTCCACGGACTCTTAGCTTCTTATCATCATCGTCATCATCATCATCGTCGTCGTTGTCGTCTCCATCATCATCGTCGTAGTCATCGTAGTCACCACCACGGACTCTTAGCTTCTTATCATCGTCGTCGTCGCCATCGCCATCGCCATCGCCATCGTCATCATCTCGGACTTTGAGCTTGATGCGATATCCGTCATCGTAGCCGTCGTCGTAGTCATCACCACGAACAGCCAGCTTTGAATGCTTGATGTTGGGGCTAGGAAGAGCCGAGACGGAAGTCATCGCCAGTAAGGCGTTGATAAGAACGGTGTTGAGGAGCATAGTGAAGGTGTTCAATGATTGAGGGGTACTGATGCGATGATTGATGTGTTTGTGATGAGGATGCTTTGCAATTGTCTGATGAAAGCGATGGAGTGTTGGTGAGTTGAGAAATGTTCTTTCGGTGGTTCAATGACCTCCCTTTATAGATGTTTCTGGCTCTCATCTTCCCCATGAGCTTTCCCTGAGAAGATCTGCCAGACAAGCTGTCAACAAGCTTGATTGACGATCAAGGTAACGGAGCTTTCCTCCGCAGCTCCCCGGAGCTGTCGGATGCTGACTGGCTTGAACAAATATCTCAGCAATGATTAAGAATGATGGTGATGGCGGGAGGTGCTTGCCGTGCCGCGGACCCGCTGGGTCTGGATTCCATCTCGGCTGCTTACGGTGACTTGACATGACGAAAGTTGAGATATACAATAATCATAGACACAAAATGGCATTGAAGAGAAGTCAAGAAGTGGTGTTAAGCTGTCAGCCATTGTGCCAGCCTCTTGCGGCTGAACGGCGCGGAAGACTCCGAACATCTTCCACTCGGAGTTTTCCCTGCCGGCAACTCAAATTGAACAACGGCACGGAAAGATTCGAAGAGATCGGACGCTAAATTCTTAGGTCCCGGACCTTGTCCAAGTGATGGGCAATCGAATTGCCGTCTTAATCAGTAATCAACTTGCGTCATGTCAATATGAGCCCCATTCCCACCACCATCTATGATTCACTACAGTATCTATAGTGTTTACACGAGAAAATGTCTTGAATCAATTTCAAGTGAAAGGTCAGTCAAATTTCATTTTCTCACACTGCTCCCAAGGGTCGTTCCGTAACTGCCGAGTTGCAGTTGCAACAGAAACACCCAATAATACAAGCTCTCGCAGAGCCACGCCGGTGTTCCGAGATGCAATACAGTGCAAACGCCAGTCAAACCTGCAACAGCTTGGAAACACTCACAAATCACTGTATCCGATTTGACTACCTCTCTTTCGTTCCAGCCCGTCCAGCCGTGGCGGTCTGCATCCTTAATTCCTTATCTCCGTTCTTGACATGCCGTTCACTAAAGTACGATGAACAACTTCTGAGATCAACATTTGCATATCCTTACTTGATTCAACACTACTGCTAATGATGGCGCCGCAGGCATCCTCAATCAACCCCAACCCTCCGACCCTGGCGGGAATCTCGGCCGTGTCCCATCCATCCACAACCTCGGAACCCCCCTGCGCGTTGTAGGCATAGTCCTCCCACTCAGCACTCTTCATCCCCCTCCAATGGTATCCTCTGCCCAAGAGCCTTCACTCTAGCCAACACACAGACTTCGTCCTTCCGTCTCGATTCGGGATCAATCTTAAACACATGCGGGTTACCGAGGTCAACAAATGCCATTGCCGGCCGACGGAGCCCACGGCTGGCTGAAGGGCATTTGAGGTTAGTGCAACTTCAAGACAGGAGAGACAAAGCGGCACGCCTACCTTGCCGTTCCCGTAGCCAGCAGTACCGAAATGGCGTTGGCTACCTGTGATCCTCGCACCCCTGCTTCATCAATATACTCCCATTGTTGTTAAGCCGTGTCAAAATGACTTTGAGGTGACCGTGAATGAGAACCTTCACGGTTGACTTGAATGAAAAGTTGGGATAGGATAGACAGAGACAAATGAGACGTCATTGATTATGCTTGCGCAAATGAAATGTTCTACTGTGCCAGCAACAATCCCGTCCTTTCATACCTCTATTGGCCACCCCCAAGAGGATGTGACATGACTACCTAGTTAGTCACCAAGCCCTTTCCTCCTCCTGATGCCAACTCCAACAAAACATTTTACAGCTCATAACCCAACTTGAGGGAGCGAATATGAATGCCCTCTTTGGGTGCAAGCTTGACTCCGATGCGCACCGCGATGGCATCCCCAGTGCAGGTGCGTACATGATCCTGCTCCTCCTCCAGCGGAAATCTCCACTCCCAGGTTCGCCGATCATTCGGGACAGTATCCGGGCCCTTGGCGTTGACGGCTGGAAGCGTATCACAGCCGATAGCAACGCGGGCTTCAATGTCCTTGATGGCGTTTCCAATCTTGGCACAACGCAGCCAGGCCTTGGTCCATTCCACTGTCAGGTCCGAGTCGAGGACAATCTCCTGACAGTAGAATAGAGCATGGAGCTGAATTTCTTCCTCTCCATCGTTGAAAATTGCGATTTCACCGACGTTGTCGTCGGGAAAGGTTACTCGGTATTGTGCGCCTTTGTCTGGAGAGCTGACGCGGCAGCTCGCTCCTAGCAAAGCGACGAACCTCATGCCTTGGTCGTGCTTGAGGATGGTTAGCCCTGGTAGATTTTGGATCAATTGAAGGACAAATGACATTTTGGCAAGGAAACAAAGGGGAGCTCACTGAATCAAGATTTGTCGATTATGGGAAAGTTCGAGGGGTGTAGGTTTTGAACAAGTTGGTAATTGATAATGAAAGGCTTGGTCTCAATGTATGCGAGCTCGTAGAAAGTATTGTGAGTTCTGAAATGACATTGAGATCGAAGTGCTCGAGACCAGTATTTGTATAAGTCAATACCCAGGCAAGGCGAGCCTGAAACCATCATCAGCGTACAAAATCGTCATCAATCTGCCCAGTCTTGGCCTGAGGCCCTGTCGCTGGTCCTTCCTCGTTGAGGCCTCACTGACTGCATATCCGTTAACCGTACAAGGCGTTTACCCATTGGCGGTCATTCATAGGGGTCTGCGACGAATCCGGCTGTAAGACCATACATATGACGTGGCGCAGGCTTGGATAGAACTTGGGCGCCAAAATCGCCACAAAAGATGACAGTATTGCGATGTGTACCTGTCGAGAGCATGGATTGCCTGTGTAACAGAGAAGCGCCTTTCGCCAGTGGTTATTATCGCTTCATTGTATTCGGGCAGCCAGTAATTGTTTTGTCAACCCAACAACATTGACCAGTGAGAATGCGAATTGTCAGGTAAACAAGAGACTTGGCATATTCTGGGGTCATCCCAAAGGACGGCACGCCCAAGACTCCATTTTAAAATCGCCGATTGGTCTGAATGCTAACTTACCTACCTAGGTAGAGACAAGGAGCAACGTAGGTCATCTATAGATGATCGAGTACGTATATTTTCTCAAATAAGTCTCCATCCGTCCCTAAACATTTAGAAGTATTCTATAAGCCGATCAGCGTATGCTCAAATCTATCACCACTCTGGTCAAGGTAAGCAACTCGAGGCGGGTGTCAAGGGTGAATATTGACTCTGGATAAGGATCAGCGTGTTTGTCCCGCCAAAACTTTGAGCTGTCTGAATATTAAGAAGTACATAGCATAGAGCTTGTCCGTCACATTTCGACAAGTAGATCTTATCAGTAGCGTTTCTTTTCTGATTTGCTCTTGGCTCTGCCAATCCCCACGCACGTTTTCTAACACTCGTGCCGTATTGGGTAATCGCCGGCCTGGGCTGAGAAAGCCTTGTCTGATGCAGGCCTTTCCTTGTCTTGTTGGTGATCCTGTCTGACAGCACAAGAGGAGACTCCACTCCGGACATCCTTATCTACGCGATTGTTATTGTGCCATGCCGGACCTAGCAGGGAGCTATACGGCTTATGGTAGTGCTCTTAACAAATATCGAAGTCACACTAAGTTCGGGACAAGATGGGAAGACTCAGAGCCAGAGAAGAATGAACCAGTGCTGACTTCTCTCTGATTGCAAGTCGCTGAAAAGACCGACATGCACTCTCGGAAAACACTCGTTGTGTGGTGATACCCGTGCAGCTACCTGGGCGAGAAAGCGGGCTGTGGTGAGATTGAGCTTGTAGGAGGCTCGAATCATGTCTTAAGAGGATCGTAGACAGGGGTCAAGCTGAAAGGCCTGGCTCTTGGCATCACCCCATTAAAATCCCAGGCTGCAGGGGCTGAAAGAGCTAAGCATTGACCAATCGAAAGATATCGGTACTTTCTTGTCCATAATACGCTTGCGCTTTGAGAAGGTACTTGGTGTTTCTTACTATCAATCGTCAAGTCCCCTCTTAACAGTTTCACAAATGACATTGAAGCATTTTCCCTTTGACCCTATGAAAAGCACAGCTGCAGGCTGACATGGTATGGAGAAAAATATCACCTTTAATAGGTTTTGAAACCGCTGTGCCCTGGAGGGACATGAAGGACGACAGATTGGCTGAGCGCGACGAAAAATATAATACCCCATTTCCCTCTTTTTGTCTCTCAAGTCCTAGCCGACCTCTGCACACTCTTGTTATAATTTTCACTCGAAACAGTTGTAATTCTTTTACGTACTCGGAGGTCGATCAAGATGGCTGTACTTTTGCAACCTCAGAAGCGGGAGGGACCTAGTGCGGATGATTCAACCTTCTGGTCCGAATTCTTGGAGACACGAACCGAAATGGCCTCACTTATCCCGACAGCCCGCCCGAAAGCGGAAGAGACTTTGGTTGGCTCTTACATGAATAGTGGTGGAACCGGTATCTCTTCCTGAGATGCTCCTTTCGACGACGAACTGACGGTTGCGTTATAGTGCAATCTTTCATGTGCCGGGAGGATTCAAGTTTCTGGACGGGTCTCAGGGTTGCTGGTGACACTCGGACATTCGCGCGCTGCGATAAAAGCTGGGAGTGGATTGCTACTGAATGCAACGACAACGGCTATGTGCAATTCACCAACGTGATAGAGAATACATCGGGCACAAACTCTTGGTAGGTGCCGTCTTTGGAATTTGGCTTCGCTTAACTAACATGCGATTTCAGCGGCGGGGATTATTGCACAACGCTCACGATATACGACTCTAATGCGGAAGACGAGAAGGGAGCCCAGTACATGATCGATTGCAAGACGTTTCTACAAGCCCCAGGCAGCAACAATCCCTATACCAGGTTCTATAGAGAGTACAGAACAGACCGTAAGAGGAGTTTTGCGGACTTTGAGAGCATCCAATCTCCTGACTCATGATCTATAGTCACGACTACCGATTCCTCCACGGCCACAGAAGCGCCAGCTACCACCCACGACTCGACAATGGCCGGCTTGGCGACATCGTCGGCTTCAAGCGAGACGGGGGGTCCTGGAAATAATGATGGGGCAAATGGTCTCAGTAGCGGTGCAATCGCCGGCATCGTAGTCGGGACTATCGCAGGCCTTTGCCTGGTCGCCTGTGGTTTCTACATTGCCTACCGCATAGGCAGAAAGCGTCGCAACGACGCAGAGAAGTCCGACCGAGGCTTCATGGGCCTTCAACAAAAGTTTGTAGGGGATGATATCCAGGGGCCCCGCGAAATGCTGGGTGACACCAAACAAAGCGCCCCAGTGGTAGAACTCCCAGCTGAACACTTGGCCGAGATGGAAGCACCGGTAGATAATAGGCCCATTAGCAGGAGGACTGGCGCGCAACATTAGCTCTATATTGTGAACACAGCCAACTGTCAACCACCTGACATTTGAAGGACGGAGTTGGGGATAATTTGATACCATGTGGATTGATGTTGCTTTGTAATATTATATGACGACATAAAGCAAGGACAGTAATAGCACATTAAGGAAACTGCTACTAGACGTTGTTGATAAACATGGTCGATACATAAAATTTTAGAATTGAAATCAAAATTCGAAGGTTAATGGACTGGAACGATTGCCTTGCCAAGGACCACCATTCCAAGCGCTCGCCCCACGATACCTCGAGCCACGACAGAAGAGTCTTGGGCGATATTTTGACCTCTACTACGGAAGGGCATTGATGACGGACTTTGAAACTGAGGTAGAGTCTCTGGAAAAGTCTGGTATAAAAGCCGGGCCAAGGTAGTTAACGAACCTGTCCGACACATGCTTTTGTTCCATCTGAGTACGTAAACAGGCGACCACCAATCTGACATTATTGTTAATAACCGGCTACTTAACTGAAGCCTCACGAAAGAATTGCTCGCCTACCGATAAAGAAGTCATCTCCTTCATCTCTCGAGCTGACACTTGCGTAGTAATCAAGGCGTCGGTGGCATTTATGCTTATCATTCTATCAATTTTCTCTTGTGGGTAGTTTCGAGTAGGTGTTTCGTAGTTGATGTTAGTGGCAGTGGTGATCTTGTACGAACCGCAAGTGACGGTTAATAGGTTCTCTAACGAATTTTGAACCTAGCACCTCCACAGGCTAGCTAGGCAGGCCTAACTAGACGATTCACCCAGTGTTCAATGGATGTCGGATAGTAGTAAGGGCTCTGGCTCGGGGGGGGGGTGGGGTGGGGTAAAAGGGCATAATTACGGTAGCTCGAAAGTAGGCCGATCATGGATAAGACCGGCGTATCGCTTTGCCTGTAAGTGGAGGCTCTGATATTTCCGACAGATTGAGAATGGCAAGATCTGATTGGCTCATCCTGATAAGCCGATCAATTTATCCCAAGATGTCATCTGCGCCCTACACTACAAGTGCTTGTCACTACAAACGTCGTCAAGCTAGTTTACGGCTAGTACGTAAGGACTCAGGGAGAGATCCAAGAATATGGTCAGTTGTCACTTTGAACCCTGCCCGGGACGTCTTATGTGGGCATTCACACTGTAGTGCCGTCTTCTAGAGTTGATAATGCATGTGGTCTAGCTGCCTTTGCAATCTCCCAAACGGTCACTGTAGTCCCATTGGTCGTTTCAGATAATCCGAGACTTCTCGAACTCGTCATTACAGCACCAAAGCCCCAAGAAAATGAAGATTTCACTGCTTGATTGGCCGCGCATAGAGCGGGGGACGATCCTTCAGGGAACATTCGAGCTTCCCCTCTCTGCACCCCACTTCTTATCATCTGCCAACTTCCATGACCATTCTGCTGGTAGTGGAGTAAAGCCATCCAGCTGAGGGGATAAAAGACGCCCTGAACAGAGGACGTAAAGCCACCAAACGTCCCCTAGAGCCAGCTCGATAGCGACAAAATACTCGCCAACATGTCCAAACTTGACGTTTCCGCCATCCGAGCGGCCTTTCCCGCTCTTCAACAAGATCAGGTCTTTCTTGACAACGCAGGCGGCAGCCAGACACTGGGCACCGTCATTGACTCGTCAGTTACTGTGAAGGACCTGGCCAGCAGCCAGTTCAGCTAACAGATCCAGGATCCGGGACTATCTCTCCAACAACAACGTCCAGCTGGGAGCTACCTATCCTGTGGGGCAGAAGTGCAATGCTCTGTTTGACGAAGGCGAGGCTGCTGGTGCGAGGTACATCAACGCTTCCACCAATGAGATTGGTTCGTATTCTTGGGCTGGAACTGTGCTAGACGAGCACATGCTGACATCTGATGCAGTCTTTGGCTCTTCAACCACCCAGCTGTTTCGCAATCTCTCGTTCACCCTGCAGTTCAACGAGGGAGATGAGCTAGTTGTCTCTCAGGTTGACCATGAGGCCAACATCGCCTCTTGGGTGGACCTTGCCGCTCGGCAAAAGCTGGTCCTTAAATGGTGGAAGCCAAAGGACCTCAACAACCCGAAGCTCTTTGCCAGCGACCTCCCTGAGCTCTTGTCACCACGCACCAGACTGGTCACTTGCACGCACTCGAGCAATATCCTCGGCACCATTCACGACATCCCAGCCATCGCACGCGAGGTGCACAAGATTCCCGGGGCAATGCTTTGCGTGGATGGCGTAGCGTACGCGCCCCATAGACCCATTGACGTCAAGGCCTTTGGCGTCGACTTTTACTGCTTCTCATGGTACAAAGTATATGGGCCACATGTTTCTATGCTATACGCTAGCCATGGCGCGCAGAAGCACATGAAATCGTTGGGTCACTTCTTCAACCCCTCCGCAACCCTCAAAGATAAGCTGGCCCTGGCCGGAGGCAATTACGAGCTTGTGCAGTCCATTTCAAAGGTTGTCGAGTATCTTACTAGCGGAGCTCACGAGTGGGAAAGCATGATCGCGCACGAGGCCGAGCTCTCGTCGGTCCTCCTTGAGTACCTCAACTCGCGACCAGAAATCACCGTGAGGGGAGAGACGAGTGCCGATTCAAGCAAGCGGCTTGCCACCGTGAGTTTCAGCATTGACGGATGGAGCCCTCGAAAGTTTGTCGAGACGGTTGAAGCCCAGTCCAACTATGGGTTCCGCTGGGGAGCTTTCTACTCCAACAGGCTAGTGTGCGAGCTCCTTGGTCAGACAGACGAGGGTATTGTCAGGATCAGTATGGCACATTACACGACAGGTGAGCCCTTCATTCATGAGGCAGGGTACTTATACTGACCAACCGCTCTAGTTGATGAGATAAAAGGAATTATCGCAGTAATGGATAAAGTTCTCTCGTCTCCTTAACGTGGCAAGCTCGGTTTCGCAAAGGCCCTCTATTGTATTTAGTACATACATCAATTAATTTGCGGAGGCTGGTGCTACATTGTGAGATGTCAAGCACAACGATTCAGATGGTGATTCCCCAGCAACTGCATGGTTGAGAGTCTCCAGGGGAGAAGCCTGTCAAGCAAGTCGCTGTCGCTATCGGATGAGGTGCCAATGCTAGGTTTGGTTCTAACGTTCCGATTGTAGAAGAAGACTTGGCTCGTTATTAGTATGCACAATTTGTCCGGTCAAGGTTACTGTCAAGGTCACTATTAGCATTGTCATAAACTACCTATCGGTGGATATCTCGACAAGAGGGGACATCGATCAAGAAGCACGTAGCAGCCTATTGCGCAAGTTCGAAGCGTACCGTGCCCTGTATCGAAGTGCGCGTTGCTCCGATTCTGGGACCCTGCTCACATGTTTGACAACTACAAGCCCTATAGACCAAGCATAAGCCTAAATTGGGTTAGGTACCGCATTGAACAGAACGTTATAAGAAGAAATAAAAATACCCCGGTTCTTTGAGTATGTTTTAATGCTTTCTATAGATTCACGTAAAATAATTGAGAATAATTTATGGATCCTTTTAATCTTCTGGCGTCTCGTTTAGTTCTTACCCTCGTGCCTAGTGTACTTACTATAACATTACCTCGTTAGGTGATTCGTGATATTATCTCAACACTCCTTGCTCGAGCGGTCGAAATCCTCATCCTTTTGTTCCCTTGTCGATCGCTGATCTCACTGTGGCTCGTGAAGCATCAGTACGAGCATGGGTTTGAAGGTACGGACGAAGGTCAGCTTCGAGAGCACTTGTGGGGGATCTGAAGGGTATGCATGTAAGGAGAGTAGTGACAAGATCAACACAGATTAGACATGTCAAGAAGACCAAGGTTATACGTGTGAAGGATCCTCATGTGGGAATTGGTAGTTTGAACATGACTGCTGTTGCTGCAGCAGATTTACCTGCTGCGACTAAGACTGCCAGTTCAAGTTCAGTAGCTGTATATAGAATCCCAACTGCTCCTTGGGCTTGAACTGGGCCTGGCGATATTTTGGAGACTTCTCTTACCCTCATTGCAAGCGATAGCCATTTGGCACTTTGACAAAGGATCTACTCCTAACGCAAGATAATACTTCTGTGCAGAGACCTCGCATTCATAAAAAAATACTCACGGCATTTGAGAAGACTGGGTAACTTTTTAGGTCTGTGGCGAATCGTATTTATAAGGTTAAGGACGATACATATATGGTGGCTGCCCACCCTACACACGCTCTAATCTCACAAAGATGAACGAACAAACAACATCCTCATCTCGATGATCCTTAAAAAAGAACTCCTTAGTTCTCTTGACCCAATCCACTAAGAATTTCTCGGCGTCCTCGTGGGTAAACGTGTTGTCGGATCCCACCTTGACAGCCTTGAGGAAGTATCCGGCACACACAGCCATGAGCCAATCAACAACAATATCAGCGTAACGATGACTAGCGTCGTTACTGTTTTGGCCATCAGAGCTCTTCTGTAGTTCCAGGTCCTTCTTTGCAGGATGGAGACATTCCTGCTCAAAGACCTCGTGAGCGATCCATGTTGGGATCATCTCTTCAATAACCTTTTGGACATCTTGCAACGTCCTGTTGTATGTAGGGACGTAGAAGGATCCGGCTACTGCACCAAGTAGAGTCCCATCTTTGACCATGTCGATCATAGCACTGCGGCAAGCATCAACGAGTCCGGCGTAGTTCTCCCTGCCAGAAGACGACTGAGATACGAAGGAAAGGACAAGAGAGCCGCCAGGTACGATCTCATCGGCGCGCAACTTAAGAAACCGCAGGAGATCCAAATGAGCTTGTCTCTTCAGCAGGGCTTGATGATCCACCCCGTCTTCACCCTTGGGCACGTGGTCGAGATGGTGTAGGGCCGCTAGAGAGAAGCCTAGATTGGCGGACCGAGAGGGGACGACTTGGTGGTAGAAGCTGCGGGGGATCATGGCAGGGAAGATGGAGTGCGAGAACTTGGCCTTGTCTAAGCCTTCAGCCCACGTCGTGACAGTTGTTGAGAGCGTGTTGAAGTCGTTCTCTGGGCGATCACTGAAGATCAGCTGGATGTCTCCAGGCGGAGTGGACCCCAAAATGGTGACCATAGGTTGGATACTGACGAGGTGAAAAGATTAGCAACAAGACGATGACAATGATGCAAAGGTCGACTTACGAGTTATTTCCGTGTGCAGAGCCATATTCGACAACCGTTATAGGCCGACTATTACGGTTGACGTTGGTCACCACCGTGTTGGTCGCCTGCGTCAAGAGTGGCAGAGCTTTCAGCATAGCCTCGTGCTGCAAAGCAGCATGAGAGCTGTACAGGCCCTTACCCTGCATGGGAACGTCGTTGATATGCGCAGTGTCGGTCATTCTTGCAGGTGGATTGGTGAGTTGCAGAGAACGTTTAGGAATGTTCAAAGGGAGGCACCGGGCTACTTATATGCCTAGACGTAAGACGCAGCGGAACAAATCTCGGAACAGCATTGGGGGCTACACGTGGTTGGCTTGGGTGTAGTGAGAAAGGAGCCAATAATTTCGTTTCATCATCTACTTGACAACTTCTAACCAAGAAGGCCTAGAGCAGTTTTATATCACGTCACAATCTCTAAGCAATGCCATCTCAAAAGATGCCTCGCTCACTGCTAACGGGTTCTAGATCTAGCTCCCGTTGGTCATCGACAGCCACCTTCTATCTCTTTGATACCTTCATCCGGTAAGACTCAGCCTTTAGCTGCTGCGCAACACGAAAGACAGTGCTCTCATCCTGGCCGTCTACATACTCAAACTTGAACTTCCGCAGCAGCGTCACCAGAGTGAGATGCATCTCCTGGAATGCAAAGTGCTTGCCAATGCACACGCGGCTTCCTGCTGAAAAGGGCCAGTACGGCATGTTTGCGGCCTGGGCTTCAAGCCAACGCTCTGGAACAAACTTTTGGGGTTCTTCCCAGTGGGCATCTTGCATGTGACTTTCTTGTGTGTTGGGGAATACGGTTGTGCCCGCAGGGATGCGATAGCCGAGAACCACGTCGTCCTTGGATGTTTCACGCGGGCTTCCGGTTGCTTGACCAGGTACGAGACGCATTGTCTCGTCGATACAAGCTTGGAGATACGCCATTCCAGCTTGAGAGTAGCCACAATCTGTCTGACGATCCGGTTCCGAAGGTGGATACCACTGATCGACCTCATCTACTAGCTTATTCATGACTTCGGGGTTCTTGAGTAGCATCATGAGGGTAAAGAGCTCTGCATTGGCTGTCGTCTCGCTTCCTGCAGTGAGCATGACAACACTCTCATCTTGGACGTCTGAAGTACGGAAGTCTGAGCCGGGAGAGTCATCGCTGGCCTCGACAAGCTTCTGCAGAAGGTCACTGTGTTGACTTGACTCTAGCTCCTGTCGACGCCCATCGACAATGTCGTAGGTAAACTTGTCGACGTACGGGTCGCGCGTAGGGAGGAAGGGAATGAAACGGATCCAGGGGATCAACTGCATCAAGCCGGCGATTCTAAGGCCGGCCTTGAGACGAGATGGCAGAGGATGGCTTCCATTGTCAACGACGTGAAGACTGCCTCCAAAAGTGGTGATACCAATAACGTCAATGGCCAGACTGTGGATGAGATGCTGCATATCCACGACAGCAGCACCCTGGGAGCCTTCATCACAGAATTTGTTCAGCTGCCTGACTGCGGCTTCAACACAAGTCATCATGATGGGCTCCATGCTTCGGATGTACTTGATGCCAAACATGGAAGACAGCATACGCTTGCGCTTGGAATATGCCTTCTTGTCCGTGTACGCCAGAAGCGTGGGACGTTGAGGGTCTTGACGAAAGTTGCCATAGATGGCTTCAGACTTGGTCCAATCCTCTGTCTGGATGATGCGCTTAATCTCCTTTGTGTCGGCGACGGCGATCATGCCTGGTGCGAGGACGACGATAGGGCCATATTTCTCATGGAGAGAGCGCGCAAAGTGGTGACTACAGACGTGTTAGAGGAGCTATAGTAAAACGGTGCAAGGTCAAACTTACCTCGTGCCCTTGATGGTTGCAATGGTCAATGGCCATGGACTCAGCTTGTTCAGGAGAGGGCCAGGAATGGAGCTAATAGGAGAGAAGGCATTCTTGATCACCTGTGAGATCAATCAGACCATTGTAAAACCGGATTGGCATCAGGTGCGCTTACAGTGAAGACTCTCGGGACAATGATGACAATAGTGAGAAAAGTGACCAAGACCTTGGTCGCTGTGAGCTCCTCAAGAGACACCAACGACGGCATCGACTCGGGCAGCTTCAGGCGGCCCACAATGGGAGATGGCTGGGAAGCCATGGTGTCAAGAACTAATAGACAAAGTTTCAAGGGGAATACAGAGGCGGGATGCCTAGCATTGGCGTTGAGGCTACTAAACTAGACCAACAGAGTGGATGTGATTTTCAATTATACGGCCCCGAACGGTCTCACCAACACTCGTCTCATCTCAATTCAGTTCGCCTCTCTCCTCCCCTGCAACGACGAATACGCCGAATCGTTCGGTAGCTAAAATCCTCCGGCGGGTACCGGAAGACAAGGGCACGACACAAAAGGTCCACAGGGCTGAGCTGCCTCGTCACGCCATTCTCACGGGCGTGTAGATCAGATAATCTCCCGCACACCCCTGCCATGCCCTCGCAGATCCCCATGTGCCGCATCCTTTGTACCTCACTTGTACAGGTACACAGCCTTGGTCTGGCAGAAGGAGAGCAACCCCTGCAGCCCGTACTCCACACCCAGGCCGCTCTGCTTATGGCCCCCGAACGGCACCCGTGGGTCCGGCTGCGGAGGTCCGTTGATGTACACGCTGCCCACGTCGAGCCGTGACGCGAGTGCCTTGGCGGCGGTTGAGTCGGTCGTCCAGATACTCGCGGCGAGGCCCGATTCGCCGGCATTGGCGAGGCGGACCGCTTCGTCGGCATCAGAGAATCTGACGCAGGTCACGATGGGTCCTGTTTGTTGTTAGTTCATGAAGGAATAGGCTATGCAACGGAGTGGGTGCTACCATACCAAAGTGCTCCCCGCTGACGATGCTTGACTCTGGTGAGGCGTCCTTGATTATCGTCGGACGGAGAAAGAAACCTCCTGTTTCGGATTCGGCTAGTGGTCCACCTGTAGCCATGTCGTGTCCGGCAGATTTGGCGTCGTCCAGTGTCTTTACGAGTTTCCTAAACTGTAATTCATTCTGCACCGGCCCGATCTTGGTCATCTCCTTAGTTGCCTCCTTGGTAGTCTCCACCAACGCGTCAACAAAGGCATCAAAGATGTCGGCGTGGATGTACAGCCTACGCGGTGCGATGCACACCTGTCCAGCATTGAACCATAGGCCACCGGAGATATGCGGCACCGTGGCTGTGACGTTGATATCCGGGAGAATAATGGCAGGGTTGTTTCCAGCGCTTGCACTCAGGATCAGCCATTGCAACAAGGAACGCCAAGCTATACGTACGTTTCGAGGGTGATCCTTTTCATCGTATCAGCGCCATCCTTGAGGATCTGCTTCCCTGTAGCCGTAGACCCGGTGAAGGAGATTTTCTGGATTCCGGGATGTCTGACGAGTGCCGGGCCAAGGTCGTTTTCGCCGCTGAGGACTTGGATCACCGATGGGGGGAAGACTTCCTGGGCGAGCTCGACGAGCTTGAGGGACGTATACGGCGTGAATGGACTACACGTATCGTTAGTGGGGCATTCATGACTGGGGATGCGTTCCTTACGAGGGCTTGAGGATTACGCAGTTTCCAGTAGCAAGAGCGGGCGCAATCTTGCCAATCGCTATGGCCATGATCAATACGCTGAGCAGTTTTTAGAGGGCATCCAAAGTACCTAGCATGAGAGGGACTAGGACTTGTCAGCATGGTGTTTCCTTGATTCATGGGCGGGAGAAGTACAGTTCCAAGGGCAGATGGCGGCGACAACACCAAGTGGCTCGTAGGTGACAATTGCCGTCTTTGTGTCATCTTCGACCTGCTCTTCGGATAGTTTGTAGCTTGCTTTTGACCGATTAGCACGGGAATTGGCAAGTATCCAAGAAGGGATGGCTAATAGAGTCAACTTACACGGATATCGAAGCCATTGAGCCGCCCAGTATACTTCAATCGCAGCGTTTTCGACCTACAGTGACCAATTTAGTGCATCTCTAGCCGATTCTGTAATTACACTCACTGTTCGCCCACATTCCGAGGCGAGCAACTTACAAAACTCGCCAGCACGTGAAAGATACAAGTCGGCAAACCTCTCTAGGAGCCCGATTCGCTCATCGTACGACGTCTTCGACCAAGTAGGCAACGCTCGCTGAGCTGCCTCAACCGCATCGTCAACATCTTGGGGTGATGCAGTGGGAACGGGCCACAGCGGAGTACGAGTGAGAGGATCGACACCAGAGTGAGAATTGTCACTCCCGCGAGGCTTACCACCGATGATGTTGTGAAAGGTACTAAAATCCATGGTAAGATGAGGTGAGTATTGTCAGATTGAGATTTGTTTGACCGGTTTGGCCAAGTGAGGTGGTGATTTTATACACGACGTGGGCAACTGTAAGCAAGTAGCTGAAGACGGGACCGCCCACTGTAACCCAAGTTTTAGAAGGAAGATCAGCCCCGGAATTAGCGGCCTTTGTGACTCCCTCAGCGGATCAGCGCTGCCATGATGCAGGGCGAGGACTGCTTCGAGTGGGGTTGAGAGAAGAAGACATGGCCTAGATGAAATGGATGGCTTATTATGACTGTCCTCTAAGGTACCAAGATCTACAAAAACAGAGGCAATGGTATATGGTGCACTATTCAGTTGAAAGCAATGTCGGGTTTCCCAGAAATATCATCATCCAAGTGACGGTTGACGGCACTTGATCAAGTGTTGACTACCCATTTACGAGGTATTCCCCTCCTCGCTGGACTTCTCCTTGGTCGTCTCCTTCTCCTCCAGGCCAAACTCCGTGTTGAGTTCATCGCGTAGCGTCAGCGACTTGACTAAAAAGGCCAGGACGAAGCCAAGCACAGAAAAGGCGATCGAGACCTGCCAGACCAATTTCAGTCCATCCATGTAGACCTGGACAATCTCAGCTTTGAGCCTGGGGGTACTGTTAACGGCCTGGATAAATGTCTTGGTCGCATGTTCGTAGGCTCCGCCATTGATGAGCATTTCTCGAACAGAACCATCCGACACCTTGTCAAGAGACGAATTGACGCGTGTGTTGAAGGCTGCGGCTGGGATGGCAATTCCCCAGATGGAGCCAAAGTTGCGCAAAAAGGTCCACGCGCCCGTGGCAGTGGCGACGTCAGAGTCGGGAAGACTGGCCAAGATGGGCGGAAGACAACTGGTAAAGACGAAGCCTGTGCCGAAACCGAAGAGTAACTGAAAACCGACCCAGCGACCAATTGACGATTTATCGTCGAGGAGCGTAAAAAGGCCACACGAGATTGACATAAGAGCGAAGCCGACAAAGTGCCAAACTCGGTACTTGCCTGTCTTTGTGATGGCGATGCCGGCAATGACACCGCCTGGGGCGCTCGTGGTGGCTATGGGGAAGAGCATGACGGCTGAGCGAGCAGGGCTGGCCTCTTTGACAGCTTGGAAGTAGACGGGGAGAAAGTAGCAGACCCAGAAAAGCAGCATACTGTGGACAAAGCTGATGACGAAGAGGGTCGACGAGGTCCTATTGCCAAACAAGCGCAAAGGCATTGTCGGCTCCTTGAGCCAAGGTGCACCTTGGTAGGCAAAGAAGGCCAATTGACCGACGAGACCAAGGATCAAAGGAACGAGGGTTCGCCACGAAGACCAAGGATGCTGAGAGCCTCCCCAGCTCAAAGCAAGAACAACGGCCGTGACTGAGGCGATCAAGAGGACGCTGCCGCCCCAGTCAATTCGTGACATTTGTTCCTTGAACGTGCCCGCTGGGGGGCGGGCGAGCTTGAGGAAGACGATCAAAGCGACGAGTACGACGCCAGAGATGGGGAGGTTGATGTAAAAGATCCATCGCCATGAGACGTTCTGAGCAAAGGCGCCGCCCATGATGGGAGCGATGACTGATGCGATAGCCCAGACACCACCGATGATTCCAGCGTACATGCCCCGTTCGCGGACAGAGACCATATCGCAGACGACAATCTCCGACATTGTGAGGATGCCGCCGCCGCCAACACCTTGGACAGAGCGACCTCCGATCATCATGGCGGTATTATGGGCGCCGCCGCAGAGGCCGCTGCCAAGGGTGAACAGGCACACGGCGATGAGTGTAAGACTGCGACGTCCATAGATGTTGGCAGCTTGCGCAAAGATGGGAATAGTGGCCGTTGAAGCGAGGAGGTAGGAGTCAACAATCCAGACGTAGAGAGAATTGGAGCCTAGATCTGAAGTAATTGTTGGAAGGGCCGTGGAAATAATGGACGTGTCGAGGGCGGCGAGGAAAGTCGTTAGAGCGATGGCGATAAAGACGAGCCAGAAGCGGGCGCCTTTCTTGGGAGCTGCGGGCTCAGACTCGGGGGGATTGTCGTTGGATGACATGTCTTTTTCTGCAAGGGGAGACGCAGTTGTAAGCTGTGTATCTTCTGGAGATTGACCCATTGCAAAACCAAACACAATGTGCCGTGTCTTTGATCATTTACAGGTGGTGATGCTGTTGACGCTGTCGTGAGAAGAGCCAAGAGAACAGCCTCAGAACATGTCAAGCGCCAAACCCCCTTCTTTTCTGCACCTCTCCATCTTCCCTGCACATGATCGTCCTGTAATCCTTGGCAAGCGCAATTGAATTGCCTTCCCGTTAATCGGCGACTGAGCCGGAGGCTTCTGACAATTAATGTTACCCAGTGTTTGAGGAGCCGTAGGCTGAGCCCCGCCCGCAGCGATTAAAAACCCTCCGGTGCTGCATCGCATTGAATCAACTCTCCACCACAGACACTCCTTTATCTTGATCCACTGGCTTTCACAAGACATTTTGGTTGCACGATTCTCACGTCACAGCCGAGAAAAGAGAAGCAAAAGTGCTATTCCTTCACAATGGCGTCTGGTCTCTTCTTCGACCCCCTCGTGGCCCTTCGCGCCGCTCCCCTCGTCTCTACTACGTGCTCCCTCCTCTACGCTTGGGATCAGCACTTCTTCCTTGGTCTCCTCAATCGACCAGAGAACCGCGCCACGAGCAAGCCCCTCCTTCAATCCTACTTTACCACCTTCTTCCACCGTGGACTGCCCTTCGTCGTCAGCCTCGTCGCCGTCTCAACCTGGACCGGCGTCGCAAACCTGTACATCCAGCGGCCGGCGCTGCAGGCCCGCGGCTCGGTCTGGTGGTACGTGTCGGGCACGGCGCTCGCCGTGGGTCATCTGCTGTTTGTGCCCTGGATCGCCCCGAGTTGTCAGGCCATCATGGAGGGCACGGATGTCAACCGGAGTCTCGATGAGTGGCTGGCGCTCAACTCGCGTCGGATGCTTTCGGTGGATTTGGCTGCCTGGGCTGCCTTTGTTGTTGCCGCTGTAAAGACGCTGCGTGTCTGAGACTGAAGGTGTTGGTCGATGGGGATCGAAATTAAATGTCTCACTTTATGGAGTCTGCGTGATTGACTCGAGGTTGTAAATTGTGGTTCGCCAGTTCATAGAGCATAGCATGCATTTATCTAAAGGCGGCTGGATGATGCCATTCAGGCACTCGAAAAACTCATTTTTTGTCATGCCTGTCTTCAATTGTCACAACGCATCTCAGCCGGCATCTGTGACCTTGATGAACAATATCGATTAAAATACCCAAAGTACATTTCCATCTAGACCAACAATCATTCACTTCTATGTTGATTTCAGCATGCAAGCGAACGACTTAACTTATTGATGACGAGTAGGGGCATGGATTCTAAGGATCACCACCGATTTACTACAGTATTGGCGCTATTATCATAAACTCTGACAAAATGCTTTCATCGTTTATAGAACCATCTTTTTACAGCAGGTAATTACGATGCGGTATGCTCTAAACCCATTCCACACTCATTCTAGTATTGAACATCCTCCTTTCTTGGTCCCCGATGTTGAAGCACATATGGAGAAGGACAGAAAATGCCCATAAAAAAGACAACCAGACGCCCGTACAGTAGAAATTAACCAAATCAACCACCATTATAACGCCACCTTCCTACTCTCCCTTTCGAAGCCAAGGGACAGTACCCCCATTCTCACCACTCAACATCTTCTCTATTAGAAGAGCCGTCCTTTCGTCGAGGCCAGTGTTTCTAGCTCGCACCAACCACTCATCAACCCCAACCATCTCCATCTTGGCACCAACCTCAGCCTCAAGGTGCGCAGGGAGCTCGCTGACAGAAATCTTCTGATCGCCGCAGTGATGTCTGTAAACTGGCACTGAGCTTCTGCTTTCGTGAATCGAAGCAGCGATTTCGTCAGCCACTTGCTCGACAGGAACAAAGTCAAATGCGCCGTTCCAGTTTGAGATCTCCGGTAGAGATTGCATCTTGGTTGAATACTGAATGATGCTTCCCATCAGGTCGGTAGCTGGTGCTGCGGACCCGGTAATGTTTGCTGGACGGTGAATCCAGACTGGCAGATGAGCTCTCTCCGCATGACCTTCGAGGATAACCTCAGAGGCCCACTTCGAAGCCGCGTAGCCCTCCGTTCCATCGATTGGCGGCTTGAAGCTAGACACAGACGTCTCAGGAAGGCCATCGTGGTCGGTGAGGTTGACAACACCACCAGTTGAGACAAAGTGGAAGGGAATCTGCCGGCCACTTGCCAATCGGGCAAACTCCCTTGTCGATGAGACATTGGCCCTCTTCAGAGACTGATAGGACTTCAAGAACGACACCTCGGCTCCATTGTGAATGATGATGTCAAGCTTCTTGGACAGCGTGTCGAACTCGTCCTCTGATAAGCCTAGTCGGGGAGATGATAGATCGCCAGGGTGCACAACGACCCGCGGAGATTTAAAGACTTCGTCGGTTGCCTTGCTAGGAGACCTGACTGCGAGACAGTGGACGCGAGAAATCCGCTCGTCCCTCAACAGAGACTTGAGGATAGCGAGTCCGAGGAAACCCGTAGCACCAGTTAGAGCCACCTCCAGTTCATCGCTGTCAAGAATAGCAGGGTCATCCGGCGTTTCGAGACCAGAAGGGATATCGACTCGGGTCTCTTCATCCCAGCTGATCGGTTGGTCATCTGCTGCAGTAGAGCCGTCAATCTTTGCGGCCATTCCACCCAGTGTGCTCGCCTGGAAAAGGTCAAACACCGACACCATGACTCCAAACTCACGAGCGATGTGCTCCCTCAGCATGACGATGCGGAGGGAGTTGCCACCAGCCTCAAAAAAGTCTGTCTCAGAGCCGATGAAAGCGCCAGGTGCAACAGCAGGGAGGGCCTCGAACCACAAGGCTCTAAGTCTCTCTTGGGTTGTGGTAAGAATCTCTTCATGGATTTCCTCATCTTGGGGAATGGGCATCAGATCAAGGGTGTTCTGATCCAGCTTGCCAGTTGGGCCCATGGGCAGCCGCTCGACCTGGACAATCTTGGCAGGAATCATGTATCGAGGAAGGGAGAGATCCTTCAGAAGCTGCTTCAAGAAAGCGGATGGGTCCTCGGGTCGATGGGTCTGGGAGACGACAGCGAAAGCGACGAGAAAGGCGCTATCATCTGGTCCATTGACGCCCTGTCGGAAAGAGACCGCGGCTTCGGAAACGACACCACCTGAGCTCTTGACAATGGTGTTGGCAATATCCTCGAGCTCAATGCGGAATCCTCGAAGCTTGATCTGTGAATCGCCTGCAATGCGTCCCAAGAAAACGATTCTTCCATCAGGGATGAACTTTGCCTTGTCACCCGTGCGGTACATACGGTTCCAGCCCCGGGCGGCATCCTCTGAGGATGCAAAGGGATCAGGAAGGAATCTTTCTTTGTTGAGTTCATCTCTTCGGAGGTAACCGACTGCAATACCTGCACCGCCCACAAACAGCTCACCCGCATGGCCAGGACGAACTGGCTTGAGGTCCTCGTCCAGGATGTAGCAGGAGTAGTTGGGCAGCGTGAGGCCGATTGTAGGATTGCGAGTATCTCGTGGGGCAGCAGGATCAAGTTCATTCAGACCACTGCTGCTGTTGATGGTGATCTCGGTCGGCCCGTAGCCGTTGAAAAGCTTGAGTTGTGGAAGACCAAGTCGCTGGAACTCGCTGATGACATGCACGCGGAAAGCTTCACCAGAAAGAAGAGAGAACTCCCAGTCGACACATTTTACCAGATACTCGTAGCCATGGTGGATCAGGGCCACGGCCAGAGTGGGCGTCATAAACGTGTGAGTGACTCTCTCAGACAGCATCAGTTTGGCGAGCTGCAGAGGGTCCTTCCGGGCTTCACTGGATGCTACCACAAGCGTCCCGCCCAGCATGGTCGACAGAGACATTTGGGTGAGCGACATGTCAAAGCCCAGAGGTGCCTGCTGAAGCATAGTACCTCGCTTGATGTCATAAAAGTGAATGATGGAGTCGATGTGGTGAACAAGGTTTGCGTGCGTCAAGGCAACACCCTTGGGAACTCCTGTGGTACCACTGGTGTAGAACATGTAGGCCATACCCGATCCTTGAGCATGGTTCGTGACGGCCGCGCTCGATGGCAGCCGTCGAACGTTGTAGATGTTGATGAGGCTTGCATTGGTCCGAAGCGCGGGCGCCAGCTCCTTTGTAGACTCATCGAAGAGAAGAATGTCTGGCTCGCAGTCATCGACAGTGAGCTGTAGTCTCTTGATGGGGTTCTGAGGATCCAGCGGCACGTAGACTCCGCCAACCTCGGCAATCGCCAGTAGGGACGCAATGATGAAGATGCTCGGCTCGCAGTAGACTCCAACACGTGATCCGTGAGTAAGGCCAGACTTTTCCAGGGTGGCAGCAATGTTGTTGACGAACGACTTGAGTTGAGAATAGGACAGAGTCGTTCCCTGGTCATCGCGAATCGCGATGGCATCGGGTTGCCTCTTGACCCAGTCCTCAAAGTAGTGTGACAGGGTGTCAAAAGATGGCGAGGGAATCCTCTCTCCGCGTCCCAGTGTCAGAGCCTTCTGGGCCTCGTCTGGAGCGCATTGTGAGACTTGTCCAATGGTCTTGGATGAGTCCTTTTCAAAGAGACCCAGGAGGTTGACGTAAGACTCGAGGATAAGGTTAAGCTCATTTTTGGTGTACAAGTACTCTTGGCTCTTGACACTGATCGAGGTTGAGCCATCGGGGTAGGTTTCAATGTCAAACGCTAAATCGTATGGGTTATTGACATCCTTGAAGTCGATAACCTCAGCTTGACAATCAGCGAGGGGCACCTTTTGCGTCGATCCCATCTTGAAGTTCAAGACGACCTGAAAGAGCGGGCTGTGTGAGGTCGACCGGGGAATCTTAAGCTCATCGAGAAGAACGTCGAAAGGCAGACAAGAGTGGGTGAGGGCGCCATTAGCCTTGGCTTTGGTGTTGGAGACGAGCTCAGCCAGTGTCTGGGAAGGCGAAAGTTGGAAACGCAATGGAAGGAGGTTGACAAAGAAGCCGATCGTGTCCATGTGAGCAGCATCGGTCTTGTTAGCATCAGTGATGCCAATGCACACATCTTGAGTTGAGGCGAAGTCACTCAACAGGACCTGCAGGGCTGCGAGGTAAACGTGGAAGGGAGTCGCAGCAAGAGCCCTGGCAGCAGACTTGGCCTTGCCAGCAACATCCGGCTGCAGTATCCGTTCAGATACTCGCGTCTTGTAGTCGGTCAAAGGCAGCCGGGTCTTGGTCTCAGCAAAGTCAAAGACAGGCAGAGCCGGGGGAAGAGTCTCAAACTCTGTCTTCCAGTACTGCAGCGTTTCGACCGGGTAGATCGCAGCTCGTTGGTCCACCGCAAAGTCCAAGTATCCCTTTTCCAGAGGGGCAAGATTGGCTCCGGAGTAAGCGATTGCCAAGTCACGGACTAGAATCTGGGCACTGAAGCCATCCAAGGCGATGTGATGGAAGCCAACAAGCAGGACATGCTCGTCCTTGCCCGACTCGATCAACATAATGGCCTTGAGCACACAACCATTCTCCAAGTCGTAGTGAGTGTTTTGCAGTTCCTCAAATTCCTTGGTGACATCGGAGTTATTGTGCTGTTCCAGCCTGAATGGCGACTGCCCATAGACAATCTGAGTTGGGACGGTCGTCTCAGGGTCCATGTGGAAGCCGGTCCGGAGAGATTCATGACGCTGAATAACCTTCTGGAAAGCACTCTCCAGGTCATTCACACGCAGGGGTCCGGTGATGCGATATGCCATCGTGACGTTGAACGTGGTGGCATCTTGCAGATACTGTTGGAGGAACCAGATTCGCTCCTGGGCAAATGACAGTGGTCCACTCCGTTCAACCTTGGCGCTTCCATCAACAGAGCTCGTATCCTTGTCACCAGAAACACTTGTTCCTTGGGTAGACTGGGCACCACTCTTGAGAGTGGACGAGTTGAACTCGGTGGGCGCTCGAGAGGATGCGGACCCGTTTCCAGAGACGGCATTGAGAGACTGGACAGCCTGTGTAATGTTAGTACTAAAACTGGAGAAAATGTTGACACAATCAGCTTACCTCGCTCGTAACCAGGGTCTTTGTGTCGGTTTGCTCTTGAGGAGCAAGGGTAGCAAGACTTGCGACGGCAGTCGAGCAGATCTCGGCAACCGATGCAGTGTTGAGAATCTCCAAAACCGGCATGTCAACATCAAGCTCCTTGAAGAACCAAGACCGGATCTCTGCAGCGATCAACGAGTCGACTCCCAGACTCATCAAGGGTTGAGAGACCTTGATGGTGCCACTCTCGGCCTGAAGCATTCGTTCCAACTTGGTACAAAACTCTTCTTCCACGACTTCGAGCATCTCGGCAGGTGTTTGAACTTGGGCTAGACGCTGAGAGATGGAGGCCTTGGTGGTGCTAGTCGATTCTTGGTGTTGCTCTTCCAGAGTGTGGTGAGAGAAGCGCATGTTCTCATGCCAGAAGAACTTGGGGGCATCTTCCTGTAGGCTGTATCGGTTGAGGCCAGTGATGACCTCTGGGACGTGGTTGGATCCTGGCTGGCCGACCAGAATGGCTTCCGAGAACATGTTGAAGAAGTCAGGCTCAGAGATGGGCATGTAGTTGTACTGTCTCAACGTCGCCTCGTATGCGCCAGTGGACGACACATAGCCTACACCGAGAATCATGCCGATGTGGATAACCGACGCAGCGAGGTTCTTTGCTCGTCGCTGCTCGGCAACTGCTGTCATGAACAGGTTGGCCGCGGCATAGTTTGCCTGTCCTCGGTTACCGACCACACTGGCCAGTGAGGAGAACATGATGAAAAAGTCCAGTGGTTTATCCTGGAACAGCTCATGCAAGTTCTGTGTACCCCGGACCTTGGGCCCAAAGACCTTGTCAAAGTCGCCAACCTTGAGTTCGCCAAAGGAGCGATCAGACAGAACCATAGCAGCGTTAGCAACACCACAAATTGGGGGCATTTCGGCCGTGACTTGAGCATGGGCAAGCTCCAGGGCAGCCTTGTCGCCCACGTCTACTTGAAAGAGTCTGACATTGGCACCCTGAAGACGAAGGCCTTCAAGCCAGACCTTGTCGATGGCTTCGACATTGCGGGTAGTGAGGGCGAGATGCCGAACACCGGCGGTGACCATCCATCGGCAGAGAGCCTTGCCAAGACCACCCGTGCAACCGGCCAAAAGGTAAGTCCTATCACTTCGCAGAAGACGGTTTGCCTGCAGCGGCTGGACTTGGACTGGGATTGGCTTCTCGGTCGACCAGTCTACCACAGTAGCGTAAGCCGTTTCCGAGGCCTGGAGCCCGGAGATCTCCGAGATATTGACGACAGGTCCATCGGAAGGAGACTTGAGTGAAGGCTCAAACGCGGTCAAGACGCGTTGGATGTTGACGTCGCGAAGACTACACGTGACGTCACCAATCAGGTCTGAGAGCTCAAAGAATTTGGTAGAGGCTGGCACGTGACGTCTCAGTGGGGAGTCGACAGCGCTGTAGTCCCTACCCGAGAGGTCAACGACGACGGCAACCTCAACATGAGGCAAGACCTTCTTGACGATTCGCTCGGGAGCAAGAGGATGGATGAAGATGGCATCGTCCTTTTGACCTGATTTAGAAGTGGTTCGGACAAGTTTGAGACCAATCTCGCCACACTTTGCCTCAAAAGCTGCTCCCAGGTAATTGTCTGCTTCATGGAGAACGATTGCATCGCTAGCTTCATATTCAGCCAAGACACCCTCTACGACGGTCGTGAGGGCGAGATGACGTAGTGAAGCTAATTGGTCGATGTTGAAACCTTGCGGCGCATCAAAGACTTGCGAGTCAGGAACCGAGATGATAGACCCGACTATCTCAGAGAGAGCAATGACGGGAGCAGTCGGTTCGGCCACTTTGTGACCATAGCTCAAGTACACTCGACTACCTCCAACACGGACAGCGTATAGTGTCGAATAGCTGACCTTGATACGCACATTGTCTGCGTTGTCCGAGATCGGTAGCGAGGGAACGGACTGAGAGATGACCCACTGGCTGCCGGCCTGCTGAATCTCGACTCGCATATCTACTAGCGAAGCGGTGGTCTTGATCTTCATCTTGCCGGCATTCAGATGGTCATTGAGCCTATCATCGGGGAGGATTCGGGGAATCAGCCATCGTCCCTCGCCCTCTAAAATGAGTTCAGCCTCATGCGACCACAGGAGATCGTCCTCTTGCTTGAGTGTTGCCTTGTACATGATTCTGATCAGAGCCTCGACGATGCGAGACACAACCAACGAGTCAAGGTCGGTCTCAATGTCAATGTGCTGGAGCTGGATGTGGGGATACTCCGAGACGAGACTGCGGCATAGACCCGTCGACATGTTGGCGTATGGTTCGTCCTTCTGGCAGCCCTTGGACACCCAAAGGATTTGACGGGAGTCGTTGATAGTTCTTTGCAGACCTGAGAGCTTCTCCGACGTCATGTTCTTCAAAACCGGCTCGTCGAGATCTTCGAGGATAAGAACAGCTCGCAGGGACAACTCGGGAGTGGAAGCAAGCTGCTCGAACGAATCGACATGGTTGATCAGATCAGGCGAAGCGCCATTCATTGCAAGCAAAGTCTGTGAGACTTGCTGGGCAATGTCGTTCTTCCTGCCGATGATCGTGATACATCGTTGAGGAAGCCAGTCAAGAGCACTGGCGAGAGGCTGGCGAAGGACCGGAACGTGGTTGTCATCGACAGCCTGCGACAACATCACCGAGGTCATATACTTCGAGGCGTCATGGAAGTCGTTGACCGTGTGATCAACACCAGAGAATCCAGTCGATCGCAGCAAAGAGTCCCATTCAGGCACAGTGATAGTGGGTGCATATCGACGACCATCATCACCACCGAGCCACCAACCAGAAAGACCGGACATCATCAGTCTCACACGAACAATGTCGCTCGTGACTTCGAGGAGCAAGAGCTGACCGCCAGGCTTCAGCAGTCGTCGCACGTTGCGCATCGTAGTCGAGAGTGACTTTGTCGCGTGGAGTACGTTGGAAGCGACGATGAAGTCGTACTGCGCCTCTGGGAAACCCTGCTCGACTGGGTCATTCTCCACGTTGAGAGGCTTGAAGATCATCTTGGACACCCACGGTTCGAAAGCCTCGACAGCAGCTTCGAAGAAGCCAGTGGATATGTCAGTGAATGTGTAGCTCTCAAAGGTCGTACCGAGAGACTCGAGGATGCCCTTGGTTGCACCACCAGTTCCGGCACCGATCTCAAGGATCTTCATGCGTGGGTAACGATGAGCGATCTGCTTCGAGATCCGGCTCAGATAACCGTTGGCACGCTGGAAGCCCAGACCGAACTTGTAGAAACGGTTGAGCACATCGTTACGGACCATGTGTTCCAACATGGTGGTCTCCTTGCGCACAACTTCAGTCAGATTCTCACCAACAGCTTGAATAAGCAGGAGATCGACTTGGTCGGGGAACCTGGAAGCCTGCTGGAGGAGCCATGACCCTTCATCTGCTGACCACTCCTTTCGGATCGTGGTGTGCTTGCCGGCTTCAATGATTGGGAAGAGGTAGTCGATCCACTCAAAGATGCGCTGGAAGTGCCAATCCATGGCTGGAACCTCGCTGCGGTCGACATTTCGGTTGAGCTCTCTCAAGTAATAGTATGACAGACGCTCGCACAGATCGACGAGATCTAGATCCCCTTCAGCATCGTGTTGTTGCACATCGAGCGACGCGACAGCACAGCTGATGTCGACCTCCCACTCGGTTTGCGTATACAGCTCCTTGGCGTTGCTGGGTCCGGGCCTGAGCAATGATGTGCAGGTCAGGCCTTGAAGCTGCAGAAGGGGCTGCTCATTGTCGCTGGTAAAGATATCGAGATCGGCAGTGATCTCTCTATCGTTGGTATCCGTCAGATACGAGTCAATTGTCAGCTCCTGACTGTTCTGGACATGGTCAAGGCTGACAATGCGTAAACTCTTGAAGAATGTTGGCACAAAAGGTGCAGCAAGGCTACCATCATCAGGCCAGCAGTACGCCGCGAACAGGGATTGGAAGGCCGAATCGAGCAGAGCAGGGTGAATCATGGCGGAGAAATCAGTGCTCATCTGACTGGCCTTGGCAGTAGCAAAGCCCGATTGTCTCTGGACGTTGGACAGATGCTTGAAGGCACCTGTGTACTCTAGGCCAATCTCGGCCAGAGAGGTGTAGAAACGCTCCATGTCGACGGAGGTTAGGGACGCCACAGGAGGGTTACGCGACGGCAGAAGCGAGTCTTGCACCCTGGAGTCAAACTCGACACGCAGGTGTCCCTTAGCATTGCACTTCCAGTTACTACCTCGTCCGACAATGGAGGTGAATAGTGACCACCTCGCAGTGGCAACAAGAGAGTTGACATTGTCGATCTCAAGAGTGAACAGGGTCTCGACGCCTTGCGAATCTTGATTAAGCTGGATAGCACTGAGGATCTGAACATCGAAAAGTTCGACAAGCTGGATGGTCTTGGTATCGTCAATTGACTTGGCAGACTCCATCGCCATGACAAGGTACGCTGCGGCAGGGTAAACCACAAGACCTTCCACCTTGTGGCCCTCTAGCCAGGGGGCGTCATCCAAGTGCAAGATGTTGAGCCATCTTAAGTCTTGGGTCGCATCTTCTGCTGAGCGAGTTCCTAGTAGGGGGTGGGGCGGGCTTGTGCGTTGACGGAAGTTGGCCGACTTGCGAGATTCCTTCCAGAAAGACTGAGAGTGATCCCACGGGTAGGAAGGCAGATTTGTTGACAAGCTCGTCTTTGCCGATGAGAACAACTCAGCGTGGCTAGCAAAGTTGACAGCAGACTTGCCAAGGCGAGCCCAGATGAAACCAAGAGCATCACTGAGAGCCTCGACGTCGTGCAAATTACGAGTTAGCGCTCCCTGATACGGTAGCTGGGAACCTGTAGCTCGCTTGTATGTCTGGCTAAAGGGGCCCTTGAGAGCTGAATGAGGACCGACCTCGAGAGCGACATGGCATGGTAGCTTGCTATCGGCTGCGAGCTCTGAGGCAAGCGTGAAGAGTACAGGCTTGACCATGTTCTCTACCCAGTACTCGCCTGTCAAAAATTGACCGTGGCTGAAGGCACTCATGCGCTCTCCAATGACACTCGAGAACCACTCGCAAGAGTCATCGCCAGGCAAGAGCTGGATGTTTGACTCACGAAGGAGTGCCATGTAAGGCTCAGCACAAGGCTGCATGTGGTGAGAGTGATACGCTGTGTCGACCTTCAAGACACGAGCAAACGTTCCTTGCTCGTCCAGAAGTGCCTTGGCCTCCAAGATGGCGTCCTTGTCTCCTGATAGTGTGGCGCTGCCAGGAGCGTTGCTAGCAGCAACGTCGATACGACCAGGGAAGTGGTCCTCGCAGAAGCAAGCAGACTCTTCATAAGACAAGCCCACGGCCATCATGGAGCCCTTCTGTCCCTCTTCGCCGCCAGCAAGCTTGGCACAAACACCACGGCAGTAGGCGATACGGATGGCATCTTCAGGGGTCAGGAACCCGGCTGCGTAAGCAGCGGCAATCTCTCCGGATGAGTGGCCAATGACAGTACTGAAGGTGATGCCAGCTTGGCGAAGTAACTCGACCAGCATAAGCTGGACTGCAGTACAAACGGGCTGGGAGACGGCGGCCTCGCCAAGCCGAGACGTTTCGGGGTCTGCGAGAATCTGTTCTGACAGTGTCCATCTTGGTGGTTCCTGAAGACTCGCAAGTGAAGTCTCTAGCCTTGCGATGATATCTCGCGCAAAGGCAGACGTCTTCAGGATTTCACGGCCCATGGTCGGCCACTGAGCACCTTGACCAGTAAAGACGCCAAGGATGCGTGGAGTCTGGTTTGTAGTCTCTTGGCTGGCAACTGAAATAGTAGCATCGTCAGCTGACGCAGCACTGAGCTTCTTCAGAAGCTCTTGCTGAGTATGCCCTGAGAAGTAGGTTCTGACTGGGAGCTGAGAGCGTCTTTGTGCAAGCGTATAGAGAATGGCCTCTGCTCCCTCCTCTCCACTCTCTTGTATCGTGTCATGCAGCTGGGATATCTGTTTTCGGAGAGACTTTTCCGAGTTGGCAGAAAGAACAAGGGGGAATGATAGGATGCCTTTGACAGGGCCTGGTTGAAGTGGGTTGTCAAAGCTCTCCAAGATGGCGTGGGCATTGGTTCCGCCAAAACCAAAAGAGTTGACACTTGCGCGACGGGGTGTACCAGGGGCAATCTCCGGCCAAGGTAGTGTCTCTGTAGGAATGGAGAGGTTGCCTGCAAAAGCCTTGAGCGCAGGGTTGAGGGTCTTGAAGAGTTGGTTGGGAGGGATAACACCTCTCCGAACCGCCTCAAGAGCCTTGATGAGGCCGGCGAGACCAGCACAACCTTCGAGATGTCCAATAGCGGTCTTCACAGAACCGACAAACATCTGGTCTGAACCGCCTGCAGAGTCTTCAAAGAAGGCTTCATGGATAGCACGGGCTTCAATGGGATCACCTGCAGGTGTGCCAGTCCCGTGAGCCTCGAAGAACTGACATCGTTCTTTGATGAGGTCTAGCCCGGCATTGGTATAGGTTTGCCTAATCAGAGCCTTCTGTGACTCTGAACCTGGCAGGGTAATACCATTGGTATCTGAAAATAGTTAGTATTACTCTCAGATAATGCGTAGAGAAGGGGATACTAACGTCCATCGGAGTTCACACCAGTCTCACGAATAATTCCGTAGACATGGTCTCCATCACTCAGTGCTCGAGAGAGAGTCTTCATCATGATGGCTGCTGTACCTTCACCTCGGGCATAGCCGTTGGCCGAGGCATCCCACATCTTGCTTCGTCCTGTTGGTGAGAGCATGTGAAGCTTGGACTCTGAAATCATCATCTCTGGGCCAAGGATCAGGTTGGCGCCAGCAGCACAGGCAATGTTTGATACTCCTAGACGGAGTGCTGTGACGGCCTCATGTACGGCAACAAGACTGGAGGAACATGCTGTGTCGATGGTCATGGAAGGACCTTTCCAGTCGAAGAAGTAGGATATGCGGTTTGAGAGGATACTTCGAGCTGTTCCTGTTGCCATGTACTTGGGCATGTCCTGAGGATCACGAAGGAGCATCTCATGGTAGTCTCCAGTCATGGAGCCAACATAGACGGCTGTGTTGGAGCCCTTGAGGTCCTCATAGGGAAGACCAGCAGCTTCAGTCGCTTCATAGACGGTTTCAAGAAGCAGCCGCTGCTGAGGGTCCATAGCCTCAGCCTCCCTTGGGTTGATCTTGAAGAAAGACGCATCAAAAGCACGGATATCCTCAGTCAAGAGGTAGGCCTTCTTGACGTCTGTGCAACCGCTCTTCTCCCCATTTCTGTGGTAGAAGGCATCTGGGTTGAAACGCTCTGATGGGATGGGTGTCTGCACGTCTCTCTTCTCGCAGAGGAGGTCCCATAGCTTTGATGGGGTGTTTGCTCCACCGGGGAAGCGGCATGCTGTGCCAACAATGGCGATGGGTTCTCTTGTCGAGCTTGGAGCCCCCATTGTGATCAGTTGATGAGTATGGATGATCAATGTCTTGGTATGAGTAAGGAATGAGTAAGTAGAGGATGGAGAAAATGGTCAACAATGGTCTGGCTAAGGTTTACAGGTCAGGGGTTGATATCAAGTGATCGAGTCCGTCCAAGTTGTAGACTTATACGGCTTGCCTCCTCAGGATTGTATAGGTACATCACGATACGCAAGAAAATACGCCAGAGCTGTGCCGTATCATAGCCTCCTCCCTGATTCAGACACGGATTACTGGATTCGTTTCATCTGGGCCGATTCATGCTGATGGGCTGAGCACGACAGTCCCCGACCGCAGATGACATAGGAGAGCTCCGGGTTACAACGGCCGGGTATCATGAGAAACAAGGCTTTGGGGGCTGAGGTAAGATGGAGATAGCGGAGCCCAGGACTTTGTGTGCCCCATCGAGAAGTATCTTTCTGTCCAACCGATGCATATTTACCCCCCTTGGGCGTGTTCTTTCACTTCTGCTTCACGTCTTCCCACACGCACTTCCCAGTTGCCTCTACACTTCCCCCGGACATCTCTGTTATCCAATCGTCGGCAAAATGCACCAAATTTTCCCCTCTACCTTTTTCAACTTCGAGTTTCTTCGCCTTCTCGGGACCGCCCCATATCTCGGTGCCGAGACCGGAGAGTGCCTTGCCACGGCGGCACGCATCAAGGATGGAGATCCTGAGAGCTGGTACCACGCCTGGTACGAACAGGCCCAGAAGGCACTGGCCCTTGCTGATGAGGCCAAAGCCGTTGGAGACGGTCCCGGTGCCGCGTGGGGCTACATCCGAGCGTCCAACTACTTCCGGGCCAGCGAGTTCCTCCTCCACTGCACGCCAGAGGACCCGAGGATCCTCTCGTCTGCCGTGGTGAGTGCCGATGCCTTTGACAAGGGCTGGATCCTGCTGGATGGCTCGGTGAGGAAGGTTGACATCCCTTACGAGGGTGGCAAGACCCTGCCGGGACGGCTCTACCTCCCGGCCCTTCATCATCAACTCTCCGGCAAGATCCCTGTTGTTATTCAGACCGGCGGTTTTGACTCGACTCAGGAGGAGCTCTACTACTACGGTGCCGCTGGTGCCTTACCACGTGGCTATGCTGTCTTTAGCTTTGACGGACCCGGCCAAGGCCTATCACTTCGAAAGGATAAGCTGTACCTACGCCCTGACTGGGAGCACGTCACCAGCAAAGTGCTGGATCATGTCATCGGGGAGCTGGCTCCGGCGCATAATCTCGACGTGGACCGCCTAGCCATGTTTGGCGCTTCTCTCGGAGGCTACCTCTCCCTCCGCGCTGCTGCGGATCCCCGCGTCAAGGCAGTCGTGTCATGCGACGGGCCGCTGGACCTCTTCGACATTACCCGCAGCCGCATGCCGCCGTGGTTCATCAATGGCTGGCTGAGCGGCTGGCTGAGCGATGGCTTCTTCAACTGGGTCATTGACCGTCTGGCGTCAGTCAACTTTCAGCTGGCTTGGGAGTTCGGCCACAGCAAGTGGGTTTACGGTGTCAAGACACCTGCAGACGTCATGCGGACCATGCAAAAGTTCTCTCTCAAGGACGGGTACCTGTCCAAGATCAAGTGTCCCACACTGATCACCGGTGCAGCTGATTCATTCTACTTTACGCCACAGCAGAATGCTCATCCCATCTTTGATAGCCTTTCTGCCCTCGGACCGGCGGAGAAGCACCTGTGGATCGGCAAGGGCGGCGTCGAGGGCGGTGGTCTGCAGGCCAAGATTGGAGCTTTGGCGCTCATGCACTACAAGATGTTTGCCTGGCTGGATGAGACATTCGGAATTCGACGGGACGAACTGTGAGGTTGGGGAAAGAGACGATACCAAGCTTTTCCGGAAATAGAATCATCTTTTGGGCCTGAGATTACCTCTACGTAGCATGTACCTGAGTGAACACGAAGCTTGATCTCCGCTATTACATCCACCCCCTTTGCCCGGCAGATCCTCCAACTGGGGAGCCTTGCTTGAGTCGGAAGTAATTTGCCTAGCTCCGAAACTCGCATGATTAGGGACGGGAGCGGCCGTAGCTCTCTGGCGTACGGACGAATAAGCTTAAGGTTACGAGTCGTCAGCACGAGTGGATCTGCGGTAATATGCCAGGGGGGGGAGCCAAGGCAAGGAAATGCCGCAGTGGCACGCGCTCTTACATACAAGGGGAAACAGGGCTGAGCAGGGGGAACAAGGCGTGTTGGTTCGCGCATGTGAAGACAGATCTAGATATGCCAAGGTCCGTTTATTGTGAATGTGGAACTGGCTTATCCCTCGACATTTGGTAGTCGTTGTTTGTTGCAAGAACAGTCTTGACATACTCACAAACATCACCATGGCACCTTTTGGGAAATTGTATTCTTTCATGCCAAATGGCCGGGCCTTCAAGGTAAAGACACACTTCTCAGCTACTGTTGCAATTCTAACATGGGCAGATTCTTGCGGCCGCCAAGCTCAATGGTCTGGAAATTGAGATAGCCCCGTACCAGCACATGGTAGACAACAAGACACCAGAGTTCCTGGCCAAATTTCCGGCAGGAAAAGTCCCAGCTTTCGAAGGCGCTGACGGGCTTCTCCTCCCCGAGTCCGACGCCATTGCACAGTATCTGGCTCAGTCTGGACCTTACTCTGGACAACTACTTGGCCATGATGGTGCAACTTCAGCCAAGATTCGACAGTGGATCTCTTTCTTTGATGGCGAAGTCTACCCACACATGCTAGATCTTGTCGTTTGGCGAGTGGGAATTGCACCGTTTGACCAATCTACCGAGACCAAGGCACTGGCTCGTCTCGAGTTTGCCTTGGATGTGCTTGAGAAGCATCTTGACGGCCGAAAGTGGTTGGTTGGGGACGAGCTCACACTGGCCGACTTGACGGGGGCATCTTCCCTTCTCTGGGCATTCATACACATTATCGATGCATCCGAGAGGAAGCGTTTCCCCAACGTGGTGGCCTGGTACTTGCGCACTATCGAGACAGAGGAGATCAAGGAAGTATTTGGCCCCCCAAACTTGATTGATGTCAAGCGTGTCCATGAGTAGAATGTCAAGAAACTTGGGTACTCCGCCACAATAAATGCAGAGTGTTGTTTTGCGCATTGATTCGTTGGTTCTTTATGCGTCTCTTGCTTATGGCTGCATGTCTGGGATAGCGCCACATTACTAGGTCGTACGCAGGAATAATATGCACTATTGATTGCTTGTGAAAAGACCAAAGTACTAATCTGTCAAGAAAATGATGGAAGAAACTGTGTTGATGAGCTACTCCAGTACTTCAAAAATCTCTAATCAAAAGTCCATATCTATCACAAAGACGTTGGTGTGGGATACCAAATGGCTGAGTTGGTGTGTTGAGTATGGACTGTCAAAAGCAAACACGTCTCTGTAGGATTCTGGCTTCAATGAACAAGTATTACTGAATGGATAATCATATAACCAATAGTTTACATAGAAAGAGGCGCAAGTCCAAAGGATTGAGTCTCAAAATCCAACACCACATACAGCCGCTTCAAGAATGCAAGACCCAGCAGAGCCACCTTGGCGTTTCCATCTTCAGTGCGACCATACTTCCAAACATTGATGTTAAGATAACATGTTGACGAGTCACCAATCTTGGTGACATAATCCTGCGGGGGAACGGTGTAGTTGGTGTGCCCATTGAGCTCGTAGACAAGCTCGGGGTAGCTGTCCATGTCGTCGCAGGATACGGTGTACCAATCCTGTTCGGCGGTATTGAATCCTGAGGATCCTTGGGCAAGGATCTCCTCCACGGTATCGTTCGATGCAACAGTGCCTCTTACTTGATCCACTAGCCAATTGTAGGCGTTGAGCGACAGAGGTGCACCGAGACCTTCAGAGCCCTCGTCAAGAACTGCAAGCGGAGTAACATTGCTACCGTTGGAGCCGCTAAAAGGATCCGCAAAGTTCCGGGACTCTTCCTTTGAGTTTCCAAGGATCCAACTGCCTGTCAGTGGAGTCGTCCAATAGTTTTCCCGTGGGGGCGTAAGCGGGTAGAAGGCATCGGATAACCAATCTGGATTCTGGATCTCGTATATCCGCAGCGTATCATTATCGTACAAGGACGAATCAGTACCGCCAAAAACAAGCTTCGCCTCACCACCGAGACACGGATCGGACGATGCGAGTGCGGCACAGGAGTTCCAGCCCACGAGAGAACCGAGTCTCCCGGCCTTCCATGCCTGGTAATTGGCAGGGTGGAACGTTTCGTTGAGACCGGCCGTAACCGGGGCCATGCCGAAGATGCCGCCGAATGGGACCTTGGGGATACCCTCACCGGGGTACGGGAAATCTGACACCTGTAGGACCGTTCCGGCGGAGCAGACGTTGCCGATGCACACATCATCCGTTCCGTAGTCGACGGTGAAGTTCGGGGCGAAGGCCGTCAGCGGCCACGACAGTTGAGGCAATGTTGTGTTGGCGAATGAGGTGGATACTTTCTCGTCGAACCATGTCTGACCAGAGGTGCCGAGACATAGAGAAGGGTCGTATTGGTTGAGACACCTTCCTGATCTGACAAAGAGAGACATCCACGTCCAGTCACTGAGCATCGTCAGCTCCTGCGGAGGAGTACCCACGGTGATGTTGAACAGGTACCCGAACCCGTTCCACACCGCGGGTACTGCAACACTCTTGCTGCAGCTGGCATTGACATGACGGTAACCGTCGGGATGTGGGAGGGTAGAAGCGGATGCAGGCAGGCTGCCGATCAGCAGCACGGCGAGATGGTGAAACGTATGCATCATGTTGCAGTGAGAGTGATTAAAGAGAAGTGATCAACAAGACGCGACAGCTCGGGAGAGGGGGAGCAAGTTATTATCCTCTGCAAGGACAAGGATCCAACATTGTGACGACTCTAGACCGTGACGCTATCTGTCTCCCTTTCTCGATTCAGCCCTATTGCTCGTCCATCAGCCCATTGATCCACGACTAGGCTATGCAACCTTCAGACACGAACCCACGCCTTGTTTCCGTAAATGGACATTCGTGTATCGTGCATGACGCAGGTGCCTCATCTCCATCCGCCAGGGATCCTGATTGATACGAAGGCGCCTGTCAGCACTGTCGCATCAGCCGTGACGCGTGCCGGTGCAACAGTATTCGAGACTCGATGTGACCTTGATCTGCAACACCATCATCTCGTCGCCTCATTTCTTCCCATTGAACTGAACCCACCCCGCCAAGAGTTCCACAACTACCCAGGAGAACGTTGTCATGATCCCTGCCTAACGGATGAGGCTGGGGAAGAAGAGTAAGCAGTGGTTTAGTCCACTTTGGGAATCCAATTAAGTCGACTATCGGCATTTTACTTGGTACGCTGGATTACGATCCTTTGTTGGGTCCAAGTTCCACGTTGTATCTGTTATTTACGACATAGACCAGGCATCCAAGACAGTAGATCCCTGCTCCGGCGTATTGTCAGTGAACCGCCACGACAGGGCTGAGGCTCTTGTACCCACTGACTGAAGTGGAGAATTCTTTTGACTGAGCTTCGTCGCTTACCCTAGAGTTGTACTGAGCGGATTCGAGAGCTTCTTCAGATAGGGACAGCGCTACAAGAGTGACGTGTACAACATTTATCACAAGATTGGCATGAAAATCATTAAGAATGATGGTAATGGTGATTCCTGCTAGAATTTCTTGATAATACGAATAGATTTATTTCACAATTGAAGGTCATCCTCACCGCAAATGGGGGGCAACGGCTTTTAACCACGCCATCAGCTAGCTCACAAGACAAAGAAAGGGGTTATTAACACGTAACATTTATACCCAAGCTGAAAAAGACTATAACTTACAAAGCTGTTGTGATATCGATAATTTAGCGACCTGTTCTTGAGACCGCTCTTAGATATTACATCAAGTTCCACACATGTAGTCAATATACTCTATGTCTGAAAAAATGGCCTGAACTACCTACTTTCATACAATGCCCCCTTCATTCAGACAGCCTCATCGCAAAGAAATGACTTGCTCTGGGGCTGCACATAGTGTTTCTGCTTCATTATTCATCAAGCCGTGGATGTAACACTCTCCCACAAGGGAAAAGGAGCCCCTGAATGCTTCCTCTTTTCTAAGCAGGAATGGCACCACGCCACCGTGGATGACAAACACAACATCCCCCTTCTTAGCCGTAGGTGGAACAATGCCGACACCATGTTGCTTGGTGACCACAAACTTCCAACCAGTCAAGTTGCCTTGAAGGGTGAGGTAGTAGTCTTGACCCCGCGCCCAAAGAGAGTCCCTGGATTCAGCAATGTGGTTCGGGTCCTTGCCAGACGCACTTTTTGCCTTGGTCCCGGCCTTGCGTTTTACCTTGTTCCATGGCTTGCTCTCCTCAGAATTGTCTCTGTCCATGGCCAGGCACTCTCGCAATGCCAAGTATGAAGACTTCATAGAGTGGCCATCAGACCTGCGGCGCCATGCTCCGGCGATCGGGGCTTTCCATCTGAGGTCTCCATCGCGATGGTAAGATGAAGAGGCAATCATCCTGTCGACCTCATCCATGTACAAGCACAGTTTTTCCGCAACGTTTGAAGTCTCGCTGATGGACTCTATTTCGCCGACTCTGAATCCTTCTAGCCGTAGTTCCAAATTATTCATTAGGCTTGTATCGAGCCGAGGGCTACGACGTTTCGAAGCCGCACATGGCATGCCCTGTGCCTCCAGTGTGCGTAGACTGCTTGGTTTTGGGACCGTCCAATCCGGAATCCAGGATGGGAAAGAGTCTTTCTTGCGTGAATTGATTCCTGCTCGGTGGAGAAGCTCCAAGACTTTCCCTTGCTTGATAAACGCCCAAGCGTACTTGCGGACAAGGACGTCAAAGCTGAGACGGTAATCAACAACAAAGTCCTTGTTGTTGCCATCTTTTGCCAAACCAAGAAGACAAAAGAAGCGATCGTGGTCAATGGACGACTTGGAGTCTCTGAAGTCCTCGAGAAGATCAAGTAGGGGACGACGCTCGTGCTTGGCTTCGCCCTCGCGACGCTTTGCCAGTTTTGAGAACCGACCAAATTTGCCTTGAGCCTTGCCAAGTGCCTGCTCAAGCGGAGGCTGAGAAGCGCGTGTGATGACTCTGATGACGGCGAGGAGGTCATTCCAGTCTATCATCCACTTCCCGCAGATAACGCTGACACTAGTAGCCACAAGGAGTTCTTGGATGATCCATGCTCGCTCGAACCAAGGCCTTTCGAAAAGAGCACCTATGTCGGTCCAGATCGGATCATCCGGCGGTGGTATACCTCTCCTCTTCCATCCCTCTGGTATATGTGCAAGATCCTTGGGCCATTCCTCTGGTAGAGCGTCATGAACGCGGATCTGCATCAAAGCTTCCATAGCGCTATCGCCCTTGCTATCGCTTCCCAGACATGCCAAGACACATTTCGCACGTTGAAAGACTCGCGGTAGGAGACGAATTTGTTCAGACTTCTCATTTTGATCGCTCTGGTTGATACAGATGCCATCAGCCCAGAGAAGTACTGGCTGCTTCTCGTGTCTTATGCAGCACAGCGTAGCGTGAAGGGAGGCACTGAGTTTGATTGTGCCCTCCGGGGTCCATAGTGAGTGCGATAATTCACTGATACCCCATGTGTACGAAACTGCTTGAAAGTTTGTTGCCGTAAGAAGCGGGCAGCGGTAAACAACTGCTCGTAGTTGACAATCTTCTTGGCCTGGATGGAGCAGGAGGAGTCTGATGTCGTCCTTGCTTAGCGGTTTGTACAAAAACTCGGTGGCAGAACCGGTGTCATTGTTGAGGAAGCCAATAGAGACAGGGGTAGTGGATGGATTGCAATTTGGATTTGATGATTGCTGAGGTATTGTGAGTGGAAAGAGGGATGTTGACCGCGGGTGACAGTCACTGACCGGTCCTCCAAGGCTTCCTCTGTGAACATGTTGTCCTGGAATTCCTAGAAGCTGGTGGTTATGGGGTTGATACATCGGATGTGCAAGATGGACCGCGGGAATCTGGGGACAAGGCATGCCGGCCTGCGATGGGCTTAGCCAGTGACCGGCTCCCTGGTTCCCCCCCTGCCACGTCTGTTGAGACGACCAGCCGTCCACCGGCATCTGTTCATGTGGTAAATGTAGGCCGAGCCTTGAATGCGGAGGCAAATAGGAGCCGTCGCTGCCCATCGAACTGATAGACGTGTTGCAGGACTCGGTCCAGAGTGATTCTCTTGATGAGTCTCCGTATTTTCCCAAGCCGTGAGAGGCCACAAGTGACCCTGGAGGTGTTAGTGACAGCTGGATCGGAGGTTGACCAGCGCCTGCTGGATCTAAATCGCCCCTCCTTCTTGGGTCGAGAATAGTGGCCGCAAAAGTCCAGTTGCCGCGTAAAGCAAACCTCTCCAAGCAGAACAGGCGCCACGGGTCGACGAATAGATGAATGGCAGGGCTGGTGAATATGTGTGAGATGCGAATCAGGACGTGAACATCCTTCACACTGAAACTGGCCCTTTTTTGCTTCTCTGTTCGAAATGCGCGCATCTGGAGGTGGTTTCCGACTCGTCAATAGATTTATCTCTGGAGGCATCAGCAACACTCACCCTCTCGAATTGCTGGCTCGTCCAGGCGAAGTCAGATGCCGGCCCCCCTGGCGAAACCGCCATGTCAAGGTGATATGTCGGGTCACTGTTTGTCCAGACCCAGGTGCTTGCTTCCTGAAAACCGCGCTTGGCCAGAGCAGCTGAGAATTTGCGGCTCGCCTCGGGGCCGGTGATAGTGAACGTGGCACAAGACACAACTGGTCGAGAGAATCTGGTATGGCCAGCTTTGTAGCGCTGGGGGCTGGTCCAGTGCTCATCTGGCTTGTACAAATTGCCCAGTTCCCGCTGTAGAAACGCTGAGGTCTGGTTGTTCGCCCATTTTGTTAGATAAAGCTGTAATCGTTGCATGGTGCCATGTTTGGTTAGGACTCACCAGGACTTCTGCTGCATATTGGCCATGAGCTGGCTCCTGCCGGAGCACCGTTTGGTAACCCGTGCCTGAATCAGAAGACGTGCTTCGGAACAGAATTCTCTCCGACCATTTGAAATACTTCAGTGGAAGTCGCCGGTCCTCTCCGTCAGTGTCGCCTAGAAAGCCGGCTGGAAGATGCTTGAATTTCGACTGGAATTTGTCTTCTGAGGCGTCTCGTGTCTCGTCCCCTTCGTCAGTCAAGATATCATCTAAAACCTCGTCCCGCCAAAGTGCAGCAGTTTCGTTGTCTGAGTAGGGGACATGGATCCCTTCCCTTGTGAAAGCACTTGATAATCGCCGTGGACTGTTTTCGCCCAGGGAGAAGTGAACCAGGTTACGGTAAGCTGGATTGACGATTCCGTACCGATCACAGATCTCATTTCCAAGCTCGGGAGGGGGTACAGTGGCCAGAATGTTCTCCCTTGTCATAAACACCTGTAGTCTGCCATTCCGCTTCGAGAGGGCAACCTCACCTGGACCATCAGCACCTGAAAAGTGGCGACCTCCGTATTCGAATGTGTATTTTTGCACAATTCCAGCCGCAAGATTGACTTCAACTCCAAGAACCTCCCCAACAAGATCATCTCGGCCTTCCAGCTGTTTCGGTATCAACCTGTTTACCAGTAAATAGATTAGCGTAAGCGTAAGCAGATTGGAATAGGCTGCGGTCATTGATTAAGTGGGAGTTGTAAAATCTTACGCAGTAATGAACCCAGCTTTTCGCCGCAGAGACTGTGTGTACGCCTTGTGTAATTTCGGCTTGCCTAGCGCATGAGATTCGACCTTGACAATTGTGGAGAGAACTCGAGGCTGAACATCCAAGGCCTCGAGAAATGCCTGGATGGACTGGATGTCGCGTGGGGAGATGGCAAGAATATCGACGCATCCAGAAAAGCTATCGCGCAGGTGCTCGCGATCAGCGATGAACCAGGGTGGAAAGCGTGGGTTGAGAGGTGCGAGAGCGTCATACTCGTTGTCGCTCTTGTTTTTCAAAATGGGAAAGACTGGAAGTGACTTTTTCAGCTCCTCGGCAGCGGCTTTAAACCATTGAGAGCCCTGAGCCTGAATAAGTCGGTCTATCTTGACGAAAAATGTCAGAATGTCGCCCAGGCCCGTTTCCTTGGTGATGGCGCGGAGACTGTGAAGCTGACGTTCCATGGCGTTTCTTCCAGTTCCGAGTACATGACGAAACAAGGTAGCACTGCTCTCATACTCTATGGCAATGTCCAAGTTCTTTTCGAGGCATTCTTTGCCGCTTATCCAGCACATCTCGGGATCACTCCCAGACGAGTAGAGAGAAGTGTAGATCAGGGGCTTCTGCATAAAGCTTTTTCTGCGTCCAGTATCAGCCAAGTCATTATCGGCTCCAGCTGTGCCTTTCGTACCTGATCTCCTTTTTGTTTTCCATGTAGTCGGCTTGAATTCGCTCGTAGATATGCACGACAGTTTTCCTCAGGGGCTTTTTGGCAGAGCTCTTCATAGCCAGTAGACACCTAACGTAGTACTCGATGTCTCGATACACCGAGACTTGGAAGACTTTGAGAAACTCCCACTGTTTCGGGGGGCCAGGGACATCCAGAAGTGGAATACAAGACTCTCCATCAACGATCCTGTCTAATGATGGAAGAACGGTTTCTCCAAATTGCCGGAAGCAGTGGTCATATGATTTTCCCTTTGTGCAGCATCTGACTTTCATTGCCATGATAGAATCCTTCACGGGGTTTCCCAAGCCCTTGCCGTCAATTGTAAAGACCTCCTCAACAACTTGCGAGTAATCTCGCCATCGCAGTCTGAGCAGTTCAAGAACATCAGACGAACGACAGCCTTTGAAGAGAGATTCGAATTCGTTAGAAAGGCGGAGGGTGCCGGCCCTTTTACCCTGGGGAGCGCCCGCGGAGATCCTAGGGAAGGTTGATGGCTGAATATGGAAGCACTGCTGAGCCCACCGTGACCACGTCTCTTTTTCTGACGCGTTTGATGAAAAGTCTCGAGTATATACGCTGTGGAGTACCGGATAGCCTTTTTCGACATGCTTTCGAATCCGGTCTTTCAAGGACCCAGGCTCGCATTGGCCACGGCTGTATAACGATGATCCCTTCACACGTTGATTGTCTGTGGTGGCGAACCACAAGTCGATTGCCTCCAATGGATGGAAAGAGGCCCTGAACATGAAGGCGATATGCTCTTCAAGCTGGGCATGTGTTAAGCTGCCTGGCTTGAATGACACATCGCCATGAAGTTTGATGATGCGAAGACATACATCTGCACTGTCCATTCGTGGCTTCACGCCGAGTTGACGGAAGAGATTCATTTGTGAGGAACTTTCTTTGATGGATCTACTCACTGTGCGCATCGGAACGGTTTCTGGAATTTTCAGTTGCTGGGTTTCTTCGCTGAAATGGATTGGTCCCGTGTCCGCCGATACCCATTCGCCGTTGGACAAGGGAATAATTTCCAAGCCTTTGATGCAATCGCGATGCCGCTCCGCTTTGTAGAGAGCGATCAATACATTGGCCAGCTTCTCATGCCATTCCCTGGGTTTCTGGCGGAAATGTTGGGGCCTGGTCGAAATCATCGAACTCAGATGCTGAAGGAAGCTGTTGCTATCCAGTGTTTGAGTCCCTAAGCGGGACAGCAAGGTATAGTCAAGTGCAGGATACGAACAAGAGAGGTACAAATCCTTGGTGCTAGGAGATAGTGTTAGGGGCAACCCATCATCGTCGGTAAAACGGGATAGAGGGACGTAGGAGAGCGTCGCTGGCGCAACCATCTTCCGAGAGCACGCCTCCAATATCGGCTCTTGGGAAAGTTTTTCCAGGATCATGTCTCTAAGAGGTTCAAAGAAGCCAAGTATATGTCGGCCTGGGATGTAACTGATCCAAGCGTATCGTCGAGGTCCGGAGTTCAAATGGTGGATAGCTCGAACAAAAGCATCGGCACAGGCTTCACGTAGAGCGCGATTCCATGGGTTGTCTGGGACATCTTCCCGGTTGGCAGTGAGGATAAAGTCTCCTTGAAGTAGAAACTGTTCCCCAATTAGTATTATTCCACAGAGGCTGGGGGCATGAGATGATGTACCTTGAACCCGTAGTCACGGATTGGGAGGAAGGCATAAACTGCGTGAGTATGTCCTTCTGATGTCTCATGTAGAGGAGGAAAGGCGAGCGATATCTCAGATTCTGTAACTCCGACCCGACCCTTCTCTTCAGGGAGATTAGAAACGAGATGCTTCACTACAATGTAGTCGGAAACGGTGGGTCCTCGATGAAGTTGGGTGATATGACTGTCCTGAGTCAAAGCATCTTGTCGCCGAAGGGTCTGACTCCACGTGCTGCCGTCCATAAGCGTGGCTTTGAGATTGATCTCTCTCAAGCGCCTAAGAAATAAGAGCATGGTAGGGTCGAGACGTTTGATGTCACGAGCGATGTGTTCTTCGTCGGTGTTCTCAGAAAGTTTGAGATAAAACGACGTATATCCAGGCCGGATGGGTTCGGGAAATTCAGACCAGATGGGGGCAATGAGACCGACAGCTTGCGCTTGATCAAACTTGAAAGAAAAGCTGCGCGAGGATATATAAACCTCGCTGGCAACCTTGAAGACGGATTTGAAGCCGATGCCTTTCTCGCCAACGTATCGAGCAGACTGACCCAGGCCAGCCTTGGTACTCTCACCAATCTTGCAGATTGCCCTGACATTTCTCTCGGTGAAGCCAGTCTCGTTACAGTCGACGCGGAGACTACCTCGCTTGTAGGTAAAGCTGAGACTGGGAGTCACGTCATCGTAGGTGTTGTCCTCCGCGTTCTGAATGAGCTCAAGCAGGAAGTGCGTCTGCTTTTCATAAAGCTCACGAGATAAGCTACACCTATTAGCAAAGCACACAGAGCATGGAGCTCAGTAAGGTGGGGGGGCTAACGCTTCGAGTGCATTTTCTAGCAGGCGTCCCACAGGGGAATTGTGTTTAGTGATGGTGCCATTCACTGTGTTCTCCCTCCAAATTTCCTCAATAAGCCGTCTCGCTGAGATGACGTCCGGTACGGAGGTATAATCCATAGTGCAGCTGAGGTGAAACGAGACCACGAGAATGAGCTGCGTGCACACAGAACAAATAGTTCAGAGCTTCAAAAGCGCGCAACCGTGATATACCACTCTGCCAAGACACGGCGGTGGCGGAGCAAGGCAATCAATATTTCAACCTAAAAGGAGGCAACAAAACATAGGCCGCAGCAAGAAACCTGCCAGTCTGATTGGTCAAGGCAGACTTGAGCAACCAGGCTCCGGCCAATTAAAGCGCAAGCGAACCGCCAGACGCACCTCTTTCAACCTCGTGCATTGAGGAGGTAGCTTTGAATGGCTTGGGCTGATACGGGGTCTCTTTTGAAAAGGTGGTGAAAGGAGGTGGCGGTTGATATGTGCGTGTTGAGAAGTCACTCATTTGTGCAGGTATTAACGACAACATAGGACTAAGAAATACTTCAAATTATCTTAATTCAAGGCTCAGTAGTTACGTTGGCAATGCTGTTGTTTTAAGCATCTGTCTAGATTCTATATTCAACAAGCATAGGTTGAGAGTAATGAACTTGCAATCACGTTATGCGTCTTTTTCAATAGAAAATACCCATACGGGATAGTAATAGAGCGATTGGAATACTAAAATCTCTCCTATAGTAACAAAACCAATCTATCGAGCTACCGGTGCAATATCAAGCCCCATCTCAAGACCATCACATGTCCAGATCCATCACAGATTTTGCTTCACGCGAGAAGCTCGGGCCAGAGCTTCCAATGGCTTAGTGTCTGCTAACACAGTAGCATAGGAGCCAAATCGCACGTGAACAGCGCGTTGCGGCTTTGGATCCCAGCAGTAGAACCTCCCGGTGGAGCGCATGTGCTCCAGGTCAATGACCACGATGGACTCGACAGGCATGATTGTCTCGGTCCAGAACAAGAGGTAGAGGTTATCCCGAAGTTTGAGCATCTTGCATTCTTCTGCATCTGCTAGTCCCTTCTCAGTTCCGTCGAGGCAGTGCCAGGTAAAGGTGCCTTTGTTCAAGTAAACGTGCTCATATGCATCTCGGGGCGTGTATCGATACAGTATGTGCTTTCCGATCAACTCATCGGTCTCCGGGAAAGGGACCACTTTTTTGCTTCTTTGCGCGTTGGCGTTCATGAACTTGGTCCATGTTCTGCGCTCCCCCTTGAGGTCGTGGAAACCAGAGACTCCAGCCAGGCATTGGCCCGTGGTTGTGTCCAATACAAGAGTGACCTGCTCTTCGTACGAAGGCTTGTAGAAGTCTATCAAGAAGATGTCTGGTCGAACTTCATAGGCTTCGTACTCGGCTTCTCCCGTGAGGCCCTTGTCCTCGCCTTCCAAGATCTTCCATGTGAGGTTGCCAGCATCACCAAAGAGGTGAGAGATCTTGTAGCCGTTGTCAAAGGTGTGCTCAATGTTTCGGCCGCTTAGTTTGGAGGTGGAAGGCATGAGGTGTTCCCGGAACCCATCTGCCATCTCCTCAAGGGTTGGCCACTCGGAGACGGGCACAAACTTGGGGACGTCGGATGTTGCCATTTTGATATCGAAAAGATTTGGTGGTTAGATGAGTTTTAGAATGGGATATGCTTAGGAGTAGGATGCAGAGTTGCTTTGCGCTGTTCTCAGATACTTATACTCGACTTTCTCATGTTGTGGTATGCCGTATAAGAGTAGGCGAAAATCGTGGGCAATTAGATGTAATGCGGGGAGATCGGACTCTATTTCCCGAATAGGTTTGGAACAAAGGTGATTCAGACGATGGAAAACTGAAGCTCCGGCGTAGGAAGCATACAGTAAGCCCCATACAACAAAGACTTGATTAAATCATGGCTGTTTGGTCGCTAGTGCTTTCATACTCCATCAACACCCCACGATGACTTGATGGATCTCTAACCATGAGCCATGTCAGCAGATTCACGATGAGATACCGCACTGACCCTTGTCTCTATCGCTGTTACCAGTCTTTGCGTCTGTATCTATCGGGGATAGTGGCAACTCCTAGATAGCGCCATACTTCTTTGGGAGAAAAAGTCCGAGGCTCCACCCATGACAATTGACTTCAGGAGATTGCCACGACATCATGACTTCGGACTTTGATTCGGTTCCAAGAGAGCGAAATAAAGACCGAAGTCCCGAGGTGAAACCAAATGTTTCTCTTTCGGACTTTCGGAACTGTTCCGAGGTAGTGAATCTCCGAGGGACACCGATATCAACCTAGGAAGGATGCAGCATGGTACCATGATTGAATGGTCAATTAGATTCATCCGAGGATAGTCTCTAACTTCTTTCCAGTCATGGCATCGATCCAATGCACATCCATGACATGCCCCTGTCCAGCGCTTGATACCACTGAATCCATGCGTGACCAGACTTCCTCCAGTATTGTGCCAACACGGTTGATGGTGTGTAGGCCGATGGAGAGAAACGACTTGTAAAACCTGTTGCGAACAAACTGCCTCCAGTTGTTAATCAACTGATTTTGCCTGCTTTGCGCGGCCGTCAGTTGGTGTCCTTCCACTGCGGCTAAATGTCCAAGTGTACTCCCAGCTATCAAGTATACCAGACTCTGGATAGCGATGGTGCGAGAGTTGTCTGGTATAGTTTCGAGTATCTCTAGTATGTCAAATGCAAGACCAAGAACGAGCTGTGACTGTTTGTCTGTAGTTTCGGCCTCGTCGAATCTGCTGGTCGAACTGGTTGCGATTTCTGGAAACGCTCGGTACAACTCAAGGAGAGAAGCGAGTCGGTAACTGCGTGCCATCTTGACGAGATGTGATGGGGGAGAGCGAGGATCGCCAGTGTCTTTGACCAACCCGATAAGGGGAGCTCGGCTTTTGAGAATGGCTTGTTCCAGAGTCGAGGCTTCTGCAATCAACTGAATGAGAGCTGATGTCTCACCCGAAGCAAGCTTGCGGCTGCGAAGGGTTCTCCGTTTCCTAACCATTGTACCAACTTTTGCAAGTCGGATGAAGATGTCTGTCGCCACCCCGGTCCAGGGACAGGGCTGTGATAATGACTCCGGGGCTGGGTCAAGAAAGACGTCGAGATACGAAATTGCCTCCAAGTCTTGGTCCAGTAGATATGATACCATGACCTCCCAGTATACCATTGAAGACACAATGAAATTCTGGGTCATAGAGAGTGGTCTTGGGGGCTGCTCAAGACCGTTCGTTGCCATCCATAGCTTGAAGAGATGCCGAGACCCAGTAAGGTGATATAGGCCGAGAGATGAAGGATCATGCCAGCTCTATGTAGAAGAATAAGCAAAGTTCAGGTGCTTTACTAGATAAGATCAACCTACCGACGTCATGCCGAGCAGAATGATGCCCAGAAGAATGTCATCCTTTACAAGCGATGCAGCTGATGGCCTAGCAAGGGCCAAAACACCGGGAGGGTGGGGTGGCACATGAGTGCTTATTTTTGCAAGTTCTCTCGATATTCTTGATATGGCTTCAGTCTGGAAGCTCAGTGGTATAGAGGAACTGTCCCCTTGGTTCTGGTAGAGATGGGCTGCGGATATACTCATAACGCAGGTGAAGAGGAGAGGAGAGGCATCCATCATCTTGGTCACACGTGATCGAAAAGGATTTGCCGAAGAGTCGAAAGAGGAAGCGACTTCGCAGACGAAGGAAAAATAGTGGCCTAATAGAATTGAATCCTCCCCCGCTGGGACATAAAGGGACAGGTCGGAGTTGTTCGAAGAGACTCGACTCGACAGCTGTTTCTCATTGCCGTTCAAATCCATAAACATAGACTCTTGGTGACATATTTGGCTTTCGGGTTGATCGGAATCATGATCAATTGAGTTGAATGTGGTTGCGTCGAATGTTGCTTGAGTATCGTCAAGTCCGCGAGGCGGGGAGAATGATGGCCACTCAGATTCAAAGTTCAAATCTGATTCATCCGGAGAGAACCCAGGTAGATTGCCTTCATGATGCCCTGGCCGGGCTTGAGGCAAAGAACCTTGACCGATGGACCTCGAGAGCCCTTCGGCTTCCCTTTCGAACCAAGTAGATCCAGGAGTTGAGGGTAGCTGAAGATTTCTTTCATGCTTGGTAGACCACTTCACGGAGCGAGAATATCCTGGACATTCAATGCCAAACTTGAAGCAGCGACGACAACCTGGTAGAGCTTCATCACACTTCAGCTTCTTTGAGATGGTGAGCAAAGACTTGATATTGAGAGTCAATCGGGGAACCTACTCGGCGCTTGCAAACATCACATCCCGCTTAATTTTCATGATAGTTAGCTATTTTCAGATATTGAGACCAGAAGGATGGCATACTCCTTGTTTTCTTTGACCTGCGGGACCGAGCTGATGGGCCGCTGCCATCAGAGTTAAGTCCACTTGGAGATGAAGACTGAGTTTCTCGTTCTACTTGTTGTAGATGGGTTGAAAACTTCGACTGCATAATGATAAAAGGAACAAATGTTGTCGAGGAGGGCCAAGGATCTGGTTGGATGGATAGATGATGGAGAGTGGTTGATGATGAGATCGATGGCAGAAATGCGGGGAGAAGGTCACGGGATCTAACTTCCTAGTTAGTCGATAAGGTAAGTCGCCATGATTGGCTCACGGGTTTTCTCCCTTTGCCGTTAGAACAGCATCGGCTTTGACAAGTCAACACTCCTTGGTCATTTACGACACAGGTAGCTTTAGATACTTGGTCCTCAGGAGTATCAAGTGAAGAGTCACGTAGTTGTTAAGGGAAGCAAAATGACATCACAAGAGGTCGGGCTAGCCAGATAGTCGCCGATCTCAACACTCAAGAATTGGGTGATGGCATGTTGAATGTGCTATCAAATCTTCTTCGCCCAGTTACATCTCTTACTCTCCCACCGATGCACTCTCCGTACCATTGGTCTCGATCAGTGGTCCAAAGTATCTCTTCCGTGCTCTGAAAGGCCAGTAAATACATCCAAATATGACAGCACCGCCAAGAACAACTGGCGCGTAATTCATGTTTTCAGCGGTAATAGGCTGATAAGGGGGAAAGAGTAAGAAGATACTCGTGAAAACAAGATAGACTGTCGCAACGACATTTACAAAGATTCCGGACTTGCCCAACTGCCAAGGGCCCCAAGTCAATGTGTTTGGTCGAGAAATACGGCGCCAGATCAAGAGAATGATCGGCATAAGGTATGAGATTTGCAGGCTCACCACAGCCAAGGATAAAACAGCGTTGAAGGCTGTGGTGGAACCGATGTTGATGAGCCCAAGCAGCATGAGTAGAACGGTCGTGGTGAGGATCGCGATGGTTGGGATTTGGCGTTTTCGGTCGATCTTGGAGAGATGCATGGAGAAGGGGAGGCCTGTGATCCTACCAGTTAGCTGAACGCCCCGATTTCATTGGTCTCGGATACTTGCCTTGGTCTCTAGCAAACGCCCACATGAGTCGAGCCGAAGAGGTGATGAGTGGGACCGTGGAGAGGGCGGCCATAACTGTCACTGCGCTCGTCAAAGCAGTAGCCGCCGCTATACTTCCAGTGATGTTGTAGAAGATCTGGATGATTGGGAATCCAGTCGGCGTGTTCAAGGCTGATGTGATGTCTCCCATACAGAACAGTAGAGCGATCAGAAAGCCAAAGCCGAGCGTTCCGTTAATCAGGATAGATCCGACCATGGCTCTCGGAACGCCGGTTTCGGCCTTCTCCATCTCTTCACTTAGATGGGTAGCTCCGTCATAGCCAATAAGCACGTAGCAAGAGCTTAAAAGCCCGATGCACCAAGCTATTCCGTCGCTAGCCCACCCAGAGTTGTTCTGAAAGTCGGTAAAGACAAAGGCGGCCGAATGTTTGGTGGGAGACACGGCAACCATAACCACCAGAATTATTATGAAGAATATGATGTGAAGCGCCATGGTAACTTTTTCCACGAGCGGTAAGATGTTGCTGCACAGGATGCAAATGCCAGCGGATCCTATCAGGATAGCCCAATAGAGAAGAGTACCGTGCCACCTCTCAAAGGTATACGAGGTCGGATAATTCAGGACTAGCATGCCCTGGATTTGTGTTCCGGCGAGAAATGGTGCGCTTCCGGCGACGGCGATCCAGCCCAGGGTACTGTTGTGACGACAAGGGTCAGTCCATGTTCTAACTACGGCAGAAACACTTACGAGATGTATCCGGCGAGCCAGCTGCTCACTGGTCGTATCCTCTTGGGACACAGCTTTGCCACAAAATGGTACTGCCCACCAGCCGTTGCGTGGCTGCGCGTTGCCTGTTAGTTACAGTCAACGGAGAGATGGGCAGGGATGCGCGTACCTTGAAGCCAGTTCAGCAAGAGACAAAGCAGAACAAAGCGATCCTATAAAAGCCGCAATAGCCCCATAAACGAGTGAGACTGGTCCTCCACTTACCAATCCCGTGACCATGGTACTGTTGGAGGGTTAGGAAAACGGCAACCGAGTCCAGTCATGAGCGCATCTCACCTGCAAAGAGCTTCCCACGTCGCCATCAGGCTGACGCAGGTTGCCACCATGGCCGTGAGGGAGAAGTTGCGCTGAGTTCTGTCAGGGATTCGACATTTCACAAAAATCTCAAGACAATTTCTCATACCCTGACTTCTTGGGCATAGCCAAGACGCTCGAGATGATGATCATCTCGATTGCCACCAGGGGCGTGTTTTTCGTGATCTGTCTCCATGGCGATGAGAAGCCCAAGTTTTGGATTCTATGTAAAGATGTGAAGATTTCTGATGTTTTTCCCAGCAAGAATGAGTTTTCTGGCTTTCTGTTGTCATTCTTCTTCCCTTTCTCATCGTGGTTTTATGTTTGTTTGTCTCTCGGAATTTTCCTTATCTCCCGACAAGGTTCACCGAGATTACAGACAAGGAGGTCATCTTGCCCGCGCTACGCCCTTACGGGAAGAAAAGTGCGAGCCTGCGACCAAGGAAAGGGACGCTAACTATGCACCCCGCCTTTGAAATCAAGATAGCGCGGCGTGCATCCGAGACCATTTCCTGAATGATAACTTGAGGAGCTGGGATGGAGGAACGGACGTATCAAGGTGGGTCGCACGATCGCCTTTGTTATCTCGCAGTAGTAAGATAATTTGATTCATATCGTAGTCGGTGTTCTCGTCGTCTCGCAGCATCCCGAAGTCCGAGCCAGGCACCGCAGGTATGATGCAGTCGTTAGTTGTGGCATGCCACGCCCTCAAACCCACGTCTTCAAGCTTGCAATTACACAGCTCAAGACAAATTTCAATATAAGGAATGAGACTAAAACGAATGAACCAGCTACAACTATCTTATTAGTTGCCATTGTACCTATTGTCATGGGCCCTGTTACCCTATTCTCCATCGCGCCGTCTTACGGGTAACCTTTCCTCTCATGCCAAATTATCTCCAGTCATACAGGCCCCTGATCTTAGCCTCCACGTTAACGAGTTTCCCTACTCTAGGGTTTTTGGCGGTCATTTCTCGAAAAGCAGGATACTCAACCGATGAAACATGAGGGAACTTGGCCAAGCGAGAGAGCAAGAACGCTGAGCTCGCTAGTTCCAAGAGGAAGCCGAAATGAATTAGCTGGAGTCTTCCATTATCCCACCACCTTTGCGCCTTTTCCCTCCTCGATGAGTCTGGTGTCTCATTCCTTACCAGCCCTAAGGACCAGAAGATCCGGCTTATCAATCGAACCAGTTAAAGCCAAAGGTGGCTAATGTGGCTGATGGCATACTTTGGCCTGATCATTGAAGATGGTAACACCAAAGACCAAGGGGATGGATGATTGGAGACATCAAAATATTCAAGCAAACCATTATTAGTAGGTGAGTTTTATGCTGAGTATCTGTCCCAAAAAGCTATCTGGTACTGATGCTTAGCTATTGTCCTCCCGAGAAGCTCCCTCCTAATCTCTAGCATCGTCGTATCGCTCCTAGGTTATCGGCGCTATATTTCGTGTCAAGTCTGTTGAAGCTCTAGTTTCTACTAAACTCATACAAATTTTTCTCTTGGGCTTCTAAATCTGTAATTGATCTGCAAATCCCTCCAGCAATTCATCTCAGAAGCCATTGGCACGTGTATGGTGGTTTGGGTCCTCCATCGTGGATTTCCCCATCCTCAAATCTCCATTTGGACGCATCCCATGCAGACCCAATGGATAAGACTTGCCCTTCAGACCCTGCTCTTTTCAACGACAAAGCTTATGGTGATTGAAAAGCCACCCCGGCTGTTTTCTGGCCCTACTTGGTGACTCTCGGTGCCACGATGTCATATGGCAGTTGTAGTAGCTAAGCGGTGATTTTCACTCATTCCATACCGTCTATCCCAAAAGACCTTACAAGAAATCTTCACACGTGAGTTTGCGTTTTGCTGAGTTACCCATGAGCCGAAAGAGGGAAATTTTATGCTTCTTATTCAATGACGTGTTTATCGTACACAAGAAAAAAAATTTGACAGACACACAGAGGGAGCTTTTATGACGCGGTTACAGTTTAGAATACCCCCTTAGTAGTCGCTTTGACCTTTTTAAAATCACAAAAAGTAAGTAACACATCGCCAAGCCTATTTATGGACAGTTGACGTGATGCCATGGAGGTTATCACAGAGGATAGAAGAAAATGTTAGGTAGCGAGGCACCCGAGTTGATGGCCATTTCGTAATGTAAGTAATCAGCTTTACCAGGTCATTCCCTTCGTTGGTAAGACTTTGCAGTATAGTGGTGCTCTATTGGTATTCGTTTCCTCATCCAGCTAGGAGGGTGATGCCCACGAGGCCATGGGTATTCACGATCGGCTATAAACTCGTTAGCTTCTTATGACGTGCCGTTCCAAAAAACTGTGAGTTGGCGATAAGTCTGTAGGTCTAGACCCAGGTTTGCAGCGACAGCTGGTTTAGATTCTTGCAGTGGCTGGGCTGAGATAACTAAACTGTCTTTACAAGCGCACTTCAAAGCCATACCTTTGGGAATGCAGCTTGGTCGGGTTTAGTGCATAGGGTGCATATGTTTTGAAAACGATGCTATCAACACCAACGCAACAGCTTGCAAACGAAGCATCTCCACTGCTGTACTACTGAGACAGACGAGTGCCTGAGTGAGCTAATGCAATTGCCAAAATGAGGAGCATAGTTTGACCCAGAGAACAAGCTGAGTGAAGGTAGTTCAAACGTACGGAGTAGTTGAGCCTCAACTTCGGACACCGCCAAAACGGGACACGGCACACTTCTTGGCAAAACTCCCCGTCAATATTTACTGTTTCAGCCTCAAATCCGAAGCTATTGGCGGTGGCTTTGCTGAAACTGTTCAAGCAGGTAAGGAAGTCGTGCTGCGATGTCCCAGACTTGGGCACTAATAAGGTGGATATAATGTTCTAGCTACGATACTATCTATGAGACTACTGCTTTCAGCTCAAGCCACAACCAGCCAAGAACGGTCTCGCCCTCAAATGTCTCTCTTTACACGCTGCCTCAGGCGGCCTCGTCGACTGGATCATTGCATTTAAAGCCTCACTGTGAGCGTTCTTAATTACCTATATGCCCCCTTCTCCCGACGCCAAGACCTTATATTGCCAACGTTGTAGCGTTACCAACCAGCTGCTACCAGTCAATCCTGAAATAGCCAACAAGCGTCAATTCATCTGCATTAATGCGTCTCTCTCTTGTCCTGCCCTTCCTGGGCTCTGTCTGGGCAGCACCCACTGAACCATCCTCAGAATCCTTCCCCTCTATATTCGACAATCCCACCATACCTACTGTCAATCCCGCCGAGCTCGGCATCCCAGACGATTCACCACTCTTCCGACGAGCTGCGGCTACTACACAGGGCAAGATCTTCTTGAACCTTAGCCGGTGCGAACTCAAGGTTGCAAGAGATGGTGGCTGGTCGTTCAAGGCTGAGTCCCGCAACGCGGTGCTCTGGATCGCCCAGGGCCTTCCGTCACCTGGGACCAAGAACGGTCAGAACCCATACGACTTGTACGTTGATGCTGGCATCCCAACTGCGTCTGTGGGGTCCAGCGGATCTGTTCAATTCCTCACCAATGCGTACATGAAATCGTTGCCCTCGCCTGGGACGAGCGTCGACGACTACGCGAAAGTTACTATCCCTTCGGGCAATACCATCAAGGCTGACATCAATTTCTCAAACGTACCTATTGAAAAGCAGCCGAACAGGTTCAATGCACTGCTGGTGGATTCAAAAGGCGCCGTGGGCCCCGTGACCCTTTTCTACCCAGACTCAGGATTTGTTAGCGCCCTTGTCGCTGATAAGGGGGATGTTACCGGCTGGGTCTGGCTGAATGGTTATTCAGATCCAACTGCTACTTCCATGACTCATCGAGGCTTTTATTATGCCAAAATCACCGGGTTTTGCATTAAGAGTGGTGGCCCATGGACTTTCGTACCTCCTGCCTGAGGTGATGGTTTGAATGGGGCACTTGGTTATGTCAGGGAAAACACAAGCCTTTTTGCGGGTGGAGCAGCGGTTTGAACTAATAGGTTAGGGCCTCGGGAAGGGTGAGGTAGTCAAAAGTGGCACGTTCATTAAAGCTATGATGTACGTAATCCAAGGGTAGGTGTGAAACTACCATGTTGCACGATGTTTATGTAGAGCTGCATATGCTATCGAGCTGTTCCACAGCCCCTCAAGTATGGGACGCCTCTCCAACATTTCAATAGCAGCCCTCTTAACTCCGGCATCATGGCATCTTGTGGCCACGAAGTAAAGCGCCTCGATCAAACCTCCAGCGGGGGTGAATACCACGCTTGCCTCTGAGAATCTCGAACCTTGCATGATCTCATTGACTAGTTCCAGAATCTCGCTGGCCCAGGTTGGGTTATGCTCCATTTCTTTGCTTGTATTGCTGCACCAAAGCTCAAAGCTTGCCCCGGTCAGGTGCCTTCGGATTTGCAGATACTTAATGGGAGTGCCTCCTTGGGATAAAAGCCCACCAAAATCAAGATCCCAGCTTTGCAGGTTGCGATGTAATGTTGCATGCTGATGGGGGCGGATATTTTCACGGTCTGATGGCTCTGATGGTGTTGTCAACTGAATGGATTCATTGTGCAGTCTCTCAAGCTGGCTGGCAGCCTTGGTAATAGTGGCAAGATGTCCACTACCCCAGCCATCAAGTGTGACAGCATGCGGGGGCCAGAGTCTCGTCTTGTGTGGAAAACTGCATTCCATAACGACCCGAGCTTGTGTGTCCAGCTGAGTGTACAGAGTCGCTAGGAACTTCACAGAGGTTGGTGTCGATTCTAGCCCATGGCCCTCCTCGGCCCCCAGCTGCCATTCGTTGAGTAGAGACAGGCCGTTACGAAGATGAAGACAGGCTTCATTTTGGAGCCCTTGAACGGCGCATATGCAGATAAATACAATATTCACCATCAAGATGATGACCTGATGGTTTCTGGTGAGTTTAGGACTGCTTAGGCAGTGTTGCAAAGCGCTGATCGACTTGTTATACTGAGTCAGAATAAACTGCCTCTCCTTCGTTCGACACCCATTCTCATAAAGGATTGATGAGCAGTAAGCTGTAGCCAGCGCAGCAACGGCGTGCTGAACAGTTGTGTACGCCTCGGCCATTCGTAAAAGATCGTCAGTCCAAAATCCAAGATCAAGGGAAGAAGCGATCGACGTGGCAATCTTGGTCCGGAACATGTACAGGGCCTGCCTCTCTTCGGGAAGCTTCCCTGGTATTGGCTGAGCGAGGGACGGTTGTGGCTTGTGAATAGCAGCCCCCAGGAATGATGTATCCATCACACTTGCGCCCTGTCGAGGTGCAGCGATGACAGGAAGGCTTGGTCTCGTCACACTTTATTTTTCTAATCCTAAAGTAGAAGTTTAGAGGCAGATATATAAACAAGAGGCCAAGTTCCTCACCTGCATGTGATGCATCCAGTCCGAACCTTGAGTGCGAATCTCCTCTGTCGATGGGGCGTAACGTTATGGCCTGTTCCGGGAGCTTCCGGCAACGATATGGATTTCTGGCCCATGTCTGAGGTCCAATGCTGGTTTTATGGATGAGCTCGTTAAACACGTTGCACTTTGAGGTAAATGTGCAAGGCAGAACAAGTTGAAGAATCCCCATGATGATGGAAACTGCTTATTAAACATCAACTCGGCTGATCACCAGCAGATATGATTTGTCGGTTCGTTTAATCCTTCGCTCCACTCTTGGATCTAACTCAATCAGTCAGTGTGTGATCCTTGTCTTCCCATGCTTAGCCAACCCAACGCCATTCTGAGTCGAATCACAACATCAAGTGGTGGAAAGAAAGCCAATCAGCAAGACTATTCTGTACATTAATCCAACTCAGCTGGCCATATCTTCCGATGATTTCATTTGACATTTATCATCCCACGATCATACATATAAATAGGTGAACAAGCGCACTTCTGTTGTTGAATCTGCACCCCTTGCATCCTGTGCTCCCTTGATCACATTTTTGGCGAGTACAAGCAATCATTATGACACTCTCTCATTCAAAGCCGGCCTTTCCCAAGGTGGATGTCCCAACTGGGACTGCTATAAACCCAGATGCGAAAACTCCCACTATCTTCACCCCAATCAAGATTCGAGGCCTGGAACTCCAAAACCGCTTCGTCGTCTCACCCATGGGAACTTGGAGTGCTCAAGACGGCCACTTGACCGACTTTCACCTCATTCATCTGGGCGCATTCGCATTCCGAGGCGTCCCCCTGACCATTGTTGAGTCCACAGGAGTGGCTGCCAACGGGCGGACCTCCCCTCAGGACTCTGGTCTCTGGCAGGATAGTCAGATCGAGCCGCTGAAGCGAGTGGCTGACTTTGTCCATGGGCAGGGCCAGAAGATTGGTATTCAGCTCAATCATGCTGGTGTCAAAGCGGGCATGATTGCGCCGAGGTTTTTACCGAAAGGGGAGCTGAAGGTGGCTACTGAGCAAGATGGGGGATGGCCAGATGATGTGTGGGGGCCCAGTGCGATCCCGCACACTGACGCACATGTCACTCCAAAGAGCTTGACTCTTGATAGAATCGAGGCTTTGATACAGAGTTTCGCAGATGCTGCTCGAAGAGCCATCAAGGCTGGTCTTGGTAGGCAGGACCACTCACCTAATGGTACATCAACTGACCTACCTATAAACAGACTTTATTGAGATCCATGGCGCTCACGGCTACCTCATCAACCAATTCTTATCTCCTTTAACAAACAAACGCACGGATGAATATGGCGGCAGCTTCGAGAATCGTGTTCGCTTTCTCGTTCGAGTCATCAAAGGGATCCGGGCAGTCATCCCCGACAGTGTCCCACTATCTCTCCGGATATCCGCAATCGAGTGGATGGAATGGAGCGGAGAGCCGTCATGGGATGTTGACCAATCCATAAGGCTAGCCAAACTTCTGCCCGGGCTTGGTGTCGACATCTTGGACGTATCATCAGGGGGTAATCACAAAGATCAGAAGATCGACGTCCATCCCAATTACCAGCTTGACCTAGCCAGGACCATCCGGGCTGCGTTGAGGGAAGAGAGCCTGAATTTGCTCGTTGCCGCGGTGGGGTTTATCCACACACCACAGACTGCTCACGATGTTGTGCAGCTTGATAAGGAAGACGGCGTGCAGGCGGATCTTGCATTTGTAGGGAGACAGTTTCTCAAGGAACCCGAGTTTCTTCTCAAGACTGCCCAGGAGTTGGGGGTTGAGATCCAGTGGCCGTACCAGTACGACATGATTGGTTTAAACACTACCTGGGGGCGATCGTACTTCTAGTAACAACCCTTAGATAGATATACATTGCTTATTGTCAGAGTGCTAGAATAAGGGGTCACATCTACATTATAGATTTCAGACTCTCAATAACCTTTGCGTATGCTCTTTTCTTTTCCTCCGGCTTGAAAACACGCGCAAGGGCATCCTTATCGAATCCATGTCCAGCCCCTTCCACTTTGACGACCTCAATGTCACAACCTGCCCGGGCCAGCTTCTGCCCAAACACCTCGGCTTCGGGGCACAGGATATCCCCAGAACAGACAAAGAGCAGAATATGTGAGGGGAAAGATGACTCTTCAGCGTAAATGGGGGAGGCTTTGGGCGACTTTCGATCCTCAAGTCGGGGAATGTAACTGTCAAAGAAGACGCGCAGTGCCCAGGAGGGAATCGGCGCAATCGGCTCCGAGACTGACTTGTCTTCTGAGGGGGTGCTAAGGTCGGTTCCCGGGTAGAACGAATAAACCGCCCTGATGTTGATGTCTTGGAACTCGCGTCTCAATTCAGAGGATGCGACCAGTGCGAGGTTCCCCCCGGAACTGAATCCAGATAGAGCAACATGGTCAAGGTCAAAGACGTGGGGCTGGCTCTGGACCCATCGCAATACATCTTCAACGTCCTCGGTAGCCCCAGGGAATGGATGTTCCGGCCCTTTGCGGTAATCTGCGTCTAGCACGAGGACTTTGGCTTCACGGGCTACCTGTTCGCAGAATGAATGGTCCTGGCCCAGATTCGGCATAACATAACCGCCTCCATGCCAGTTGATGACGAGTCCTCGGGGCTCATCTTTGTTGTAGTTTGGCGGGTGGTAGATCCAAGCGTCGATAAATCGACCAAGTTGCCTGGACGGAATGCGGATTTGTTTACGGTCGCAAGATGGAGACGGTTGAAGATGACGACGGGTACCAAGGTAGTTGAAGAAGCGAATCAAAGAAACAATAGCCTTAAGCCTCAGATACTGCCAAAAGCCATGAGCAGCCATTTTGGAGATTGCCAAGAATTTTGGTCAAGTCTACTCGATGCCAACCTTGACTTCCTTGCTGAGATTATATCCCAGTGGATGTGGATCGATCAGCGTAAGCGGCAGCGTATTGCGTATCCCCGACCGAGTGAGTCATTCGCCGTGGATCAACGTTACGTGATCTCTTCAACGACGTCAGGCCATCAGTTAAGTGGTGATACAAACTAATATTCCTGTTATCAATTATTGTCAGCATACGTGGTCTGGTTAGGTTTTGCAGAGTGGACGACAACTAGCGTCCTAACTCAGGCCGTTTTGTGAGTGCTGCTAAATGACGAAAATGAGACGTAGCATATGGAGATATGAATGAACGTTAAAGGTCTAGTCATTCAGTGACATATATTTATGCATGGAGTTACCAGGTAGACTTAATCCCCCCTTTCATCCAAAGACCTCGTACCAAGTATTCCAGCTACTCCTTGAGCCAAGCCTTGATCGCCTCGACTGGATCCTCCTCCGAGAACCCCAGCACTTCCTGAGCAAAGTTCTTCTCGGGCTTGAGCGCTAGATCAGTACCATCTCGAAAAAGCCGACCATGCAGCAAAGGATAGAATGCCGCATCGAAATTGCCATTAGCCAGATCCTTTTCGGCAGCTCTCTGGACATCGTCAACCTTGCAAGACTTGACAGTCCACTTCCTCCCAGAGATCTGTTTTGCAAGTGCAAGTATTTCCCTTTGAGAAATGTTGAATGAGGCGATCGTGATGTACTTGTTTGAGGCTTGGGCGGGATTCTGCAAGATAGCAGCCACAACCTTAGCCACAAAACTAAGGTTAGTCGTCTGAAATCTTTCATTACCCGAATCAGAGATTTCTGCCGTCATGGTGTTTTTATCAAATCCCAGGGATAGGTGTTCCAGCCCCTGCATTGCGTTTATCAGTCCAACCCTCAAGTGTAATCACCCAGGTGTGACGACTTCACTTACCCAGTCGAACCACAGTCCAGTGGAAATGCCTGTCCAAGAGAAAAATTCGTTTTCCTTTGCAAGCTTCTCCAAATGAGCTCGCGTGGATGTCTTGTCGGCAAGCAGTTTGCCAAAGATTGTGTCTCCAAGAATCGTCGTGTTCATTCCCCATTCAGACGGAATGAAGCGCTTCACCCTGGCAGCAACGGCAGCATCGGCAGCCAAGTCTTGATAATATGTTACCGGTGGGACCAGAAAAGAGATGAACGCATCCTGGCCTTCGAGAGCCGCCTTCCAAGACTCAAACGAGTCATTGATGACCCTCCGGACTTGGACCCCATCGGGGAAAGTAGACGTGGAAGTTGGTCTTTGCAAGGCGGTGACGTTGAAGTTGGAGGCCAAGAGCTCCTTCACCACAACTTTTCCAATATTTCCGGATGCCTTGGTCTTCAATCAGCACTACTTATTCTTCCTCTGATGCAGCACCTACTCCGGCGATGGCAATGTTTTGATAGCAGGACATGTTGGGCTTGATGCGACGTGGGTAATAAAATGAATACCTAAGAAGTAAATGTTTTGTGTCTGTGTGATAGATAAGAGAGTTTTGAATCCGTTAGAATGCAAAAAGACACTTCTTAGCTTGGATGTGAAGCAAAGCGATACATGATTAAATAGTTTTCAAGTTGATGATGCACCCTTGAGCCCACTATCGTCTCTCAAATCAATTTGCCCCCAATCTCACCGTCCCGCTCGGTGAATTTGATCACAATTCTTCACGTTGGTCACCAAAACTTTCATGTTTTGGCATCCAAATCCGAAGATTCAAGTTCTTCGAGATCTCGCCCCAAGTCTAACCCTGGGGTTGAAGATGGAGATGGGTGCTAATTCTCCCGAGCGGGGATCATAACGGAGCTTGGCCCGCGATTAATAATGCCCAGACCGTCATCGTCCCACTCACAGCAAGTCTTCCATCGCAACCCACGTTATCTCTTTGATCCCATCGGTGCCAAAGCCAACATGAAGCGCCATTCCGCTCACAGCCAGTCACCAAATTCCAGGGCAATACGCAACAAACGACCTCGTCGATCCCAGGCCTTACACTCTACAAGAATGGAACAAGACAGCTTCTGCGATGGCAGGTCTGCTCAGCATGAAGCGGAGGACTACCGCCTCGCTACAGCCAAGATGCCCTTGGATGCTCTGTCATGTGTCTGGAGAAAGGGCACCAACCGGCACCTGAATCGCCGACATGTAGAGAAACTGCGCAATGCCTTCCAGCAAGGTAACTTGGAGCGACAAGAGGCTGAGAAGTTTTTGCTGGTGCAATGCAGCGCCGAAGCTGTAGGCCGTATGATGAACCATCTTGGGCAATCGGGAAGTGGCTCGCAGTGCAATCAGGTACTGTCATTTGAGGACTGGCCGATAATCAACCCCAATGAGAAGGCAGAAGTCATGGCAGGCCAGCACAGGATAGAGGCAATGCGCGAGTATGTGAAGCAAACGGGAGCAGATAGTAAGGAGCTGTGGTGGACGTGCATCGTATATGATCGAGGTAAGTAAATGCAGCATATATGACTTCGTAAGCTGACCGCCCATTTAGACCACATCCCGGCATGTCTCAATGTCAAACTACGTGTCAACCGTCGCGGCCTATCTCTACCCGATAGCCATGGCCAAATCTGGATGCAGCTCGTGCTGGTAAATGACCAATGCGATTCTCTCTTTCAGGGAAAAAAGTACGATGTTGAAAAGCAAATGATAGATGTCCTACGACTGAGCACAACTGACAAGTTTCCTACGGCTCGACTCGTCACTCTCTGGAAAAACGACCGTTGGAGGCCGATGATCACTCGTTGGTGCAAGACACGGCTTGGTAGGATGACTTTCAACATTTCAACCTGGGACTGGATGGCGAGCTATCGAATTGATAGCGTAAGTTTACGGCTTCTTCCCATACACCGGGCGAGTTGCTGATATAGCACGTCTTAGTACTGGTTCACCACCTTCGAGCAGGTTCTCGGGTCACTTGCCAAGCTGCCTGAGGAGTGTGCAGACAGCCTGCAGGATTCGGATTGGACCAAGCTAGCAGAGGCACTATCTATTGATCACACAGAAATGGACGTCCAACGGCTCTTTTTCCCTGGCCAAACAAGTGACGATTCCAGCCTCACGCGTCGCCAGGGTCTCCTGTCTGAGCTGAATGGGGATGCTTACGCTCGTGTCTATCGCCGCCTCGTGGATGGTCCCAGGCTGTTATTCCCAGATTTTCAAAAGCTTCTCAAGACAACCAAAGAGGCGGGCCGGATCATGATGCAGGTCTTGGCTCACGTGGTCGCGTGGTTGAATCCCAGTCCCACTGTCATTATAGACAAGCGACAAAACAACAAGCCCCTGATTCGGGAGGATCTCAAACCAGCGATTCGAGAAAGGCAGCTCACTTTGCTGTTCAGAGATAGAAACAGCAACAGTGATATGAGTGCTGGGACAATGGGGGAAGAAGATCAATCCGCTCAGTTGGAGAAACTCTCGATTCAGCTCGAAAAGGCAGTTCTCGATACAGTCCGGGACCAAATGGACTCGTTCAAGTCAGTGGCTATCAAGGACTCTTTGTCCATCTTTCCAGACGACGATAAGGATGGTTATCATAAGCGGTTCGCCAACAAGCCATGGAACAAGGTGTTGGAGACGGTCGAAGAGATGATCGGCCCAGTGTTTGCGTCATCACTTCTGCCAACCACTTCCCAAACTATACCCGATACTACGAACCATGACCAGCCAATATCCAAGATTACTCGAGATATTTGTGCACAAGTTCTCAAAATCCCGGAAGTCGCACAAAATCCAGCCGTTCAATGCCCCGAGGCGTATCAAGAGCTGAGTGCCTCGATCGACGAGGCTGTTCGTCAGTGGACACTACGATGGCCTCACCACCAACAGACAGGTGGTCATGACAGGCTAGAGTCTCATGAAATGTCGAAGGTGATCGAAAATTCGCACTCCTCATCCGAATTACAACAGCCTTTGGACGCATGTGTCTCGCCAAACTTGGATCGAAATAGCCAGGATCAGGTCGACTCTGCCATCACCCAGGGTTCAAGGCTTCCACATAACTCAAAAAGCAACACGGCACTAGAGAACGGGCAGATGAGATCAAATATGAAGACAAAGGCGTATTCTCAGGTTTCGTGGCCATCGTTTCAGTCTTTGTTTAGTAGGAATGAGGGTTACTTTTCTTGAGGATTGATATTCTCGAAGCGGTAATGGGAACATGGAGCGTTTATAGGTACGGTGCTATGATAGAACCTTCGGCTGCAATAAACAATGCCGGTTAGGAGAGTGAAACCATTACTTACTTGATCTTGCTATTAACTAAAGCGCCCTCTCCTAGCAGGAAGAAAGAGCTCTGGGCGCAGGTACTAACCTAACTGCTCCGTATGTTAGCAAAGTTTTACTGTCGGCTGTCAGGTCTGTTTGATTATATATGTATATTTGATTAACCAGTCATTAGATTCATTTCCTAGCCCTATCGCCTGAAGTTCCCTCCACACCACCAACCCGTTCCCTCAGTGGGATCTCACTATTTGAGGGCCCAAGTGTCGGCAAGCTACTGTTGCCGTTTGTCGTTATAGTAGGTACACTAATATCAAAATGGTCGAAAGCACGCGATGCTCTCGGGGTATAAGCACTGCTTTGGTTCGAGGTGCTGATGTGCATAACTTGACGGACAAGGGGCCAAGTCAAGGGGAGGTTGGCAGCAATGAGTGCCGTTGAAGATTCGCGTATATACCAGGCTGTCCAGTCAGCCCCAAAAGGGTCGGTGAAGGAGTAGTATTTATTCAAAACGGCGGAGACAATCTGCGGCACGAAAGGGTTAGCAACATGGGTCACCTAGTTAGTAGATGAGGCATCTCGCTGGATTGGCCGTTAGCAGTTATCGATATGTACATACCGTAAAGACGCCGACGGTGTAAATGCAGCACAAGAGCACTTTGATCTTGGCTGAGGCATTGGATTTCAGAAATAGGGGCATAGGAAGGATAATGATCATGATGTCGGACGAGATGTTGAGGGTTGCATTCGTGATGAGGTGATGTGTTGCGGTTGAGCATTGAACTGCGCGGCATTAACAACAGGAGACTTGGTGCAAGTCGTGGGAAGCAAGAGATACCATTGTCGGTAGGGACAGCCCAGTACTGATTGAAAGGGCGACACCATACTCCAAAGTATAGAATCTCCATGACAACAAACCCGACAATCACATACACGCCAACTACTTTGACAGCGCGATTGTACGTCAAGTTTGTCCTGTTCACGATCAGAAAATGACCAGCAGATCACATAGGAGGCAACCCACGTTAGTCGGTTATACATGAGGAGCAAACAGCACTTGACGAGCCAGGTCACGGTACATTGGAGCTGCTCTACAACAAGGATGAGTTTGGATCCGAGTTGGCGTTTATCGATCTCATCTGGTGTGAGGTCGACTGCTTGAGTAGGGTCTATGAGGTTGCTGCTCGTGTGGGAAACGATGTTGATGCAAGCAATGAGAACCGCGTCACAGGCCTGAATTGCCAGACAGATCATCAGTCAGAGAGGAGAAGAGCACGAGACATGACTGCGAGCACCTACCATAGCAAGAACCATCAGGTAATCATCAGTCTGATACTTCTTGACTGATCCCACGACCAGCCGACGAGACAGGCTGAACACGCAAAAGTCAGCAAGCCACAAGTGAAACCACAGTCCGGGAAGCCTACAGCCGGGCAATGACGACGAGCCATGTGACTCCGTACCAGATCCACGTCTCGATGGCGAGACGCGTCATGTCTTGGAGAGAGGAAGCATGATTGAGGTCCAAAGAGGGAATGGGGTTGCGGCTCACGCGAGCGGAGCACGGAGAAGGAGGATTTTAAATGAGGTGCAGGGGATGCCGAGTCAGGGGAGACGCGATAAGCTTGTGATCCAATGACGAGGCGAGGATGACGTAGTGATGCTTGGCAAGAACTCCGTGGAGCCGAAGTTTGTGAGCCGAGTATTTTCCGAGGACATCAGTTGGAATATGTGAATTGATGGTTAATGGGCTGAGTTGAGCTTCAAAGTGTAGAGTTAGCGTTGAATGTTTGGCCGTTGCACCGAATCACCGTTGCAACAGTCAAATCTTTGACGCGCGGGAGAGAATGGTAGGTGGCGCCTAGCAACCTTAACAGCTGCTTAACAAATAATCCAGGTTAGTCAGCGACGCTTATTGTCTCATTCAGCCACCGAATGATTGCGGCTCCGACTTGTCTCACAGGTTTTCTGCAGTGGCTGATTCGCTGAGAAACAACAGAACCTAGCAAAGAATGCCCACGAAGGCGAACTGCGATTCTATTTGGAAATTTTCTCGTAAACCTCTTGCCCAGGGCCATCATAGATCCCATCAATCCATAAAACTTCCTTCAGGCTCGTCTTGACCTCAACCCACGATGAACCAAGACAAGGCATCATCATCTCAGCCAGCATCATCGTCAACTCGTCATCTTGCAAGTCCAGCGCTGACATGAAGCCAACAAACATGGCCCATGCAAAAACCCTCCTCTCCTGTTCATCCGCCGGCTCAAATGTTTGGCAGCTTGTACGCAGTTGAGAGCCTAAAAAGGGGTACTGGAGCTTGACTTGGGGAAGTCGGAAGAAAACAACAGTCAAGTAAGCCAACATTGAGAGGCGCAAAAGCTCTGCAAACCGATTATCGATTCCAAAGTCGAGCAGCAGGATGCGATACTGCAGAGATGTGAGAAGGTCCTGAAATATTCCGGGCTGTATCCTCTGGTGCGACTGGAACAGGAAGTTCACAAGCTGCGAGAAATCTTGAACATCTTGGAAGATGTAGTATAACCGTCTATCGACTGGTTTGATCAGACGACGAGTGCGCAACATGGCGGTTGAGGGAACAGGTCTCAGACGCTTCAAGACTGGACAAGACTCAAAAAACGAGTCCCAGGAGACGCCATCTTGGAAGAAGTATGGCCGGGAGCCTTGTGAAATTGCCACACTCAAGTCAACCCTGTTTAACGAAACTATCATCAGTATATGTAGCTACTTTACAAGTGTCAAGTACAGCTGCACACTCACCGACATATCTTGACTTGGAGCTGTTGGGCATGGCTGAAGGAACCGATTCCCCCACGCAACTCAACAATCTGCTTCAATCCGTCGGTATGTGCTCTTGCAGCTTGGGCGTCTCCCACAATTTCGCAAAGCATGGCCATGCTCATGACCACGGCAACCGTCGAGTCGGCAAGGGCCATCTTGCTATCAGCTAAGCGCTCATTGAGGAGTCTGATGGCCTTGAAAACATGGTAGTTGGTGCGAGGCTGTGCAGTACGTCCAGCTGCAAGGTCGTGAAAAGAGCTGACAGTGAAGAGGAGAGCGTGGAGGTATGCGGCATCGTTGGTCATCCAGCCGAACCAGTTGGTCTCGGAGGCGTTGAATTCGCAACAGAGATCGAGGGGGTACATGAGCTCCCGAATTGTCCCAAAGACTGCTAGCGAGTGAGTTCATGATTCAGGTCCAAGGATCTGTTTCACTTACAGCTAGCGATCATCTGACGGGCAGGTCCATCAACCTCATCTGCAAACTTGACAGTGTCCAGCACGTTTATCGAGAAGGGGAACCATGGGCATGTGTCCCATATGCTTCCATCCCCGCATCTCTTTACGAGGCCACCGGGGTGACTAAGAGGATCAGCTGGGAAGGTCAACTGTGATCCACCTGCGGCAGTGGTGTGAATCCAAGAATCGGGAAGCCGAGGGGGTTGGTGTTCACGCGTGTTCTTCCCTCTCATCACATGACGTCGGATGAGTTTGCGATCTGACGGTTTCGGATTTCCCTTGGAATCACTCAAGACGAACTCGAATCCCTTCGATGCTGATGAAATGGGTTAGCCTGGCTGGATGAGGTGAGCAGGGGAGAGGATGGTGGGACATACCGGGACGTGGGGCCGGGCGTCTTCCTGGCGCCATGTGATTGATCTCCAGGGGCTGACAAACTGTTCTTGGCTTCTATGAGATATCGACTGAGCGGCCAAGTAGTCTTGGGGTGAAAGAAGAGCTGCAAGAAGGAGGCAAACGCGGATGATGTGGAAGAAAGAACGTGTCTATCTCCGAGGACTTGACTTCGTCGTCAGCAACATTGCATAAACGTGATGAGGATGGATGCCAAGACCTGAATTGTTTCCCTATTTCGGCCTAGTTCCCAGCTTTGGGGGTCACATCCCTGCTCTGATCGTTCCGATGATCCGACCAACTTGATTCGTCTTTTTGAGTTGGACAGCGCCAAGACAATATTGTTTTACAGAAGAGGATGTAGTCTCTATTCTATAAGGAAACAATCGAGGCTTGGCAGTTTCGATATCTAGAGTCCTCATCCTCAGTCCTTTCGGACTGGTTGGAACCAAGATAGTACCACCATGTCGCAAGCCTTCAGGCCTTGAATGGTCTGCCTCTTGCCGGCTATAAATGCTCGCAAAAAGCTCTTCAATCTTTTCTCATTTGGTATTCTGATTCATCTTCACCTTAGATCTCTTTTCTACCATCATCCATCATGACTGCCTCATCTGACCTTCCTATGCTCTCGCAGAGTCTGATGGGACTCTTCTTTGCCTCCCAGCGTGAAAAGGCCCACTTTCCTCCCAAAGACACCGACCTCAGTGGTCAGAGAGCCATCATCTCTGGAGCAAACGGTGGCCTTGGCTTACAATGTGCCCGCATGCTCCTCGACTTGAAGTTATCCCATGTCATCATCACCAGTCGGTCTCTTCAGAGGGGAGAAACAGCTGCTGAGTCACTTCGAAAGGAACATCCTTCCGCCTCTGTCGATGTCTGGCAGCTAGATATGGCCTCATATCAGTCGATCCAAGACTTTGCATCTCGCTGTGCTACCCTTTCCCGCATCGACCTTGTCATTCTCAACGCAGGGATCACCAAGCAGAACTTCGACCTGGCTGGGACCGGCCACGAGGAGGTCTTTCAGGTCAACTACCTCTCCACAGTCCTCTTGGCTACTCTCTTGCTTCCTATTCTCAAGGAGAAGGCCCCGGCTGGTCGTCCTGGCCGGCTCGCCATCGTCAGCTCTGGTCTTTCAATGCACGCCAAGTTCCCGGAATCCAAGGCATCGCCCATCATCCCTGCTTTTGACGAAAAAAACACTTTTGATGGGGCTGAACGCTACAATACTACCAAGTTTCTCCTTCACCTCTGGATTTACAAACTTGTCCAGTATGTGAGCCCCGACGATGTGGTGGTCAACCTTGTAGACCCGGGGTTTTGCAAGGGCACGAATCTCCAGCGGGACATCCATGGCGTTGCCAAGGCTTTCCTCCTGGGAATGAAGTCCATGGTAGGACGACCGATTGATGCTGGGGCCTCGACTTATATCGATGCTGCTGTCATCAAGGGCAAGGAGACACACGGCAGCTTTGTCATGGACTGGAGGATATACCCGTAAGTTCTTTCGGTAAAACATGGGTGCGATGCACCCCTGCTGACTCTGACTCCTAGATATGGCCAGTTCTTCTATAGCCCCGAGAGCAAGACGGTTTCGCAGAAACTATGGGAGGAGACTATGACGGAGCTTGGTTTCGCAGGTGTACAGCAGATTCTAGACAAAATGAAGGCAAAGGTTTGAAAGGATCTCATGTTTTTAGAAGCTCCCAATCATCACTCGTTTTGTTTTTCCTTCTTTGTCTTCTTTTTCTCATTAGAGAGGTATTGAGAAATGAATGATTAGCCTCTGGCGTCTCTCCAAGGCCATATAAAACCTCCTACAACATTGAGTCTACCATCGTTATGAGCAATATTTTTGAAGTAGATCTAGGTCACATTCAATTGACAACAGAATCTCTAGAGATTCAAGCGCAAAACACAGTATGAGTGTCAAATACGAATCTTCGCTCTTAAAACCGATCCCTTCCGCATGACTTGCGCCCTACTCCCAGGTCAAAGTTCGCACCGCTTACGCATCTCTTCGACTGTTTCTGCATTGTTCCGTAGGGCTGTAAAGCCAGTTGCACTTCCAAAGAAAGAAATGCGCCCATTTCCATCCTCATACAATTCCGACTGCTCTTCTCGATTGATGCCCTTATCTATTGGCTGGATTCTTTGCTCAATAGCAGCCAATAAAACTCGATCAACCTCCTCAAGCAACTCCAGAGCATCCTCGTCACGGGTGTTGTGGCCACATGCCATTCTCACTCGTGGTGCAAGCGCATCGCTGTCAGTAGTCCCTACAGCCTCTATCAGCGTGAAAGTCTTCAAGCGAGCAAGACTCCTCACCGGCTTCTTGATTCCATCCTTGAACCAACTTCTTCAATTTCCCGATAGTCTTACTGTAGGTTGTGACGTTTCCTTCCCGCGGAAACAAGATGGCCGCCCACTCATAGATAGAGTCACCGACAAAAAGGAATCGCTCTTGGTGGTCCCATATGGCCAGTTGGTCCGGAGTGTGGCCAGGCGTGTGGTAAAGCTTCAACCCCAAATCCTCACCTTGACTATTTACCAGGCTTTGACCATTATTGGCCCATTCTGTGACTTGGTAGTTTGGTGTCTCCATACCGACGAAGCGACAAAGAGAGGATTCTGGAAGGCGGTCTACCCCTTGAATGAAGTCCTTGTCAAATGAGCTCGCCCATATCGCACTCTCGCTATCTGTGAATTCTTCGATGCCGCCTGAAAAGGTCAGTGTTTGAAGAACTTTTGGAGATGGATAGTGAAGGACCAACCGATGTGATCGTAATGGCAGTGGGTGCAAATCACGACATAGTTCCTCGAGCCATCCTTATTCAGCGGCTCGTCTTCGTTATCAGCCACCGGGTAAGTCTCAATGAAAGTCCGCAGAGATTTGAGTTCAACGGTTGGATCCTTGGCTGCGCCGCCACAGCCAGTGTCGATCAGTACCAAGCTATTCGGAAAGAGTTTCGCGTAAATGAGTGGATTCTCGCTCCATTTGTCATCTTCACAGATGACAAAGGTAGTGCTGTTGAGTCTGTTTGCAGAGAAGCAGGTCGTTTGCGCGGTCCGAGACATGATGCTTGTTTGGAGGAGGTTGCACGTCTTGGTTCACGAGCCAAGTCACAGACAAAGCCAGGAGTCACTCCTACCGGGGTTTTATATGACTGCCGGCTTTAACCGGCAGACCAACCCCAGGCTGATAAACTGACTAGCGATAAGCTTACCTAAAGAGGCTAGTTTTTCCCTTTCTCTCTCTTATCAAGCGACGGTAGTGCCCGAGCACCGGGTCAGCTGGCAGCCACCAACAGCCCATCCGCCGAGAGGCCGTTACTCATGAGAGACCTCTCCGGGGATCATTGTGGGAACAACTGTTTCTCAAAGATCCTCCAAGAGATTGCCTAGTCTAAGTTGGACTAAATTGGGGGTAATTGAAGAGTGCCGCATTTGAACTAGTTTATCGGGCCATGGGATCCGGGACAAAAGAGTACTGTCAACCTGATTTCACTCGCTCCCTGACCAACGTTCCAGGGCTTCTCTCCTATAAACACGAGCATAGCATTATTTCCACATGCTTAAAAACGCATGATCATCAAGACAACGCGATTCGGCCTATCTTAGCTTAGGTACCAGGTAATAAAAATGAAACTTGAGACAACTGCGCTGGGCCAATATGATGCGCAGCACCAGGATAGGATACCAAGGGAGATCGATTTAAAAGAACCAATATAAGTACAACATGCAGAGCTATTCTCTATTACAAATACCCAAACTATAATAATGTGCGTAGATTGTATACAAAAGGTGAACACGATGATGTCGACAATTGGTGATGCTTCAAGGACGGTGTCATGAAGGTACGTACCTCCAAACAGCTGGGCCTGTGTTTGAGGTGTGTGTCAGATTCCACCTGTTGATTGGTCTGTCCAATACGAGTGGAGCAGCCGACAGCCACAACGTTACAGCGCACATGATCACTCGACCATGTGTGCTCCTTAAAATTATCACCATCAACATCACTTGGTCATGATCAGCTGGACCTTCAGATCAGGTTTAACGTCCTTTCCTGACACGCAGACTTCACTCTACATGTGATTTAAAATTATGTCGACCATGTTCGAGGTGACTTGACACAACCGTGTCAGGCCAGGCCAATGTGTGATCCACATTCTTCAGGGTAGGGCAGAGCCAGGCTCTTGGGATCCTCTTTCAAAGCCGCTAATAGAGTCCAATGAGTCTGCAACACCTAAAAAGGTGTTATTGCCTCTAATTAAAAAACAGAGTACAGTGATTGGTGTAAGAGATGACAACAATGAGGTTTCAGAGACTGTCCCGAGGTCGCAGGGCTCATAAAAGTCCTTCGTACCAAGAACCTGAGGAAGTAAAGACGGATTTAACACGCAAAAGTGAAAAGATCTAACCACACAGTATCTCAACCGTCTGCTGATTCCCTCAACTGCATACGACTGCAAAAATAACGAGTTTCTTGAAGGGAACGAGGTCACATGGGCTATCCCCTACTAGGAGCAAAAGACAGCTCAACAAGCCAAAACATACAACAGCGGGGATTCGCTGGTCGTCACCGACCCAACTACTAATCCGCCCCTCACCGGCTTATCTATGGGAGAGCGGACGGGATCCCGAGTTTTCCGGTGGGTATGGTCGTATGTGGAAGAGTATGTCTCTGTATCGAATTATCACCACCCCTTTGGGCTCCAGTGAACAGGTCCATGTTTATTAGATATGGTGATGTGAGCCAAAATCGGTTAACTAGGCTGCTATCTATGTCCTAGTTCATTTGTCGGCGAGGTCTGGTTGTGTTACTACACCAGAGGCAGCCCCTTGTGAGCTTGTGGAACTTCAACACCAACATTCGCGATTGCCAAGGTCTAGACCACCATAGCCCGGACTTGACCTGCATCAACGTCACATCGCCTGCTTTGGTTCAAGAGTGGGGTAATCTGTAATCAGTCTTGCTGCCCTCGCTGACCGCTTTCGCCGACACAAGACATGTTCCAATTGTCAGCTTACAGGTTTTGGTCAGACATAGCATTAAACACTTGATAAGTGCCAAGATGAACGAGGAACTATACCAGACCTATGCTGGAGAGATCCTCGAGGAGGAGGATTCATTTCGCCTCATTTCTCTACAACCCGGCGGCCACGACGAACCACTGATCCTACGTCTTATCAACACTAGACTTCAGGACCCTCAACCATACGAAGCCGTTTCTTATGTTTGGGGAGATGCGTCACGGCCGGTAATAGTACGAGTTATCGATAAGAATGGTGAAGAAATCACGATGGGCGTCACACCCAACTGCTACGCTGCACTCCAGCGATTGCGAAAGAAGGACGCCGCTCGAACCTTGTGGATTGATTCCATCTGCATCAACCAGTCGTTGAATGCGGAAAAGAATCATCAGTTGATCCTCATGTCACGCATCTACCAGGAAGCAACTCGAGTTGTTGTCTGTCTTGGCGAGGGCACTAGCGACACAGACGTCGCCATGAAGTACATTGGTGAAGTTGACGATCCTTCCGACTATGCCAGTGGTGACTGGCACCTACCGTCTGCCATTTGCGATAAATCTTCATTGGATGTTTTCTTCGAACGACCTTGGTTTCACCGTGTCTGGGTGTTACAAGAGATCACATTTGCAAAACAAGCCATCGTCGTCTGCGGCAGTCAGGAACTGGACTGGCAGAATTTCCTGACGTTCTATCAATGGAATATAATAAACCGGACTGTTGATAAGCTTCCATACTCGGTCCAGTACTCAAAGTCGCCCGTTTCGAAGCACGGTGGATGGATCTGGTATGTGGAACGACTCTTCAGGATGCTCAGAGACACAAGACACTGCGGCGCGACTGATCCGAGGGATAAGTTGTATGCCATTATTCCTCTTCTGAACCGAGATCACGACCAATTGTCTGTGGAGATAGGCGAGTCGATGAAGAACTGGGAATATGACAATGAGGATGAAGTCCAAGACATGCAGGCACGCCGACAGAGAACTCAGATTCCAGTCGATTACGGTCTTTCTGAAAAGGCCGTCTTCACAGACCTTGCTGTGTTACTCTTACAAACCGTCGGTTTGGATACGCTTAAAAGCGTCATCAAACAACCGCAAATATCTAGCCTTCCCTCTTGGGTCCCCGACTGGAGCACCACCGATTCGAACTGGTCTTCACAAAACCCGCCAAGGGAGATGGGCTATGCTGCTGGGTTTGACGGAAAGCCAGACTACCTTTTTGGTCGATCAAGATACAGGCCCGAACGACTCCGGACTTGGACTGTCTCGGAATATTCATCTGCGTCGGGGGATATGTCGGCGCAACTTCACCTCGACGTGGTCCAGGTCGGCAAGATAGAGACGCTTGGCGATGTCTGTGACATAGAAAACAATGTCTTTCCGCTTGCTCAGTGGGAGAGCCTTGTACCAAGCGAGCAATACCTCAAGAGCAGGCAACCTCCAGCAAACCTCTCACACCAGGAGATGGTGGAGTGGGACAATGGGCCCAAAGGACTCTCACCGTTCGTTAGAACAGTTTCTGGAGAAGACGTAGTCTACCCCAGGGTGGTCACCGAGGCCGTCGAATTCATCAAGCTATACGGCGCCGAAAACATGACCAAAGAGGAAGAGGAAGCGAAAAAGGATAATATCTTTTGGGAAGAAAGTCATGAGAAGGATCAACTCCCACTCAAAGATATTTTCAAAAAAGGGAACAGCTATCAAACGCAGGCTAATTTCATCCTCCGAATGTGCGATGGCAAGCGATTCTTTGTTACCGATACTGGGTTCATTGGACTCGCCCCCGAGCGAGCCCAAGTCGGCGACGTGGTTTATGTCGTCAAAGGAGCTTCTGTCCCTTTTGTTTTTCGATCTATTTCACCAAAAGGGATAGATGCGGGCTGTGAAGGTAAAGCGGAGGGGGGGGACAAGTCCCCATACTTTGAGCTGGTGGGCGAATCTTTTGCGTTTGGAGTCATGACGGGTAATGTTTGGCCTGATGTGGCAAAGGGTACTGAGAAAGTTGAGAAGATTATTGTTCAATAGTAAATTCGCTTGAAAGACTAGCAATACATAACCCAACTGTCCAGATTCATCTTCTTGATAACCTTGCTGAACCCTTTCGACCCGTTAGCAGCACCAGTGACTGAGCAGATCCTTTTTTTGTCGGCAGCCTTCACTTTTGGTGCACCCGCCGGGTACTCAATATTGAAGACGGGTTTTCCTGCTTTGATGTAGGGTGCATATAAGTCGCACTCTGAGTATTGTATGCAAGACTCGTTGATGCAGAAACCGACATATGGGAGAACCTGCTTTGTAATGCTCCCTCCGTTCTTCATGCCCGTCGTCATACGGTACTTGGCTGCTTCTTTGGAGAGGAACTTGACATATGAGATTGTGTCAGCCTCGGTTAGACCCAGGCCATTATCCGCTTGCTAAAAAAGACGTTAGCGATAGCCTCGTTGTCCACGAGTCATGACTTACGTAGCCATCCAAGTTGTCAGGATCAATGGCATCACAGCCCTTCTCGGCAGCCAACTTGATACGCTTTGCCATAATGGCCCGTACTGAAGGGCTGTTGATGTTGACATACTTTTCGTCCGGCCATCCACTCAACGTCTTGCCAAGATCCTTCTTCTGGAAGCTCTTCCTATCATCGCGCCAATTTTCCCAAGATCCGGCGCTGAAGTAACAGATGACATGCTTGCCCGCTTTATGCAGAGCGTCAAAAGTCTCCTTTGAGTTCTCAAACAAGTCCACGTCGTAGATGGGGACGTTTGGCTTCAGATTCTTGGCGCCGCCTTTCGGGATCTTGATGACCTCGGAAAGAACGATTTGCCAAGGAGTGCCAACTTTAGGCTTCCATAGCTCTTTGCGAGTGGTAACGCCTCGAGGAGAAAGTGCTTCAGCCACCTGGGCGTTCGCGTTGGAATGGACCGCGAGTGCAGGCACAGAAGATGCCACAAGGAGAATGATGCTATTGATGAGGCGGTTCAGCTTCATTGTCGATGTCGCAGTTTGTTTGTGAAAGGAATTGAAGGCTTCAAGCAGTCTTGCGCTGATACATGGAGAAACATTGAGTGTAGCACGGTATGTGTGACATCCTTATTTATTGCTAGTTCCCGTCACAATACGCCAACTTGAATGTGCCACCCGATGCCATTGCGTGCCAGTTCCCGTTGCACAATAAGCCCTCAAGCCTAAAGCGGTGCCAATTCCATTCCACGGTTCGCAGAATGCGGGCCTCAATAAAGAAATCAAGCTAGACTTGGACGTGGGTCAAGAAATAAACGTGACAGTAGAGGATCAAGAGGCTTCGTTGTCTCGCTCTTCTCACGTATGAAAATTGGGTAAAGATGTGTCATAATAAAGGTAAATCTTCAGAGCTGCTTTCCCTATTTTTTTTTTTTAAATTGTATTTTATCGATAGCAATTAGGAGAGAATAAGTGTTCATTTGATGGTCTCACTTTTTCTACGACCTGGGCAACTTGCACTTCTTTCTCCTGTTGATACAATTAGAGCTTTCGAGACTGGCCTCGAGGCTGTAAAAAATACCTGTTAGATTTGGTTGTGTACCCGCCATATCATTCCGGCCATTGTTGCTACCCGAGAGCGCTGGTTAAAGGACACCTCACAACTCGATCTTTTGACACAGGAATGTGATGAGGGCGGAAGCGGGCTTGGAATGTGATGGAATGTTCTATTCTGTTGTTTAACTTTGGCTGTGAAACACTAAAACAGGCCCTGATGGTGCTTGGGAAGCATTATGGAAGATTTATTGACGATGACGCTTTTTGATGGCCTTCAGATGGTAGTAATCACGCCATGCTCATTGTTTAGCATAATGCTGGCAGTCAAACATAATGTTATAACGACACAATTATGCAAGCAAGCAAGGCATGTTCAAAACCAGTACTGACACTGTGTTTGCAAAGAAAGTTGCTGATTGCAAGGGTTGCCAACCGTCACCTGAACTAAGTGGGCTTTGGAGGAGCAAGTCATCTCGCTTCAGATCATCTTCTCATTTCCGGCTCGGTACCGTGTTCTTCCCCCGGTCATCGATCCGCTATTCTCACCTCAACAAATGAAGCATACGTAAGAAGTAACAATAACCTCCCGCCTCGCCGAAACACTGAACGTTATTGGTCGATGCCGCCGAGAACGAATCACCAGCCACCCGCTCGACTCCAGGCAGTCAGGCATCAACTTGCCCCGTCAGCTTCTATAAATTGACCCTCTCCCGTCGTCCTTTGCTCGTTTTCTTCTTTCTTCTTCATACTTACCTTGTTCCGGTTTCCCCAGCTCAAGATTTGGGGACACCAGTTTGGAGGGCCTGCATTGCACAGCGCGGCGTCATTCCATGCTCCATTGTCCTTCGGGACCATGGGGGGCGTAATTTTTGATTTACCACTTTTCATTGTGCTGGTCGCTTCATGTGACCCCACGAAGAAGAGCATATTTATTGTGACGTAAATTCTCGAATGCACCTCTTGCCTGCGTATCACTCTGTCCATCCGCCTGCAAGATAACTAAGCTTTTCACTGTACGAGTCGACACGTTGCGTCTTGCATGGTTGTTCAGGTGACAAGTTACTTGGCTGCCCTCGCAGGGGCGGGTGATATCATGGCCTTTCCTGCCCACGGCCTCGTTTCCATTTCATCTCGCTCGTTCATACTCGACTGTCTGAGTATGATTCCGAACCCTAGTCCAGCTTAGCCGACGCATTCCGCAACCCTTTCAATCGATCTTCAGGCATTTCCCTTCCTTTCTGGGTTGACGCAACATTTTGTCTTGGCCCATCCTGGATGCCATCCAATATTTGCGTATGCAACTGTATTGACTCCTCAAGCCTGTCCATCTTCTCAAGCAAGACCCCAACAGAAAGACAGTCACCAACGTCTCCCTATGGTCATGCCCGTAAATCTCTTGCTTCTTTTGGATGTCGCTTTTGAAGATATCGTAGGCCTCGTTGTAGGTTTCTTGGTCGTTGCTCAACATGGAGGCTGGGTTACCCTCCGCCACCAGCACATTGATGTGCCTGGGCCCAAGCGTTTCAAGCGTTGTGGTGAATATTTCGCGTTAAAGAGCTGTCGCCTTAGCTTGTTTCCCTTGCTGATGGAGGACCTGGGCTAAAAACGCCATGCAGTCGATGGTATTCCCATGCCGCCGGCCTAAGACACGCTCACTACAAGCTACCGCTTCGCGTTGCATGGCCTCTGACTTTTGCAGGTCGCCCGTGGCCAGAATCGCGTGAGCAAGGTCACTCAAAGCATCGATCGTTTGTGGGTCAGCATGGAAACCGCCTTTGGGTTTTGGCCGACAATGGCAAGTGACCATCCATATAAACCCGTGCTGGCCATTGTATCGATATGTCTCTCACCGAAAAGTCTCGTGTTGATCTGCATCGATTCTTGGAAACGAGACCGCGCTTCATCATAACTACCTTTCCAGTGAAGGTATCGTCCTGATGAGTTGAGAAGGCTGGCCTTGGCATGCTCTATTTTCTTTGAAGGACTCTTGAATTTGTGTTGCAACATGAGCTCCGCATGAGGAAGAAGAGACTCGCCGAGTGTGAAGTACTCTGCATCAGGGTGCGAGGTCGGTCTAGGGAAGCGCGTTGCCACAGCGTAGAGAGCTGCAGATGCCCATCTCTCTGTCTCGGAGGGTATCTCCTGGTCTAACCAACACCTCGTCACCAGTTGTACCAGTCGATGGGTGCTGAACATGGTTTCTTCTTCATTAGCGTCGACAAACGAAAAAGCCTTCAGCACTGCGGCAGCGTCTTGGAAGTCAAACTCGTCCTCATCCTCATCCTGAAGGAGAGTAACGGGGACTCCCTGATGTTGAAAGAATGTCATCAAACACAATAGCTCAGCCGCTCTAGGGTTCGACTCTCGGATCGCTTCAAATGATAGCATCCATGTTTGGCGACCGACTCCATTGAGCTCCCTGGACGGCCATGATCTGAGAACTCGTAGCTGAGCAGCTTCATCTTTGTTACATCGCTCTTTCGATAAAGGTCCAAGTACGATTGCACCGTCTTTCTTCTCTTTGCCATAAATGCGCTTGCTTGAGTGATTGCCAACGGGATGAATTCCAGTTCCTCTAGCAAGTCAATCAGCAATTCTTGAGGAGTATCGCTGGGCAATCGCTTCATGGCTAGCTCCAGACCCTCAGCCACCTGCATCTCTTGAATCATGATAGGCTTTTCCGAGTTGGCCAAATAGAAAGCAATGTCACTGCTCCTGGTGGTGAATATCAAGGAACCTCGTGCACAATGAGGAATGCACTCTGATGGTATCCTTCCGGTTCGCATGTGTGTGCTGAAAAAGGTATCTTGGTCATCAACATTGTCCACAACCATTAACCAAGGCCCTTGGTGTCGGAACTCGAGCTAATCCTTCAATATTGCGAAAGAATCAGTTGCTTGTTCTTTTGAGATGAGGCCGCACTGAGTGGCTATTCGGTTCAATGACTCATCGAAACGTGCCGCAGTAGCAGCGTTGCACCAGCAGATGCTGCATCGTTGATCCTTCTTTCGTTTTCGATAACGATATTCTAGAGCAATTTGAGACTTGCTGTCATGTGTCAGAAGTAAACCACGTGAGAATCAGAGTTGACTCACCCAATCCCTCCCAAACCGGACAATGCTGTCTTTGGCTGCACTCCCTCTTCTGCTGCCAAAGAACTTTCAATCTCCTTAAAGAGAGTTTCTCTTCCCACAAAGGATGGATTTTTGTCATAAGGAACTAGCCAAAAAGCCTGTTCGTACGAGGGCGGCTTCTCGAACTTGAAGTTATGGGAGAGATCAACGACCTGATGCAACGTCAAGATACCGACATAACTATTCATGGCTGCTGCAATTTTGTCGATTTTCTTATCATATTTCAGACTGCCCAATGCCTTGTTGCGTCTCTCCCAGCTTGAGTCTCCTATAGATGGTGGTGCCTTCTCAAGAATCGCGTCTAGTTCTTGGGTGTCTGAGAGGCAACCTTGGACAACACTGCGAAGAGCGGCGTGATCTCGTGTAGCTGCATAGACGCTGTCAGCTTGTATGAGTTGCAAGTCGGCTATTATGAGAGGGAGAACAGTCTTTAATTGTTTGAAGGCTTGGGGCGTATCATCTTGCAGGGCAGCACTGCTGAAGTCGACAAGACGTTTAGTGACCTTGGCGCTGAGTTCGACTAGTTGGACGATGCCTGCCACCACTGTTATCTCCTTGTCAGCCCAAGTCTACCATGGATGAATGGGTATTGGTGAACAGACGGCCGATTGCGCTGACCGGATCCATGGGCGCGATCGTATACGACGAGGGCGGGTGATAAGTTGGCGGTAACTATTCCGCAGGATTAAAACCTCAACGGTTGAGCACTGCCGCCTAGTTTACCCCGGATCTGACTCTCCACTGTCTGTTCTCGACCAAAAGAAAGCGTAACTTAGGATACCTGCACAAAGGTAGCTGGGCCGTATCCAAGGAATTGAGGGATTTTCTTGATTAAATCACACAACAAGCCTCAGGTCATCGGCGACGGCTCCACAACCCCTGTAACACTTGCCATTTGTGCGTCTCAGTACGCGAACCCCGCGCTGTCACTGAAGTGATTGGGCGGCACGCGGATGTACAAGAACTCCTCAAGACACTGGGACGGCTACGCTTAGTTAAGTTGATAATGAGTGTTCACTTTATAGCCTAATTATGACCTAAGTAAGAGATAAGAATGAGGAATAATATAAAAGATCTTTGAAAAGGCTTATTCTATTATTGGAAGCCTGTGCAACTGCATCTTGACTTGACTCAGGTTGCCCTTGGAGCTCTTTTGAATCAGAGGTATCTCCTGTTCTTGTATGCCCAGAGCATTGCCGTTAGTCTCTACAAACAAGTTTATCTGTATCACTAGCCGACATGTATCATGACTTGTACCATGTCATAAGTTTTTGCTCTATTGATCCGTGTGTCTATGGGATTCAAATATCATAAGTATCGCCAATAATGCAGTTAAAATGAAATACAATCCAGGTCATCAACTGTGACCTCTGTTTCAAAACTTGCCAGATGCTAATATTCCCGTTCTGTATCTTAATTTCGTCAATCTCATGAATGCCCAGGCCGAAACAAAGGAAAAGTATAATCTGTCCACCAACTCAGCATGCTCTATGTGTCTATGCACGCCGCCGTGATGTTTGACGGCTTTTGGCGCGCTTATGTAGTGGTGTAGAACGCTTCTTCGTTGCCTGAACCAACTCAAGAGAAGACTCGTTGGAGTGTCTCCTCACCAGCTCTGTAATACCGTCTTCCTTGTGAACCTCTTGAATCATGGCTTTTTCCTTCTCAACAGCAATGACTCTCTCCTCGGTTTCGACTTCGGCCTCGATTAGGGCTGGTTGAGGCCCGATGCCTAAGATTCTGGGCGATCCGTACTCTGGTGGCTTCTCGGTAATACCGCACCAAGTCATGGCCTGATTCCACCATCCAAGGGGTGGTGGTGTCCAGAAGCCCACATCCGATGTATAGTACTTCTGATCCTCGGGGAGGTTGAGCCATACGAATGGCCTGTTGCTGTTGATCCGGCCCTCGATGATGAAATCACCAATCTCGTCTGGGATCCGGATACTCTCGGGAATTAGGATGGATTGATATGCTGGTATGATGAGATGTAGCTGAATGGGGCGGCAGTGTTGCTTTTTGCGCCCTTTTCGGAGTTCCCTGTCGTTAATGCGTTCCCGGGCTGCCAGCATGAACATGAAGACCGTGTCGAGCTGGTTGGTGTAGCCGCAAAAGCGAGGGTCTAGTGGTTTCTCCTCAACGAGATGAAAGAACTTGGGGTACCAGTCGGTGTCTGGATGATAGAGAAAGAACCAGTGCTCGCGATCTGGATCAACAGCAGTCTGACTCAAGCGCTCCCGGATCATGTCGTAGACATATTGAGGAAAATCTCGCTGAGCAGTGAGGGCCGTCTGAGCTTCAAGACTCTTTCCCATATCTCCTAGCTTGGCGGCTATTAAGTTGAGGGCTTGAATGCCCTGATATGTCTGGATGATGTTGGCACCCATGCCAAGTGTTGTAGCAACCATGCTGAACTTGCTCAGGAGCCTTGCCGTGTCGACCAAGGACTGACCCATGATGTGCATCTGGGGCAGGATGGTTTGGGCACTCCTGACCGTATCTGAAGCATTTAGGAGGAGATTATTGGTGTTTTTGACAACATCTCCAACCTTCGTGATCTGATAAGCGGCTTGGACAGTCTTGACAACTGGTGACTCCGCGGCGAGAGTGGTGGCGGCCTCAAACGCCACTTTTTGTAGCCTCTTGTCGCGAAGCGCTCTCGGTATTAGGTCTTCCAGCCCCATATTTGAAGAGCCAGAAGTCCGAAAAGTAAACAGGGTCAAGATCGGTCTCGAACGAAAAGACTCACGGGCGTGGTGTAAGGATGAAGATGGAGCAGGGAGCTGACTACAGGCGAAAAGGCGGTAAAAATAAGGCATGCATGATTGGACTGTCAAGGCTGGGCTGGAGTGCTTGAACCAATGGGAGGACGCCATGTAGCTGGGGTGGCGGCCCAAGGAGCTGACGAAGCCCAGCCAGGGGTCAAGAAATAAACAGACCAAGCAAGCACTTTGTTAACTCTTCTCAAGGGCTGTGACTCTTCTGATGAGTAGATTTACTCAAGATATGCTGAAGTTATATTTAGAAAAGATGATGCTTCAAATCTTGTTTGTGTCATTTACTTTCCTGCCTCTTCCTTCATTGGTTACCTGGATAGCTGATTTTCTCTTCACCCGCGCAGCCTAGGTTCTGCGATAGCGCATAAAGTCACCTAAACGGCGGCGGCGTGTATTGCATTCATGCGTTCGGAGTTGGATGTGAGCCGGTGAGCGTTCATACTAAGTTGGTAAGGTTCACATATTTGTCACCCAAATCTTGCGGCTTTCCAAGTCATTCACGATGAAAAGCGCCCATTTGCGAGTTTTTCCATGCTAGTTGCCTCTTCTAGAACTAACAGTTGACTTAGTTGGCCAATACTTGGACACCCATGTCTCCATCCTCCCACTCGCTATCATCATCGCTAACATTTCCACCCCCAAGATGTCCATTGCCGAGCTGCAGGCGACCAAGAGCAGATGACATATCTTCCTCGTCTCGAAGTTTTGTTGTCGAGTTGAAAAAGGCATGTGTATCATGGAGAGCCCGGCCTTGACACACATACCCCATCGGAGTGTGCAGGATATCAGCCGTCTGGCGGCGATGGGTCAACCACTCCAAGAGAAACTTGAGAGGCTGGCGGATCCAGAAACCGCGCGAGACCGGAACCCGAGAATCAAGCACCTCGGCGATTCCCAGCCACGAGAGTAGTGACTCGTATTCGTGATAGTCAAAGTAAAGCCGTCCAGCAAAGATGCCTACCTCGATGGGGAGCCAAGTTGGTACTGAGAATTCTTTTGCTGGTATAGTCAAATACTTGAGCGTGTTGAACATCTGCATTGACTTTGAAACCGGAGCAGCATAAGAAATAAGCCGCGCCCTAGGTTTTTCCAGCTCCTGAAGCGTTGGCAACAGCAGCTCAGCCTCCTCAGGAATAATAATGAGGGCGGTATCAGACCTTGTACTCCAAAGTATCCACTCGACAGGTCGCTATCGATGTCAGAGTCTTCGCTCGGACGATATACAGGATGCCCACTCACCACAATGTTGGAGCGTTTCTTCCCTTCAACGGTTCTCGCAAATTCTGGGGAGACAAAGAGCTTTGAAGTAGTCTTGGTGACACCAAATTTGCGTCCGATGCCTGTTCGGCCAATCAAGTCAAAAGCCTGGATGAAACGCTTTCCAGCGAGGCATCCAGAGTTCACAAAATGAATGATGGCGGGATCAAGCGAGAGAAAGAAGAGAGGGACAAGGCGTGTGGGCCTCTGGTTCTCGCGGACCTGCTCAACCTCAAATTCGATCTCTCTTTCCTGCTCGACCTCTTCAAAGGGTGAAGAATGGGTCTTCTGGTCGTTTCTCGACGATGTGAGTCGTTGCTCGTGCAGCTTGGTTGCGAATGCTTCCAAGGATGGGAAGTCAAATTGTGAGGGCTCTGCAAAGTCCAACTGTCTCACGCCGTAGAGCTGCTCAAGCGTCTGATCTTCTCGCAGCTGGATGGTCTCGAGAAGCTGACGTCTATTATCCTCGTTTTGGAGAAGGTTTATGTGTTTCCAAAGGGCATTGGTACGTCGGCAAAAATCATAGCCTTGCGCAAGGTGAAGTGACATGATGTTTTCACTCGCCACACAGCTCTGCTCAAGAAGCCAGTGGACCACGTCTTCAGACGTCACAGGCGAATGCTTTGTGAAGATTCCTGAATATGTGGTTCTTAAGCGAAGAATACTTTGGTAAACCTCTGGAGGTGCCACAAATGAAACCGACTGAGTTGTGCCAAGTTGCCTCAGTCTCATGGCGGCTATTGCGGTCAGCATCATGCTCCAGGAGTTCGTGGCGTAACTTACCTTGAACTGTTTGGTCCTTCGTTTGCCCAAGACCCAGAGTAACAGCTGCTTTGGCGTAGACTGGAAGCTTCAAGTCTGTGCCACGAGTGTGAGCCTCATCGATGTAAACGACGCAACGCTCGAGATTGTCTACAAACGGGCTTGCCAGCAAAGGAACGGGCTCCTTCTGGAAACGCGCCCGAACCATGATCCTGCTTTGATTGTCAAAGTATACCGCACCATCGGCATCATGGAAGATGTCGAGCCAGGCGGACGCAAGATCGTGATTCTCCATCTCGAGGATATGGGCACCGGCGTCGATTAGAATGCGGATTTTCTCGTTGCGGAGAAGCTCCAGCAACCCGGTCTCGGTTAGGTGTTTGCCATTCTTGTCCACAGCTGGATAGAGTTTCTGGTTTCGTGACTCTAGGAGATAACTGAGAACCTCTGCGTTCGTCTGCATCAGGCTTGGCAAGTCATCCTGCTTGATCGTATGGGGTAAGGTCCGCTTGTTGTCGTTGGTGCCGCTGAAACCGGTCGTGAGGTTCTTGCTCGATGGTACACTAGATAGGAGAGGAATGTCCCATCCTGAAGCCTGGAGCTTCACTCCAAACTGCTTGGCATGTTGCGGGAATGCAAAGTTGTTGAGGAAGTGGTTGAGCACATTTCGGTCAAACCTCACGAATTCCCACAGCTCGGCCATCTGTACCTTGTCCTCGGTGTCCAGCAAGTTCCATTGTTGCAGACCAGCTGGTAAACTGCAGGTGGAGATCAGGCGTTCGTAATGGGCCGCTGGATCATCAGACTTCATAATGTGCTGTAGACTCTTGTCCACTTGAGCCTTTGACAAACCAGTCTGGTAGAAGGCAAGACAAGTAAGCACGAGAGCCGTGTCTGGATGACCATACTCTGCCGTCTCAGAAGGGACACCCTTGGCTTCGTAAGGCACGGCAATGGGGGCCCTTTGAGGATGAAGACCGTACTGCACGTTCCAGCGCTTCTTCAGGCAGAGGAGCAGCACGCGCTGGGAGATGAGACCGCGGAGTAGATGAAGCATCTTCCACCCAAAGACATCATCTGCCAAGGCTTCAGCTGCGTCCTTCCAAGTTGACCGAGGGACATCGACGCCTGATACAATCATGCCTATATCCTTCTGAGCATCTTGGTTGGACGAATCCTTCAACTGAAGTTGCGGGAGGCGTCCTTCACAAATATCCGCCACAAGCAAAGCGTTGAGCCTGTCTTCCACTTCGGAGCGCAGGAAGTGAATAATTGGGTATCCTTGGTGACGCCTCCTCACGTCAATGCCGTCCTTGAAGTCCGACTGAAGATCTGAGACGTGGCTCTCAACGAGTGCCAACAGGTCCTCCACCACCCGCCATCGTTGAGGATGGCCGTCCACAGCTGTTGGTACACCACTGGGGTAGATCAGCTGAGTCTTCGCCGAGAGTGTAAAGTCAGACTCGTCGAGAATGTCACGGCATGAGGCATCCAGCCACCGCTGAATCACAATCATCTTCTTGGCCCGCTCGAGTTGCTGGTCGGCCATTTTTTGGAAGCCGCTCAACCTGAAGGAGAGAATATGCTCTGGCAGGCAGAGCATCACACCTCCTGTTGCACGAACGTCTCGGTGAAGGCCGTGATATAAATTCAGATCGGACTCCTCAGTAGGTGATCGTCGTGAAAAGGGGATATGGCAAACCTGACGGCCGACAAGACCACCGATACGGCTTTGCAGAACCTGTGCTGTTTGAAGGAGAAGGGCACGAGGCACTACCAGTCTGCACAGTTGTGTCTTGTCTGCTAGTACCGTCACTGCCATGGGCATGACACACGAGGTTTTGCCTGGAATGTTGAGTCAGTTCAAGGTTCTTTCATGTGGATGATGACGTAGAAACATACCTTGACCCATGTTCATCTGAAGCACCGAATTTGATCCTGATGCTGGCGAGATGATGGCTCTAGCCACATCTACCTGAGATGGGCGAATGAGTATGTTGTCAATCTCAAGGAGGAGCCACTCTGGGTGCTCACGAGGAGACCAGTTCGAGTGCCCTTCGTGCTCCAGTTCATCACGCAACCGCTTTTCGTCTTTGCTGAGCTCGGCGTCATGCATTCGGACGAACCTCTGGAGTTTTGTAAAGATAATACCATATAACAGCAACTCTTCTTTCATCTTAGGGCTTACATGCGACTTGTTCCTGTCTCTGAGCTGCTCAAGAAGCGTTACAGGCGAAAGACAAGGCCAGAGATTGCCTTGGTCGAGCCATTGGAAGCTGGATTCGCCCTGGGAAACGGACTCTCGGATGGTGGAAATATGATCATGTAGTAGTTGACGAGATTGAGCGATTGCCTGAGTAAGGCCTTCAGAAGAGAGCTTGAGCGTCAACTTTGTGTCGGTACTGCGGTGGCGAATCAGGGCCGCAAGGGACGCCTCGAGATCGTTGCCATACTGCTGTCTTGTGAGGTCTGGCGATGCCGAGAATCTCTTCACAACCCTGGAGAGTGTTGCTATTTCTGGAGAGACGAGGGAGAAGGTCTCTGGAGCCTTGCCGTCTTGCATAATGCTTGTGTCGGCAAACGTGCGAGAGAGCTTGTCCATGGATATTTCGTCCCTTGTAGCACTATCGAAGTCGAAGTCCTTTTTCATCAAGCCGCTTGTGAGGTGAGGTACAGTATACACGTCCCTGACATGGCCGGCCTCCGGAACCATCATTGATGCCGGCTTGGAATCCCAGATCTCGTTGTGCTTGTCGCTCACGGCTTGGGACTGTTGTTGGCGGATTTCCTTGGCAGCTTCATCTACCTGACCAAGATAGACGGAGAGCTTGAGATTGCGGGACAACCGTTCAAGTTCAGGTTGTATATTCTCCCAAGCTGTCTCCAAGTCGAGCCATTCGATGGGGAGCTCTCGGACCAACTCCTCAAAATCGATCAGAGAAAGAGCTGAGCCAGGCCCTCCTTTGTCGATGATGTGAGAGGCAATACTGGCGGCTTCTGCCACCTGAATATCGTAATACTGTTCCTCAGTGACCGCCGGCGGCTCCGATGACGTTGCTTGAAACCAATCCGCGTAGGTTGGTTGTTCGATGAGCATCAGGTCCCTCAAAGTCGTTTCTGAGGGAGCTTCAAATGCGTGAAAATTAGCAAATGCTGCGTAGATCGGAGGCTCGAATTTCCTCAACGCCGAGTTCTTGGAAAATGCCACAAGCCACGACACAACTCTCATGTCGATGTTGCTGTCAAAGGCCAATAATGCGAGTCGAAAATACTCATCGTAAGCTCCGACAAACTCAAAGTTTTTACCTAAACAGGCCTGGACAAAAGAGCCCCATAGCTCCGAGATGTCCAGGTCCAAGATGATTCTGATGTCTAACTTGGCGGCCACACGGTCGAACCCCGCAAGCGTCTCCCATTGCTCCACGATGGGTGTTAGCCTTGGCAAGTGGGATATGCCAGCCGAGAGGTCTCGTAGAGCACGGGTGGTCTGGTAAGTTTGACAACTCTGCTTGGAAGCTGGATGCTGGGCAGAAGAGTAGGGGAAAGCCTTTGCACCTGCGTGAAGGACCGCTGAGTCGCCAGGAAAACAGACACGCTCATAGACCTGTCTCCGAATGCGGCCTCGAAGACGTAAGCTTTCGATGGAATCATCGTCCCACTTGAGCTTAAACTCATCCCTCATCTTGGCTGTCTGATCAAACGTCTCGAGCTCCTCTGATCGCATAACGATGCTATCGACGAGGGGAGCTAGGCCTTCGTGTTGAATTGTCATGGTGAGGTGATCATCCCATTTGACTTTCTGGTAGATGTCGAGACCGGGTGGGTAAAGCGACCTTTTTGGAGAGAGAGACCTGATGGCTGCCAAGAGTGGTCGAGAGAAGCCCTGCAAAGGAGTCCACGGCTGGCTGCTAGTCGCGAGAAGACAGTGACGTGCCTCTTCGGTCCCAGTGCGGCCAGTGAGTTTATCGGGCAGGGGAAACGAAGTTAGAGCGTGCAGGGCTGCTTTCAGGTACAGGAGCAGTGGCTCTGGTGGGCAGTCAAGTCGGCCTAGCAGCTGGTTGACAGTGAACTTGGCGTACATGCCAGTATTTTGAAGAGTGACAGCCACATGTATCCCACTTCGCTGCCATCGCATGCTGCCGATGGGGACGATGACGCTCTTGTTGTCAGGATTTGCAACACCGCGCAGTAGAATGTGGCTGCACAGCCCGTACAGAGCGCCCACATCTTGTCGAGGATCAACCTCTGCGCTGAGCTGTGGGCATTGAAGTAGGCCTTTGGCGTTGACGAAGAAGCGAATTTCTAGACGCTTCATTTCAACTGACAAAGATCCGGAACCGCGCGGCTGGTATATAGTCAACTTGTCGGCATCTTCAAAGCCTTGGAAGATGCGGTAGATCTTTTGTGCAATCGCTGATCGAGGGTCAACCAGATAGGTGCCTAGGCTCGGTGGACCATTTCTATTCCGACGACCGTAATTCCTGGAAGCATAGCGCGAGCGAATATCAAAGACCCAGTTGGATAGCCTTGGGGCCCATATCCGTGGTTTACGTCGCATCTCCAGTTGTCCAGTCTCCAAGTTGAGCCAATGGACACAGTCGTCTACAAGTGGCGAGGGAAGATCGTAGCCCGTTTCGCCCTTGAATAGACTCCGTGGAACATGTTCCAGCAAAGCTCCCCCAAAGACGGCCTGAATGATGACTTTTCCTTTCCGAGAGCCAAAGTGAATCTGGTGCCCCTCGACTTGATTGACCAGCTGATGCTCCAGGATGCTGGACGGACGCGTCAGCAAGTGCTGCCCGCCAAAGAGTTCCCTAATGGCTGGATCTTCTCTCATCTCGAGAGGAAGCCGACCCAGTGGCATTCCATCCACAGTGAGGTGACCTTGCACCAGATGGTAGTGCACCACCTGGTTCTCCTGGGAGCCTGTCAAATTGGTCCCCGCAACTCGCGCCGTAGCCCACCAAGCGTGGTATCCTTCGAGGAATGTCCAACCAGAGTACCTTCTTCTTCCGAGACCCCCAGCATCACTCCATGTTTCATTGATGGCGTCTTCTAAGCAACGAGGATTCTTCTCGATCCAGTCCCTGACCATGAATCGCATGTGATAGCAGTTGGATAGATCCAGGATGAGAAGACTCTTCAGAGCAAGGCTAAGATCATCCACGCTGACCAAGAGGTGCTCTTGAAGAGCGATAGATGCCCGAAAAAAGCACGTCATGTCGTCGTTGGTGAGAATGGCAGGTTGATCTTGAGCGTCATCAGCGTGAATCGAAAATGTCTGACGGCAGAGCAAGGCAGCTCGAAACGCGTAGTCTGAAGCTTTACGGGCGGTTTCTCCCTCCGGAGTTGCCCGGACTTCGTTGCGCAGCTGCACGATCCAGTTGGAGGTGATGTGTCGAATTCTCACCAGCAGCTCATGTGCTTTCCCCTTGAAACCTTGGGGGCATAGATGGTAGAGCCGCAAACTGAGTGTGGAAATCGTGCTCATGCAGTGGACTTCCCGGCACGTAGATTCCAGAGACGTCAACCAGCAGGAAAGTCGGTCATGTAGTGTCTCGCAGAAGGGCTGATCACCAAAGACGACGTGTGCCTCCCGTAAGACTCCATGCTCCAGGACGGAAGGACCAGCTTGAAGGGCGAGGCGTGTGAAGATGGTCGTTGAAGCCTCGGTGCTGAAGTTGATGTTGGTAGATGACAACTCGGTGAGCATGGTTAGCCATCGTCGACCTCGTCCAGAAACAACCCGTTGATAAGCAGAAAACTCATGCGTGGACATATCTGGGGGGCAGTTGAGCTCGTTGGCGACGATCTCGTACGATGTTGGATGATACAATGTCTCTTCAGACTGATCAAAATCCTCGCATGGATCAGGAATACCCCCTGGGAGCCAGGGGCCAAGAAGGTGCTGAAACCAAGGAGTTTTAGGGAGGTCTTCCGCCCAGAGGTTGGTGTCATAGTAGGAAAACTCTGCTCCGAATGGCCGCATCACCTCACGCGGCGTCTTTGGCATCCTCATTTTGCGGTAATGTGTCTGGGTGAATAGTTTTTTCCGCGACGCCAATGTGATGGTGCCCATGCCAGCACGGCGCCTAGGTAAATAGTCTTTCAGCGAGTCGACCTGGTTGAGGAAGAGCTGAGGAGAAGGATTTGAACTGCGGTTAGGTCTAGGTGGACTCCCCAGCAAACACAAATTCCATGTCGCTTGTCGATAAGCCGCGAGGTGTTTGGGGATGAGAAACTCAAACGCAATGGCGGCTCTATGGGCGCGGTCCTCTGGGAGGAAATCCTCGTGGATGGCGATCTTGATGTTTTTCCGCTTTTGCTTTTTCTTGCATTTTTGGCAATCGCTCGTGTCCTTTGTCCCATCGGGTCGTCGCTGGCAATAGCATGACAAACCCTCGGTCTCTTGGATGAGTCTGTGGTACAGCTCGAGCTGGGTTGTCAACCGTGCTTCCTTGAGTGCCCTAGACTTTTCTGACTTTTTGTCGATCTCATCAGCCAGGTCCAACATTAGTTTCCCAGTACTAGTCGAGGTAGCAAACTGTAGTGGAAATGCCGTCTTGCGTCTTGGGTTGCTGAAGATGTTTTCGTCCTTCCAGTGATGTTCGCTCACACGTCGAGCAATATACTGCTAGACACGGGCAAGCCGTTCCATTTCTTCCATGGTCAATAGGCAAAGGACGTCCAATGCCTGAGGGACAAAGATTGGGTGATACTGCTTGAGAAGGGGGCATGCGGTTGTGGCTGCTCGGTCCATGTCCACCCAAAGTTCAAACAGTCTCAGGAGGTAGCGGCTCATCAAGAGAGGGTTGTCTCTGTACGCGGTCCCAGCCTTCTTGAGAAATTGGATGATGGCCGTCGACGACTCGATGCACATCTGCTCTGGATCTTCTGAAGATGGTAATTTGGTAGTGGCCTCGTGCTCGATAAGTCCCGTGTAGCGAGCTGTTAGTCGGTTGACTTGCGAGACTGTGCCTTCTTTTAGAGATGGAGCATCGCGTCGCGCTCCACGGATGAAATCAGCAGCCCTATCCCCATAGCGAAGATCGCGTAGAAATTTTAAGCTGTTGGGTAATTTGAGAGTAATGTCGTCGGTTGTTGCAATTCTTGTTGGAAGGCGAGGAATGCGGCGAACAATGTCAGCCTTGTGCATCTCCCACCTGGTGCCAACTTCCCGCTTCACAGCCCCAACGATGAAATCAAAAAAGCTTTCTGTCGCTGAGAACAGATTGTCGTACACGATGCGTAGAGGACCCGATGCGGCCTTCTGCTCAGACTCGAGCTTGGCAAGTCGACGGCATAGCTTTGCTTGGAGCATCAGTGTCATCTCGGGGTGCAGACTGTCGACACAGTCTCTGAGGAGATTGGCCAAGACAACACAGATGAGAAATTTGTACCACGCCCGGCCAGATCCCTCGTCCTGATACAGGTTGGAGAGTTGTCGACCAACTGCCACGCGAAGGACTAGCCAGTATGGAGAACGTCTCCAAGGCACCTCTGATGAATCCAGCACAACATCGTCACGAATTCTTTTGCGAATCTGGCGGACGGTTGTGGGCTTCCCCAGGCCCTCCAACAGCGACATGAGCATGTCGTTGACAAGGGCAGGGCTCGGACAATCTCGAGTTTCGATAATCGACTCGCCCCCCTTGGATGCTCGTGCAGCAAATTGATCAAAAGCCTCGGTACTTGATTGCTCGAGAAACTCGGTCAGGTTTTCTTGAAACGACTCATCTTTGAAGATGTGAATCGGTACTGCTACAGCCCGATCGGGAAAGTCGCAGGTGAGGGCATGGTTTGCGTTGAGAACATCTCGCACAGGAGCAGAAACCTGGAAAGACTCGAAAATGACGTTTTCGTGACTATCAAGGTCAACACTCGTTGAGTGTGAAGCACGAGTGGCAAAGAGGACTTACGTAGCATCAACGTGAATCAAAAGCGCAGCGTTCTGTTGCGCAACATGGAGAGCAAGCCAAATTGGGGACACTGGCTCAACGACGCCTCTCAATGCGTGCCGCAGGTCATCGCCAGCCAAAAAGCCCCGGTTCACGTCCTTGGTAGCTTGCAAAGACACGTCCAACGCCCCCGAAACCGACGGTCCCGCAGGTCGCAAGGTGGCCAGGGCCTCGTGTAATCTCTTGCCGAGATTCTGAGCAATGGCGGCCTTATCGCCGTCAAATTTGCGTGGAAGTTTCGGGGGAAGGACTAGGTGGTGAAACACAGCCTCTATGAGAGGAGATTGCTTAGAATTCATGATTGCATTTTACTGTTTCAAATTCCAGCAGAAGAAGACACGTGCTAGACGTTGAGCTTGTTGAAAGGATAGGCTGGAAGTAGTTTGAACCTCCAGGGAAGAATTGAGACGCGACGACGCGCGCTGGAGCACGGCACGAAGCTCCGTGACCTCCGGTACAGTGTGAGACAAAAGAGGAGGAAACAGCACTCATTCCGTTTGGGTAGAGTTTCTCGATGCCTAACTGAATTGTGGAGTATCGAGGTTGCCTGGTCAAATAAGTGCTCATTCCAGCCCTCCTTGGAGACGCTGGGCTTGCCATCAGCGAGGGGAAATCGTTGTCCGTCGACCAATGAGTGCTGAGTCTCATGGTGAAAGTGCCCCATCTTCCAGGTTTCACTGTGAGCCGCGTCTTGATTCACGATGAGCGCCAAGTCATAAGAAGGCCATGCAGGACAATTTGTCCTCTATCGGCATTTGGAAGACTTGATTGCTTCGCTAGGGTCATGTATCTCCCCCTGTAGCCCTGGCGATCCCATTCTCCACAGTGCCGAGTTCACATACCTACCGATGGTCGGCCTCCCGCATCTCGTATCCGACTTCGGCCGACGTGTGTCACACAGCTAATGCAGCCACACGCCCTTGAGTCGCAAGATAAGATGAGGATGCAAAACCAATAAGAGAGACTTTTGTTCTTGATTTATGCAGAAAGCGAGGTGGTTGGTGAGCTTCATACTTTGCGCACATTTGGTCGTGTACTGGTGTGCAAATGTTGGCATGTGTATTCTCCTCCACTAAGGGTATCTATCAAAGGGACAATAGTAGTAATAACGTATTAAATAAAATAATATAAAATATCAATTCTTAACAAAGCATTTCTTCTAAAAATTATTTTTCTACAAATTATTTCTGGATATCAGAGGCCTGTGACAACTGTCAGGGTCACCTGCTACGCCTCCAATGTTTCCCTGCCAATAGGAAGGGGACATGATCAATGAAGTTGAACAAAGATGCAAGCTTGACCCTTGAAAAGTCCCAGGGCTTTAATATTTGACTATTGTCGTCCCCTAAGGGTCCTAGCGATCGTCGACAGAGCCACATTTAAAGCTACCGTAAGTTGCACACACCAGGCTATCCCGCGGAGGAATTGTGCCACCTTTCTATCAGAGATCAATTGGAAGCCAAAATTGCATTAATATGAGTAAAGGGATATCCGGAAGCGCTTGGTGTGTCTGCATTTCCCCAAATTGTGGCGCGTTTGTCTAGCTTATAAGAGCTAGTCTTGACGATTTCTTGTTTGAAAGATCAAGATCGGTCCTCTCAGGGTGCATTTGTGCTTCATACGTCATAGACCTGCAGGTGATAAAAACACGTTCGAGCCGGTAAAATTGGCCACCACAGGCTCCATCCTCAAGTCTGACTCCCACAAACACCATGTATAGCCTTCTGGTTGTGGTTGCTACCGCCCTTTCACTTGCATCTGCATTTCAGCGGCCGATTCAGGCCCTGGACCATTCCCAAGGCTACCAATTCGATCCTCTCCTCCACCTGCCAGGAATCTCGCCATATTTCGATGCCGTTGGATTCGGGCTCGCACACGCTGTCCCAGAGGGATGCACTGTCGACATTGCTTCATACCTTATCCGGCACGCGTCAATCTATGCCAACGACGCCGAGTATGAAGACTACATCAAACCATTTCTCTTCAAGTTGGAGAAGCATCGTGGGGGCTTCTCAGGCCCCCTTAAATTTCTCAACAAATGGTACTCTCCAATTGACGAAAAGCGCCTGGAAGATGTCACCCCTTCTGGAAAGCTTGATGCCAAGCATGTTGGGAGACATCTGATGAAGCGATACCGGCACCTAGCATCATCAGTGAAGCGTGTTATGGCCGATACCAAAGCAAGGACCTATGATACTGCCAAGGCTTTTGTCGACGTATTTCCCAATTCTGGAGACATCGAGTTTGTCCGCGCCGACAAGAAGGACCTCAACAACGCTACTCGTGCTCTTCTTCCGCACAAGGCTTGCTCAGAATTCTCAAAAGACCCCGGTACCAAGGAACTACACGAATTCTTGAATGTGTACGGCAAACAAGTCTCACGTCGTCTTAGCCCTTACACGCCTGATGACTATGATCTCGACCCCAAGGACGTCTTTGCTCTCCAGTCAATCTGTGGTTACGAATCCGCCATTCGTGGAAAGCGCTCACCAATGTGCGACCTGTTCTCTGATGCAGAATGGCTGTCGTATGAGTATGCCTGGGATATGAAGTATGCATACATGGTCGGGCCACTCAACCCTCTCTCCAACTATCTTGGTTTCCCTTGGCTTCACTCACAGTCTCAGCTCTTCGACGCCATTGACAAAGACCCGGATGCGAACCATAACGAAACAACAGGTTGGCCTTCAGAGCAGCGCTTGTTTTTCTTCTTCACACACCGCGAAGTGCCACCATTCGTCGCCACTGCACTTGGCATATTTAATTCATCTTCACACGAAGGCTATGATGAATTCCCGACATCACACGTCAACCATGTGAGGGCATGGAAGATGTCTGATCTGATTCCCTTCCTAGGCCATGTTGGCATGGAAAAGATGACTTGCGATGGACCAGGTGACGATTCAGGAAAGGATGAGTTTGTGAGGTTCATTGCCAATACTGCGCCACGACCACTACCGCTCTGTCAAAGCGGGCCTGGGGCTAGCTGTCCGTTTGAGGTTTTTAAAGAGATTGTCAGTGCTGGAATGAAAAAGTACGGAGATTTTGACGAGGTGTGTAAGAATGAGGAGCCAAGCGATCCGTAGGGGCCGAGATAGTTATCCCAAGGCGTGAGGAGACGCTCAACCTCAGAATTTAGTAGATGTCCATTCCACCAGAGGTTTAAATCCTAGCTCAATAGCTATTTAAGATCATTTGTTTAACAAAATTAATGCAGTTTTTTTTGCTCCCTCAAGCCCATTTCGGCTCTAAGCTAGAGCAGCTCTCCTGCTACTGTTAAAGCTTAGGACACAAAGAAATGCCGACTACAAAGTACCTCAGGCTTAGGACAGAAAATCGGCATAGGGCTTCAGGCCAACCAGAGGATCGTGTGCCCAGCCCATCTAAAGACTAGAGAGACAATGAATTAAGAGCGGTTCTTTTTTTGCCTCTCCATTCAGATTTCTGCGTAGCATCTTGATGAAGAATGGGATTTTTCTTTTAGTATATTTAGCATGCTTATATAAGTAAGCTCACAAAAATCTATATTCCTTTTATCATTTGGGGCTATTTTGTCCTAAATCTTGGCAGGAAGATCGTCCATCCCTGAATACCGCGGCAAGGATGAGAACCAGGAGATGTTGACATTCATTAATGTCCTTGGGTTGCTTTTTGGCTCGCTTCTAGCCGCCTCAGTGCCGGACTCAGCCGCTGCCTTTCTCTGCAAGCCTCCTGCGGCTGTGTTTTGTCAATGTGCAGCAGGCCGCTTGCTTATTGGGCGCTGTAACCACTCTGCCTTGGCTTTGCTCAGCGGCTGGTTCCAATGCCAAACTTCCCAGCCTGTTTCCTCGGACCTTAATTTCCCCGGGGAGAGCGGGAGGGGCACCGAGAATTCAAAGGAGCCAGGCCCTACAAGGTGTGCCTTCTTCCTACACCTGCCCTCCGTTGTACCAAGCTTCGGCGCCCAGCACTCATGGCCGACCCCCCAGTGTCAGAAGAACCGGCGCCTAGTGACGGCTTAGAACATATATTCAATAGTTACGTGGCGTGTCCACCGACCCGAAACCAGGCCGATTTCGAGATCAAGGTTGAAGGGGATGAATGGCCAAAGCCCAGTGAAGCCTTGTAAGCAACACGTTGATCAGACATCTATCTGCAGTCCCTGAGAAAATCAGCATTATTAGACAAGCCGAGCGGCTTAGGATCCCCCTCCGCTGCCGCCTCTGTGGTGTCCGAGATGTGCCCGCCCGGTTTGTCTTGTGTAGTGGCTGCGGCGTGGCTCACATGCCCGCACACCGGCAATGCCTCTTAGGCACACGGGAACATAAGCCTGAAGACGAAGAACCGCCGGTGTTCGGAGATCCATGCAAAGAGACAGACTTCCAACAATGGATCTTTATCTCGTGGCTCCTAGACTCCAAGTTTCTCGAAAAAGACAAGGCCACCCTGCACGTCAACGATCTGTGGTCGACCTGGCTCGGCGTCCCGGATGACCAGGACAAACCGCTCCCACAGTTGTGCATCTATCCGCGGCTGGAGAGGCTGGTCGAAAAAGCCCCAGAGAGGCCGCCATTTCAATACCCAAGTCTAATATCCTTTGTCGGCGACACAGGATCTGGCAAGAGTACACTGATCCGTGCCATTATCGAATCGCTGGCTCCTGGTCAGAACCACGACGTTCCTGTTCGAGGAGCAGCAGGAGATGATTTTCAATCGACAAACAGTGACCTGCACCTCTTCGCAGAACCCCGGACCCAGTCAAGTGAAGTTGCTCGCTTCTTTGTGGGTAAGATACCCAGTATTTCCATAATGTTACATACCTTGGCTCATTTCTTCAGACTGCGAAGGCTTCCATGGCACGGACAAGTCGGGCTCTCGAAATGCAATATCCGAGGCTCGTGAGGCTAGACAAAATTCCCAGGCGGCGCTTGATGGAGGCCTCCGCGAATATCCAGTGGACCCGTTCACTCAGCACGAAAATTCAGCAATGGATCACATAGACCTACAATGGGGCCAATTCGCTTCAGCAATGAATATGCCGGGGGAGTTGGTCGGAAGCAGCGGCGTCAAGTATCGTCTGATACAAGAAGTACCGTCGTCAATGCGGTGTACCCCAGGCTGCTCTATGCCTTTTCAGATGTCGTCTGTTTCGTCACCAATAACTCAAGGTAGGACACTGCCGTATCTACTGGTGTGAAACTGAGAATGCTAATTAGGAAATAGACAATCCTACAAGATCCTGGATCAGATGTTCCGCTGGGCCAAGGGCGGTCATGAGAGGACACTAAATCAGCGGGTCCGACCTGGGCTGATCATTGTA